TATACGTTATTAACATTTAATAAAATAACTAGGTTAAGTTTAGATATAAACCTAACCTAAGATAAGAATCTAATATTAAGGTAAAAGGACCTTATCTAAAAAGGGGGGATAAAGTCTACCTTAGTTTATAAAATCTTAAAACCAAACGACCTAATAGGAAACTCGATTTTAGAAAGATTAGGCTATTTAAAATAGATAAAAACATTTTAGAAAACCACTATACCCTTATACTACTATTAACTATAAAGCTAAGAATAAACGTTTTTTATATAATGTTGTTAGAATTAGTATTAAGAATTTATAACTTAATAAGGATATTAAAGTAGAGAATAAGGAAGAAGATTAGGATATAGGAGAGGTATTTGACTTAAGGATTATAAAGGCGTAACTGGAGTATTTAGTTAAATAGCTGGACTTCAGACTTAAAGATAACTTATAGTAATTAATAGGAAATTTAATCAATTATCTTAAGAAGCTATAGGACTTCTACTATTAATACCTTAATTACCTATATAATTAAAATAGACTAATTAAAGCTATTATTAAAAGGTATAAAAGAAGAATTAAAGGAGGTAGTAGTTAATAGTAGTAAAAATAAAATAAAAAAACAACTCAGTTATAATAGGAATTAAACCTATAGCCCTTTATAGCTAGGTCCTTATATCTGGTAATAAATATAAAAACCTATTAAGTATATATATATATTACTACTGTATTATATAACTATCTTATTTATTAAAACTTTAAAGGAGGGAACTTATTTAAGAAGGGGTAAAATAAATAGAGGATCTAATAAGGAAGGAGCCTCCCTAGATAATAGGAGACTAAGGGCTTTTTAGTCTAATATATTATAGGTATCTGCTAATTATATTTATCTAAGTAGGGACTACTCCTTTAATATTAGAGAATCAGATTCCTCGTCCTCTTCCAGGTAGGATATTCCCTAATAGAATACCTTAGTACTATAATTATAAAAGAGGTACTACTAAATATAAAGATAAGATAAGTAATTTAAAGTCTTAGATGACGTTTATTCTACCTTCTTAATATTTTTTATTACTTTCTTTTACTCCGATAAATTAGATAGTACTAAAATATTCGTTAAAATATAATAATATACATAGGAACCCTATAACACTTATAGGAAGTAGCTATATTAGGGCTACTATATTTCTTACCTGTCTGGATATAGCTTAAACACTTATTTGAACCTTCTATTATAATGTAATACCTCTAGAGCCTTATATTCTAGTAAGGTTAATATAGTATATTAACTTTAAATCTAGACCGTTCAATTCTTAGTATAAAGATAAGGTACTCCTGCTTCAGGTTATAGGAACTGTAATATATAGAGTTAGATATAGCGACGGTAAGGAAAAGGAACGTTAGGGAAGGAAGAAAACGTATAGTAGGAAAAGGATATTAGTACTGGAGATATAGTTGATAAGAATACCCTAGATCTTTTAGGTCGAAAGATAAAGAGGGGGGGTATTATATTACAAACCAACTATATAAGGTAAGCCAGGTAAGGCTTAGCTAGGATAATATAACTAATAAGGAAGAAGTAAGATTGGGAGAGCTATATAAGATTTAGCCTAAGACGATTTAGTAGTACCAGGTAGCTAGTAAGTATAAGCGATTATAATAGACCTGGGTAGCTAGGCTACTATAGGCTACTATAGGATCAGGTAGTTTATAGTAGCTGGGCGAGCAGCAGTAAGCCGGCTATCCTAGATAGTATATAGTTACTCGTTCTAGAGGACTCTAGGAGTTCTCTAGTAAGTAATACAACTTGTTTATTGCTACTTATACTCCGCTGTGAACATTGAGACCAGATCACTATCTTGTTGTAAACCCTTTGGCTTTACCGGATTACAACCCTTAAGTCATACCTTCAGCAAACCCTTTCAGAGTGTGGTTGAGCGACGATCCGTCATATATAGCCTTCTTTACCTTTACTACTAAAAGTAATATCCAGAGTAGCTTTATAAATATAAGCCTTATTCTATATAATTTAGAGAAGGTACTTTCTAAGCTAGATATTAAGCTTTCTATATCAATACTACTAACCTTATAGCCTAGTACTATAGGTCTTCCAGATACCCGATAACCTTTAAGAAGCTGCTTTACAGTTAATATTTATCAAGACTTATATTACTAACTATTAAAATAGCTCCCTAACCTTAATATTAGCTACTATAGACCAGCTTACTAAGGGTATAATAGCTATAATATATAAGTTGGCTCTTCTATGCTCCAAAGTCTCTTCGCTCTTTAAAAGAATATACATATAGCTTAGAGGATCGCTTGCGGTGTAAGATGTAAAGGATCTACTAGACCAGAAGGCCGTGGTTGGGGAGGTGGCGCAAGAAAAGGAGCTAGATAGTAGTGTAGGGGGGGCTTGTATAAAGGTTCGGTGCTATGGTGTATACAGCAAGCCTGGTCATAATACGCGTATATGTCAAGAGGCTATAGAAGCCTCTGATTCAGCTATTTCCAATGTAATTGTAGTTGGTTCCTAGTATTGTTGTGCTGTAATAGAGGATAGTGTTTGTAGAGTGGTGGAGAGTGTTCGGCTCGCTTATATGTTCGGCTCGCTTATAAGGTACATTATTTCCTTTTATCTCTTTTAAATCTCAACTATCTATTATCATAAACTTTATTTCATTAATATCCTCTTTTTAAAAATATTATTCTAATTGCCTTTTTAAGCTTTTTTATTAACTATTTGACCACCTTTTATAAACCTTTAACCCTTTTGATTTAGATTTAAAACCCTTATAGTCTATAATCCTTTAAGTCTATTATCTTCAACATATAAATTATTTTAACCTTTATTTAATTCTTATTTATTATGTTTTAATTCTATTTCTTTAACTAAGTCTTCTATAAAATGGGCTTTTTTAAATAATCTTTAATATTTATGAATAGTCGTTAAACCTTTCCTTAATTTCCAGGTTTAAGTCATCTTCAGGTTAATTAATATCTAAAGGTAATCTATTATTAAAGTCTTTCTTTATTACTACTTTTATAAGCCTTTAAATATAGTACCTTTTAATATATTATTAACTTCATATATATCTTTTAAATTACTCCTATAGTAGATAATAATAAAGTTAAAATCCCTTATGAAGATTGTTTAATATATTAAAGTCAATTACCTTTATAAAGCTTAAAAGATCTTTTTATCTTTTTTAAAACTATATATTAACTGTACCATTAATCTTTTACTTCTTATTTTTGAAAACTATATTTTATTGATCTTTTTCTCTATCTCATATTCCTATTATCTGATATCAAATCTTTTCTACATAAATATAACTAACTATTTAATTATTAAGTTTATAAATTAAATAATATTTTAAGCTCTATAAGTAATATATTAGCCTAGTTTATTAACTAATCTATAGGTCTTATATTACTATCAAGTTATATTAGGCCTTTTTTAATAATACCTTTAAACCTTCTTTATTCCCTTTCGTATTCTATAATAAAAATCTAACCTTTATTAAAGTCTTTAGTTATATCTTTACTCAATTAAGCCTTTAATACCCTTTAATTAAATAGTTAAAGTATCTAGATTAATTAAATAAACTGAATAAGTTAAATAAAACACGCTACTTTTAGCTTTAATATTATAAAGGCTAGGTGTAGTTAGCTCCAAGATAAATCCTTTACTACTACTATAAACCTTAAAGGTTAGCTTTAACCCTTTAACATCTATTTTTATCCTTTTATTATAGTAGTTATTTAAAAGTAAATAATAGTTTAATAGACCTCATTTAAGCTAGTTTAAATACTTTAAACTAATACTAATGAATTTCCTTTATTCCTCTTTAGCCTTAACCTTTTTAAAATATTCTTTTATCTAAGGTACTTAATCTCAATAAGTAGAATACAGGTCTTTTCCAACTCTCTTGCCTTCGCTATAAGTCTTTAATGTTTAAGCATCTTATAAAAATTAAATTATAGGCTTTTATTATTATAATTTGTGGGCCTTCACTTTAATTATTTTGAAGGTCCTTCATTATATCCGTCGGTTTTCCTTCCAACTTATTTGATCATGTGTCACGGGCTGGGCCGCGGAAGGCGGCCCGTAGCACATGCAGGTGGGGCGCGGGACGCACTGCCAGCCAATCACCTACGCAACCAATCAGGAGAGGCTCGACGGGATCTCTTTGAGATCCATGAGAGCCAACACCAGGATCAATAAAGAAAGGCTGAGAGCTAACAGGCTCGACGGGATCTCAGTGAGAGCCACGAGATCCGGGTACGAAGGAACAAAGAAGTTGTTGAAGTATATAGATAGCTAGCTAGTCATCTATAGTGCCTCTATCCTCTCTCCTTCTAGGGGGCACCAGTACTACCAAGTCCTTCTACTGCCTCCTGCCCTTGTTAAGGTAGGTCAGCTCGCTACAAGAGTATATAAGGTCATTCTTTTCTTATACGTTCTTATGTTCTAATATCCCCTTCCCGTTAGTATATATATATGGGGTCTCTATGGGTCTGGCTCTACACCTGGACTGGGCTTGGAGCAGACTCAGATGGGGACTGCGGTGCCTTAGATGGGCGACGAACCTTCCGGCAGAGCCGATCTCGGAATAGGGCCAACCTGGCCACGCTCCCTGGAGGCCATCGGCTATGATCTATTACCAATGCCTGTAGCCAAGGCCTTCGTGTTACCATCATCCGAGGCCTGAGTCCTTGACAACCTTGATAACTATATTTTATAGCCACTTGTTCCCGGGGCTCTACAGATTCCATACTAAGGAGGTAATATGTAACTTATTTGTACTACAAATGCTGAGGCGAGCCACCTTGCGGGTTCCTCTAGCTCTAGTACCAATACTGCCAAACTCAGCAATTAATATAAACATTCCGAACTGTACCTCGCACTCTCTGGGACACGCTTCTACCACGTCACAGTGGTCCCTTCAACTTCATCCAACATTCGCCGGGTTGAGTTCACAGGGGCCACAATCACCCATGGGAGGAGGCATCTAGACCTTCGTGTTGTTGAACCCCAAATTGCCGGCTCCGCCTTCCTGATATATACTCGATTCCACGCTTGTCTGTGGTTGCCCTAAGACCATCCCGGTCGTGCACGCTACATGCAGGGAGTAGGCCGCTGTGGCGGCAGCTGGGCTTTGTGCACTCATAGAAGTGAGCTGCAGCATAGCTCGCGCGACAAGGTCGTGGGCTTGAGGAGTCATGGTGCTGGCTCCCGTCCCCGCGGTTCCGAGTCCCAACCCCATGCCCAGCCCGGGCTCGAACGTACATCCATGAGATCCACGAGAGCAATCGCTTTCTGGCGATGTGGCTGCGTGTGTACTTGCGTGGGTGGTGGCGCTGGTAGGGACAGTGGCGGGTAGGTCGCCGGAGCTGGGCTGCCGGGATGACTTGCCGTGCGAGAAGGCTGTTGGCGACGTTGGAAGAGCTGAAGGACGTCGCGGTTGAGATTCTCGGAGAGCGAGTCTGGGTGTCTGCATGGTCAAGGCGGTCCTCGGGGACACCAAGCCGGAACCCGAAGAGGACGACGGACCTTCCGACTTGATATAATCCCCAGAGGGGCCAGCCATGGGCGTGTATGACGGGTCATACGCTGGGTCCGGGAACCCGTTTTCGAGTGTGGTCCTACCCAAGGGCTGCAAGCTCTGATTCACGTCCAGCGTCGGCCCCGCCAAGGTCAATTGGTGGCGGGCAGCGACTAAAATCATGCCGGGAAGAAATGGCGGGAGGTACGCTGAAGGATAGTGGGTTTGGTAAGCGTCGGCGAGTGATATAATAGCGGCAGAGGCCCTTTGGCTGACCACATCTGGTGTTGTGTCCCCCGTGAGACTAGCAGGCAGACTCCCATCAAGACCGGCCAGGCTAGTGGCAAAGGGCCTGAGCAAGGCGAGTAGGCAGAAGTTGTACCAGATTCTACCGTCGTGGGTGGACAACGTTAGCTTTTCTCATCGGCCAAGTGAGCGTGTTGGCTGAGAGGAGGTATGTATGGCCGGCCTACTGACTGTGCAAAAAGGGCATCTGGCCCAAGATCTGGATTCAATACGGGCGACTCAGCAACCTGCCGATGACATTCAGTGCATTTACTGAACGCGTTCCCAAGGTCCTCGGTTGTCATCGCCCTAGACTGGTTGTAGGACGAGAATGTATGGGCTGCCTCGGTGACCTCGAAGAGAAACCGGGCTGGCTGTGGGCAGTGGCGTAGCTGAGCGAAGAAATCAACTTGCAGAGAAATCCCTGGTAGATTGGTGAGATGGTTACCTTATGTGCTACGAAGGTGACGGGAAATAAAAAAGCTGTAGAAAATCAGGGAAGAGGGGGTGGGGGTTAACAGACCTCTCTCGAGACGCGCCTCCGGGGTATCGTCCTCAGCGAATTCGCATTCTGGGTGCATCCTCATAAACAAGGGCCCCGTCCGGGGTTCGAGATCCCCGCTTAGGAGCCTCAGCATGCTACAAGCTGGTGGTTAACACTTGCGGACAGTGTATCTGGTACTTGAAAATCATGTCGAGTACCACGGGGCATACACACCGGATCAAGGAGAAGCCCCCACAATAAGCCAAAGCTCTCAGCAGCTTGAAATCACCATCACCGTCGGGGCCAGGACGCCATGTCTGCGGTGGATGCTGTTGTTGTGTTTGCAAGAGTAAATGAATGCATGCTCGGAGGGACTCATGAGCAAGCTGGCTGGCTGCCTCCTCGTTGCCCTGGGCTATTTCAATAATGGATAGAACTCCTAGCGCCTGGACACTAGGAATGTTGATGTGGTCACGGTCTAGTGCCAGAAGCCTTTTTGCTTCACCGACAAAGGCGTCCCCAAAGCCAGCGCTAGCAGCCGCCTGAAACGGGGCCGTAGAATCCCGGCAGGCCGCCCCAAGGATTGCATTTACAAGAGCCTCAGAGCAGTACTGCTGGTTCTTTTCCCGAAAGGCCCGCAGGAAGTGAGGTCCGGATATGATCGAGAGATACGGGAGAGAGCTGGCAAAGAACCGAGCGAACAACCCCTGGACGAGACCTGTGTCGGCGGCGACCTCGGTCCAGGTATGAGGGATAGGATCTATCGGGGCCTCCAGTGGTGGGATATAATGGGGTGTTGGCGGAAGGGGATCAATGAGGTGGGCATCGGCGTATGTGATGGCCGGTAAAAATATGGACGCCGGAGGGTCAAAGGAAAATCGTCTAGACGGAGGAAGCCCGTGGGCGGAGGCCAAAGGAAGAAGGCCCGGTTCCAGGCAGGGGCCAGGAGGTAACGGAACTCCGGGTACGGGGAACCAGCTGGCGTCGGTGTTGTTTGCGGCCACCGGTGGATTGGCCGTGTTAATAGTGCCATTTTGGACATAGGCATCGCCGGTCTCCCGACTCCTGGCCGGGGCCGGTATCGACGACTGGGCGAGAATCCACTGGGCGATATCTCCGGGTGGCTCTCCTCGGCTCATCCTGTCTAGTGTCCTGTCCCACTTGACCGGGTCACTGTTTACTAGAGCCCGGAGCACGGCCTGGCTCTGTCGTTGCTCACCCCGTAGCCTCTCGATCTCGGACCTTAGATGGTCTTTCGTTCTCCATTTCTTATCCTCGTACGAGCATTTCTCCCCTTTGGACTTACATCTCTGACAGGGGACCTGGCCGTCGCACTACTCATGTGGGGTGATCGTCAGCTAGGATGGGGAGAGAAAGACAACTAGGGAAGGGTGGAATGGGCAAGGGAGGGCTAGTGGCCAGGTGAGAATAGTATTATCCTTTCTACCTTGGTTCTCTTCCTGCGGCACACCAAACATGCGTTCGGGGTGAGCTGTTGTCTCGGCATTACCGGACTCATCATAGAATCGAGAGCGAGGTTGTGGGCATAATCAATCATAACACAACAAAGCTCTAGGTAGAAAGTCGGGTTTGACGCACTGGGGGAGGAGGAAAGGGGGTTGGACGCAGTTATAAGCGCCGTTTGTAGCTTTGTCGATGTTTTGACCTACAATACATACCTGCCGGTTCCATTTCCTGGTTTGAAAACGCACTCACTTGGCTGCATACACCTACGCCCCAACCCCACGAAATGGCTCTTGAAGATAAGATGAAGGATGGGAAAGCCAAGGCGATCCTGGAGCAAGAACCTGATAGAAACTGCGAGCACCGGGCCATGGGTTCTTGGTACCCCCCCCCTCCCTCTCAATCAGGTACAACCTTGGGATAGGGGGGTAATGGCAGCGGATCCGGCATGTGATAGATTGTCACCATTGATTCACTTCGTAGTGCGAGCGAATACGAAGCTGGAACAAGCTTGATGCCGACACCGCCATACGCACAATGGTTAACTGGCGTCGTAAACCTTGATCTTGAATGGCCACACGCACAGTGTTCTAGTCCGGAACAATCTTGTTTACCGAGGAAGATTGGACGACGCTGGAAACAAATCGGGGGCAACAGTTCGCCGTTCATGCGCACAAACGTAGTAGGTGAGCGGTGACAAAAAGGGGCGCCCCTGAAATACCATAACTACATACCAAACATCACTATGTCACCATAACTGGTAGGGTCTAGTCGCAGCGGGGCAACCACGGCATCGCAAGGTAGCGCCGGATGGCGAGATGTTGACACTATCCAAGTCTCAAGGTGTCTTGGAATGCTCGGACACGACGTGGACGGTCAAACGGGGCAATGGCTGAATTGGTATCGGGAATCTTCGCTGGCTATGTCGGTTACTCGCCGTCGCTTCCCGTCGCCGCCTTGATTGAAAAGGGGCCTTAGCTTGTATTTGCGTCATCTCGTGGTTAAACGAGAACGGTCGGGCGGCTCGAGCACCGATGACAGGACTACTGAAACAAGGTAGTAGCATGGAGCGGGTTGTAAGATAACGGGCTTCAGAAACCGGGACAGTGCGGAATAAGAAACCAGTGGCGGGTAGTGTTTATTATCTGGTTGCCTTGATGACATATGATTCTACTGTGCAAAACCGAGAATTGAGATACTTCGAATATGAGCGAAACACGATTATCGTAGCTGAAAAAAATCGTCTACAGGGAGAGAAAAGACGAGGACTTAGCGGATTTCAACATTTATGGAATTGTTCCCAGTCGTCAGGAATCGAAACGGTTCGACAAGGGTCCAATACGACGCCGTATGGGGTCTAAGCGTGCCTGGTAGTCAGCGACTCAACTTCGAGAAGTTCATCATGGCTTTCACGTGATCTGACCCACTATTTATTTTGTCTTTGCCTTTTTCCTCAACGACGGCTAGGAATCGAGTCACGCGTCACTGGTTACTTATGCGGCTTCGTTAAACCATCAATTGAGCCCTGTGTCTTTCTACCATGCAGCCGACAAGGTGCTTGCTAAAGCGGTCTATCTGGAAAGGTATGTGCCCCTCCCGATTTTCGACTGCACCAGTAACTGAACAACTGTCTCGCGACCACCCCTCCCCCTTCGCCCCTCCCACACTATCCGAGCTTCATTCGCTGACTTGATCCCTCCTCACCAGGGCCGCACATCGTTCCGTAAGAATCAACCCCCAATACACCGTCCGAAAACTCTTACAGCCGCTGCTCTACCAATTTCCTGCGCTCGCGAGATCCAACCGCTGCCCCGCCAAACCGTCGTTTGCTCGTCCGACCGTCAACAGTGCTCTGACAGATTATCCTTGTATAGACTGCCCATCGTACGCCCCGAGCCTGGGAAGTGGGTTCCTCCCATCAGGACCCAGGCTAGGTCAGCAACGATCTTGCCCAACTTTGTCGGCCTCAAATTCGAAGTGCACAACGGCAAGGTCTACCATGAAGTGACGATTACCGAGGAGATGGTGGGCCACAAGCTCGGCGAGTTCTCGCAGTATGTTGTCCCACGCTCCTCACGCCCGCCCCCTGGTCCCCTTCCCGGCAAGATGCCCTCAGATTCCATGGAACAAAACGTCTGACAACTTCTTTGCAGGACCCGAAAGCCGTTCATATGGAACAAGAAATAAGGAGGCAGCGTAGTAGCGCGAATTAGAATATACCACTCCGCTCGCGGGGCGCTGCGAGAAAAGAGTTAACGCTGTTTCGGCCGGGATGTCTAACAGTGGTAGAAACAAAACCACAATATGTTTAGGCGTACGAATAAGGCAGCAAGCAGGACAGGGGCCGATGGTCGCTAAGAACCACCCATGACACACCATAGCATCCTGGGATGAATCGAGCAAGAGGGAGTGTGTGTGCGGCGAAAGGGACCTGATGGATTGGGATCCGCAGGCGCCGGGATAAAATACAAATTTCAGTACCATCCGTTTATGATATAATAATACCACGCCAACTTGTTGGCGTTGATGCGGCCGTCATATCTGAGCCGAACCGAAACGCCGAAACGCCTCCTGACCCCCTAGCGCCGTTATCCGCAACGACAAGGAAAGTAAAAACCCCGATGCTGAGCTAGGGCCACCGGTAACAAACCGTCGATAACACTCTCACCCTCTCAGCGGTAAAATTCGCTCCGCTTCACATTCACCCCAAACTCTCCCACGGCCATCCCCAAATCCTCCATCGTCAACACGGTCCGATTTTGACTGCCCCCCTGTCCACCACCACCATACCCGGGCCGTTGAATACCGAGCGGACCGCCTCGCCCCTGATCTTTGTTACCGCCAGGCTGGTTGCCCTGTTGGCCGGGGATTGGAAACCCGGCTGCCGCGCCGAGGTTACCCATCGGGTTGTTCGCGTTGGTGTTGCTGGCACGGATGCGGCTGTATTGATACGCGTCGGCCGCGATGTCGGCGATGAACTTTTGCGCCGCAAGGGCGAGGAGGCGCGCGAGGCGCTGGTCGGTCTGCGGCGGCGGAGGGAGGCCAGCGCGCGTCATGTAGTAGTTGGTGACGGCGTCGGGGATCTGTTCAAGATTGTGTTAGCGATGTCCATCGATTTGTTGTCTCTGCTTCGCTCCTCTGCGTAAAAGTCGATGCGTACAATCGGCGCGTAATCGTCTATCTTGTTCAAGAAATCCTTCAGCGAAGCATCTTTCCGTGTCGGCAATTTCAACTCTGGGGCTGGTGGCGCCGCGGCGATATCTGTATCGGCGGTCGTTCCTGTCGTCTCAACGGCCTCGCTCGGTTGAGTGGCGCTTGGGTTGGATGCGGCCGGGCCGCTAGTTTGGTCGGTGTGCTCTGTTGCTGCATTGGTCGCCATGATGGTTAATGGGGATTGTGTGGTGTATTTGACTAGAATAAAACGAGGATGATGGCTTGGAGTTAGAGGCGTGAGGTTTGAGGTGGAGCGACCAGCCGACGACGAAAAGACGTCACGTGATCGTATTGTTTGGTGGTGGAAGAACTTTGAGCGCCCAAAGATGCTCGGCACTTTGGGGAATAATTGGGGTGGAGGGAAAGGTAAACGATTGTTTAATTGGTTTCCGGTTACTAGAGAGGTGGAAATTAAAACTGGTACTACTTTTTGTTCAAAAGGGTAATGGGGACTGCAACAGGTAGCCGTTTGGAAGGTAATGGGTCACTTCAATACTCGAAATACTACCTTACACAGTATTCACAGAGAGAGACAATGGAGCATCGGAGCTGCAGCCGCTACGTCTTGCTTTCATGCCCTGAGGCTCAAGTTGCGAATGGAAATCCCGGAGTGCTTGATCACTATATGAACCTTTACCTCATCCCTTTCTCTGCCCCACTCCCGCTCACCCTATTTCGCTTTGCCATAAGCCGACCCTCTTTCCTCTAACGTCTCCTAGCGCGTGTGGATGGCATTGATTCAAAGGCGTCGTCCTCTGAAATCTCATCGTCGCTAATCTCAATAGCCTTCTGCGCCTTGTTCTTTTGGGACTGTGAGAAATTGATTGTCGTTTGTCGTGTTCTGCTAGCCGCAGCTCGGCTTCGGGTTGGTCGAGTGGGTGCTGCTGTCTTTGCGGGTGGTTCTAGTTCCACATCATCATCTTCCATGATCACATCTTCTGCCTCCTCCTCCTCCTCGTCTTCATCACTATCTTGGAACGGGTTGGCCTTCTTCCGCCCCCGAGCTGGGGCCTTTCTTGTAGCGGCCGCCTTCTTGGCTGGAGGTGCCTTTTTGGGAGGTTTTGTCGCCTTAGTAGCTGCAACCCTTTTAGCTGGTGCCTTCTTCTGCGCCGGGGGCTCTTCAATAGGTAGTTCGTCTTCATCCTCTTCGCTAAACGCAGGGTTGTCCGTCGGCCGTCCCCGGCCCCGCCCTCGTCCAGACAAGGCTGGCGGCTCTGGAGACGCTGGAACTTCTTCAATGGCACCCGGTTGAGCGGTCCAGTGGCCATCCAAGTCAGAGTCCCAACCATCTGGCTTTTCCTTGAATCGCTTCTTGCGCTGGGCTTGCTTTTGTTGCCCCGACACAAAACTTTTCTCCATGACTTTGCGGAAATCGTCGATATGAGCATCTAGTCCCTCGGTGATCTTGTCGTCATCAAGCTGGAGCAACCCTTTGACCTGGGAGGAGAGCGAGTCTATGACAAACATCTCAACTGCATGCTTGTCGTCCTTACTGACGAACTGATTGACAGCGTCCCCAAACGGCGCTTGGGGGAGGATTTTGAGCGACTGCTGCGCAAAGAACTCCTGCACCAGCGTATCGACTTTGACCGTGTCGACCGATTCAAGACCCTCAGTAACGCCTGCTGGGAGACCGCTGGAATCTTTTGTTTTCCCTATGAGACAAACGTGTCAGAAAGCATGGATGAGGGTAGATTAAGTATAGGAGACCAAGCACAGGAGACTAAACACAGAAGGGACGAGCACTTACTTGAGGCGCCCACCTTTTTCCGGTAGAAGTACACCACATCGTTTTGGTTGGCGACTTTCCCCGCAAACCTGTTGGAAAAACGTTGCGGATTTTCCACCTCAAATCTGGAGCCCTCGGGGGCGGTATATTCTACTTTCAGTCGTATCAGTGGTAGCGGTGGCCCGCCATCCTCGCTCGGGTCGACGAGCGTCTCCCCTTGGCCGTGTATGGACTGCCACTTCGCAGTAGCTTCCTGTATCATCTCTTCAACAATCGACATGAGTCGCTTCGTGATGTCTTGGCGGTTATCCTGCTTCCTTTCTAGCCCCTTGAATCGTTTGTCATTGGCGAGGATGATTTCTTGGGTCACAAATGGTCGAACGGTCTTCAACGGGATCTTCTCTATTTCGAAGGATTTTCCAGTGACGCTGAGAATTGCGACTTGTTTCGTTACAGCCTCCCCAGGCACGAGAGAGGTAGCTACAGAGGAACCTGGTTGCATGACGTGGAATCCGGTCTCTGGATTTCGCTGGGGGTCGATGAGACATTCGTGCTCGTGACCCCAAATAACGAGATCAAGAAAGTCCGGCAACATGTTCTCGGGGAGATAGCTCGTTGGGGTGTGCGCGTAGTGGTTTTGGTGCACGGCCAGAAGGCTGAAGAAGTCGGTCTTTTGCTGGCCGGGTCGGTAGAATCTAACCTTGTTGTCTCGAAATGTGCGGTGCATACGTTCATCGCGCACATTACTGAGCCCATAGAGGGCTAACTTGGTGTTCCCCTTTTGCAGCAAAACCGGCTTGACTTGGATATTGTCCGCCTCGGGAACACGGCCAAAGTAATTGACCAGTCCTGCCACCTGAAGCAGGTCGAGCGAGCAATAGTGGCCGTCGCCACTTGGGTCATCATGATTCCCATGGATGGAGAAAACGGGTATAGAGATGTTGATATCAGGATCCTGGTAGTTGACGTGGGCGAAGGCGCCCTCGAAAACTTCGGCAGCGTCACTGAGGAACTCAAGTTCGCATGGCTTCATGCCAAGACAGTTTTTTCGGAGGGAGCGCATGACTTGGTACATCGATTTTCGCGAGGGCTTGTTGTCGTGGAAGAGATCTCCACCGAGAAGAACCATGTCGACGTCGTTGGTGCGGGCGAGCTGCATGATCTCGTCAAAGGTGCGCCAACTATCATCCTTACGGATTGGGTCTCGTTCTTCGAATCCGACATGGTTATCAGTTGATACCAGAATCCGGATTGTGTCGGGTGCTGGACTCCAAGTGTTAGAGACGCGCGAAGATCTTGACACGTGCGGAAGGGAGGATCAGGTGCCTACCCAAATCTTGCGGCATGTTGGAGTCTAAAAGTATCACGCCGGCGAGTGACCGGCCGATCAATGGACAGCGGAATCTGCCCGGAATCGGACTTTAATGCTTCCGGCGTCTTCGCGTTGAGGTCAGGCTAGATTAAAACGTTTCTGGCGTCAACGAAGTCGAAATGTGGAGTTGGAGCGCGCCAACCCGCGTCGCGAGGGAGGCACGCGGTCACATGCTGCACCGCCTGGTTTACAGTAGGTCTTGGGGCCTGGGGAGCCTTGTTAGGTACCTCGACCCACTGGAACAATGGGAAAGTGGGGCGGTTGCGACTCCCCACTGAAGTGTAGGTGCATGGAAGGACGAGACCTATGAACTCTTACAATCCACCTTCTGTAAAATTCGAGATTCCGGAAAGGGCCACCCATGATTTGTGTTCTCTGAGAGAGATGACATTTCGAAGGAAGGAATCTTATTCCCAGACATCTGGTTGTCCTCTCTTTGTCTATTTGCGGCCGGGCGGCTCACCATTCGACAACGCGTGCCCCTCAGCCGGGTTCAACAAATGCATGAAGTCTCAGAATATCGGGTGACGGGCAAAACTGGTCTTTTCTACAGATACGCCCAGATATCGAAACCATGAGTGACGAGGAGCTGATGAACGGCATTGAGGAGGGTGACGATGAGCTGCTTGGGGACGCAATAGCTGAGGATATGGGGGACGAGATGGGCGATGATGATGATCACGATCCTGATGCTGAGGAAGGGCTCGATGACGATCCATTTGACGCTAGCGAGTTGGGACTGAAGGAGATCAACAACCTCGCTCATTTTGGCGTCAGCAGTCATCGACCGGGAAACGGGGTGGCCGAGTTGCTCAACGAGGATCTAGAAAAATACTGGCAGTATGCTCACCTTCCCGCCCTTGGAAATCACCTCTTGCCGACTAACACGGACTACCTAGGTCAGACGGCCAACAACCTCATTTTCTGACCATTCATTTCCTTCGCCGCGTAGAGATTCGCGCTATTCGCTTCTACGTTGACTACAACCAGGACGAATCATACACTCCCACGCATATCGTTTTCTATGCTGGCACCGGTCACCATGACCTCATCCAGTTTGCCGAAGTCCCACTCACGAATCCAGTCGGTTGGCAGAATGTCCCGATCTCTGAGAGTGGTGGGGGTGCGGACGGCCATTCATTGTGTTGTTGGATGGTGCAGATGCATATCAAGGAGAACCACCAGAACGGCAAGGACACCCACATTCGCGGTATCAAGATCTACGCCCTGGACGACCACGTTCATGCGGGCGCTGCCCGAGAGCCGGCCCGTGGCCTGGGTATCAACGGCGACAGAGTCCGTGGGAGCGACACCCCTGGGTTTGACCGGGAGTCCCTTCAGGAATTGCTGGATGCTTTCGAGCGTCACCCTATTCCATCGCCTAACCATGATGCACCGCGAGAGTTGGTGATCCGATAGCCGCTCATCCCCCTCGTGCTCGTGAACTTGATAGATCTGCTGGGGGTGGAAGGCCGAAGGAGGTGTCATATTACGGGGAGTTTGGCTTTCGGCAATGGGGGTCAGGCACTTGAAGCTTGGAGTCCGGTATTGTAATTTTCTGGGCAGAGTCGAACGAACTTGCTGCTGCCGGGTTTCATCAAAGGGCGTTCGCGGCGTTACGTAGGGGTAATTATTGTGTTACGAGGCATCACATGTGCTTGTTGACTCAAATTATCCCACACAGCCCAGGCATTCGTCGTAAGGGACGGAGTCAAATGACTAGAGATTGAGGACCCTGTACTGGCCGGGAGGAATTCCATCGGTACCGTGCTTGTCTTCAGAACACCGCACCTCGTCCACTGACTCGGATTCTGGTTGCCGCCGCGGCTTGGGCCGTGGGACTTGGGATGCAAGATTCGATGATGCCATTGGGCGGGCGTGAGGCCTGCCCCGCCTCTCCCGCTTTCAAGGCTGCGTCAACGATGAACCGCCGCTTGAATGGTGGCTTAGCACCGATATTCAACAACGATACCCCTACACGAATGAGCGCATCGCCCCAGCTTCCCCAATGCTTCCTCGTTCCTCGTCACCCTGGCGCCCTGCCGCCGGCCTTTTCGCCCAGGCCCTGGACTCCTTCTTGAACTCCGCGTTCAAGCTACAAATCATAACTACTGTTGACCCCAGGGGAGAACACGTCGGCAACTCCAAGCATGGCTTGCCGGAGCCACTTCCACCTCGGACGCGAACACAAACCTTGCTTGTACTTGATTCTTCCTTCAATCCCCCAACCCGCGCCCACCTGCAGATAGCGGTGTCCGCGGTACGCGACCTGATGCAAACCCGAAGACGGAATCTAGATACCGTCCGGTTACTCCTACTACTATCTATCAACAACGCCGACAAGGCAGCCAAGCCGGCCGCCTTTGAAAAGCGTCTCGCCATGATGTGGGCATTTGCGGGAGATGTTCAGCGGGACTTGCTGTCAATGGGTGCTTCTAAGGATGGCCTAGATGAGGGAAGGCAAACGAACACGGCGGAGGCAGATGCGATAAGTGTGGATATCGGGCTTGCGACGGCGCCGTACTTTCATGAGAAGAGCGCGGCGCTCGTTGAGGGAGGTTTCTACAACGGAGAAAGCGCTGGGATTGATGAGGCGCCCGCCGAGACCGAGCAAGTTTTCCTAATGGGCTACGACACCCTCATTCGTATCCTCAATCCTAAGTATTATACCTCACCGCCGCCACTTACATCGGCTGGCGGAAGTGGCCTCCCGGCTCGCGGGGCAATCACTACAGCTATGCAGGACGCCCTTGACCCCTTCTTCACCCGCGCCAAGCTCCGCGTTACGATGCGGACAGGCGATGAATGGGGCGAGGTGGAGGAACAGAACGCGTATATCCATGACCTGTTGAACGGGGAGGGGCTAGAGAAAGCGGGTGGGAGGAGGGACTGGGGGGCCCGATTCGAGATAGTGGAGGGACGCAAAGTTGATGGGGATATTGTGAGCAGTACTTATGCTAGGTCGGCTTCAAGAGAGCGGGACTGGGATAAGTTGGACTTGATGGTCACCCCTGATGTAAGGTGGTTGATTGAACAGGAAGGCCTTTACAACGAGTGATGACGCTCGCTGATGGAGATACCGGAACATACGAGGTGATTATCCAAGGTGGAAGCTCGGAATAAATAGGCTCCTCCAATTCAAATACCAGATTATCCCTAGCTAGGTACAACTCGTGAACGGGAGCGTGGAGCAGTTTGAACCCAAGTTCGAGCGTTGACGAGGTGATGAGGGGGTTGTCGAACCGAGAGGCCAAAGGATAGAATAGTTGTAGTCCACTTTTACAGAAAGAAGGTGAGCCCGATATAACTTCATACACCAGGTGGCTGCACCATGGCCCTCTTCCTTCTAACCGCTACCAGGCAGCCAGGCCCACGCTCACATGTACTGTGACGATGGGAGTGGTGGGTGCATATTGAAGATTAAAATTTTGGCGGTCTCGAACGGCAGAATATTTCTTCCCGAGATGCAAGTGGGGCTTGCAGATTTGACACCGTGCACAGACCACTCAACGCGGGTTATAAATTTGGTGCTCTCCTCCCACCATTTCCATTCTCTTTCTCTTTTTTTTCTTCATGTCGACAATACTTCAGAGAATCATTTCTATAGTATTCGTCCTCTTTTGTGTTCCCTAAAGGAGCCACAGATCCAACCCGGGTTGATGAATGATATCCTCGGTACCCTACAGTGAGGTCCCTTATTTACTCTCGACCTGCCTGCGAAGGCGGCGGCCGTGGCTTCGGCTACGGCTGTATAGAGAGTGGCGATGATCTGTACCCCGGCTTTCTTGGGGTCTTGCCTTCGGGCGCCCAGGCGGGGTGGGTATCGATGGAAGTCTGACCGGTCGTTCTCTTTTCTTTTCAATGCGATCTCGGGCTCTAGTCTCGTGACGTGAGGAAGAGCAGGAGTGAAGCTGTGTTTGGGCTTGCCATGTGCCGACGCCCGATGTTGGGTGTTGGCAGTTGACCCCGTGGTATTCGGTGGGAATCATGAGTTCAACCCAGGGTGAATCATAATTTCTGGTCCATTGCAGCTGTTGAAATTTTGTCACGAGTTCGACCCGTCATCACGTTGCACGGGCCGCCGCTTGTCGTCTGCAGGGCGCAACCTTAATTTGACTACCAAGGCGGAATGATCTCGAAGCTCAACGGGACTCGGTAAATGGCGACCGAGGACGTGGTTTGTTTCCTCATGTGCAGACGAGTTTGGTAACTTCACGTTTGATGCCAAAAATACTGGTTTGCAAACATCATTTCGGCCGTCATGATCATGACGACTGGACCGGCGGAGGATCAACGTCACAGTAAAGAATGGTTACAGGCCAAAGTCAGGAAACACAGATGGCTCAGGGACACAGCAGGTTTTGATGAAATCAGACATATCTCATATTATAATCAACGCCATCTTCGTTTGCTAATCATCGTGATAACCGGGCTAAACTAGAAAACGCCCAACTCCACAGCTGCAACAGGATTTGATAGTCAATATCCACAGTCTACTGCTTAGCCGAGATCATCATCTCCTCGTTGTCGGCAATGGGGGCCGGGCGGTTGACGCTCTTGTTGAGCTGGTTCTCGCCAACGACGTTGCGGGTCCCTTCAAGCTCAAGGTGATAGTCGGTGTCAGGTTGGTTTTTGCTCAGGGTATACTCCTCCTTGTCAATGTGGCGGAAGGTGAAGTAGAAGACGATGGTCAGGATACCGCCAGCGATGGCAGTACCGCCGAAGTCCCAAGTAAGGTAGGGATCAGTAATGACGGACGAGGTGGCCAAGCCAATGATATAAGCAACAGCCGTATTGAAAAGGTTGAGGGCGGACACGAGGCCACGCATATTGACGGGGGCGCGAGAGTACGCGATGCCGTACGCCGGGACGTTGATAAATAATTCCGAAATACCACCAACGGCGTAGGGGATAGCAATCCACCAAATGCTGATAGGCGCAACGCCAGTGCCGACCTTGCAATCGCTTGAGCCGTACTCACCGCAAGGTGATTGCTGGTAAGCGTAGGAGTTAAGCAACGTGTAACCGACGCCGCCAAGCGTGGACATGGCAAGGCCAGTGGTCATGCGGGCAACGGGTCCATAGTGAATGTTGGCCCTCCGCAGGGCGGGGTAAAGACCATAATTGAGGATAGGCGCGCAGGCGATGATACTGAGCGAGTTGAAGTTGGAAATAACGTCGTTGGGCACGCCGTCGGTCCGAAGCATGGTGGTCAGGAAGCTGGCTGCTGAACCGATGCCGTTGTCGTTCAGGTACTGGATGGGGAAGAAGCAGAAGATGCCGGTGGCTTGGAATGTGCGGCGGACGTCGTCAACGAAATCGTCATTCCACCGGGTGACAAAGTGGCCGCTAAGGCCAGCAGCCGCAATGTTGGAGGGCTTGGCAAGATCCCAAAAGCCGTGACGGCCGATGCGCTTGATACCGCCACGGCGGAAGATGATTCCAAGGACGCGGAAGACATTGGGGAGATCGCTCCCGCCAGGGGGGTGGAGGATGACTCGCTTGCGCAGGAACCACAAGAGGAACGGCAGGGGGAGGTAAAGGATGAGGGGAATGAGGAAGGCAAGCCACCACTATATAGGCCCATCGATTAGTATCCCTATGTCGCACAAAGGGGTCTTCCTTTTCCCGCGATGCGTAGTCCGAGAAAGGAGGACAGGAAGACTTACGCCGATATACTTCTCCGAGTAGGCAGTGGCGATTCCCATGAAACCGCCGATATTGATCGTCAGATAAAACCAGAGCATGACACGCTCGGTGGTGGACTCGGGATCCTCAATAACCCTCTCACCGGACTTGAGGGTGATCACCTTGGGAACAGTGGTGGTAACTTGATCCAGAAGCAGGGGTGAAACGTTGGGCTTAAACATGGCTGTCGGGGTTGGCTTGTCAGTTCGAATTCCGGTGTGTTTGAATCAATTTTGACGGCAACTTACCAGCGCCAACCGACAAGATGTAGACAGAGATGAAGTAGGGGATCTTGGCATTTCCGTTGGCGAGGAGATCTTTCGCACCAGCGGCGACCATGAGGACGTGGGCGATACCGAAAACACCAACACCCCAGCAAATCAACTTGAACCGACCAGTCTTCGCGTCTGCCATCCAACCAAACAGAAGAGGTAGGGCATAAGCAAGCATGCTAAACGACTGGCTCACGGCATTGGCGACAACAGTTCCCATGCCGAGAGCACCACCTGTAGCCTGGCTACCCACCGGGGGGGCACCCCAACCGTTCCCACCTTCTGGGAGCGGGCGGTTGACATAGTTGCTGATCAAGGGCTGCACGCCGTAGTACGAGGCACGCTCGCAGAACTCGACGATACAGATCATGTACGCAATGATGGGGATAGTGCCCGGCACACGGCGGAGGACAGCAAGCTCCTCCTCGGTCGGCTTGCCTTCGTAGTCATCCCCCATGATTGATGGGTCGAGGTAAGGCGCATGGCGATCTGTGGGGTGCTGCTTCTCCAAATCTTCTTTTCCGCCTGGGGAAGTGATGGAGCCTGCGCTCGACGAAGGCGGCTTCTCCGCTGTTCCAAGCAAACGCCGATCAGCAAACGTCAAGTCATCCGTCGTCTCAAGTTCTAAAGCCAAGTTTCCCACTCGGCGGGAGGACGGGACGACCCTCAAAGTCGCCACGGCAGAGCGGAAAATGCGCATTCAACATACCCATATTGTCAACCAGTCGGTTAAATCTGCGACGGGCAGCCTTGCTTTGTTGTGCTTGGGAGTGCAACAGATGCAAGAGCCCGACGGTGTCTCTCGGAGACTGGGGAACAGGCACTCGGCGACGCGAAGCGCTGATCTAGAGAAGAGACGGGGAGGAGGAACAGAGAGAGAGGGAACGGGAGCGAGTCAGTGCATCAAGCCGGAAGCCCTGGGTGATTATATGGGATGAAGGGGGGGGGACGGGGGATTTAATGCCCTCTGCAACAAGCGAGTGGGGGAGTGAGTGGGACGTTGGAAGTTCTGGATGGATGGTCGGCAGGCGGACCCCTGGGTAGGTGTGCTCCGACAAACTTCCATTTCCAATTGACACACAGTTCCCCTTTTGTTGGCCAAAAATGGCGTCTTTCCATGTGGAGTGGTGCATGGGTGCAATTGGAAGTGTGCGTTTACGGATACCAGGTGCGGTTTGCGTTGTCGTTCTGTTGCAGCGGCGGCGCGCTCTACCTGACTTTCTTGTGCTAGTGCCCGTTCCTGGGAGGTGCCATTGTGCCTTCCATCCTCGGCTTGATGGTTTGATGGGTGGCTGTTGCCCTGTTGGCCACACCCGAGGTAGCCAATGATGTGATACCATCCCGCATCAACGCAACCTCGTTGGTGCGCGAGTAAGGTCTTTCCCTTTAGTTATCAACCAAATCTGGGAGGCGGTGGCGCCAAGCTGCAACTGTCACTGTTCCCCGAACCCCGCCCACAATCCCTCGTGGTATCTCGCCGTTCCCCGTCTTCTTCTCCTTGTTTGGCTTGTTTGGGTTTCCGAAGGCCCTGGAGCGCCAAGTTTCCATGTGAGCCGAACGGGACATCCTTCCCTCCAATTCGCATCGGGCAGCGCGCCCGAGTTGTGCCGACCGTTCCGCTTCTTTCGTCCCCAATTGAGTAGGGCTAACTGAGGTCCCAGGCATTTCCAGGTTTGCTTGGCTCCGCCCTTATCGAGGAGGAACCGTCGTGGAACTTTCGTGCGTTCTCGTGTTCTCAACTCCCCGCCATCAGAATTGCCGTCTGCTTGCCCAACAATCAGCGAGTCGAAGTGTCAACGGACGGGGTTCCGCCCTCGGGCATCGGGTATGGGCGATAGGACATCCATCAATGGTGCGCGAACTGCGACGGACTTTGTCCGCTCTGCACTGCCGAGGCTGCGTCCACACATCCCTCACTATGTAGACTAGACCATGCGTCGACCATACATGGTATATCTCGCGAACTCAGCGCGCAACCGGTCACTCAGTTGCCTTTCAAGGCGCCTGCCGCATCGATTTCCCATTTCATCCTAGGTCTGTGCGGTTTACGCTGCCGCGGCTGGCATCGCATGGCATCGCATTTGGTGTCGCCGCCGTTTCCCGCTGCATCTGAACCTGAGTGGCCCTCGGTGAGTTGTTTGGGTCTCGATTCTTCGGGTCGCGCTCCGCTCCTTGCGTGAGCTCGGAAATTCCGGCGATTCGGGAGGGTGGGTGGCGGAAGCGTGCGCTGATTGATGTGTGGGGACCCGGCTTGCCGGCCAAATGATTGGAATCTCTGCGAGCTGGAATGATTCAAAACTTTGGAAGTCGATAGTTAATGTGGATCATGGGGATTCGGCAGGTTCCCAAATAGGAAGGTCGCAGCCATCCTCTGTTCCTCAGGCTTGAATTGCGCGATTGCTCTGAGTATTTTCCACTGGTTGGGGGTCATCGGGCACATCCCACACAGACATCAAACTTTTTCGCGAAGCAGTTTCTCGTTGGTTTTTTTTGGAGGTGAGATTTGGGTTTTAAAGTTGCAAAACACAACACATGCCAAGAACAAAAGGGCGCGGACAAGCCAACGGGTTGACGCCCAAGACGCCGAAGCACGGGAGGGAAAGGCTTGTTTGTGCGCTTTCTCTCTCCGCCAAGTTATGCCGCGACTTTGATAGTCTTGGCGCCTGCCTGATTAGGAAACTAACCTTCATCCCCATCATCTCCGGATTGGTTCAAGCGCCGGCGGCAGCTCGGGGAAAGCACGCGCCTACCTTCTGAAAGCACCTGCGTTCTCCGCGCCGGTCGATTCCTCGCCCCGCTGCCCGCACCCAAGGTTACTATCAAAACGCCATTTTTGCCACGTGAGTTTGGGCCAATGGTCTGCTTGACTTTCTCGCTCCATGAGTGAGACGAGGGACTTTTGGTGCGAGCAAGGGGCGAAAGGCATCGACGCTCCCAGAGATACTGAGGGGTCGCGGGCGTGTCGCAGCTTGGTAGGCAAACCTGTCAACTTGGTCGTCCCCTTTAGCTTTTCGGCCAGAGGAAGCCGATGTCACCCCCAGACCCGCTGGGCCGCCATTGGCCGCTAAACAGGGGTGTTAGCGCAATCATCCAGACAGCATCCCACGCCTGAACCGAGCCGACGAATCTCTCCGCACGTTGCATGTCGAAAGTGGCGCTATCCTTCGACACCACGTTGTGCCCCACAGCCAGTCCACGACGTTACTGTGAGTACTCACTAAATCGGAATTGTTTTTCGACACCTGCGGCAAGCCCCCCGCTTCAAACACCCGTCCTTGGGGTTCAGTGGCTCACCCAAGCTGCTGCTCGTCAAGCGAGCCGAGCATTCCCCGTTTGATACTCCATGCGTCCATGTGTCCATGTCTCCATGTGTAGCAGAGTGTGGGTTTAGGCACATCTCTCGTCGCAAAACCCCACAGCTTGTTGGGAATATGAGTCCCCTTTCTTTGTCTTTTTTCTCGTTATTGCTTGGGTGCCCTTCTTACGATGCCCCCTCGGCCCTCTGTATGTCCATGGCTGCCGGCGATTATGATATTCCATGACCAGAGAGCAGTTGTGGGCCTAACAAGATGCCCCGCGGCGCGCTCGAAAAAAAAGGGGCTTTCACGCAACTAACGCCGGATTATGTGAGTAGCAAGTAATGTGCTTTAATCAGCTAATTATATTATTGCAAATAGTTCAAGTCCCCTCACGCAAAGACAACCCTTATCGAGTGTCACCAGTGCTCGTCCTGTTGCACCGTCACCCACAAACCCCATACACCAAAGAAGATCATCAAACCCGGGTCCCGATGCCTGGTTCGCGCCTTTTCCCCCGTTACGTCGCCACGGCATTACTCCAGCGGCTTGTTGGCAAACCCAATGGCTGGCGGTGATGTACCGTTGAAGACGACGTACACAGCCCTCAATGCAGCAGTACCCCAGATGCTGCCAGCCTCGCCCATGGCGCTGCCATCTTGGAGCCCGCCGAAGCAGATCTGAGAGCCACTGTACACGTGGCCGTAGATCATGTATGCCGGGGGAATGGTGAACCGGGCGCTCTCAATCCCGAAGACGAAGGGCGGTAACGCTGCGTCACAAGGGAACACGTATCCTCCATATTCGGCGTCGGTTGTGGCGTTCTCGACCTGGCTATAGTATTCCGTGACGACCTGGGTCGGAAGGAACAGCAATGAGCCACCTGTGTCCGCAATACCCTTGATCTGGCTTTCGCTAAAGTCCCCCGTCCCGACGCCGTAGCCTGAGGAGGTGAAGTTCCAGAAGCCCTGGGTCGGGTCGACGGCCGTGTATGCGATTTCGCCCGTGTACTTGTCCTCGTCGATGAACCCGAAGTCGTACGTCCCGGCTATGACAAGGGGTAAAAACAGCGTTGTTAGTGTCTTGTAGGGCGACCACCCGCGGGAAGAACAAAAAAAACCGGACACGGCCGACAAACGATTGTCCGAGCATGCCCGCCTCCTATTCCGTCACGTACCTTTCCCGGCCTTCAAGTCGGCGGCGAAGACCGGTTCGTCTAGATTTGGTAGGGCCGAGTCAAAGAAGGTCAGTTGACGTTCGGGAGTAACGGTGTTGATCTCGCTAAATCCCAGGCCCAGGAGCCCATGGATATTCTTCTCATCGGTGATCGTGCCCGACACGTGCTCAGCAGCTTCTACCGCCTGGCCCTGCACCGTCAGCTCACCCACAGTGACGTAGTCGGTGTACACAACGCCCCGGGCGCCGGAGCCCTCAGCATACTCTATGCTGAATGTTTGGCCATCTAGCTGCTCGGATGTAGCCGATGCGTCGGGGGAATAGAATTGCCGCCCCTCCACCTCGGATGTTGGCTGGAGGCTCGAGAAGACCCAGAGGTCCGACGAGCCCGTGTCAAAGTCCAGATCAAGTGTCTGCGGTGGTGTGCCGATGGTGACGGGGGTTATATAAGCCTGGTCGTATTCGGGGTTGACCGGATTGGCGGGGGCGCTACCCGTGTCGCGCTTTGCGCCGGCGGAGGCGGCAGCGGCATTGAGCGAGTCCGTGTAGGCAACAGCGCGGAGGAGATGATCGGGAACCGGGGCGCCGTACTTGAGGTACGCCTGGTACACCGCGCGGGCGCCGTTCAAGCGGTAGTTGGGGCGGGAGACCTGTCGAAGCGTGGCCCTGCCGTTGAAGGGTTTCCCGCTGGCGCCCTGGTCGACCTGGGCCGTCCTGATTCTCGGAGGGAGTGCTGAAATCAGACCTAGGGTGCCGAGGGCGGTAACCAACGCAATATGAGAGACGGTCACCATGGTGACGGGGTTGAACCAGTGAAGGGATGGGAAGGCGAAAAGAGGGGAGAGGACGGGGTAATGGTTTCCTTCGTGGGTATTGGCATGGGTTTTAACTATCCATTTCATTCTTGGGCGCCCGCTGTCCCAGCTCCTCTCCGCCTAATCCCAGCCAAGCCCCTCTCCCGACGAAAAAAAAAAGGCACACCGGTACTATCTCTGGATCTAAGACATGTTTCAGAGGGCGGAAACTAATTGGTGTGATGCGCTACAGGGGAAGGGATTGGTCGGGAGGCCTATGTGCACATGTGGATAGAGATATGTCGGTACACCGATCTTTACCCAGAAAAGGGGTTGTCAGTCTTGCGAACCGATTGGAGCTTCTTGTTATATTCCATGATATAAACTTCATGTCGTTGCTATAAACACTCGTGAACTTCTCATCAACCAAGCACTCTACGTCACCAAAACAATAGAGGCTGAGGATGAGAATCGAGGATTACTATCTCCGCCTCGCTTAGCTGCTAGTAGCGCTGGTGATCGACACACAGGCGAGTTGACAGCCGCAGTGAGCCTGCCTATAGGTAGTTAGGTCATTCCACAAGTCAGCTCTTAACATCACAGTGTGGCGTTATCGACGTGGCGCGTCCTATTCCGATTCTGTGAGGTTCTGAGACAGGCTCCCTCTTGACCATACTCTGTCGTGTTGATGGATAATTGGGACGGGCCGGAGCAAGAGGGTTTCCTCGTGCTGGACGACAACTCCGCCTCGGGAGAGGTGAAAATGCCGAGGACAAGCACACCTGTAAGTTAGCGTTAGCCGTCATCCGTTCAGCAGTGGAGGTTTTGCCTTGTGGACGCAGAGACTCTCGTTTCGGTTTCACGGACAAACATTGCCGTACTTCACACGCTCTACTATAGGTCCAATGCTTCCGGTTTATCCATGGGAATGCGAAGCGGTAATATGATGGCTCAAACCGGAAGAGAGCGCACCTGTAGCCTCGAGGAAACAACCTCGAAACGACAAGCAGCGGTACCTAGCCAGAGTTGCATGACCCTTGAGCGAGGAAATTACCCCGTCGATGAGCGAATGATGTGCTGGCACGCCGCTCATCGGTTCGTGTTAGCAAGCACATACCCTTCCTTCCCATACACCAGTCAGCCTGGGCTCGAACGAGGAATACGATGCGATGTCCATAATATGTCTTTCCCAGGTGCGCCTCCAAACATCAACCGGGTACCTTGGCCGCCAAACATACAATGAACTTCAGATAACGAGCTTCAAGACACGTTGTCACCGCCCGCCTTCCCTCTCACAAACATAAATACAGACAGGCAGATCAACCCCCCTTCCTCTGCCCCAAAATTGTACATTGTCCGCCTCCAGAATGACCCATTATATGACCCATTATCTGGTACCTGCAGGTGGAGAAACCGCGCCTGGGTGCTCGCCGCGTAAGGATTGGCGGATTAGGATCCCTGCATATGGTTATCCCTCCTCTGGTGTTCTCGGGTGTACTAGACGATGAAGTCGAAAAGAAAAAGAAAAAGGGTAGATGAACAAGTAAAAACCAAAACTAAAACCTCCCTGAGGTATCATCTGCCTAACCATCATTATCCTCATCAACCCGTAAATCCACTGCTCATTGTTGCTAAACGGATACGTGATGGGGTGGTAACCACGTCAACTTCACCCAAGCGTCGTTCCATGGCCCGTGACATGCGGGGGGGAGCCGAGGTGCTAGTAGCCATGATGTTGACAACACCGGCCGCGCTGGGTGCGGGCTCATGATGTTGCTGGCCCCCATGTACTTCTCTCACTTTACTCTCACCCTCACTATTCTGGGCATAGGCGCGGCGGTATGCATGCGGGTACTATCGCGCAAACACCTTCACTACGCCATCGCCACCGCCACTCACAACCCAACGCCCGTCCTGGCTCCAGACAACAGTGCAGACGCCCTCGCCACGCATAACGCGGTGGCTGGTGATTTCCTGGGTGCAGGAGCGCTTCTCGAGGGACCAGAAGCGTAGCGAGGCGTCGTGGCCCGCGCTGACGAGCTCCCGGCCGTCGGGGCTGAGGGATAGGCTGGAGATGGAGGCGGGGTGGGCGACCATGTTGTACGTGCATTGGCCTAGCATAAGGAGATATCGTTAGTCGAGTGAGTTCGCGTTAAGTCACCCTTGGCTCAAAAAATACAGCAAAAAAGGGAGAAAAAAGGGGGAGACCTCCGGGAGGAAAACAAGACTTACCACTATTGGCGTCAAAGAACCGTACATAGCAGTCTTCGTGGCCTGAAATAATGACGCCCTCCACGCCGGACCCGGCCATAGCCCGTCCACCACCAGTCGGCCCACCGCCGGCTGTATCTTCCTCGCTCAGGCCTTGGTGCGGCTGATGATCGAGACCGACGGTGGTCGCGACGACGGCGTTGACGCTGGTTGAGATTGTGTTGTCATAGGTTTCCAAGCTGGCCATGGTACCAGTCTCTTCGCCCGAGCGGGTATCGTACACGATGATGGCGGCGTCGGCGTAGCTGACGACAAAGGTCTCGCCGTTCTGGCTGAGCGAGGTGATGCAGGTGGGGCTTGCCTTGGAGTTTTGGCGCGTTATGGTGTGGATTAGGGTGTGGTGGCACGGCGAGTTTGAGGCGGTCGTAGGCTGCGGGGAGTTGGGGAACGCAGATCCGGAGCTCATCGAGTTACCGCGTGTACGGCCGCCCGCAGGACGACGCCCGGCCACGGGTTGCGGCGAGGTGAGCTGCGGCGGCGAGCTGACTGCCCACACCTTGACGGTGCCATCAGCAGCGCCGGACACGAGTAGGATGCGGTCCGGTGTGCCGTAGCTGTTGGACTGGCCAAATATCGAGCCAAGGTTGGTAGGAAGGACGCAGAGCGCCCACACGGCGTCGGTGTGACCGTCGAGGGTCGCCTTGGGGTCAACCCTCCCGCGCTCCCAGACCCGGATGGTGGAGTCTTGTCCGCCTGAGAAGATCCAGCCGTCGCCTTGGGCGCGGCCGCCGGTCGAGAAGTTGGGCGACGGCGACCACGATGTCAGGGAGAGAACTGCTCCCGTATGGCCGCGGTGTGTGAAGTCGGCGACGACATCGAGGTCAGAGCCGCTCGCACCGGCGTGGCCGCCAGGATGCCGATCGGGAATGTGGAACCGTTTGATCGTCCCGTCATCCCCGGCCGTGCAGATCTCGGGCTCGCCAGGGCTACCGCCTCCCGAAAAGATGACCGTTCGGACCGTGTCGAGATGGCCGCGCAGGCCGAACTTGAGCTTAAAGTTGGAGCTTTCGGCCTTGGGCCCGAGGGAGTGGAGCGTCAACTCATGCTCGCCGCTCTTCTTGCGGGTCATCGAACTCGAACTTGAGCTCTTCCGCCGGTGAGCAAGTGGGGCGCGGTTCGGTGAGCGCGGAATGTTGTCAGCAGCGGGGAACACGTCGGTATCCGGGCGGTTGGACGAGGGCTGTTGGGGCTGGCTGCTAGGGCCCCCTCCCTCCGCAAAGTTGGCATCGTTGAAGTCCCAGCTGTCCGTCTCGGTCGCGCCTCGCTTATCAGCAGCTGTTTCTCCTTTGGCATCGGTCAGGTTAACATGATTCGCCACACTCGCCCTCTCCAAGTCCTCTTCTAGGCCCGGCCTCCTAGCCCCAGATTCCTGGACTGGCCATTCCGTGGCATTGCCGTATCCCGAAGGAGCATGTCCGACCCCGGCGTTTGACGTGCTGCGAACCATTGGCGCGGACTGGGGGTCAAGTGGTTTAGCAGCAAAGCTTGATGGCGGAGGAGGTGCAGGCGGTTGGCTGTTCGGAGCCGGAGCTGGGCGGGGTTGCGCGGGCAGAAACTCGCGGGGGTAGTTTTGACGCTGCTGCTGCTGCTGTTGAGGTTGTTGTTGCTGGTGTTGCTGCTGCTGTTGGTGTTGGTGTTGGTGCTGTTGCTGCTGCTGCTGCCTCAAGCCTTGGTGATAGGCCTGGTCCAGCAGTGGCTGGCCAAACGCGTCCCCCTCTCGAAGATCCTCAATCAACGGTAGTGGGGGGGACTCCCTCGGGGGCATCGGGTTCGCGGGTGTGATCATTAGGTAGGTAAATTCGGCCTGGCACTGATCGAGGAAGGATTTGAGCTCATTGCGAGAGGCTTCTTCGTCGGCGAGACCGGCCTCGAGCGAGCCGCTCTCCATCACGGGGGCGCTGGGTTTGTCCAACGATGCTGAACACCCACGGCAAACTGCTGTCAGTAAACGTGGGGGTTTGGAGTAGAGAAGTACAAGGACAGGATGAGAAAGGGGCGACTCACAGCGCAGCTTCTCCTCTAGCAACGCAGCACGATCCGGTTTAACCTCCCCCCCGGCAGCAGACGACAGCTTATTAGACTTGAGCAGCGCGGCCTGATCCTTGACCTTTTTCTCGAGTATTGTGACATATTTTTTGAGAGCCTTCTGGGTCGCGTCGGCCCTGCGGCCCTGGCCTTCGAGGTTGGCTATCCTGCTCTTCATCTCTTGCTTCTCGATCTCCCAGGCGTTGCGGTCGCGTTCGTGGCGGTGCCATTCGGTCTGTAGAAAGCGCATAACACCTGTACAGCGCACACGCGACATGTTAGCGACCACCCGAAGACGCGTTCCCTCTCCCCCCCACCATGCTATCATCTTCTCTGGGGCAGTGATAGTAACCAACCTTGGAGAGTGTACTCGGTAGTTGGCGGTTGATTGGCATTGTGGCCCATCATGCCGCCGGCCTCACCTAGGCCGCCTCCACCGTTTGTGCCCATGGTGTGGTTTCAAGCGTCGCGGGTTTCCCGAAGACACGCCGTGGCCATGGACAGGCCGACACGCGCGGCGATCGGGACGACAAAGCAACCGTGGTAACTGCGGTGGTGGTGGATCGTGAGGGTATGCTCGTTATGGTGGGGAACGGTAAGAAAAGGTCGTCCTGTTTCCGACCGGGGCGCGGCGGATGGAAACGCCCACGACAGCCCAGGTGATGTCCAAGTAGGTGGGTTGATGTGCTGAGGTGTACGAAGTACGTCGCCGATATTCGCTGGGGGGAACGGCCTCGACGGCGAAAGGATTCAAAACTGGCCTGACAGCGTTGGCGCGACGAAACTGACAATTGGTACAGGTACAGTACAGTCGGTTGGGGTTCGTGTTCACGTGTTGAGGGGTGGCTTGGGTCGTCTGGTCTAAGTTTTCTCTTTTTTTTTCCCCCCTCGAGCGGCAAAGGTCGCTGCACCTGTGCCTGGCCGGTGATGCTGGCCAAAATCGACAGTTCCGCCCTTGGCCCCAGCTAAGCTGCTGCTTGGACAGAGCCTGGCGGCTTCAACCACAGCTGGCCCCACACACTCGGTCCCGCACCGCTAGCGAATCAAAACCTGCGGTTAGCCGTGAGGCTGCAGGGCCATCTCATCCAGGAGCGACATGCGGGTTTTCAGGGGCTGGAGCTTCGTAGCAGGGGACGTGACCCCATCCATCTTACGAATCTAGGTACCTCTGAAGATTCTCAGGATCCAACTCAGTACATAGTAGCTAAACCAGCCCTGCGCCGGGAATCCGCTTGCTGTCCACAGCCAGAACAGAAATATGGGTTCCAATACGACAATGGGACCCCCCCAAGCTCCTTGCGACTTGATCGGCCCGGCTTTCTTGACCAAGACATAGGTGCTGCTAGCATCTTCAAGCCCTTAGGGCCAGGCCTCCGGTTAGGTACCAAGCAGATTACGCGACAAGTGTGTATGTTGTTAGTGGGTGTGTATATCTTATGATATCGGATAGCTCAAAATTCTAGCTCTTCGACCTCCATATTGCACGTCAGGCAGGTTTTGACTGTCATGCCATGCTCGTTCTCAACTGTTCGCCCCCATTCGTGAACATGTTTTCCAGCACCGCCAATAGCATCTCCAAACTTGGCCGCCTTCCCAGTCCCAGAACCCCCGCCTACCCCCCCAGAAATCCCCGACTTGGCATTGTTTCTTCGAAAGGCGTCCGTCCTCGTCTTGCGCTTCAGGTCGAGCAGCTTCTCCTTGAACTTGGCCTCTTTGCGGCGCTTCTTGTCGGCCTCACGCTTCTCAAACTCAGCATCCAATGCCTCAGGTGAGCCCCACTTGTGCTTGAAGGCATATTCCTCCACTTGGTACCTCAGAAATAGCATCATGTCGTGCCAGTGCGATTTGTGTGGGTTGGGCTTGGATATGTGCGGGAGCAGTTCGGGGTCTTTGAGTTCAGCTGTGGAAAACGATTAGCCATTTCGGGTCCAGACTGACGTTGTTTTGTGTCTTCTCTCCCTCCTCCCAAGCCTTCCCCCGGGGCGAACTTACGATCTGTCAAGAGGTAGTCCTCCTTACACTCCGTCTTGGTGAGAAGACTATACTTCTCCGGGTACTTTTCCTTGCAGGTGTTGCATACCACACAGCCAAACACCTCTTCCCACACAAAGTCAATCTCTACTGACCCACACTCGCGGCACCGCTTCCTTGTCTTTTCGTCGGCCAACACGCTCAGCGACGGCTCAAACGGACCAGACTTATTACGCTGCAGCTTCTTTATTAGCTGCATCCGCTCCCATTCTGCTGCCGTCATGTGCGCCGGCTTTTGCTCGGCGGCCCCGGGTGGTCCTTTCCCGCCAGTCGTAGGAACCGACATGCTCTTGTTCCATGGGTCATCCTCCGTGCTGAGAAAGCCGCCCTTCGTGTCCGTCATGGCGCTGAAGTTGTAGTCGACGTACTTGGTAAACTTGCGCGAGATCGGTCGTAGGTCGTCGGCAGCTCCAGCGCCTTGTCCTGGCCGCGGGGCGCTGGGCCCGGCGTTGGGGCCCGAACTGGGAGTTGCGCGCGCATCGCGGTTTGAGGCGGGAATCTCGGCTCGTGATATCGATGCGTACGGTCGCTTGGTTCCCCCGGCTGAGCCCGTCGATTGGGTATTGTCGTTTCCCGCTTGTTGCTCTGCTTCACGACGGTCGCGAAGGGCTTTGGCGCGAAGCCTGGACTCCTCCTGAAAGTAAAACATCAGTTAAGAAGCCTTGAAGCATAGTGTTGGCGGCGGACTCACTAAGCGACGGGTGACTTCGGGTGTTGGTGGAGATGGTGCTTGTTTCGATGCTGAAGGAGGGTGTGGCTTTGGCGGCGTTCTTGGGCGCTCCATTTTAGAGGTGGGGGGGAGAGGCAGGCTGGGGTTGCAGCGTGTCGCAAAGTAGGCAGGAAAACTTTCGAGACGTTATACTCGGGTGCAAAAGAATCCCAAGAGTGAGTATCGGTCGATGCGTGGCTGTATTTCGTTTGATGTTCAAGCAGATGGAAAGTGCCGGGTTTCTGGCGAGTCGAGGGATGACGCAGCGGCTGTGGTCCATCAACCCCCGGCAGGCAACAGAGGGCGAAAGTCTACATTGTACTTCGTCGGTTAGGTGGTTTTTTTTTAACCCTGCGCCTTTCCGCAATGCAGATTCGATAAAGTATCGGTGTGTCTTAGTTCCGAACAATCACAAAACCTAGGCTAGTATTGACACAACATAATAATAATCATTACGCATATAAAATTTGGGGAAAACTAACAAGAAAGTCAAGCCGTCTAGACACTTGATTACCCCATTACCGACGCCGCCGCACCGTGTCGTAACTTAACCCAGGATTGCACAGGACTCGTACACCACCGTGGAACATAAGGTATAACCCGCCAATATAGTTGAATTACTACCGCAGCCTGCTCCGCCTCCCTTCCCAGCTCTAACCATCTAACCCCCGCGTAACCCGAATTTCCAGTGGCAAGGTTATTATTTATTCCTCCTTGGCACCACCACGGCCGGAGCGCTCGGCAGCCTCAACAGCCTTCTTGTCAGCCTGGGCAGGACCGCTCTGGAGCCCGCTCATGAGGCCGGCGGCCTGCTTGAAGGGACGCTTGAGGTCGCCCGAAGCCGGCTGGCCCCAAATGTGGATCTTGGTCAGGTTGGACTCGAGGGCGCCCTTGAGTGGGATGATGCTCTGGATCAGCAGCGGGTTGGTGTACTTGAAGTAGATGTGCATGACGCCCATCATGAGCACACCCATACCCTGCGAACGCAGGAGGCCCTTGAGCTGGCCAATGTCGTAGGCGTGCACCGTCGTCGTCACGAGCTTGCCCTCCTCGCTGGAGCCCACGGGTGCCGGCTCGACGTACTTCAGCGTGGTCATGTCTGAGAGGAAAACGTTCGGTTAGCCGTTTTCCTTTGTTTTCCACTTCTGCTTTGCTTCGAGGGCAATAGTAGCTATAATATACGCCGTGGAATTAACGCACCCTTTTTCTTGTCGACAACCATCTTGATGTAGAGGTAAATGCTCAGGATGATCAGATTGCTGGCAATGTAGACGGCGCGGCAGATGTTGAGGACGTTCGGATCATCAAATGCAATGCGCTTGGAGACCTGCATCATCCCGAGGATGATGACGAGGTTCGTTCTACACCAAAGAGGTCCATATTAGTGTCTCTTCACACACATATTTTTCGTCGTTTCCCCGTTGCTCTCTTCGGCAGCGCGTCGCTGCGCGTCCCCTCCCACTGTGCCCAGAGGCTCACGTGTCCTCCCTAGCTACCCGGCAAACAGACGAGGGTTTCTCCTTACATTTGGGGGCTGAGGCCTGCCATTGTGACGGGTTGTGTATTCCCTAGAAGCGGTCGTGCGAAGTCAGGTTGTTGTTGGTGGTTTCGTTTGCAAGGTGTCGTGGGACGGGAGATAATGTCGCGAAGGCGTCGGTGAGATTTTCCTCCAAAATTTCAGGTTCGAAGCTCCATGCATTGGAACACTGTCAGTGGCTCCGGTTCGGGTCCAGCGCGGACTGCGTGGCCAATGCAGGCCTGGATTCCGGGCCCCCGGAGCGCCCCTGAAGGCCGGTGCTGCGGTTGTTCCGCGGCTGACCCCCTTGAGGAAGCCGCTAACTGGCTGTCAGTTCCAGTTAAAGACCCACCCAAGCGCGCGGCGCCAAAAAGGCCACGTTCCTTTTGGCGTTGCCATCGATTTCTTTTGCCATCCACCCCTTTCGGGGCCGGCCGTCCTCATCGTCGTCTCCCGGAAGCAAGACTCAGCCACATGCCAGTTCTTGGAGTTATTCAGTCATCCAACTACATTTGCATCACGACGACTTGGTCCTGGCCTCATTTTCCCTTAATGACAGCCCGCGTTTCTCGGACGGCCTGGGCAGTTAATTCAGGTCCGGAGCCACCGGCCTTTGCTCGTTAGAATACGCCGCCCTAATACAGAATTGCATTGGTGCCCCGAGGACACATTCTTGCGAAATTCAACCCGTTCTTCTGACTCACGGTGGGCTTGATGCCCGCTGACAACGCATTGCCTCGTAGCTGTTGGCGAATTATTCTGCTCCTCCCGACGGGTCGGCTTGAAAGGCGTGCCTTATTTTCCTAGGGGAGCCCACTCTCTTTTTTCTCTGGACGAGCTGCCCGACCAGCCCCATTCCTACTAGGTGTTGAAGGTCGACAACATCCTGGATGGACTCAGGTATGCTTTTCTTTCCGGCTGCTGTTGTTGTCTGACTGATTTGCCTTGCACTGGTTGCCGAATTAACTATCAAGGGAAAGTCCTGTGTAGAAAGGAGAACTGAGAAACACCAGCTGCTCGACACTGACATCGGAGGCTGTTGAAGCTTGCTATGTATATACTTGATGGTCTGGCATATGGTGAGTCTAGCCCGATATGTCCGTGAACTCCCGGCGTGAAGAACCCGTCCCTCATTGGGCAACATGCTTGGCAGACTTCCGGATGCCGATGGCAGTGACTTCCGCTTCCCATCTTGTGGAGTTCTTCGGTGGGCTTCCGATGGTCAACTTCCTCGAGGCGATTCTAGCGTGTCGGCGGCATGTACACAACAGCAACGCCAAGAGAAAGAAATCCGGGTTCCAGGAGCTCGCTTGCCTCGGGTTGCGTCCGTGACGGTACGCCGCAGACGACATATAATGTTACAATATGCAAATCGCGCGATCGAGCTTTCAAGTCTCGACGTGCATAACAGGCGGCGGCAACGCCGCTGTGTATGGACACTGCAAGGAATTTTATCGAGTGTGATGCAACTGGCTTAACGCTGGTCGGACTTTCGACACAAGGAGCCAACCCAGGGGCTCGACGGGCGTAGCGTACGTCGTACGTAGACCCGTTCGACCACTCTCTCATGAAGGTCGTCCTGGCCTGGCATACTGCGTTGACTCCAGTTTCAACGAAACCACCGATAAACTGCCACCAAGTCGCGGCGGAGCGCCATGTGCGAGTAGGACCGGTTCCCGAAATTCCGAAAAACGCCATCTTGACGCCAAGATGCGACTGTGGAAGTGCAACTGGACCCATTCTTCTCCTCTGAGCGTCCCGAAATGCCTGTCCTCAGCACGAAAACAACGCATCAGTGGTTCGTGGGGGAAGTCTGAGATGTGGGGGGCGGACAAGTTCCCCTAACATCATCCCTGATCCAGCTTGCGATTCTTCGAAGTTCTCGAAGCGAGAATGGAGGCCAAGAACGAGGAGGTGAACAGAGAGAAGCCCAATCGAACGTTGCCGATCCCAGGAGCCGCCTAGCGGCTCCGTGCTAATCCCAGCGCGGATCCTCAAATCACCACTCCTATGAATAGACAGAGACGATCACCCTCCGTTGATCAGGAAGGCGCCGGATGGACGGCCTCGAGACAGGCTCAACTGGGACAGGAGGTCCCCATCAGGACTCTTACCGCCTCGAGCATTCGGACCGTTTGGTTGTCGAAGGAGGGTGTCAAGTGTCTCGATAGTGTGTGTTTCGCGGAGCTTGCGCACGCATGCGTTCAACATCATCTTTCTTTTCTCCACGGGACTACGCAGCAGTATCTCGCGTTTCTTGTTTTTGGGCCTCGCTTATTGTCTTATTGTCACTCACACCCTTACCCCCCTCCTATGAAATTCTTTGATTGCTTCCTCCAACTAGGTAATTCCCCTCTTCTAAAATCAATCTTTGACACTTTCTCTAGGGGGTTGAACAAAACCAGTCTCGGCCATTGATGCCGGAGCCACCCAGGAGACTGGATAATAAATCCCAACCAAAGAATTTCGGGAGGATGACGCAGAGTCGCAGAGTCGCAGATTCGCAAGCGTGGTTGGGATCTCTTGGCTTCCAGGGGATCAGCACTCTCACCCGCCCCCGGGAAAGCCTTCATGCACCCCACGACCTCCACACGGGGCATCCAAGCAAAACAACCAGTCAGGATTTGTCTTTGTTTCTAACAGTGGGTACATGGTGCAGCCGCTCCCCCCCGGTCACGGAGGCAAGTGCCGTGATGCTGTTTTAGATTGTTCACAATATCGGCGTGGCTTGTAAGTGGCCGGGACGGCACTTTAGCCGGCCGGGTTAAGGCGGCCGACGGCTCCCCGGAAACACCAAGACAGGAAACTGGAGACAACAACAGGCCAGCGGCCAGGACTGGGCATGACTGGGCATGACTTGGGCATGGCCAGCAGCAGGCTAGGCATGGTCGCGCGCATCGATGGCAGCGCAGGAATCCGGGAACGCGAGCTTTTGCCAAGAGGAGCAGCTCAACGCATCGACGGATCCAGGCTGAATTTGGGTCCGCTGTGGATGTCCACGACAAGGGGGAGGGGGTTTACTTTGGGAGTATTGGATTGTATAAAAGGGCTGGGCCATCCCGACCAACCGGGGGTGCAAGGAACGAGAGACAGGAAGGAGATTTCTTCATACAACTTGAAAGACCACATCCCATCCCTCAACTTATCAACATGCTCACCACCACCTTCGCCATCTTGGGCGCTGCCCTCGGTGCCAGCGCGCACTACACGCTTCCCCGCGTCGGCTCCGGCTCTGACTGGCAGCAGGTGCGCAAGGCCGACAACTGGCAGAACAACGGCTTTGTCGGCGATGTCACGTCAGAGTCGATCCGCTGCTTCCAGGCCTCCCCCGCTGCGGCCTCGGCCTCGTACAGTGTCGCGGCCGGCTCGTCCGTCACCTACTACGCCAACCCCAGCATCTACCACCCGGGGCCCATGCAGTTCTACCTTGCCAAGGTGCCTGATGGCGAGTCTGTTGACTCGTGGAACGGCGACGGGAGCGTGTGGTTCAAGATCAAGCAGGACCAGCCCAACTTTGGCGCCCAGCTGAGCTGGCCTAGCGATGGTATGCTGCTTTCCCTACTCGAGTGATTTTGTTTTCTCCCAAAACAAAACAAAATTAAACAAAAATTACATCTGCTGACACACTCCCAAGGCAAGAGCTCGTTCGATGTCCCCATCCCGGCCTGCATCGCCCCCGGCAGCTACCTCCTCCGCGCTGAGCACATCGGCCTGCACGTGGCCCAAAGCCAGGGCGGTGCCCAGTTCTATATCTCGTGCGCCCAGCTCGAGGTTACCGGCGGCGGCAGCACCGAGCCCTCGGAGAAGGTTTCCTTCCCCGGCGCCTACTCGGCCACTGACCCGGGAATCCTCATCAACATCAACTACCCCGTCCCCACTTCGTACCAGAACCCCGGCCCGGCCGTCTTTTCGTGCTAGAGCAAAGTCTCGGCTGGAGTAGGTGATAATGGGAGAGGGAAGGAAGGAGGTGACCGTAGAGCATAGGAGAGGGAGATGGAGCGGGTGAGACTGTGGACTACTTCACACACCACGCGAGGGAGAGCTGAGGAGCCTGAAAAGGCCGGATAAGACCCAAGCCCGCATCTGTACATAGTTTTTTCTATTGGATCATCATCAAGAACATAACATGCCTCTAAACCACTATTAATTACGTTCACAACGCCCTCCTCGCAAATCGCGTAGTTACCATGACATGATGACGGGTAACGCAAGCTCGGAAGTTCCCACGTACTGCTACGGATGGAACGAGGGTATCGGATCGGATCACACGGCATAACACCCCTCTCGTGACATCAAGATCCTCCCCTCCCTTTGAGGCCGATGCTCGGCGAAATACAGACAATAATATATAACGTTCGGTATTCATGCGCCCCCCTGGGGCTCGAGAATCCGGATTCGGGAGATTCTCCCTAGGTTCCGGCTGTGATCTTCACGCGGGTGGGCTGGCTAAATTGGCCCATCGACCAACGGTTGGACGTCTGCGTGTCGTCGACAGGTTAGACGTGCCAAACTAGCCGTGCCAGCCCAGCAACGTTGTATTGTCAAAGCCAGGGGCGGTATGCTTTTGGTAATGCGAATGGTGTGTGAGTGCTGATCACTGGAGGTATGTTATATAAAAATGTCGTCAATATCCCAAGTGAAGCACCCCCTTTTTTATGGAGAGAAACTGAGAGACCTCGACACGACAAACACCCATTACACACAGTGAACTCGTAAGGAGAGGTCACCCAACATGCATCTCGTCACCGGCCTACTGCTTGCGGCTTCGGCTGCCCAGGCACACTGTGGGTTCCCCCTGTGTTGATGTTTACATACTTTAGCCTCGTCACCCGAGCAACCTAGGACTCACCCCCCCAACTACCTACGCCCTGAGGATGGAAATTACTATGTAAGAAACGTTTAGGCAGGGCCCCTTACTAACCGCCCATTTACCATATAGACACCTTCCCACGCGTAGTCGTCAACGGCGAATCCGAGGCCGCCGATTGGTCCTCCACGCGCAAGACCAAAAACGCAGACACCAAGCAGGGCGTCGTGGACCCGACCAGCGCGGATATCCGCTGCTACACGGACCAGACCGCCGCCGAGGTGGTTACCGTGCCCGCCGGCGCTGCTATCCACTACGTCTCGACGCAGCAGGTCAACCACCCGGGACCGACGCAGTACTATCTTGCCAAGGTGCCTGAGGGGTCCTCGGCTAAGGACTTTGATGGATCGGGGGATGTGTGGTTCAAGATTGGCACGACGGCGCCCACTATGGATGGCACACAGATGGTCTGGCCTGGTCAGAGTATGTTCTTCTTGCCTGCCCCTTCTATTTTATTATCACTTGCGAGGTCCCCAATGAAACAAAAAAAAAAGGAAAAAAAGGATATCCAAGATTGAAGACACCTAAATGCTGACAACCCCCCTTCTTACTCCCAAACAGACACCTACGAAACCGTCGACGTAACCATCCCCGCCGACACGCCCGACGGCGAGTACCTCCTCCGCGTCGAGCAAATCGCCCTGCACCTAGCCCAGACCCAAGGCGGTGCCCAATTCTACCTTGCCTGTTCCCAGATCCAGGTCACCGGTGGCGGCTTCGGTACGCCGGCACCCTTGGTCGCTCTGCCGGGCGCATACTCGGCGAGTGACCCGGGCATCTTGGTGGATCTGAATGCTATTTCGCCGGATGAGTACCAGCCGCCGGGACCTGCGGTGTGGAGCTAAGGGAGCTGTGAAGCTGGAGAGCGGCGTTTGTGTATTGCGCTGGTTTAAGAGGCTGGGATGGAGCGGGAGTTGGTGGTTGAAGTACATAGTAAACACGTTGAATACAGAGCGCCTCACCTTGGCCATGCCTTTGTTTTAGGGTCTACTGACTTGTTCTGTGCAGATTTGTGGCCACAGTTTCCACGTGGCAAGTTCAGGAGAGTAAACATCATATGTAGGAACAAACAACCCAAAATAACACATTCCCCACAACTGCAGCCTCCTCACATCTCGCGGCTACGGAGGCAAAGGGATTGCTGTTATGGTGGCACTACCTTTGGCGTACGTGACACGGCCTATCCGGGACCGGTACGAAGAAAGGAAGGTTGAACAACTCCTGGGAGCCGCAGAGGAATAAGAGAAGCAAAAGGGCGGGAGCTAATATTCCATACGCTACGCTTTAGTTATAGCGGCAATACGCTCAATTAAACCCATTAAAACCACGCACCAACCCAGTACAGCTTTTGTAAATGGACCCCCCATAGATGACCTTGAACCCGTACCCCGTAGCCTCGCAGGTTGTTATAGCCCTCCTGAAATACCTAAGCAGCAATCCTTCTTCGGGAAGGCCGCACTAAAAACAAAAAACAAACCAAACGCACCGCAGGAATGTTCCATCAAAATCGTGACATATACAAAGAAACTTGTTCATCATCCGCTTATCCTGCTCAATTAGATGGCTCACTAGGCTGTTCAATCGGCTGCGGAGCAACCGCGGCTTCCCAAAACGATGCGCTCCTCAACAGGTCTCCACCAAACTGTCGTTGCAAACGAGTCAACTTGTCGATCACATGCGTTGTGGCTATCGCATCCCCACCCCATACTTCCAACGCAATGTGGGCGGCACGCTCCAACCAGGCGATGCATTGTTCTAGATCGCCGCGGCGCTCATGGATCTCGGCGATGTCCTCCATAGTATGGGCGGCAATGCCATCTCGGTAGTAATTTTGGCTTACTATCTCCGACCCAGAGGGCTGACCCGCTGGTGTAGCGGCCATAACGGTGGGCGGAGGTCGTGTAACCACAGACATGCAGTGACCCAGAGCCAGGTCCGGCTCGTTACCAATCATGTAGAAATGGGCGAGCTCATTCTCAACCGAACGGACCTGGTCAGAATTTGGTCCAAACACCGGGCGAGCCACACTGAGCAGCTCTGTGACGATCTTCAGGCCGGCCTGATAATCACCGCTCCGGCGGAGGAGGGTGGCTAATGAGTCGAGGAGCTTGTAGGTGATGGCCCGGGAGCGTTCCAGGCGGCTGTTGAAGATGTCGAGCATGCATTGCAGACTGCGTTGCGAGATCTCCTGGCACCCTTGGTCCCGCTGTAGTTCTTCGCAGATCTGTGTGATGGGGTGGTTGGCGGAGAGGCGGTCCCGGGCTTGGCTGCTAAGAAACTGGAGTAGGATGCCTCGTAGCTCTGGGCGAGCGCTGGTGTTGATAGGGGAGAGTGTGGCAAATAAGTGTCGTAAGAAGTCAAATGGTTGCGCTGTCATGGCGCTTGCTGCCATTTCCCCCGCTTCGGCAAAAGCGGCCCATGCCCGGCGGTCGGGACGAAGTTCGGGGGGTTGAGTGGACTTGGCCGAAATTTTGACGAGGTAGATGGCTTCCTTGATTGTGCTCCAGTACTGTGTGGACTCAGTCGGGGACCTGTGCCCGAGATAATCATCGGGGAGAACACCGGCGGGTATGTTTTCCAGTTGCCAATCGTAGTATTCGCGGAGTTTCGTGGTGACAATGTTCATAGTCCTCATCGCTGGGTCCGGGGAGAGGGAGCGAGGTGGTGTTGCAAACAAAATCTGAAGCTGCGACCTGTACGTGGCTTGAGGCGACCTTGACAAGACAAGTTCGGTGCCATCCTCTTGTTCCTGGGAGCCCCCCCAAGGTGAACTGGGAACAGTGTCTGCAGCGTAATTTGGTGTTTGAGGCGAGTACGGCGGTGAGAAAGGCACTTGTGGGGGGTTCTCTTCCCGATGCACCGGAGCCGTGTGGCTGGGCACAATAGGCTCATTCTCAGGCTTGAGCAGGTCTGAGATGCTGATGCTCCGACGAGGCTGCCGATATGGTTCTGGGGAAGGTGGCGCCTGGCTTTCTATAGGAGCCGAGGGAGAGCTTTCCGGCGCGACTGCTGCGGCCGGCGCTGAATCAGGCTGGATTGTCCGGGCGCAATGCAGAGTCCTGCGGAGGTCTTGCTGGTCAAAGTTGCTCTCCGGGTCCCGATCTCCACCGTGGCTATGGGGAGACGGGGGCACTACGGCCGGAGCCAGGTGGGCCCGCCGAGCGGCTCGGGTTCTTTCGTCACTGTTCGCGTTCTTGAAGACGTTCCATTCCCGAAACCGTTTGTCGTACATGCGCTTGCTATCGCGGAAATCAGTGAGTTTGATTTGGGTCATGATGATCGAGGGAAAGTCGCGCAAGGCTTGGACAGGGTGGTGATGTTGCTGTGCTGGGTGATAGGAGTGAGGTGAGGGAGGGGGGTGAGTGGAGGGAGCCCAAGAGTAAGTAGTAGGGGCGTGGGGGAGCGGGGAGACAAAGTAGAAAGGAAGGGAATATATGCGCTCAGCTGATGGGAGGTTGGGGGGACTTATAACCAAACCACCTTGGCCAGCAGCAAGAAAAGTTAGGATGAAGTAAGGAGAGGGCTGAAGGAGAGGACTGTAGGGGGGTGAGTTTGCGTTGAGAGTCCAAGGCAAGCCGAACCCACTCGGGTTCGCAGTTGACTGAGAACTGAGTAAGGTGCAGGGGCGGATTAGTGTGCATCAGGTGCGGGCAGCTAGGTCGTGATGAGGGACGGAAGCACACCGAGCATGCTCAACAGCCATCGGGGCTGTCGTGCTTCGGGCTGCCCAGGCCGGTGCTCTTGTCACAATGTAGGTATTATGTGCGGGCCACGGAGGTGGTCGGTCGCCGGGCCTGCTTATAAAGAAACGGGGTGGGGTGTGGGGATCTTTGCTGCTGGTGCTCTTGGAATTTGGAATTTGGGGGTTGAGAAGAAATGACGGGCGCGGGATGCAAATCACCAACCAGCCGGGGCTTGTGGTGAGTGAGGTGGTGATTGTTGAGTTGGTGTAGATAGATGGTTGGTGCCGCGAACTCGCAGCCACCGGCTATGCGCATGATGATCGAGCGGGAGCATCTCCCCAAGGGGCTTCTTTCATCTCATACACTACATACCTTGCTGAGAAACCATAGTGCTTTCTCATAATCTCGCTCACGCGTTTGAGCGGGTACTGCCGGTACAAGTCGACGATTTTCTGGCGGTGACGAGCCCATTCCGCCGCCGACGGGCCCTGAAGGGTGCGCGAATTCCCCTCGACGGCCGCGATGGCGGCGGCGTCCGACATGGCATGGGGGTTGGGGGTGGTTGAAGTCGGGGATAATAACGGAGACGGAGAGGCCAGGGATGGGGCCGCCTGCGCCGGCGCCGGCAGTGGAGGTCCTGGGCCTAATCCTGGTTCGTAATGTCCTAGCTGTATTGATTGCGCTTCTGTTGGCGGTCGCAAAGGAGGATTTGCTGCTTGCGTCCTCTGGGCAGCTTGAGAAGCGTGGGCGACGGCAGCGTGTGAGGGGTGGTGCGAGGCGTGGGAAGGCTGCGAAGCGCCGGAAGCAGAAGCAAAACCTGAACCCGAAGTCTGGCTCGACTCATCAGTCGCGCGGCGAGGATCTGTTGCCGGGCCCGACCAAGCGGGCGCTACTGCACGGTTCTCGGGCACAAACATGGTCGTGCTGTGGAAACCGTTGGTTTTGTCTCATTTTGGAGACGGAGGGAGCTCGAGAAAGTGGAGGTCGGCGGACACATGCCGCCCATGCGGACCGACGACGTCAGGGAACGGGGGTGTTACTGGGAAAGGACTCAAGAAAGCGGGCGGAAAACGGGAAAAGAAGTCGGCAAGGTCGGGTCGCTCGGGGCGGACACGCGCGCGCAAAAAGGAGGCGCTTTGAAGCGACTGGGACCAGGGGGCAGACGCCCAGAAACTCCAGGGCTGACGGGAAACAAGGCCGCGTGAGAGAGAGAGCCTGATCAATTGAAGAGCTGGAAACGCCCACTGTGACCTGTTGGAAAGCGGGGGTGGCTCATCGTGTGTAGTGCAGGCGAATTTTGGGGCCAGCAGCATGCCATGCGATCCATGCGGGCAGCCAAGCAGTGGCCAAACTTGCCAACCCAGGCCAGACCGCCAAAACCGCCTAGATTTTCATAAGAGGGAAACTGCGGCGCAGCAACCTGGAAAGGAAGTCACCTTCTGCACTGTACCTCCAGTTGCGCACCAAGAAGAACCTTGCAGCGCGCAGTCACACCCCGCCAGGCTGCCACGGCAAAGCCTCGCCGCTGATTGGCTTTATTCCGCATTCCGTGAGCTGAGCCGGCTCGATTCCGGGCAGGTCCCATCCACAAATGGCCAAGGCTTCGATTCCTTCCTGCTGAGTTCCTGCCGAGTTCTTACCGTCGCGAGCGTCGGTGCGTACAAGAGGGGAGGAAACTGCAACGGCACGCACTGAAAATCAATCACTCCCGTAGACCAAAAACTCCACCACGGTCAAAAGGGACCAATCGCCGAGGCCGGCAATCATGCGGTGAAAAGGGGGTGACAACTGTGCTGGGCCACTTCCGTGCAAGGACGAGGGGTTTGTGGTTCTTGGTTCTCCTTGGTGTTGCTGCTCCTGCGCAGTGAGAACTGAGCAGCCAAGTCGGGCCCTTCCGGGTGGTCAGGGCGGGAAGAGAGCGAGCTTGATGAGCTGACAATTTGACACCTGGTTGGTCGTCGGTGGGGGCGGAAAACACAAGACAAAAGCTGAAAAGGAAGGAGGAGCCGAATCAAAGAGAAGGCTTTGGAAGTCCGAGAGTCGGCAGCTGCAGGGCAAGGCAAGTAGGGAACTAATGGCCTGTTGGCTTGACCCTGGGACATGAGAGAAGATGAACGATCCTGCTTGGAGCCACGAAGGACACTCGAGTTTTTGACCAAGGCGGCCCAAGGCAGAAAAGGGGCGCGGCTGCCCAAGGAAGGTATGTACCACAGACTCGGGCCACTCGGCCTGCCTGTCGGAGGGAAGCCGGAGGGAATCCCGATTACCCGCTGGACATTCAAAACATGGGATGGCTGTTCCTCGTTTGAAAAATAAATAAATCAAACGTCTTTGCGACAAGTGAACAACAGTAAACGATGATATGAGCCAAGAACGCCAGGACACGCAATGCCTTCTCCCAATGTTGACGAGTCGCCAATATTAATGCTCCAATGACCCAATGCTCCAATATCCCGATGCTCCGATACTCCGATACTCCCAAGTCCAAATCATGCTGCATGTGGCCCCTGAATTCGTGATTCCTTAGCTCAATCATTCTCGTCTGTGAGGCCGAGAGGCAGCGGCTGTGTTGGCACCGTCGCTCTCCCGAACTCGCTCACTCGTATGCCGTGGCTAATCGAGGAGATCTTTCCCTTCTCGGTAGTTCTTCGTGGCATCGCAAATAGCCGTAAGAAGGGTGAGAGGTCTGTGGCTGTGTTAGTTGCTGAGGGTATCAAATATCGCGATATACCAAGTGGTATGTACGTACATTTGAATGTATACCAATATTAGCGGGGGTATGAGAAGGCGGCAGCCGGCCACCTTGGCATGTATACTCGCAGCCAGACATACTCCTACTCCCACTAGTAGCAGGTTGAGAGAGCAGCTGAAAAATGTGGCAATTTGCTTCCGCGAGTGTTGTTCTCCTTCCGTCAACATGATCCTATTAGGCTCCACTGCTAGCAGCATTGCGAGAATCACAACGTTAAGGGTAAGCCCCAAGGATCCCTACAGAAACTGAGAGTCAGGAATGGGCGACGGCAGACTAATGATATGGCATGAATATCCAATGAGAAGGCACTTACAATAACTAAGCACGCTCGGAGTAGCTCAGGAGTTGCCGTGTCGGAAGCAAGCCGACTATCAAGTCGGGCCACGCGGACGGACCCACATGAATGCATATTGGCGGCCGTTGACTGCTCCCAGCGGTATGGGGAGTTGTGTCTTCCAAGGTCGTAGATGTAACTAGTAGCCGCCGAGGCTAGGAGTCCGAGATGGGCTATGATAGTCCAGAGGTGTATCAACTTCCATCTGATCTGCTTTTTCCGGTACATGTTGGTTGGCCGACCTGTGACGGGAGATCGGATGATGCTGGGAAACAGGAGAGACCGTGAGAAGAGGATTTAACTAAAAACGCGAGAGGCGTATTGAACAACAGATCGCGATGGTGGCCAGGATGCGGCCAGGATATATGGTCTTGGAGAGTGAATGAGTGGAGGGGAGACAAAGAAAAGATAACTACTTGATCCTAGGCCGTCAAGGAGCCCGGGACCTATTCTATGTCGTTGGAACAGGCCCTCCGAGATAGGTCCTTGCCCAGAAAGGGATGAGAACTACCACCTAGTTTGGACGGTTGGAAGTTTTAATGCCCAGACTCGGTAACAACTTACCGGTGACTCGGTCGGCTTCCCAACGCAGCTGCTCATGACCTCGGTGACTATCCTAAAGTGAGTGAGGGCTAAATACGAAACTGCAACTTTGGTGTCTTCCGACGATGACGACGACGGAACCTTGGGGTGCCGGGTATCTGAGGAACAAAGGGCGCTGCGACCCAGGCTGCCATTTTTTTCGAACCCCCATCGCCGCATCGCAACGCCAGCACCCAGCCCCCTCCTTGTGTTCTGGCCGCCACTTGTTTTGGCATAGCAACAGACTAGTTCGCCGCCGCACGACAAGCCACGACGTAGATCGAGTGTTTCTTCGGGTTCGAGAGGCGGGGGGGCGGGCAGCGGTTTACACAGCTCCTGGTTGAATAATCGGGGTTCAGGGATATCCGTCGCAGACCCGGGGTCCGCAAGTCTTGGGAGGCCCCAATCCACAGGAGGGTTTGATCCATCGGCTTGGATTTCTAAAATCCGGCAGTTCGAAAGATACATGAGTCACGCTCCTTTGTCGAGTGGGGTGAAGAGGCACTGTCCTCGACTCCTTTGACGTTGATTGTGCCGGCTCGATCTGTGGCCGTGGGGGCATTGCCTCGCCCAAATCGTGTTCGTCTAACGGTCCAATGAGCATGTTCGGGTTGGAATTTGGCTGCGGATTGGTTGTTCACTTTGTACACAAAACGGGCGGTGTCGTGGAAAGGAACGGTTGGGCGCTCGGGTTGGTCAATTGTTGATTGCTGGTTGCCTGTCTCTGTGGAGGGCTTAACTAAACCGGCGAGCGCAGCACCGCGCGCCGCTGGACAAACAGTGGGTGAGAGGGTGAACAATGAGGTCTCGTTGACACACTGATGGTTGAATCGGGAAATCTAAAGCCCCCTTTTGCCTGTGAGCTGAAATTCCGAAACAGTCTTTGGGCTGCTTGGCGAACTAGCAGTGGGGCACGGACCAAGAATACGGACCCGTACGGTACCGGAACCATTGAAGCCACCTTCCGTGGGGGCTGCGCAAAGTGGAAGTGGGTAACAAAAAAAGCCGTGCCGCAAAGTATCGCAGCTACCAGATACTTTCATATCACCACAGTTTAGCCGTTCTTATCCGGTTTAAGAGTACATTCTTACTAGAGTGACATGTTTTCTAGATAGATCGGCCTTGATTTTGAAATAATCACGAGAGAAAACTGGCATAAACTGCCCTTTTTGTAGTGGTTTATGGTGCGTGTGATACTTTCGGGAGCGACTATTTTTTGTCACCCACTTTGGCTGCGGCAGTTCAATGTTTCCACACGCCACAACACAGAACCCCGCGACCCCACACCCCGCGCCTAATTTAGCCATCCGCTGCTGTTTGCGACCCTCACCTTTCACGCCGTCCGATTTTCTCTTGCTCTGTCTGGCCCCAGTCTGCCTGGTTGTATCACGCGAGCTGCCAGGGCGGAGGCTTCAGCTTGACCACAGCCGCGGTTGGCCCACTGGGATTGTGCCCAAACTCGCCTTAATTATCTGATCCAGGGCCACTCAGCTCGATCGTTTCAGATTTCTCTTTTTTGGGATCTCGATCCGTAATCCGGGCTAATTTGCGTCTCAATGAAGGCCGCAGCAGTGCCGTGGGGCCATCGGGCAACCTGCGCGGGCTACTATGTACACGGCGCCGGACTGTGCTTTCCGGAATGTTGGTGTTGCCCCGGGGCCGCGCCATTGACGAGGCTCCGCCGTTCTATTTGCTGGTAGGTAGGACGTCTCTGTGATCCTTTCGTAGGAAGGTTAGAGACCATTTGTCGCGACGACGTTATTCGCCTAGTCGATTTCTCACCGAAATCCAGGTCACGGAGACAGATGGAGGTATGGAAAGCACAAGCACCTAAAGTTAGGTACTTTGTTTTGTGTAGGGCGTCTACGAGTTACCGAGCTGCCTTCCGTCTTTAGGTATTGCCGATGACATTCGGCGGGCCACAAACATACTTATCTCACCATGCAGCAGGTTTGGGGGTCTCAGAACGATCGGACCCCGCAACGAATTTCTGCGACAGCCCCCAGCGAGTTCGCGATGCTACACTACAATGGAGGAGGAAAAGAGCCGGATTCCTCAAGCAGTGACTTATAAGCGTTAGACTGTCCCACCCATGCGCCACGGCGACTTTGCCCCTCACCTGGGACCCGCACGGCACCGTTGCATAGCCGCAACGGCCCGGACATCAGATGGTTTCGCGATTCCTTACCGGCCCTGAATCTGGATTCATCGGGAAATCGGCGGGGTACTTCCTGGCCCGCCCACAATTGGGTTGGCCCGCCTATTCCGGGCACTCGGTAACCTGAAGATATTTTGTTGGACTAGGCTAATTACCCCAAAAATCGACAAGGCGAAGAGACCAAAAACTACCCGATCAGGTTTTACGCAGTGCTAGGAATCTGCCTGCCAGATTTCTCGGGTCTCTGGGTCCAATCTGCCCTGTAGAGGAGAATGCCGTTTTGGTGTTTTGCGTAGGACCGAGTGACCAACCGGTTAACCGCAAGCAAGTTGGGATCGATCCAAGCCTCAACGGCACTGGATTGCTTTGCCAGGAACCTACATGACCCCCCTTAGCGCCCATCTGATACAGACCTTCGATATGGGTAACAATACTTAATGCCGATGCCGTCCGGTATGACCCATGGGCGTCGTAGCAATGAGTGCTCACCGACTCTCTCAACAACCACCCGGCTGACTTGACACAATGTTGGCAAAATCACAAATAATGCCGGAGAGCCAGCTATGGCGAGCAGTGGACGCGGTCCTCGGCCTACTCCCAACGTCGGTCCCCGGATCCGATCTCCTCTGGGCCATTTCGGATGAATCCTGGCAAGAGCAGTGTGAAGGATGTGACCGGGTCTGTGAGATTCTCCGCTGGGGCGAAGTCCACAGAAGACGGGATCACGCTTTCCAAGGTTGCTCGCCCTCCTCTATCGTCCATGAAAGTTACCTTGAGCTCGACCGTTGCGCCGCCAACTCGGGCTGCGACACTTGCCGAACACTACGGCAAGCTTTCCTCTTGAACCAGATCACAAAACAAGACGCTGAACGGCTCCAACACCCCGAGAACCAGTGGCCCATTCATGCTTCTCTCCACCTCATCTCGAATGGCGATGCTATGCTGGAGCTGGCCATCAAATCTCCCAAATCAACACTGTTTTCCGCGACGGTTCATCTGAGCAACCAACCTTGTGACCGGGCCGGGAACCTGACTCAACACACGCCTGGATTACGCCCCGATCTTTCTAGCTTGCGCCAGGCCATCAATGATTGCCATCACAGGCACGAGTGTTCCTCAAGATATCGCTGGTCTCGCCGGAATCCAAGTTGGCTGCTCAAGATCCTCTCTGACGGTGCCGTCCAGCTCGTAGAGGGGCCGCCAGAACCGGTGGACTATGCTGTGTTGAGCTACTCTTGGGGTGACCCAGCAAGCATGCCCGCTGAGGAATGGGCAAGGATTAAGGGGGCCGGAACCAAGACGACAAATGGCCGGCCTGTTTCTGAGCGTCTCAACCCTTTCTCGATACAAGAACTGCCAGAAACCATGCAAGACGCTATCACCATATCGTCTTCGCTTGGCGTTTCCTACATCTGGATCGACAACGTCTGCATCCCGAAAGGCACCAACTGGGACACGGAAGCGTCGCTGATGCACGAAGTCTACGGAAACTCAGTCTTCACGCTGGTTGCATCTTCAAGCACCAAGGCCACGGACCGCCTACTCTACGACAGACAGGCCTGGGCACACCCCATCAAGCCAAGCCAGCTGCGCGAGTCGTGGTGGCTTCACAACACGCAGTTGCCCCTGGACCGGGTTCGTCTAGAGTCTCCCGTGTCCTTGCGGGCGTGGACTTTGCAAGAAGAGCGGCTGTCGCCCAGGATTGTGTACTGGGCGGGCCAGCAGTGGTACTGGTCTTGTTTAGAGTGCCAGGTGTCCGAGACAGAGGCGCTTGAGCAGTTCCCCCGAGCGGATATTGACAGCCTCGACACCAAGACAATATCAAGCATACCAGTTTTACCGTGCCCCTCATCATCACCATCATCATCATCATCACCACCAAACTGTACCCAGCGATTCCTCGAGTTCTGCCGGACAGGAGACGAGCGGCTCCTCCACGAAGAATGGCTCGACATTGTCGACGCCTACACCCGCCGCGACCTCGTAGCACCAAGAGACCGGTTCCTGGCCATAGCCGGTCTTGCTGTGCGCTTCTACAACGCTAAAGCGGGGAATGGAGGCGCCGTCATCACCGAGGCGTATCTCGCAGGGCTCTGGAGAGACGACTTTGCCCACCACTTAGCCTGGTCCGTCATCAACGCAGCCGACTCACGGCAGAACCTGCAGCATATTGCGCCGTCCTGGTCCTGGGCGTCTCTGCCACTGCGGGTCACCACCCGGACCAAAACCACCTCTCCCTTCCGCCAGGCCCAACAGTTCCAGTTCCTCTCTGTAGAACACATCGACGCCGCCAGCTCGCCTCTACCTCGCCCCGTGAACACGGGCGACCCCTCCACCGACTACATCAACCGCGGTCGGGCCGTGGAAGAGCGCGGCCGCGGCGTCAAGGTAGTCCAGGTCCAGGGCCGCGTCCGGCGCTTCATATCCTCTGACGCGTCCTGTGTCCCGTGGGGCACTATTGAGCGGGAGCGCGGGGGGCGGCCCGGGTTTGACTTTGGTGCGTTCCCGGGGCAGAGCTTGTACGCTCGACACGGCGGGAATGGGCGGATTCTTTCCAAGGATGCGCATAGTGGCGAGGTGGTGGGACAGCTGGATTACCTTGCTGTGAAGAACCCCCCTGAGGGAAATGCGCTGATTGAGGTTGAGTCTGTCGAGGCGCTGCCGTATGTTGGGAGTGGTTGTGAAAAGGAGATTGTGTGTTTGGAGCTAGGTGAGCTGGCAATGCTGTTGTTGATACCCATGTCTGGGTCCAGTAGTAGGCAGGGCCAGGCTGGCGAGTCTTTCCGGCGTGTGGGTGTTGCCGTGGGGTATGAGAGCAGGAAGGGGTTCTTTTATGGATGTGAGACGAAAAAGGTCCTACTTGTTTGATAGCTTTCTGGGTATTTGAACGCACCATGGCACTGATCGAGCGTTGGCGTATTGTTTAGGGGAGCACTGTATCTTGTTTAATTAACAGTCCAGCGACTTCTGGCATAAAACGAGCGTGGTGTTCGCGGTTGGGGCGTTGGGAATAATGATGAAAAACTGTGCGGATACTTAGGTCTAGAGAGAACGTCCATTCACACATCTCATATATCAACATCCCATGCTTAGATTCTACTCTCTGGCCTGTGTGTTTTTGTAAATCGACAAATTGTAGCAATGACACGGAGGCAAAAAAAAGGCACAAGAGCAGAACAGGTAAAAAACATACAACACCAAAGATTCGCTAGTCGTCACCGACCTAGCTACTAACCTGGCCCTTACTTGCTTGTCTAAGGGAGAGCGGACGGGATCCCGAATTTTCAAGTAGGTATGGTCGTATGTGGGAAAACAATGGAAAGTCTTTGGTTCACATACCCTAGGTTGTCGCTCCTCTAGAGTCTAAGGGGGGTCCTAGTTTACACTTCGCCTCAACAAGAGCAAAAGCTCAACCTCCCTTCACCACCCGGCCCCGGACAAACACCTGTGTGATATTTCGGTCATCTCCCGTCATAATGAACTTCTCAAACACGGTCTTCAGGCTGTCCTCTTCCTCCACCAGGGTCATGATCCCCCGCTCAGTGCCTTGAGTACCCACCAGCACGGCATCAAACTCCTTGCCCACCTCAAAGTTACCCACCTTGTCAGCGAGGCTGCAAACCTGCGCCCCGCCCAGTGTTGCCAGATAGAACACCTCGTGGACAGAAAGCCCCGTATCTCGCCCCTCGGACGTGGCCTCCCGCGCGTGACTAGCAATCATCGCCTGGCGTATGGCGTCTAAAATACTGCTCGAGAACCCACCACCGCTGTCGGTGCCCAGCCCGACTTTGATACCACGCCGCATAAAATCGCGGATCGGTGCGGCCATGAATCCCCCGCCCACCGTCATGTTGGAAATCGGACAGTGCGCAACACCACAGTTGAGCGCCTTAATCCGGCTCATCTCATACTCGCTCATGTAACAGCAGTGCGCCAAGATCGACCGCTCGTTTAGCAACCCGAAATGCTCATATAGATCCGCCTCACTCGTGAATTGCGGAAACAGTTCAGCAGTAGCCTGCATCTCCTGCTCGGCCTCGTTGAAGTGCGTCTGCATGGGCAACAGGGGGTCGCCACGCGCGATATCACCTAGACCTTGAAGTGCAGCGTCGTCACACGAAATGGCAAATCGCGGGGTGAGGATCGGGCGGATGAGGGCGCCTTCTGGGTCCCGCGAGCGGATGTGTGCGATACACGCCCGCGTGACTTGCAGGCTATCCTCGACCGAGGCATCGAGGTAGTAATCGGGGGAGTTGCGGGTCATGTTGCACTTGCCGACGAGAGCGCGTTGGCCCTTGGCAAGGCAGAGATCGGCTAAGATACGGGTGGCTTCGCCGTGGACAGAGCCGTAGTACGAGGCGGTGGTGATGCCCTGACGTAAGAAGCCATCGACACAGTCGGCATAGATACGGCGGGCGTAGGCCGGGTCGCGGAAGCGAGCTTCGTTAGGGAAGGTGATGGCGTCTAACCAGTCCAGGATGTGCATACCCTGACCCAGGCCGCGCTGCGCCCACTGCGGAGCGTGGTTATGGGTATCGACGAAGCCCGGGATGAGGAACTGGCCACGTTCGAGGTTGTGGATCGTGATGAGGCCTGGGGGGAAATTGAGGGAGGCGAGTGTGTCCCGAGTCTGCTGGGGGTCGGTGGATTTGAGAAAAGACGAGATTACTCCTTCGCTGCTGACGACGAGAAGAGCACAGGGAAGAATCTCGAGCTCAGATGGCGAGAGTGAATGGATCACAGGTCCGACAAATGCTCTCGCGATCTGTGCCATTTTGTAGTCGAAGCTGTTCCCTGTGAGTCTTGGGGCGAGAATGTACAAACGCAGAAGAATAACCGAAGAAAAGAGAGAAAACCCTTTAGAGAGGGGAGCGATTGCCTTACACGTTTGAGGTCTGTGATATTCTCAGGCCGTGTCTTCTATTCTTGGTTGCCGTATTGCAGAAGGAACGAGTGTCAGCCTGCAGTGCTTGGGCATCGAGGTGGGGTAGGGAGGTGCAGCTATGTACCTAGGTACATGTACCTCAGGAACCGAATGGGGGTCATTGCCGACAAACGAGTAACAGCTTAATGTCTCAGAACACCTTTAATTGGAGACCAGGTCGGTATCACAACGATCCAAAACTCAGTTACTGTATACTACGTTATCAATACACTTAACACTGATGAAAAGGCTGAAGCAAATAAGTGGTTGTACATTAATATCAACCTAACTAGAGGACTCTTGTAAAGGATCGCCTTAGCGAGCCCACCCAAACCATATTTTTGTTTGCTGCTGGACCCAGTGCTTGACCTGGGACCAGGCCTGAGGCGGGCCGCCGCTCCAGATCCCAAGCATGTTGGTGGTTCCCCTCCCATACGTTGACCCAAAGATAGCTTGACAAGCTGCTGGCCCCGTTAAGGCTTGTTGTTGGGAGGTGGAAAAATTGGGACATAGGAGGCGTCCCAACGTACTGAATGTACGATTCATGGCCGTTGATAATTCCCCTGGTTCGGGAGGTATTGGAGATGCCGCATCGACTGGTGTTCCTGGTGTGAGATGGATGCTGACAACAAGACCTGCAGTTGGATCGTCGGGCTCGCCGCCAAATATGTCCTGCCCTAGAGTAGAAGGGTCAAAACACTGGTGTTCGTCCTCCCAGTGTCTGGAGCTTCGCTTGGCTGGACGTTTTGCTGGAACGGGTGATGTCCGGCTCCGGCGAGAAGGCTTGGTCCTCAAGGATGACTCGTGATCCCCGAGAGCGGCGATATGGGTTCGCTTTGAAGGTATCACTTCGAGGAGCGTCCGAGCGATTATGCACATGGAACAGCGCAAATGGTGTTGGCGACAGGGGCATTGTCGGGTGAGCTTGCGGGCTTTCGCTGAAATAGCACGGTCTTCGCGCTTGTCATGCGCGCAGAACGGACTCTTCCAGCGATGTAGCCTATCCATCTTGGAATGTGAGTGCCGTCACTGAGCGCGTGGGCTAATGGTTGGTAGCTCAACTAGGTCAGCAACTGGATAAGTAAATAGGGTAGAGGTGTGATGCGGTTATGTTTTGAAAAGAAGTGTGCAGGGTTCCAGGTTGAGGAAGTCCTAAAGGGCATGTCACTAATATTGAAGGATCATGGTAAAAGAACTGATACTGGTTGAGGAGGGGGGGACGTGCTATTTTATACTCGGCTGCCTCGGGGATCGGGCATGTCTCTCGCGTTGCGGGCTTGTCCTGCCGCGAGGGGTGAAGAACCTAATGCATCATGCACGTGGAAAGGGTCTAAGGTAAACCTAAACTGGGAAAACGAGTGAAAGACTGGAGTCATCAATCATGTGATTTGAAAACTAAGTGATTATTGGATTGTAGGTTGGCATAGTTTACACAATAAAAAAAGCATGAAGATGCCGTCTTTTGTAGCCCCTCGTGGTGAATCCGGGATAGTTTTCTTGAGTAGTTGCAATACAAGGTTACTTTGAAGTTGAAGCGAGTTTGAATGTCAGGTCGCGGTTCACTGGGGTGCTGGAACCCAAGCTCCCCGGTATTATCACGTGAGACACATATTTCGACATGTTCGCACTGTTTAGGTTAGCGTCACTGGCTCACAACCCGAGTATCTCCAGGTCGTCAACCTTCTCCCTAACTTGCCAGGTGCAACAATCAGCGGCGGAACATACTGAAACAGGTTGAAAACCCCATCTACCCCACCGCTCATCGGATTTTGCAATTGATTTCATTCTTTACACGGTGAATTTTATCGGGGTAGATTAGGTCGTCACTCTGGTAACCTAGTGTGACCATGACCCACGAAAGCTTCCTCGCTGCTTCCGTCTTGGATGACGACGGCGTTACCGCGCGATCGATATTGAGCGGCATCACAGAATCCCGAGAGCGGCACTCTTTTACACGCATCCAGCACTACAGACCACAGGCTTCGACCGCGCAGGGCCTTACCACGATCAAGCAGCTGCAAAAGGAGCGGAGACCGACAACACCCCTGTGGCAGGAACTGCATCAAATTCTTGTCAAACAGCCATCGGTGGTGCAGGTACGGATGGATATCACGCCGGAAGTTGAGAACGCCATGAGCGGAGCAGCAACGTGAGCTATCACCTCAACCAGCCGCTCTCATTTCTGTCGCTAATACCCGCGATTGTTTAGTGGAGACGACGCGCCGTTAGTCGAGATTCCGGGCGGCAAACCGTGTGCACTGAGGTGGGTTGATCTACCAGATCCTCCTAGCCCTCAACGGCCGCCTTTTATCACTCAGCGCAGGGTCGTCGACATTGATGACCCGAGGGCGCCGACGATTCTTGCGGAGAGCAAGTTTGGGTTCGTATTTTCAGGCAAAGCCCAATGTTCTTGCTCATATAAAGATTGTGTCTAACCGTCGCTGCTTAGGCTGAAATCAGATTTGATTGAGGAGTCATACTCCTGGTGGTTCGAAGGCATCGAGTATTGCTTAACTCGCTTCTTCAATCTGCCCGCGAGCCCGGACTCAAATCAAAATCCAGATCCAGCCGCGCCCAAACAAGTCCCTAACCCAGCCTCCCTCAGACCGGTGGGCAATATCTGGATTCTCTACATCAACGCCAAGGTGGATGCCACCCCCGCAGCCACGATGCCGGACCGCGTAAAGCAAGCACATGCGCGGCTGGTGGGGGCGAGGGATCAGCTGAAGGGCGTGTTTGAATTCCCGGCATTCGACCGCCGCAGTCACGATACGCGGGTCTCCGGGACAAGAGCGCCTTGATCGCCTCGAAGGGTGGTTTGAGAATACATGCTACCGAGAGAAATTTTGATGCGGAAATCAGCGATATGGTGCGTGGGCATTGTGGAGTGAAAGGGCAACATGATAATTTGGGCCAAACCGAGATTTTCTACCTATTCTGCGGGAGTTTTGGCGCTTCGGGACTCGGAATTCCCGTACTTGGAGATGAGCTTGCGCATGATGGACATGGCACCACTTCGGTATACGCCGCTGAATAGGGCACAGTGGTTGAGATGGTGGTAGCTGCGAGAGCGTCAGCATCTAAGGGGCAAGGCAAAAGTTAGGGAGAACGCGAACACTTACAGTTCATACAGCGCAATTCGATCCTCCCACTCTTCCTTTGGTTCAGCCTTGGGCACAAGACTCTCATATTCCTTCCAGAACCGACTTCCAAACCCACCGAACATGTTCATAATCCCCAAATCATACTCGGAATGCCCATACACTGCCGACGGGTCAAACACCACCTCCTCGACTCCTGCTCCGCGGCCGCCGTCTCTTCCTATAATCCTCCCATGCCCGTGATTTCCACTCCACAAGTCACCATGCACCACGACGGGCTGCACACCCTTCAGATGGTTGTCCCCTAGCAACCGTGGCACGACAATAGCCGCCAGTTTCTCGACAGCCTCGCCCAGCTCCCGATCAGGCCCATTCTGGCGTACATTCTCTCGCAAGATGGCGCGCAGGCGGCGTTCCGCGTAAAACTCGGCCCATGACTCCGTCCAGGTGTTGTCTTGACGAGTGGCACCACAACATGTGGGTACGGGGAAGCCAAAGACGGGGCGGCTGAAGCCCTTGGGGATGGGGGCTGGGGTGGTGTGCAGTTTGGCGAGTTTCGCTGCGAGGGAGAGGCCGGTGTCTTTGCCGGAGGCTGATCCAGAAGATGCGGAAGAGGAGGCTCGCATATCGAGGAAATCGGTGGCGAGGAAGAATTTGCCTGGTGAGTTACGGAGGGGCCCATGGGCATGGGCGCGAGGACATAAGTGCAGAGACGGGTCGGCGGCGTGGATGGAGTTGAGTGAGGCGTACTCGCCACGGAACATGACTTCGGCTTGGGGGCCGGTGCCCGTTTTCACGAAGAAGGCGAGCTCATGGCCGTCTTTGGTGGCGGTTAGTTTGTAGGACGAGGCGAAACTAGATCCACCGTGGGAGACTAGCTTGGAGCTGGTGGCTTCGAGCCCGAGGGCGTCGAGGATGGCGGGATCAACGTTGGGGAGCATTGCGAGTTGTCTTGGTGCTATAGGCGTGAATCTGTTTGGATGGTATGCCACAAGTCACGGTTTGGAGTCGGTAAAATTGAGCACTTGGATTCTTGACTGTTGTATCGTGAGAACTACTCGTGGCTGGCCACATATGGGCAATACATAGGTATTGAATAGAAGAGTCACCCTCAGATGGATGGAACGTGTCGTTTAGCATGTTGGTGACCGAGTGTACATGCCACCCTGAGCAGACAGAGATAGCTAAAATGTGGGGCCGGGGTTGACGTAGTTGAGACCGGATACTACGTAGGTACCCAGGTACTGATACTTCAGTACTGAAACTCCATACACCTACGAAGTACGAGTTCAAAAACTGTGTCCATTCTCATGGTCTGGATAAGGTTTATTTTAAGGGGGCGGACATTATCGGTGATTTATTTAGTATATCAAAGCACCCCAAAAACGCCCTAAGAACAAGACAAAGAAACTTCTTTTTTCCCAGCCGACTTGATCGCTTCGGAACTCTCGATTGTTTTGTGATATCGAGCAAGAGGGAAGCAAGCCAATGAATCGCCTTCTTCCCTACACTGCTTTACATTGGGCAGGGAAGGGGAAGGTAGGCCCCCCGAACTATTTGGACGGATAATAGTTTAAAGTCTTGAGGATGGGTCATTCACGTGGCGTATAGAAATGCAGGTTGAAAGGCTCATGAAGACATGAGGCCGAAGGCGACGACAGTCCAGCGTGACGTGTATGGTCTTGTGGGAAGACGTCATGCGATGTTGGCCAAAGCTTTGCACCAATTGCAGGCCAATCGCACAACTTGGAAGCCATGTACATCGCCGGAACGGGATTAGTTTCTTCTTGGCACCCCTTTAACAAATATTCAAGCCACTGTCACAAGCACGAATGAGTCCCCCCTGGGTTCAGCTTCTGTTGCATGAAATGGAAGCTGACCCTGCTGTGGCCGAAATTGCGCCCCTGTTGCTCGCCAAGCCAGTGGATCCTTTCGGCTACAACACCACGGCACGTCTGCCGCGCCCGGAGGCCAGAAATCAGAACACACTTTCATTTTTGAGGTTTTGCCCGCTCCATCTCACATCATCGCAAAGCATTACATAGCTTTGTATACAATTCCACCATACCATTGTGTTGCGTACGAACACCCGGCCCGCGATGAATGGCCACCTTGCGCCAGTCGGTGACGGGCCGACTGCAAAGCAGTACGAGCACGGCATCCAGGTCATTGACGAGGAAAAGTCATTCAAGTGCGTTGGCACCATTGTTATTATTATTTCATTGACTCTTTTCCTTGGATGTTGATTGCTAACAACGCACTCTCTAACCAGCACCAATCTCAATGACTACCTAGGCGAAACACACGTGGCCGAGGCCGGCTTCAACTACCACCTTATCTCCGTTTTCGGCTCGCAGTCGACCGGCAAATCGACCTTGCTCAACAACCTGTTCAAGACCGACTTTAGCGTCATGTCCGAGACCGCCCGCCAGCAGACGACCAAGGGAATATGGATGTCTAAGAACAAGCGCACGACCGGGCCGACCGGGCCCTCCGCCATGGCCGACAATATTCTGGTCATGGACGTCGAGGGAACGGACGGCCGCGAGCGCGGCGAGGATCAAGACTTTGAGCGCAAAAGCGCCTTGTTTGCATTGGCTACAAGTGAGGTCCTGATTGTCAATATTTGGGAGCACCAAGTCGGCCTGTACCAGGGCGCGAATATGGGTCTCCTCAAGACCGTGTTTGAGGTTAACCTACAACTATTCCTGAAAGACAAGCAGTATGTGGTTTCTGCATCATGGGAGCCGCCCCAAAATACTAACATGCGTGTGGCGCTTAGGTCACAAACACGATCTCTTCTCCTCTTTGTCATCCGTGACTACGTCGGCCAGACCCCCTTTACGAACCTATGCGACACCCTAACTCAGGACCTCAGCCGCATCTGGTCGACCATCTCGAAACCCCAAGGCCTCGAGGAATCCAAGATTGGAGACTATTTCGATATCGCCTTCGAAGGCCTGCCCCACAAGCTTCTACAGCCAGAGCGCTTCGTTAGTGAGATCGATCAGCTGAGCACCCGCTTCACCGCTGGTCACCGCTCAGCCCAGGACGAAAGCGGCAAGCTTACAGGAGGGCTATTTCTGCCCGAATACCATCGTCGGATTCCCGCTGACGGTCTCTCCGTCTATGCCCAAGGCGTGTGGGACCAGATCGTGAACAACAAGGACCTGGACCTCCCGACCCAACAGGAGTTGCTCGCCCAGTTTCGCTGCGACGAGATCTCGCGCGAGGTGCTTGTTGCTTTCGATGCCGTCATCCTCCCGCTCGAGGAACAGCAGGCCGAAGCCACACGACTCGGCAAACCTACGCTTGTGCTGCCCGACCTGGGTGTCGCCGGGTCCGGCGCCCGGGACAAGTGTGTGCGTGCCTTCGAGACCCAGGCCGGACGCTACCACAAGGGGGTCTACACCACCAAGCGCGGCGAGCTTGAGACGAAGATCGATGCCCGCCTCAAGGCCCTCTACCAGACCCAACTGTCGGCCGCGCACAAGGCCGGTGTGGTTTCCTTTAGTGAGGCTGTGACGGCTGCTGTCAAGGCTGGGCAAAAGGCTGGTGGGGCGTACGAGTTTGCCGAAATTGTCGACAAGCAGAAAAAGACGGCACTCGACGTGTTTCGCAAGGAGGCGCAGAGCCTACTGATCCAGGGTGTGGCGTGGACCAACTTCAAGCCGCAGTACCGGCTGTTTGAGAAAGAGCTCGACGAGGTCAGCGCGCGCCTGCGCAAGGAGGAGATGCGCCGGCTAGCCACTCGGGTGGAGCGGTGGGTCAAGTCGCGGTTGACTGATGCTGTCGGGCTCGAGTTCAACAAGCTGGGTAGCGGTCGTGGTGGTTCCGGGGCGCCTGAGAATGGAGACAAACTGGCCACCGAGAAGGATCTCTGGGATCGCGTGTGGAGCTCGTTTTCTGGAATCGTCCGCGAGGCCGAGACCCGTTTCGCGGACCGGGCCAAGAGCTTTGAGGCGAGTCCGGAGGAGGTCGACGTGGGGCTTTGGCGGTTGCGGCGCAAGAGCTGGGTTGCGCTGCGCGAGAAAATCGAGGAGGAAATGATGGAAAGCAACATCCTAATGAAGCTGCGTGAGAACTTTGAGGACAAATTCCGCTACGACGACGAGGGCGTCCCGCGCATCTGGCGTCCTACCGACGACATCGAGGGTGTCTACACCCGCGCCCGCGAGTCCACCCTCAGCCTCATCCCGTTGCTCGCGCGGTTCCGCCTCGCCGAGACCTACGCGGCCCCCGATCTGCCGGCATTTGTTGGCGTGCAGCCCGCCGGTGTAGAGCCTGAGGATGAGGAGGATCTGCTGCCTATCGGCGGGGTTGACGAGGAAGAGGGTAAGAGTTTGGAGGAAGAGATGACGGTGCTGAGCGAGAGCAAGCGGCAGGACTTGGTGGTGCGGTTCAAGAAGATGGCGGATGGCGTTTATGTTGAGGCGAAGCGGAGCGCGATCGGGGGAATTACCCAAGTACCACTGTACTTTTATGTTGTCCTGCTGGTGCTGGGGTGGAACGAGATCGTTATGGGTATGTTTTTTGTCCCCTTGAACTGCATTCCTTTTTTTAAACCTGGCTTCGGATGTGTTCGTATTAACTGACCTTTCCAACAACAGTCCTCCGTAACCCCATCTTGTTCATGCTTATTCTTGTCATGGGGGGCGGCACCTACGTGGCCTACACCCTCAACCTGCTTGGTCCTATGATGCAAATGGCCAACGCGGCATCGAACCAGGCCGTCGAGATTGGTAAGGAGAAGCTGCGCGACTTTTTGGAGAGCAACGAAACTGTTCGGCAAGCGATCGCAATGCCGGCGAGGTCGCAAAACGGCACTAGCCACAGCAACGGGATCAGCTTGGATCGATTGGATAGGCAAGGGAAGAAGGCCGGTGTAGCGGAAGAGGAGGATGATATCTAGATACAGGATGCGTTAGTATATTGTACAAGGCCTGTATTCGGTATTGTGGGATTGCTGTAAAGACAATAGTGTAATTTTGAACAAGCCTGCATCTTTTTCTTTTCTGTGCCGTCTTGTTGTTCACTCATGGTTTGCATAAGCGATGCGGCGGGTGTTGACCATCACTACTACCCTGCCACTGCCACATGATACCTTGTTACAAGTACACACAATTAAGTCAGTCCCTTAACGCCGTTGCCCAGTCCCAACCCCGAACGCTCTTAGCTAATCAGATTAGATGTGCGTCCAAATAAGGGGAATTCAACATGCCATCAGACAAGTAAGTATGCTAAAACGCCTCTAACCCAGTCGGAGCCCCAAACCAAGTTTCCAACTCATCACCACCACCACCTCCTCCCTGGTCTGCCGAGACAAAAAAGTCAGTGACACGATGACTGTCACCGTCTTCCTCAATAGGCCAGTCCACATTAACGGCGCCGCCTTTCGAGGCCGCCGCTTCCATCATATCCTTGGCGGTGCCCCAGCTGAAGCGACACTCGGGACCCCAACCGAAGACGGGGTGCATGTTGCCGCGGAGCCAGCCCACACAGCGCGCATCCGAGGGGTACCCAGATCCCCAAGCCATAGCCTCGTCATTTTCGTCGTTCGCCCCCTCGTGACCCTTCTTCCCCCTCGCACTCCACAGCGTCTCCAGCGCCACATCCCTCGTCACCTTCGCGCACACACTTGCCGCGCTCACACACGGGTATAAGCTATCCGCCTTCTTCGCCACAGTGATCGAGTCCACGCCCGGAAACGCTCGCTCCAGCTTAGCCTGGTGTGTCGCGGGCGGCCCGACGGTATCCACGTAAATCGCTTTCACATTCACCCCACGATCCAGCACACCCTTGATCAGCTCCACCGTCGCGTCCATAGCCTGCGCATTGAGATTGTACACCGCGCTGCTCGCGGGGCGGATCATGCCCGCGCTGATGTCGCGTGCCGAGAGCGCGCGGATCGCCCAGCCGCATGAGTCGTACAGGTCGGTTGTGGGTGTGCAGAGGGTTTGCATGAGTGAGGCGCGCACGGCGGGGGTGAGGACTTTGCTGTCGTCGAAGTGGTGGGTGTCGCGGAGGAGGGGGTCGGAGAGTGGGAGAGGGAGGTAGAAGACGCCGTAGACCATGGGTCCGAGGACTGGGCCGCGGCCGGCTTCGTCGATGCCTAAGACACATGGGGGCCCGAGGGGGGCCGTGCCGGGAGTTGCGGTCGCTGATGGTGGCGGCGGGAGAAGCGAGGGTGGGACTTCGGAGAAATAGCTGTAGGAGTCGCCGGCGAGGAGGGCGGATTCGTTGATGGAGGGTGGGATGAAGACGGCCGAGGGGGCGTCTTCCATTGGTTCGTCCATAATGATGGGCCGGAGTGGGTTTCTTTATCAATTGGGTATTCACGGATTGAAAATCGGAGAGGTGTAGATTGGAAAACTGTTGAGGGATTACTGGTTTGGCTTCCAATATCTTAACCAGGCAGAGTCTGTGGAATAATTTCAGAGTTGAACCTCCGCCGGCGCTGCAGGTGTTTAGAGTGCCTGAACCGAAAGACCCTTGCTCCATTGGAGGGGCCGAGCTTGACGCGTGCTGCAGTTAAGAGACGCGTCTGATACAGGCCAATGATAGTCGAGAATTTAACATAATCTGCCCCACCTACACAGTGCCAAACACTTCCCATCCTTGCTGCGTGCAACTACGCAACGCGACTCGGCCGCCCGCCCGTCTAGTTCTTGACTGTTCGAGTAAACAACGACACTAAGATTCTGTGTTCGCGTCGCATCGCCCGATTTGCACCCGATTCGAGTTTCGTCAGGCAACTCTGTCTTCCGAATTGCTTTTGGCTTGGGGCTTCATCTCAAATAAACCCTAAAATTGGCACCCGAGCGTCGTCGCGTCGACTGTGTAATTCTTTACTTTCTCCCTCTTTTTCTTAACCTGGCTATTGCTACTTGTACGAAGTCTTGTTTGACAATCCGCCGCCATGGCACCCCGACCGTCCCTGGCGCGTCGCACGCTTGCGCCGCAGGGTGAACACATCTACGAGCTCGGTGTAGTGGGGAGGTATGTCATGTCCAAAAAAGGGAGGCAAATAAGGCACAAAGAAGCGAGGGGGAGAGAAAAAAAGACTCCCAACCTCTGGTATGGTGCAATTTCGCTGACTCTCCGTTTCCGGCAGGAAAACTGGCGTTACCGTACCCGATTCGGGTGTCCGCGACGAACATGGCATGGAACCGATTGAGAACCTCTTTTCGTCCCCCGGCAAGTCGGACCAGGAGGAGAATCAAGAAAACTCGGATGATTATGGGAGTGGCGAAGAGGCGATGGACATCACAACGAGTAGGTCTCACGAGAATACCCATGGCAAGGGATAGGAAGCTTTGGAGGACTAGACATTAACACTGCCTCAAGCATCAGGAATTGGGCCCGCCGCCCTGCTTAAAAGCCAAGGTAACAGGCTGCCAGTACCATTGTCGCGCGTTCGATCACCGGCCAAGACTCTACTCAACTCGCCCGCCCAGCGCAATCGGTTCCTCGCGCGCAACTCGTCATCCCCCGCCCGCGGTTCCGTCATTAGGAACGACGGCTCGCGGTCGAGCAGCCAGCCGACGGGCGACTCCACCGTTGCCGCTACGAAGCGGCGCCTCGACTTCCGCAGTGTCGCGAATGGCGGCCCGCACTCGCTTTCGCAACCCCAGTCATTAAGCCACCATCGCATGCAGCCATTGCAACACGAGGATGAAGAAGAGGCCGAGGTGTTGAACGGAGCGGACGAATACGGGGCGGACGAGGATAACGACGACGTCAACGACTTTGTTGAAGAATCCATGGCCATGCTGAACGGCGCTGATGACGACGATCTCGGGGAACCGGAATTAGACGCGCCACAGGAGGAGGAATCGGTCGGAGAAGTCGATCCACCGACACCTGTCGCTGCGAAGAAAAAACCTGGACGACCGCCCAAGAAGCAAGCGACCGTGTCGGCCAAGATTGCAGCGGTTCAGCGGAAGCCTGCTCCGGCAGTTCTAGAAGAGCAAGGAGATGCAGATGATCAGGAAGACGACGGGCAACCTGAGGATGAGGAGGAACAGGAGCCAACACCGGAACAGGCGAGGCCGGCGCCAGGACGACGCGGACGACCAGCCAAAACCACAAAACCACCAGCAGCTGCCGCTCCAGCGCCCTCTGCCCGCGGTGCTAAGAAGCGCCGCTCGTTGGAGGGGCCAACAGAAACCGAGCCGGACCAGCCTGATCCAAAACGCCAACGCATTTCGCCCGCTGGTGCCGCTGAAACCAAGAAACGAGGTCGCCCCCCCAAATCAGCCACCGCTGAATCCTCAGCAGCAGCAGCAGCAAAGCCGAAACCCCGCGGCCGCGGTCGCAAACCATCTCCAGATGCCGACGTAGGCGACACCTCGCACATCTCCATCGCGCGGCGTCCGCCCCTTCCCAAATCCCGCGGCCTCCTAATCAACCGACCGGCGGCGTCACGTCACGAACACCTCGACGACCCGAACTCATCCATGCGCCGCACCCGCTCCGGCCGCACATCTTTCAAACCGCTCGCGTATTGGCGCAACGAGCGCGTCGAATTCGACCGCGGCGAGGCCGAGGATACCTTCGTCGGTCGCAAAAAGACGGGCCGGTTCGTACTGCCTAGCGTGAGCGGGATTGTCAGGGTGGATGAGCCTGAGGTGGACGTCAAACGCGCCGGAGCTGGAAGGAGAGGGAGGAGGAAGAGTACTGCTGCCGCTGCTGCGGGCGGGAAGCGCGGGAGGAGGAGGAGGAGCGGTGCTGCCGGGTATGACGGCGACGACTACGATGACGACTCGGGCGCACATGGGCCTGCGGAGGTCTGGGAGCTAGACCCGGGCACGGTCACCGGCGAAGTCGTGGTCTGGCAACCCGAGTATGAGTTCAGTCCACCGGCACCGAACGACATCATCAATGTCATAGACAAGCAGCTTGCCATCAGCAGTGCGGCGATCAAAACTACCGAGGTCGTCGGCGGCGAGTTCCGCTACGCCAAGGTGTTTAGTGAAGGGTTTATTGGCGCCGGTGTGGTGGACTTGCCGCCTGGGGCGGTGAAGCGACTCAAGAACTCGCGCAAGGTGTTTATGATATTTTTTGTTCACGCCGGCAGGGTGTTGGTAACCGTTCAGGAGACGAGTTTCCGCATCAGCAGGGGAGGCATCTTTATCGTGCCAAGGTGTAAGTGTTTCCCTCGCATGATCCATGCACTATCCATACACTGGGGACTTGGCTTTCTCTGTTGCTAACGCCGTCTAGACAATGAATACACCATCGAAAATGACTATGACCACCCGGCGCGCATCTTCTTTGCGCAGGGCCAGGAGGTGGCGGTGAATCCACCAGACGAGCAGGACGGTGGTGCTGAGGGAGAAGAAGAGGATGCCGATGAGGAAGTAGAGGTTAGTGAAGGGGAGGAGGGAGAAGAAGAAGAAGGGAGTGAGGAGGAGTAAAAGGGGGAAAAAGTATAGGCAGAGGTTGTTGGGATTAGACCTGCAAGTGTCTGGTATTAAACAAGAAAAGGACAGGGTTGGGATTATTTTGTGGATGCAGGAGCGTTTGTTTCCCCGTGGGTATTTGTCAGTTGTCTCCCTGTCGGTTTATGGCATCATATTGTCGGCTTACTTATTTATACCAAGTGAATGGGATGGAATAGGTGGTAACTGTCATATGTTTTATACATTCCGGGCAGTTCATTGCCTCATGCTTGCTTGCTTGCTAGCCTCTGGACATTACAGGGTGAGAAGGGTATCTTACAACCGCTGCAGCGCGCAAACCCACACACTTTTCTTCTCTCACCTTTTCCTTGACTCTTTTCCCCACACGACATGACATGACTTACATCTCCTCAGTTAACACTTTCTTCAGCTCCCCCATCTCCTTCTCATACCCCACAATCTTTTTCTGGCTCCCCTGCAACTTGGCAAGCAAATAATTCACCCGATCCGCCGCCTGATACGGCTGCGATGGCAAACTCGCCAGAACACTCAACTCCCCTTCTGCCTTGTCAATATTTTTCGCCTCAATCTTAGCCAGCTCCGTCAGCACCGCTAGGTTCATGCGTGCCTTGACGACTGGGTCGGCTAACAAGCGATGGAAAGCGGCTTGGTAGACGGGTTTTCCGGCTCCGATGGTTGCGGGGCGGCCGTGGCGCGAGCGGATGGTGATGAGTTCTGCGTTGGCCAGGCTTTCGAGAGCAACTTCCGGGTTGGCGGCGCCAGCGGTGAGGGACGAAGCGAATGTGTTGGTTAGAAGGACTTCGTTGTAGCGCAGGCGTTCCTGGCTCGCGATCTCGCGGATCAGGTACCAGGCTTGCTCGGTAGACCATTTTTTGTCGGTGCTACTGGCACTGTTGCCGTCACCCTTGTTGGCTAGGAGAAACATTCGCAGGATCTCGGAGGCGCTCTGCTCGATGATGTCCTCGACGGCCTTTTTGGGGCTCTGGCCGACCTTGAGACGACGGGCTAGGACTTGCAGGTCGGTTAGACGGCCGCCGAGAAGGTCAATGCACTCGTCGAGCTCCTGGAGATCCCTCCTGCGCTGCTTCTCGGTGATGGTGGGAGTGTCGTGGGTTTTGTTGTGTTTGTTTTCGTTGGTCTTGTCACCTTTCCTGTTCACGTCCTGATCTGACTCGAGCTGTGATACGACGAATTGTTTGGCGACATCCGGAGTCAAATCGCCTAACGTGATTTGGTGGAAGACGCGGTCGGGCAGGGCTTTGCCGAGGGGTTTAGGAAACGAGGTGTCGGTGGTCAGGAATATGACATGGGCGACGTTGGACTGTACCAAGGCAGCGGCCCACTCGGACAGTCGGTCATACACGACGCCCCTTTCGTCGCTCTTGTGGAGGAAGTTGTCGATGACGACGACGGGACGCCGCTCAGGGTGTGCCTCGAGGTACGCATCGTCGGTCAGGTTGGCGTCCCTATCACGTTTCTTCTTGTCGGCTAACGAGACATCCTTAAGGGCGGAAGCGGTCGTCTGGAGAATCTTGGTGACTTGCGACTCAAAGTTCTCGGAGAAGCCCGCTTTAACACCCGTAGTGCTCTGGATGGCAAGATCGACCATGCTGCTCAGGTTGTTGGCCCATGAGAAAACTGGGCGGTAGCCAACCTGGTTGGCAAGCTTTCGGATGGTGCCGGCTTCGCCGCGGGCCTCGACAACCTGCCGACAATCGATGACCAGCACATCAGGGCGGCCCTCGAGGACTTGGTCCATGACAAGTTCGCGGCCGCCAGAGCCGCGCGGGCCATGAACGACAATGAAGGTCTCAACGGTCTCTAGCAAGCTGTTCTGCATGGCCTCGATTAGGTCTTTTCGGTGAGTGAACAGGGCGTCGAGCCCGGCGTCGTCGTCATGGCGTTTGTGGAACGTGAAGATGTCAGAGGTCTGCCGTTTCACCCACTGATACAGCTTGGTGCTGGTGAACTCAAAGGACCGTTGGACATGGATCTAAGGGATAGGTTAGATAACATTGTGAGCAAACTCTCGGGGAGTTACAAACGCACCTTGACGAAGAACTCGCGGATGGGATCAAAGACGGCGACGGTAAAGGCAGCTAAAAGAGCGGCAACAATGGGAAAGACGATGCGCGGGTGATTTGTCAACCAGTTCCAGATATGATGAGGCTTCACCCGCTGCTCATACGATAACCGCAGCCGCGTCTGGTTCTTGCTGCCCTCCTCTTGGATGACGAAGCCATGTACGCAGTTGCGGGCGAGAATGGCATCTCGCACCAGCATAAAGTCAACGTAGGCGAACTTGGGTAGGACCTTGGAGTCCGGGGGCTGGGAGACGATGTCGGAGATCTTTCCATAACGGCGGAAGAGGCTAAATAGTGACTCCTGTGATAGCTCGGTAGGAGCTTCCGAATCTTTGGCGGGGACAAATTCAATGCGTAGGCGGCTCTTGGGTAGACGGTGTAGGTCTTCGAGCCAGGGACGGCCGAGAACGAGGTGTGACTTGATGCTGCGGAGAGGGTTGAACCACGGCTTGACGGGTTTCTTGTTGAGGGACTTGACCAATTCATCTAGGAAAGAGGTGTCGAGGTTAGTTAGAGCTGGTAGATAGCCGCGACGACTTCGGGAAACACGGTGCATACCCTCAATCTTAGTAGCCGATATGTCCTTGGGATAGGTAAACTTGACGTAGGCGCCGCCCTCTTTTAAACGTGGGATGATCTCGGTGACTGTGATGGGAGCGGATTTGGGGATGGCACGTTTGACGAGGCCAATGGGGTCAAGGAAGCTCAGGGACGCGCTGTTGAACCGGCCGAGCAGCTCGTTAGTCTCCCAGGCACGCCACATAAGCACCGAGCTGAGCCTGAGGGGGAAGATATCTGAGAAAAGGAACAGAACAAAAAGTCAGCGGGGTGGTTCTGGGGTCACGAGTCACTGGTGTCTCGGGGCATCTCTGGTGGCTCCTCTGTGCGTACTGTCAAAGAACAGGATCGACTCGTTGGGTCCGGTTTCAATGTGCCCGGTATTGTCGCTACCCACGGTACCAGACGTGGTGTTGACGCTGGTATCCCCCGCGGCAGTGCTTTTGGCGATACTGCTGCTCTCCCATCTTCGAACTAAGGGCCTCGGATGTCTTGGGACACCAATTGGCCAACCCGTGTTTGAAGGACGAGGTCCGATGAGGCATGGCGCCCGAAGGCTCGGCCTCATGGGCAGCCGGAGGAGCACACGTCTGGATATCATGGCTTCATGGCTGCACCGGGGCTTTCCAGAAGAAAAAAAAAGACAAAGTCCTCGACGGTTAGAATTCGGCGGTTGGCAGTTGACAAGGTCCAGACCCTTCGGCAAGCTCGCTGCCCCTCGATGAGGTCATTGGTCCCCTCGTCTGGAGTGGCTAAACGGACTGGGAGAACAGGGTACTCGGCTTGGATTATACTGGACATATCCCCGTCTATCGTTGTCAACAACTTTGCTGCCATCTTCTAATTAGTTGAATTGCATTTTGACGACCATTAGCTCTGTGGAAATGCCAATTCTTTTTCGTGTCCTCGATTCCTTAGATACCCCCTCGAGCTTGAGCACAGTTACTCTAGCTGAACCCTTTCTGAACGACCCCACACTCCTTAGCGACTCGCAAAACGTGAATACCCCACTCTCCAACGCCAATCATTTCCCGCTCCATGCATGCAAGAAACTATCCCGCTGCAGACCCCCGACCACAGGCACACGGCATCCAGCGCCTCATTCCCACGCGACGGCGGCCAGTGACCTGCCCCTCACTTCCCCCCTCTCGATCGAATCTCACAGAGTTTTGACCTGGTCCTCAACACTATCTCAGCCCGCCCGCCCATCTTGTGTGTACGAGTGCCAGGGAAACAGACCGCAGCCCGAAAACTACCCTTTTTCTAGACCAACCTCGACCTCAGAACCATCGACATGGGTTGGTTTTGGCAGTCCTCGACTCCTCCGCCTACGGGCTCAAATAGCTCACCATCATCGTCCCCAACTGCGGTCCGAACCTCTTCGTCGGCGACTGGGTCATCTTCATCCCAGTCCCCTTCCGCAACCAACCAGTCCAAACCCACAAACTCGAGTGACCGCGAGATGGCCCTGTTCATGGACATGTTCATGAAGGACGCTCAAAAATCCTCCTCGCAGTCCAATCCCAGCCAGAACCCACCACAGCCGCCGTCTCACCCCAACTCTCAATCATCATCTTCCTCTTCCTCCTCATGGCTGCCCTGGGCCTCCAACTCTTCCACCACCACCGGACCCTCCCAAGACCACCAACAACAACACCACCCCCAAGAAAAAGACACCCGCTCCCCCCACTCAATCTCCATGTCCGAGCACTCCCTCCCCACGACCCTCTCCTGCCGCGACGCCTTCGACTACGCCTGGCACTGCCACACCCCGGGATCCCAATGGAACGCCGTCTACCGCTACGGCACCGTCCGACCCTGTACCGAGCTCTGGGACGATTTCTGGTTTTGCATGCGCACCAAATCCTTTTCGCCCGAAGCCCGCGCCGAGGCGATTCGGGAGCACTACCGCGCCAAAGAGACCGCGAAATATGGACGGGGTGGGCCGAGCAGCGAGGATGTTTGGGAGAGTCGGGAGGAGAGGGTGGTTGAGGGGACGGTGTTCCGGACGCCGTTTGAGGCGCCCGCGGTGGATGATGATGAGGTTCGGAGGCAGGATGCTGAGTGGAGGAGGGCGAGACGGGAGAAGGTTGAGAGAGAGAACCGATGAGTTAAGGTAATTAATGCAAGTCATTAATGTCGTAATATAAGGGGATCACGGAGTCTTCTCAAACCATGTATATTTTTGAGTTTTGTATAGCGATACAATACCATCTCCTTCCAGCAACACTGAGTAAATATTAATTGCCTTAGCTATTGATACCACAAGCATAATAATCATAACACCGCGTCGAAACCACGTTTGACCATCCTAATGCGGTAGGCTTTTGCTGCGGTCAACCTTTCGTTTGTGAGGCTGACTGTTTACAACTAGTTATGTAGGCATACTACATGTCACATGATCAGAGAAGAAAGAGGACGAATTTTTTTTAGAAATTTCCTTAATTCATTGCAAGGAAACGGGAATCGTAACTAAAGTACAACCATGAGAGCCTCCCTGACTTTTCCCCTGTATCATGATCATCATGAGAAACCAGATCTAGGTGTAAGCCCCTGACTACCACCGAGAAAAAGAAAAGTTAAAAAAAGCAGAAACGCCGGCCCAAATGTCAATCCCACTTTGTCCTTTTAATCGACCTCCTCGACAGTGGGGCCGTCGTTGTCGTGACCGCCACCGGGAGCGCCGCCAGCGCCAGGGAAGCCACCCGGAGCACCGCCGGGGAAGCCACCAGGGGCGCCACCGCCAGGAGCGCCACCAGCACCGTAGAACTTCATCATGATCGGGTTGGCGATAGCCTCAAGATCCTTCTGGTGTTCCTCGTACTCCTCACGAGTGGCCTGTTGGCTGTCGTCGAGCCAGGCCACAACCTCCTGGATCTTGTCCTCGAGGGCCTTCTTGTCGGCAGCGTCGAGCTTCTCGTCGACCTTGGGGTCGCTCAAGGTGTTGCGGAGAGAGTAGGCGTACGACTCAAGGCCGTTCTTGGCCGATACACGGTTGGCCTCAGCCTCATCCTCCTCCTTGAACTTCTCAGCCTCCGCGAGCATGCGCTCGATGTCCTCCTTCGACAGACGGCCCTTGTCGTTGGTGATGACAATCTGGTTGGTCTTGCCGGTGCCCTTCTCGAGAGCGGAGACGTTCATGATGCCGTTGGCGTCAAGGTCGAAGGTAACCTCGATCTGGGGGACACCACGAGGGGCAGGCGGGATGCCGGTAAGCTCGAACTTGCCGAGCAGGTTGTTGTCCTTGGTACGCTGGCGCTCACCCTCGTAGACCTGGATCAGGACACCAGGCTGGTTGTCCGAGAAGGTGGAGAATACCTCCGACTTCTTGGTCGGGATAGTGGTGTTGCGGGGAATGAGCTTGGTCATCATACCACCGGCAGTCTCGATACCGAGCGAGAGAGGAGCCACATCGAGCAGCAGGATCTCGTTGGTCGACTTGGAGCTAGTGTCGCCAGACAAAATGGCAGCCTGGACGGCGGCACCGTAGGCAACGGCCTCGTCGGGGTTGATGGACTTGTTGGGCTCCTTGCCGTTGAAGTAGTCGCTGATGAGCTTCTGGATACGGGGGATACGGGTAGAGCCACCGACAAGGACGATCTCGTGGACCTGAGACTTGTCGATCTTGGCGTCGGTCAAAACGCGGTCGACGGGCTGCAGAGTGGAGCGGAAAAGGTCCTGGCACAGCTCCTCGAAACGGGCACGGGTGATCGAGGTGTAGAAGTCGATACCTTCGAAAAGCGAGTCGATCTCAATTGAGGTCTGAGCAGACGACGATAGGGTACGCTTGGCACGCTCGCAAGCAGTGCGCAGGCGACGGAGCGAGCGGGCATTGCCGGTGAGGTCTAAATGACTAACTTAGCTACATGTCCATGAATCCGTCGGCCGTGGAATACAAAGAAATGTGGAATAAAACTCACCCTTCTTGTTGCGGCGCTTAAACTCGTTGGCCAGGTGGTTGACGAGGCGGTTGTCGAAATCCTCACCACCCAAGTGAGTGTCACCAGCGGTGGACTTGACCTCGAAGATACCCTCCTCGATGGTGAGGAGAGAGACATCGAAGGTACCACCACCCAGATCGAAAATCAGGACGTTCCGCTCGCCCTCGACCTTCTTGTCAAGACCGTAGGCAATGGCAGCCGCAGTGGGCTCGTTGATGATACGGAGGACGTTAAGACCAGCGATGAGGCCGGCATCCTTGGTGGCTTGACGCTGAGAGTCGTTGAAGTAGGCGGGGACCGTGACAACGGCGTTGTTGACGGTGTCACCAAGGTAAGCCTCGGCGGTCTCACGCATCTTGGTCAGGACCATGGAAGAAATCTCCTCGGGGGTGAAGGTCTTGTTCTCGCCCTTGAACTCGACCTCGATGATGGGCTTGCCGCCGCGCTCAATGATCTTGAAGGGGAAGTGCTTCATGTCGGCCTGGACCTCAGCATCGTTGAACTTGCGGCCAATGAGGCGCTTGGCGTCGAAGACCGTGTTGTGGGGGTTCATGGCGACCTGGTTCTTGGCGGCATCTCCAATGAGGCGCTCGGTGTCCGTGAAGGCCACGAAAGAGGGAGTGGTGCGGTTACCCTGGTCATTGGCGATGATTTCGCAACTGTGAAAAGACGTTAGCATGTTGTTAAGACGCAAATTCTGGTGTTTTCGGCCGTTCAACCAATTCCTACGTTGACAAGCAACAGGCGAGGCCAGACCTCTCTATGCGCGGGGCAAACCCGACAGCTTGGGAACCAATTGATGAGGTCGGTCCCCTGTGCACCAGGCACAAGCACCAACCACAATCAACGAAAGATGTTCCAGAGCCGGGTTGACGCCGAGCGGAAAGCGATCTGCCCATAACACGCCCAAGGTAATTCTAGGAGAAAGAGGAAGTTTTAGAACTTACCGATCCTCACGGAAGACACCCACACACGAGTAGGTGGTGCCCAAGTCGATACCGACCGCGGGTGCCATCTTGTCTGTTTTTCGCGTTGTGCAGTGATGGGAAGTCGATTATGTGCAGTGCAAACGGTCGTGGTTTGATCCCCAAAGGAAGAAAAAGCCGATGCAAAGTTGTAGATGGGTTGAAGAGAGAATGGGTGGATGGAGGAGGTGCGAGTGGAAGGAGGGGCAGAAAAGCTTTCCGAATTTAAGCGCAGCTTGAATTTGGGCTGAGATTCCACGACCTTCGGTGGGGTTCTCCCACCCCACTACACAAAGGTACCGCCGGCTACCTCTGGATTGGCCTGGCAACCCCTCGCCCCCTCCACACAAGACTGGAATATTCCAGTGGCAGCCTTGCTAGTCTTTGTGTTTCTTCAGCGCCTCCCAACAGGTCTGTCCGTTGGTCACCAGATGACTCTCTACCTTTCTAGAGGGACCGGGTCGTTCATCATGTGCCTTTAAAGTAAACATCACTTGAAATCTCGGTCACAGTTTGCAATTTCCTCTTTTGGACAGCTTGCATTGATGGTTGGGAGCCCCTTCACCTACGAATAGCTCTGAAAGGATCCTGCCAAGCTGCCGAGGAGCACCTCACTGAAACTTGGGGATGCTGATACTTAGACGCCGCCACCACCACCGGGCATGCAGACTGCCCCGCCAAAATTGAGAGGATCCGCTTGCCATCAGCCGGGGGGATGAAGACGCCCAATCTACATAGTAGAAACATGGAATACAATTGATTTGGTTCAGCAGTATTAATCCGCCATTTCAAGCCGTTTCCAGCCGTTTCCGTCGAGCACTGGCGCTTTGCATACCTCAGGAGGGGTGGGATGAGGCGCGGCAGCCGCAAGCATCGACACAGCAGCCAGGGCAGCAGGGCAGCAGGCACGGCAGGCTCCACTTGGATGTGGCGTTACTGCAGGACATTCACACTTGTACCCCCAGGTACCCCTTAAGAACCCACCCACGATCTTGCAGCATCTTTGGCCCGCCTCCCTCCTGCAGCTCACTCAGCTTTGGGTGCCTGAAGTTTTTCACAGCATGAACTCTTTGTTTCCCATTAACCGCTAGCACCTAAAAGAAAATGCCCAACGAACCGCACGTGATTTGCGAGATGACCAAGCCAAGCTTTCTTTGGCCTTGATTCAACACAGAAGCGATTTAGAGGTGCGATGTTCCTCCCCTGAGGCCGAGTGATTTCTCTGCTTTGAGTCGGCGTGGAGTTTCTCAGCGTCATCTTTTCAGCGACCCCCGCCACCGCCAAATGAGGTCATGGAATTGGCGATAAGATAAAGATTTTCTGCCCCGCAGTTGGCCAAAAAAAGCGGCACACCAAAACAGATACCTTGAGTCCAAGCTATCAACATTCGATCAAACCTCAACTGATTTTGATAGTTATACCTGGGATAGCTACTCAGAACCCTAATATTCCTGTGGTCTTGGTATTGCTTTTTAAACCCTTGCTTCACACTACCGACGCCTTGATTTATGATGTGCCCTCTTCTTTCACTTTTGTAGAAAAGCGGGGCATCAGGGTACTTGGTGTGCCGCGTTTTGCGAGGCGTGCGAGGTTAGGAGGTTAGCTCCTTAGGTACTCGCTAGCTAAGCTGTGGGAGAGCGGGGCATCGCTGTGTGCAAGGATATATGTGCGCTTACTACGTACCTGGGAGAATTTTAATTTACATTTTGCGTTGATCAACTTTAGAAAAACTGTCAAACAAAGAACCTACAATTCCTCGATTCCGAAACAGCTCCTTTAGACGTTTCATACAGCCGCCACCATGTTGATCAAGGAGAGCTTTGCAGACGTGCAGACCTTGGCCAACGGCAAGGAGAGCACAATGAGTATGTCCTGGTTCAACTACAGGGTTTATCACAGGAGACATGGGCTTGGACTTCTATGGTGATGGTGAACTCACAAACGCCTGCTAGGGATCTTTTTGTTCCATCCCACCATTGCAGGCTATCCCAATGCGTGAGTCTTGACATCTTGATTCCCTCGCGATGTCAGAGCTAATATCACTCTTCAGTCGCTTTCCAGGGGTTGTTCTATTCAGTGAGATTTACCAAGGTGAGATAGCCTTCCCTGTTAATATTTTCACCACAGACGAGTACCTGACCTGGGACAGTGACTGGCCCTGTTGCTCGTTTTGCCAGGCAGATTGCTGGCCAGGGCTACATTGTTGCCGCTCCCAGCAGCTACCATGATTTTACCGGCCCAGAGCCCCTAGCGTACGATGTGCCAGGCACGGACAAGGGAAATGAGTGGAAAATAACAAAGGTAAATAATCCAGGGTCTTAGGATTTGCAAGTCTAGTTTTTAATGTCGAAGCTTCCAGACCCTCGATTCCTACGACGAAGACTCAACCAAGTCGGTGGACTATCTTCTTTCCCTCCCGACATGCACTGGCCGTATCGGAGCCACCGGGATGTGTCTAGGCGGGCACCTAGCCCTCCGTGCCAGTGTATGTCCTCTTCCTCCCCTCCTTTTTTCTCTCCTTTTTTATTTCTAGATTCCCACGCGAAACCCAAGCTAAACCACCTACCTACCTACTCCCCAGCTCGACACCCGCATCACAGCCTCAGTCTGCTACTTCCCCACGGACATCCACACCCGCACTCTCGGCCCGCACAACGGTCCCGACTCCTCCCCCACCCCTTCAAGCACCAACAGCCCCCACACCCTCGACCGCCTCCACCAAATCCGCGGCGAGGTCTCCCTCATCTTCGGCATCAAAGACACACACGTGCCCGACGCCGGCCGCGATCTCATCCGCGCCAAGATGCGCGAGGCCAAGACGACGTTTAGTTTTCATGAGTTTGCGTGGGCGCAGCACGCTTTTATTCGTGATGAGCTTAGTAAAGGCCGGTATGACCCTGCTGTGAGCCGGGCGTGCTTTGAGGTGTTGCTGGAGGTGTTTGGAAGGGTATTGAAGACGGAGTTGGGGGAGGCGGAGGGGGGTGTGCCGGAGGTGGAACATGTTTGTTGATTGGGGATGGGAGGGCTATGAGCTGATGAAGGAGGAACAAAGGAACTTTGACCTTGGAATGGACTAATACATACGCCCTGAGGTTTACACTCACTCTAAAATGGGTCTATAGCAAACAATGTCAAGAAACCTTTAGGTCCGTTTGCCATCTATGAAATAATTGAACTCCATAAAATGATCATGCTACACAGTGTTCTCTCCCCTCTTTCTAAAAACAGTAGTTTAAACAAAAATATGTCTGTTTGTACGTGGATGAAAATTCCTTGTTCCATTCCAATTCTCTTCTGAGTTCCGGTTTTCCCATTTCATTCACCATTACGGTTTGTTGGGCAATATGAACCCATTCCCGTATCTAACGAGAGGCTCAGACAATCCTGCCTAGTTCCTCCTCATCAAAACGACGAGTCCCAAAAAATCAAATTCTACCCGCTCCCCCCGGACCCGTCGGCCCAACCTGTCCCTGACTAGATCCCCCTTGCTGTTGTGGGTGGCTCACACTGGTCCCTCTCTGCCTCGCCCCAACAAGCGGCCGCCCACCAGCTCCGGGAGGCGGTGACCCCGGCTGCAAGTGCGTCGGAGACGTCAGGGTTGGTGACGTCACACCCCCCGGATACGTGCCGGGTTGCTGCTGATGTTGTTGAACAGTTGTGTCGATGGGCGTCGGACCCTGGACGTAAGGCTGCTGGTGTTGGTGTAGCGGGTGCTGCAACGGCTGCTGCTGCACGTTGTATGTGCCCCAAGCCCCCGTGGGGGCGCTAGCACCGGCCGGTGGAGGGGAGGACATACCGGCCTGGCGCTCGACGTCAAAGGACCGTTTGCCGCCGCCGGGGCGGTTGGACGATGTGGATTGTGTGAGATGCACACCCGGCAAGCTGGGGTCTTCGTTAAGGGCGTGCGGGGGTAGAGTTTCGCCGGCTGGGCGGCGGCCACGTTGGGATTCGCGGGCACCCAAGTTTGTACTCGAACCGCTGAGGATGTTGGAACGGCGGGAAGCGGAGTGCGCGAGGTTAGCGCCGCCGGAGCCGGAACCCACGTCAGATGGTTGGCGGCGGTCGGACGAGGGATCGCGGCTGGTGGAGAAAGTGAGGGTGTTATCGTAGCCCCAGTCGTCGAGGGCCTCGACTACGGCATTGCGGGTGTTGATCTGGTCGGCGGCGCGCTGCTCGGCTGCAGCGGCTTCATCAGCCGTGGCGGATTCCTCAGCGCTTTGGTTTGCTAGCTTCTTCGCCGTCTTGGTCTTCTCAGATTCAGCACGGGCGTTGGCGGCATACTCGTCCGTGACGGCAACGCTGTATGCGGGGTTGGCGGGTCCGCCGAGGGCATCACCGCCGCCTCCGGGGGCGTTGATGGGCACGCGACGGAGGGCAAGCGTGAGGGCACACATGAACTTGGAGCGACGGGTGGCGCGGACGGCGTCGTTGTGCCAGTTGGACTTGTGCTTGATGGCAATCTTGAGCGTCAACTTGTCGCAGTCCCCGACACCGCCGACACCGATGGCAATATCCGGTTGGAAATCGCGGTTGTTCTCTGGGGCGCGCACAAACTGCTCTAGCTCGAGGCGTAGTAGCTCGATGTCCTCAAACGAAGTGTCGAACGAGACGTTGACGTCAATAACTTCCTTCATGGCCTTGCTTCGCGTCACGTTCTCAACCCAGGCATTGTTGAGGACAATGTTGGGGACCTGGACGACCTGCATTTTGTCGATGCGGGTGAACACGGTGTAGAGCAAAGAGATCTTCTCAACAATGAGCTGCTCCTTTTCCGGGCCCACGATATCCACACGGTCGCCAACATCGTAGGGGTGTTTGACGAAGAGGAAGATGCAAGAACCGAGGAACTCCTGGGTGGTAACGGCGAAGACGAAGGACAGCGAGAGCAACGTGGTACCAGCCGTAGTAAGGGTGGCGATGAAGCTGCTTTGGAAAACGGCCACTAGATTGTGTTAGCACAAATTTGAAGCCTGAACTTGAGGCAGGAAAAATGGGAATGGAAAAAGAAGAGAAGAAAAAAAACGTACAGAAGATGATGATGACGATAATCAGCACAACAAAAAGAAGAACCTTGTCGAAAACCGCAAGAGCCTGGCTGATATCCTTCATGCTGTGCGCAATAGCCTTGCGCTCTTTACCAGTTTCAACCACCTTGCGGATCATCTCGTCCAAGCTGATATCCCCATTCTGGTCGGCATCGATGGCATTGAAGCACTCCTCGGCCTCCTCGCGGTGGGCGGGGCCCATGACCTCAATGATATCGTCCATCGAGAGGGCCTCCTGGCCCTCGACGACAAAGGACATCCAAATACGGCGGGCCATGGCTTCGGAGCTGCGGACCTTCTCAAGGGCCTCGACAACGATGGAGTGGGCCGAGTTGGGGTTGAAGACCTGCTTGCCGGTGATCTCCGAGGCGATGTTGCCAAACACAGAGGTGATCTTGTCCCCGAAACGGCCGACGTCACCGACGAGCCTCATAGGCGCGGCTGCGACACCTTGCTTCCCACTGGCCTTGTTCCGAGCGAGCATGACCTCGATACTATCGTTGATGACATAGTCCTCTTCGGCAAACTCCGGGCAGTACATGGGGAAGAGCGTGCGGGAGGCCTCGTACATGAGGCCGAGGAGAAAGATCTCGCGCTTGGAGTCGTGGATGCGGTTGGCAAAGGAGCGCTGGTGGTAACTGATGCTGATCAGTTGCACCAAGAACTTCTCGCCGAGCAAGACGGCGGACGAGATGAAGAGCGAAAGCAGGATGCGGACGATGACGTCGGACCACGAGCGATTGGCGCCATCCCACATAAACTTGAACGACAGCCACGAGGCGAGGCCCCAAAAGAAAAGCGAAAGCGGTATTTCGAGCGCGCGCAGGACGGTGGCGTACTTCCTCGTGCCGGAGCTGATGACGCCGCAGAAGAACATGAAGATGAAGGGCAAGATATGAGCGACCATCTTCCCGGCCCAGAGGGCCAACCAGGAGACCTCAAACCAGACGAAGAGTAAGAACAGGCTATGGCGGTGGCCGTCGCCGAGCGAAACCCGGTCCTTGTCCCCCGTGAGAGGGAGGACAATGATGGGAACCGCAAGCAGGAGAACCACGGGGACGACGTAGACGAGGTAGCGCGTAAGGACGGAGAAGCCGACAATCTTATTGTACAAGCGACCCATGGCGTTCAACGAAGCCTCGTCGCTGCCGTCGCTGTTCGAGCGTTGTAGGTCGCCGCGGACGCGGCGCCTGCCGGCCGGGCCGCCGACGGCCTTGTGGAAGAGGGCGTGTTTCTCGTCCATATTCTCGGCGTTGACTCGGCGGGTGCCAGTAGAGCTGGCGTTGGACTTGATGGTCCGGAGGGGAATATCCTGCATCTCGGTGCTGTTGGCACCACCCGAGATCTGGACAAAGCCCCGATTCCCGGGTGATCTGGTCGACCTAAGGGACATTGGTCAAACCCGCAAGGAAGAGGCACGGGTGACGATGGGTTGTGAGTGTCTCAGCGGCGGGGTCTATTTGTACTTCGTCTCAAGTCGACTGTGTTGTACCGCGTCGAGGTTTCAGGAAACGCCAAAAAAATATTAAAGCGGAAAGCGCGAGAAGAAGTCTAGCTCCTTAATGGCACCCGAAGAAATAAAATAGAGTCTAGAATGAAGGGGCCAAAGGACCAGAAAAAGAATCGATGACGAGGCCGAAAGAAGCGACTGGATTCTAGAATTCGTAGAGTGGAATCGAGGTGCGGCGTTCGAGGAGGATGCCAACAGCCGTCAAAAGTCGCACACAAAGGACTCTTTTTTCTGTCAATGGCATCGACCGTTGGGCCGTTGTCAATAAGACGGAAGTCAACGAGGGCGAGGTGGTCCGAAAAAAAACGAGAGTACTTCTGTAAAAGAACAGAGCAAGAGAGTGTGTGTTTGTTCGCTGGGAAAAGAGTGGGTTAACGAGGGGATGTGCAGAACGTCACATTAGTGTGGATGTATGCCGAAGAATAGAGAAAAGAGAAGCCCTAGGGCCTTCCTGATCAGTTGACGAGGGAGGGTGGAGGATGAGGGGAAGCAGGGAGACCTTCTCGAAGATCGACAACTTTTTGGGGGGGGTTCGGTTTTCTTTCCTGAGTTGCATCCGGGCCATGTCCCCTCGGCATGGCCTGTGGCACCCTGCATCTCGATTGGAAATTTCCAGCTTCCAAGCCCACGACAACACGAAGGAAAGGGGTGCCAGCCGATTGGACCCTAACAGCCCTTGGTCAAGCCAGGTTCCATTCCGTATTCCACTCCCGCTGGGCCGCTCCCGGAAAAGGCGTTGTCTCGAAACAGTGCTGCCGAGATGCCCTAGCGCCGCCATCAGGTACCCGCCAGCAGCCCGTGAGCAGGGACTCTTCCATGGCGGCCATGTTCGCCATGGTGGGTTCCTTCCCTCGTTCCCCTTGAGACCCCAGAGCTGGCTCGATTGGTCACACAGGTTTGCTGGGTTGGCGGTCCTGGGCAGGGGTTCAGAGATCTCCGGCGCAATGGCTTGGCAGGATTGGGCCAATGAATGGCGGGCTGAGGAGAAAACCCAAACGCGAAGGCCCACATATTTTCTTGTTTCATGTTGGAAGCCCCGGACGATTGGACCATTCGTCACAACCGGCAACGGAAGCCCCTTGTTTGCCTCTGAAAAAAAGGAGTTGAAAAAGAGGAGCGAAAACCGTTCGGATCTTCTCACAGCACACCAACATGATGAACGTTAGGATCTAGGGTCTTTGGAAGAGAGACAACGGTCGGCGGAGAAGGTGATCTCAAGAGCAAAAGTTGAAAAAAAGTTGACGTCTCTCCACAGTAGCGTTCATCAGACACGACAATGCTCTAAGCTGGATCAGACGATCAGAGCTGAAGGATTACCACTTGCCCATCAACAAACAACCAACATTTTCACCTTGTCCCCTCGTCAATCAACACGAACGAGACGAGGGAACGACAGCCCGGCCTCATCTTTGTGTCTCAAAGCCATTGGCCTGTAATGCGGGGGTTTGAGGGTCCGCATGGATGATATAACGTCATGAGGCTTGCCTCGACCCTTGAATCGAGCTGCGATCTGCGTTTTGTCAGGCGAGAAGCTCGGTGGGTTATCACGCCTTGTCACCTTGTCACGCTTGTGTCCCCACAAAAAAAAAAGGCACACCAAAACGGCACTGTCCGACTCCGTAGTTAAGTGACAATTTGTTTGAGAGCTTGTCTGGCCCACCGCCTGGAGCCTCAGTGGCCCCCAAAAGGAGGCTGAGTTGGATCCTGACTGGAGAGAAAGTTGGTCTAGACTCGGGATTCAAAGGGCACAGACGAGCACCAAAAAAAGCCAAGCAACACGATCATTTTCGGCGGGAGGGCAAATACTGAAACTAACTGACTCGCCCGTCGCACCAACATCCCGTGCGACAACTTTGACGGCGGGCGGGTTCTACGAAGTGCTGATGCTATATCCATATGTGATCTGTCTCCATTACAACCCAGGCGCGACAATCCACAGACCTCTCTAACTCTTCATTTTAGAGCGCGGCCAAATATCCGGTCGGCGGTAGGCGGTCATCGGAAGCCACAAATTCGACCTGGGGAAGTCGTCCCGGGCCCCGGGCTTGGCAACCGGGCCGGGCTATCTCAAATGTTCAATTACCCTATGTCATAGGGTAGGTAGCCGACAAGTACTTTGTAGAGGTGTTAAATCGCGTCTCATTTGACTCAGGGCCGTGGTTGCAATACATAGTAAGTAGCACAGCGTGTTAAAGTTGGCGGTTCCACGACATTGTATGTATGCCGGTTGCAGGTGGCCGTGATGAGTGTGCCAAGCTTTTGTGGTCATAGCTCCCCTGGAGCTTTGAGGTGTTGAATTCTTCTACTTCAACAACGACCAGAACGAGCATGGCGCCTTCCATTTTCACGCCCACTACGGTTTAATAAAACACATGTAAATTTCAGCATTTTCTACCACGATCCTAGCTAAAATCTGATTCAACACATCTCGCATAATGCGACCACCGGCCCGCCTACGGTGCCCCTTGCACACCCACTCCCCCCTCCTTCGAATTGCCCCACGTCTCCTCATATCGGCCTGTGCTCGCCCATGGAACCCGCCAACAACATCAACAGCATTAACAAGATCAACAACCTTCTACCATACCACCCGCACCCTCTCACAGCAGACCCCTCCTCCAGCCGTAGACCGCCCCCAGACCACCGCCTTCAAATCGACCCCCGACCTCCGCCATATCCGTGAGAATCCCGAGCTCTACGCCCAAAACTGCCGCGACCGCAACTACCATGCTGCCGCCGAGCACCCAGCACGCATCACCGAGCTCTTCGCCCAATGGCAGGCCAAGCAGCGTGAAGGCCGCGGCCTGCGTGAGCGCGGCAATCTCCTCCGTCGCCAACTAGCCAACCCGGGGACGTCACGCGACGACGCCGACGAGGATGCCGCCGGCTTCCGCTCCATGTCCCGCGACCAGCTGCTAGAAGAGGGCCGCAAGGTCAAGGCAGGCCTGGCCGACATCGAGGAAGCCGAGTCCTCCCTCACCGCCGAGATGCACCGCCTAGCCCTTGCTATTCCCAACCTAACCAGCGACCTCACCCCACGCGGAGCCGAGCCCACAGTGCTAAGCTACATTAACGACCACCCGGAACCGGGCCCGGCGCCGTCTGACCGCGTGTGGCGCTCCCACGTCCACATCGGCACCGAGCTAGGCATCCTAGACTTTGCCGGTGCTGCCCAGACTTCCGGCTGGGGGTGGTATCACCTCCTCGACGAGGCCGCCCAGCTCGAGCAGGCCCTGATCAACTACGCCTTAACCGCCGCCACTCGCGCCGGCTGGCGCCAGGCCAGCCCCCCCAGCATGGTCTACTCGCACATCGCGGCCGCCTGCGGTTTCCAACCCCGTGATACCCACGGCGAAACCCAAATCTACGCCATCGCCCAATCCTCCGACGACGCAGCCCGCGGTAAGCGCGAACACTGTCTCGCCGGCACCGCCGAAATCCCCCTGGCCGGAATGAAAGCCGACACCATCCTCGACGAAAGCGACCTCCCACTCAAACGCGTAGCCGCATCCCGCTGCTACCGCGCCGAAGCCGGCGCTCGCGGCGCTGACACCAAAGGTCTCTACCGCGTACACGAATTCACCAAAGTCGAGCTCTTCGCCTGGACCCCGCCCGACGCCGACGCGACCCAAGACCTCTTCGACGAGATGATCGATCTCCAAACCGAACTCCTCGGTTCCCTCGGCCTGCACTGCCGGGTCCTCGAGATGCCCACCGCTGACCTCGGCGCCTCCGCCACGCGCAAGTGCGACATCGAAGCCTTTTTCCCCTCCCGCCGCGACCGCAACGAGGGCTGGGGCGAAGTCACCTCCGCCAGCGTCTGTACCGACTACCAGACCCGCCGCCTAGCCACGCGGGTCAAGATGGCTGCGGGAGGGAAAACGGCGTTTCCCTGGACTGTCAACGGGACGGCGTTGGCGGTGCCGAGGGTGTTGGCGGCTATTTTGGAGAATGGGTGGGATGAGGGGGAGAAAACTGTGGTGATACCGGAGGTGTTGAGGCCATGGATGGACGGAAGGGAGAAAATTGGGCCGAGGCATAGGTAGATATGTAAGGGGAGAACGGCGTGGCATGTATTGTACGAAAAGGAATGTAAAACAACCAAATGATGGTTTCAGTGGCCATTGAGGAATCAAGTGTTTCTACTAAGAAACAAACCCAGTTCCCGAGGTCCCTAAGCGCCTACTATATAAGACCCACTCAGCTGAATTTCGGTAACTTAGCGGACAAGACAAAGATATCACTGTTCTATTCTTATTAACTTAGAGGTCGGTTCTTCCTCCTCGAACACCTACCTGTCGAGTGGAAAAAGTTAAATCTCCGACCAACCTTCTGGTTAAGCCCGAGGCCTCAGATCATCGCGCAACATATCGAGAGGAGGTAGAGGAATACGAAATATCACGCTTAAAGCCCTATGCTTATTCCTAAGCATATATAGAACGTATCAAACCTCTGTTAAACCACTTTCGCTTGACAATATTTCGATGTTTCACACAGGGGTCACAAGCTCGCAGCAAAAATAATAAAGGTTATCGTCAATATCCATATTAACTCAGTCAAGCTATCCTATCCATACATCGGCGAGACCCCAAACCAAGGAGGAACCCAATAGCGCCTCCAGCACCAAGACAAAATCACACCCATAAACCGCACAGCCTACTACTACTCAACAAACCACTGGCCTTCCCACAATCGTATTTGGTGGCAGGGTGTGTGGTAAAATGCAGACGTGTTGTGACATGATGATACGTAAAAATAAAACGTGAATAAAAAAAAAGAGACAAAACATACGAGAAAGGGAAAGAGCTAAACAAAGGAAAAATAAACCAACACACCACCGCCACGCTTAAGCAACACACACAAGGTCCTCCGCAATCCCTGGCCAGTTCCCAGTTCCCATCGTAGCATCGTGCTTCCTCATACCCAACCAAAATCAGTCCATCCACCCACCAAACCCCCTATCATAAACCCTATAATCACTCAGACATTCATTCCTTCCCACTCAACTAGCTGCCGCAACCGGCACGCCCGTCTCAATCACTCCCACTGGGTCATCCCCACCAGCATCCACGCTCCCTTCACTTTCCCTCCCAACCACACTCTCCGTCCAGTCGCTCGCCGCGTCGTCGATGTCTCCATCGCCCTTCCGCTCCTCCTCACGGCCCTCCTCGTCCGCAGGCGTGATCACAGTCGTACCATGGCTCGACCGCCTCAAACTCCTCAGATTCCGTGCATCCCCTTCCTCATCCTCCCCGTCCATATCCACTGCATCCTCTCCGAGGTCACTGAAGCGGTCCTCCTCTGCATCCAGGAAATTCTGCTCGTCGTCCTCCGTCTCGTCGCCCCGTGGGGTTTGGTGCTCACCCGACTCCGTAACGGACGAGGGCGTAACCGAGATGTTCACGATGTCGGGCTCTGAGGTGGTGGTGATGGTAGGTTCCGAAATGACGATGTCCACCGGCGGTTTTGATGATGATACATCACGCTGCTGGTGTTCATGATACGCATCCTCCTCGCCCTCGTGCAAGCGATGGCCCATGCCTGCGTTCTCTTTATCATCCTCACCCATGCCATCGCCGCCCGCAGCCTTGAGATCCCCGTAACCCTTTGCCGCACCAACAGGCAGCGCAGGAACAGGCGGCGCCCAGGTCGACTTCCTCAGCCCCCTTGCAGCGGCTGCGCCGCCGGCTGTCCTAACGCTCTGGCTGCGCTTCATGCCGCCCGAGGGGACATTGTTAGTGATCTGGCTGAGCGACAAAATTCGCCGGTTTGAGGATGCTGGTGCACCGTTGGGCGTGTTGGCCTTGCTGCGCGCCGACATGGCCATGTTGATGGCGCTGCGGGATTTGCTGTTGTTGGCAGTCCCCGAAGAGTTACCGTTCGCCTCTGGCGTTGCTTGAGCAGATCTCTGGCTGGAGGTCACACGCTTGCGGCTCATCGTGTCGCGGGTGCTGTTAACGTTGCCGCGGTTCGTCTTGGCCATAAGCAGAACTCGGGAGTGGTCCATGACGCCCTCCAAGATCCGGCGCTCAAGGCTCTCGGCGCGCGCTTCCATGTCGTGGAGTTCCTCACGGCGAAGACGCAGGGCGGTATCCAATGAGGACAACTCGGCGTTGAGACGCGTCTTTTGGCGGCTAAGACCTTCTTGTTCAGACCGTAGCGCTTCCAGACTATCCTTGATGCGAGACTCATCCTCCTTGAGCGTGGCCAGGAAATCGGCGCGGAGGAGCTCTTGTTCCTCGCGGAGCGCAGCGTTGGCCTCCTTGAGATGGGTTTCCTCTTCCATAAGGTTAGCCAACAACTCAACCTTGAACCGCTCCTGTTCCTCCTTGAGGGTGGTCTTCATCTGCTCCTGCTCCAGTCGTAGTGCCTCATTAGCCTCGCGCAGCCGCTGTTCTTCCTCCTTGAAGGTCGCGGCGAAAGACTCCCTGAGACGCTCCTGTTCCTCCCGGATATGGGCATTCGACTCCTTAAGAAGTGCCGCTTCGTCGTGGAGATTGGCGAGGAAGGCATCCTTGAGATTCTGGTGTTCCTCGCGCAGGGCCTCGTTTATTCCCTTGAGGCGGCCCTCTTCCTCACGGAGGCTGGCGAGGAACTCCTCCTTCAATGCGTCTTGCTCCCCTTTGAGGGCGACGTTGCTCTCCATTAGCCGGGCCTGCTCGTCCTTGAGGCTAGCCAGGAACGTCTCCTTCAGCTGCTCCTGCTCCTCCTTCAGAGCAACATTGGTTTCCATGATCCGGGCTTGCTCCTCTTTGAGAGCAGTGAGGAAAGTGTCCTTGAGCTGATCATGTTCCTCCTTGAGAGCCACGTTTGTCTCCATGAGACGAGCCTGTTCCTCTTTGAGGGCGTTGAGGAACGTCTCCTTCAACTGCTCCTGCTCCTCCTTCAGGGCAGCATTTGCCTCGGCCTGACGTGTCTGCTCCTCCTTCAGGGTTGCCATGAACGTTTCCTTCAAGAGATCGTGCTCGTCCTTCAAGGCGACGTTCGCCTCCGTAAGACGCGCCTGCTCATCGTGGAGGGCAGCCAGGAACGTCTCCTTCAACCGAGCCTGTTCGTCAATCAGGGTGGTGGTCGCCTCCTTGAGCCGGAACTCTTCGGAAATCATGTTGGAAAGGAACTGCTCATTGATCTTGCTCTGCTCTTCCGGAAGGGTAACCGTGATCGCTTCCTTCAACCGTGCCTCTTCGTCGCGGAGGGTGGCTAAAAGAGCCTCAACCTGATCAATCTCCTCCCGGCGTCGCTCCAGTGTGATCGTAGTCTCCTGGAGCGTCTTCTCTCGGTCCTCGTGCTCATCGGCGATGCGCTGAGTCTGGGCGGCAAGGAAGGCGGCCAGTTCGGCGGCAGTGGCCTTGACCTGCGCGTGGACTTGGTCAAGTGTGTCGAGTTGCTCGAATGCTTTGCCAGCCACCAGGGTATGGCCGACCAGAGTATCGAGCTTCTCATGCACCACCGTGTCGTCATACTTCTCAGGCGGCGGGGGCAACAGGGGGTTTTCGACCCGCTCCTGAATCGCCAGAGTTGACGTCTTGAGGTTCTCGTAATGCTGGGAAAGGGCCATCATGACTTCCTGCACACTCTCCAAGATCTTGGGCTGGTACTCTGACACTTGGCCGTGAAGACCGTCTACCTTGCCAATGGCCTCCTGGACCTGTTCGCGGGTAAGTTGGTGCTCGACCTTGTTGTCAGCATGGTTATCGTCCGACTTGGTGACCAGCTCATCAACGCGCTCAAACACCGTCTTGGAGGATTCCTCCACCTTCTCCATGGACTCCGTAACGGCACCGCCCAGCGTGTCGACCAGGGATTTGAGCTCCTCCGCAATCGTCTTCGTCTCAATCATGGCCGCTTCCATGCCGGAATCCCTTTCCTCGCCCTTGGCGGCGCGCTCGTCCTGCGTCAGCTGGAGTTCTTCGTGCTTGGTCATGAGCTCGGCCATGCGTTCATCCAGCTTGGCGAGCATTGATTCCGCAGCGGACTGGAGCTTCTCGTCCAGCTCCAGCTTGACGCCGACAAGGCCAGTCTTGGAGTCCTCAAATTCAAGTTTCACTGTGTCGAGGAGTTCCTTGACATCGTCGCTGATGTTGTCGTTCTTGCGAACGCTCTCGCCCAATGCGTCGAGGATAGTATGGATCGAATCGATACCCCGACCACCATCCTCGAACTTGGACCGCACGAGTGACTGGAACTCATCCAGGGCAGTCTTGACCTCGGTTACAGCGACGCTCACACCGACAATCTCCGCCTGGCGCTCCTCAAAGCCCTTGATATTGGCGTCAGCTTGAGCGTCCAACTTGTCCTTGACATCACCGAGGCGGAGCTCTAGGCTCTCAAGGTCCTCCTTTGACGGCAGATTGACGAGATCGACCTTTTGGATGTGTTCCACGAGGGACTTGGTGTCGAGGCACACGGCCTCGACAGCCTCAACATCCGTCTTGGTGATCTTTTCGGGATCTTCGAGGGCCTTCTCGTGGCGCTCCTTCATCTCGTCAAAAGCGGCCACAACCTGGTTCACGAGCGACTCGACCAAAGCGACATCCTCCTTGCGGGAGAGATTGTCCATTTGGGTGGCCAAGCCGCCCAGGCTCTGCCGGGTGTCGTCGAGAAGCGACCCGAGGGCATCGATGTGCTCTTTGCGCGAGATGACATCAAATTGCGAGGACAGACCGTTGACGCTTTCACGGGCTTCGAGAATTAGAGTCTCCAGGCCATCGATGTGATCCTTGCGGATAGCCTGCTCGCCGTCCATGAGATCGTCCAGACGGCCCTTCGTATTCCGGAGAATGGTCTCAATAGCCTCGACATCCTCCCTGGAAGCCGCATCGGTGCTAGATCGCGGCAGGGGCGCAGGTCCCTTCGAAGCCAGATCATCCACCGTCTCCTGGATCTTGCGAATGCTTTCTTCCAAAGCCTCCAACGGTTCCCGGTTTGGCATGTTGGAGACTGAGGCCGTGACGTCGCGAAGCACCTTCTCCATCTCAGCGAGGTCTTCCTTGGACAGGGAGCTGACTTCCGGCTTTGGAGTCGACTCCAGGGCCTCGACCTTGATGCCAAGCTGAGTGATCAAGGCCTCGAGGTTCTTGATATCGTCATGCTTGAGCATCTGTTCCGTCGATTCGATTGCCTTCGTGTCATTGCTGATGGTGGCCAGAGCACGGTCATTCTGCTTCTCTTCACGGAGGGAGTCAATGTCGGACCGCAGGCTCTCAAGTCCCTCCTTCAGCGCCTCCAGAATCTCATCGTTCGCGGTCAGGTCGGCCGGCTTGTCGCGGAGGTTGTTTAGGCTGGTACGGATGTCGCCCAATCCCTCCTGCAGAGCGTCCAAAATTTCGGTAAGCCCAGCAATCGGTCGGCTACTGATCTCCGACCGTAGGCCTTGGAGTCCTTCCTGGAGGGCTTCGATGAGCTCCTTGTTGTTGAGCTGCTGGGGAGCTGCTGGGACCATGGAGGAGTTCACAATATCGCGAATAGAATCAACCTCACCCTTGAGGAACGTACGGGAGTTGTCTGAGGAGCGTGTGATCAACTCAGTCAGATCCTCGCGGAATCCATCCAAGGTGTCCAAGAGCTGGTCGACGGCCTGCTCCGAGCCGGAGTCACTCTTGGCACGGTCGACATAGTCTTCCATCTCCTGACGCAGCTTTTCAAAGCCATCCTTGGTCGCATCGAGGACCTGCTCGGTGCCTAGGGCGTTGGCAGCAATGTTCTGCTTTGTCTCCTCGGATGCCGCTTTGATCTCGCCCTGCAACAACTCCTTGATCTCCTGGAGGCGTTGCATGACATCGTCGCTGTTGCCGCTTCCTGGCGCAGCCAGTGCGGTGGACTGGATGGCGGAGAAGTCAAAAGCGTTTAGCTCCTTCTTCACCGCGTCTCCGAGGCCAGTGGAGAGATCCAAGGAATCGAGGCCCTCTTTGACAGCATCAACCACATCCCCACGAGACAGGTCTGGGCCAGAAGAGGCAGCGACGGCGGCCGAGGAGGAAGGAAATTCGAAGGACTCCAAAACCTCCTGGACCGCATGGGCGACATCCTTGGAGAGATGGGCCGTATCGAGACCTTCCTTGACGGCACTGACAACATCACCGCGAGAGAATTCAGGCTGAGAAACAACGGCGGAGGAGACAACGGAGAAGTCAAACGCCTCCAACGCTTTCCTCACAGCCTCGCTCACGTCCTTGCTGAGGTCCACGGACTTGAGCCCTTCCTTGACAGCGTCGGCCACATCCTCGTTGTTGGTAGGTAGAGCGCGAGAGACGTCGGAATGAGGGACCAGAGCGGAAGACGAGTGAGCCGAGTGAGCCGAGGAGAAATCAAAGCCCTTGAGAGCTTGCTTGACGGCGTTGGTGACGCTGTTGTTGAAATCGAGGCTCTCAATCCCTTCCTTGACGGCATCGGCCACATCCACCCTCGAGAGATCCGGCCGGGGAATAGCAGCAGCAAAGTCGAAAGACTGAATACCCTGCATCACCACCTGGAGCACATTCGTAGGGAGATCCGAACTCTCGAGACCTTCCTTGACCGCGTCCAGGATGTCGGACGACAGATCAAGCGACTTGAGGCCTGACTTGACGGCATCAGAGACGTCCCCTTTGGATACCGACTGTGGCACCAAAGCGTTGGAGTTGACAGTCGAGAAGTCGAAACTGTGCAATCCCTGAGTAACGGCGTCGAGCACGTCGCTCCGTGTGACCTGGGAAACGGGCGCGGGCGCTGGGGGGGTAGGGAAGTCGAATGAGTGGAGGCCTTCCTTAACGGCATCCAGCATATCCTCGCGGGTGAAGTCGCTACCCATGCCCGGCGCAACGGGGAACTCGAATTCTTCCAGACACTCCCTGACAGCGTCGAGAATCTCATCCCGAGACAGAGCGGGGGGTATCTCCACCTTGGGAGGGACGTAGTGCTTCAGACCGTCCGTAACAGCCTGGAACACTTCGTCCCGGGTGGCCCCGGGAGGTCGGTCGTCCCGAGGGGCGTAGGCGCGAAGCCCCTCCTGCAGACAGGCCAGAACCTCATCCCTCTCCAACCCGATCTGCTGAATCTCAATCTCGGGTTTGTACTTTTCCCAAGCATCCTTGACGGCCTGGACGACGTCCTCCCTACGAAGTTCGGGAGATCGTGGCTTGGTGGCCTGCGTGTCCTTGAGGGCTGCACGAACGCTGTTGTAAATCTCCTTGTAGTCGATGGAAGACTCGCGTGGGGAGGCTGTGCCCGTGGACTGCCGACGGTGCTCGCGGAGCAGACTGTTCATTTGCTGGCTCATTTCGGACAAGCCTTCTTCCACAACCCGAGCCATCTCGGCCTTGGTGACGCCTTCGGCTCCGCCAGGGCTTTGTTCGGCCACTTCATCCAGCCGGCGGCCGATCTCACGACCCATACCAAGAACCTCGCCGCGAAGCTCTCGGACGAGCGCTTTGGTCTCCGCTGTAAGACCGCCTCCCTGCGCTACACTATCCTTGACACTGCGGATGGCCTGGAGAACATCGTCGCCGAGTCCGTCAGCGCTCCGGGTGCTCCGGGTGTCCTGCCTAGGAAGTATCCGCGAGGACTGGGAGGCTGAGGCTGCCTGAAGGTAATCTAGGGCGCTCCGGCGTGATATGGTGTCGTCTTCGTCAAAGCTCCAATTCCGGCCACGGTTGCTCCCATCAGCCCCGCCCGCACGCGGGACGACGGCCTGTTGTTGGTTAGACTTGAGGAAGCGAAGTAGCTCTTCCACCTTAGCGGCCGAGGCCATGCCGGAAAGCCTGTCAGCCAGCTCAGCCAGACGACCCAAAAGCATCTCCTGACCTTCCCTGGTACCCATATCCCGCATGATTTTGTCGAGTAAACCCGAGGTAGCGGCTGGTGGGGCGTCCGAAACAAGAGAAGGAGTACTAAGTAGCGACTCCCTGTCAAAGGAAGCCGCAAAGCTATTGGGGGATGGTATTCGGGGTAGTGAGAACGGTCGCGCCGTCTTGGAGAGCGTGGGCGACGAAGGTGGATGCCGACCCTCCAAGAGCAAAGGTCCCCCGTAAGGATCCCTGGTGTTGTTGGCGGCCCTCGCCTTCGCTTCAGCCATGAGTTCACGAAGGCTCTTCCGGATGTCCTCGTCACGGGTGTTGGTAGCCTCCTTCAGGCTAAGCAGGTCAGTGGCATTGTCCCTGCTCCGCCTGCTGAGCAGTGACATCTCTTTCTGAAGGGTGGTGGCAATGTCGGTCAGAGAGAGGATCTGGCTAGACAAAGAATCTAGCGAGCCGGGGGGCTTGACGAGCGCCTTGGAACCGTTCGTGATATTAGCGAGAGGGTTTTCAGGTTCTTTTAGCGGCGAGACGGGGGCGCTGTTGCTACTGCTGCTGATAGCCTGGGTGCTCATGTTCTGGAGAGCCAGCATGGTAGCTGACTGGGGTGGTGCGTTCTCGCCGAGGATGCTCGACTGAGGTCGTCTGAGGGCGGTTGGGCGGATGATCGGGGTCAGACTGGGCCCCGGTACCGGTGTACTTGTGGCCGACCGGTCTTGCCTCTCATCGCGCGGTTCCACGAAGACGTCTCGGGTGTCCCGCCTCTGGGGAGTACTTGGGCGGTCCATTTTCTCTGGGGACCTAGGTACGGACTGGGGTGACTCGCGGCCGCTGGCGGACTCTAGCATAAAGCTCATGTCTTTCACGGATGCGGGCTGGAGGGACTGCATGCGGCGGTGGGATGACGGTCGCAGCCCGGATCGTTCCGGAGACGCATCCACGCGCTTGGGGAGGTGAGGCACCAACGCCGCGTTCTCACGGGCCTTTTCGGCCATAGCGGCATGGGCCGATTGGATCGCGGACGAGGTGCCTGTGCGGGAGACCCCAGGAGATTGGGGGTTCAGAGGAAGCGGAGGAGGGGCCCTCTCGGGGTCAGAGCTGTCCCACCTACGGCCGAGTTAGCATGCGCCGGCTAGGGCTGGCTTTCTCGCCCACTTATTAGGTATTGTAGGGTTAGTTAAACTTACATGGGAACCAGGGCGCGGCCAACGTCAATGGATGCAGCATGTTGGTGCTTCATGGGCCGGTCCTGGTCTCGAGGGGCGTCTCTTTCGATAGATGGCATTATGACGGTGGTGATGGTAATAAATGGAGTTGTGTTGTTAGATATGGTACCCTGTACCTCGTCCTGAAGGTGGTGTTGGGACGAGTGATAGTCGGGCGAATGGGGCGCTGCAGCGCAGGTGCGGTGCGGGTATCTTGTGTTGATGGTGCTGAGGTGGGTTGTTGTTGTTGTGATTGAAGGCTCGAGCTTGAGCGTCAAAAGAGGGAAATAGTCTCTCCCTCGCCTGGTATCGAGTTCCAGACTCCGCCAAAAAGCCGACCAGAGAAAGAGAAAAACAAGGACGGGCAGCCAAAAAAATTGCAGGTCAAGTCAATGCAGACGCAGTGCGGACATGATGCTCTCGCAGGGTATAACGGGTCATAAAGTCGAGGAAATTGTAGAAAATGGAGGCTTTGGTGGTGACGGTAAGCAGAGACGACCAAAAGTCGATAATCAAGAGGAGGGGGGGAATGCGGTCGCGGGGGGATGCAGGCACGATTTGGTCCTGATTTGAGGCCCTGCGTTGGCGCTCTGCGGGCCAATTGCCTTGCCCTCCCCTGCCCTGTTGTTGATTTATTTGGGTTCCCCGAGCAACCGAGGAGGGTGCGACCGGGATGTCCCCTGCAGCCCCTCGCCTTCGAAGCTGGAAAGCTCGGACCACGGGAGCTCCCGTTTGCAGAAGCGACCCACGCAGCTGCGCTCTCAGCTTCCACGACCACTCCGAGAGCTCTGTTTTCACCGCCTTCATACACAGAAGATGCGGTCTCGGACAGTTGCAGGAGGACCTGCAGCTTCAATTTGTTGACCCAATTTTTTGGGGAAATTTTTTTAGAGGAATCTAAATTTGTTGTATTCCAAAAGTCCCACCCCAATTCTCACGCCATGTGCAGATCTGTCTTGGCCGAACCCTGCTAGGTTTTGAAGCTGTGACGACGATGGCTCTGGTGGGTGATAGCGGGGGCGGGGGGATGAAAAAGGTGCCGATCTTGTGTGACGAACCAGCTGATTCGGAAACATGCGAACTGTTCTCAGTGAAGCCCTTAGTGGATGTCAACAGTTCAAGCTGATCACCGATCCATCTCTTCGTCGTCTACGTGTACAAAACCTCAACTCTGATATATGTGTATACATGTGTAACATATGTATACAACACAAACATTACCCGCAAGGATGACGCCCGAGTCGAACCAAGTCACCACTATATCCAACAAACTCGTCTGGACAGCTAGCCGCCGCCCTCGGGACCTATTTAGCCAAATGAGCTAGCACGACTAACCACTAATCCAAAATCTTGGCCTCTGCCTTGGCCGGCCGCTGCCCAAAGATGGTGCTGCCGACGCGGACCTCGCCGCTGCCCATGGCCACAGCGCCTTCGAAGTCCTCGCTCATGCCCATGCTCAGTTCTAGCTCGCGCTGCAATCCGAGCTCCTTGACTACTAGGTCCCGCTGTCCGGCTAGCACCTTGAAGTCCTCGTTCTCTGTCTCCGCCGTGGTAGCCACGCTCCGCGCGATGGCCCCAATGGTCATGAGCCCGAGCAGGTGTAGGCTAGGGCAGTCATTCACAATGGCACGGCAGAGCGAGACGACGTCGGCGCCCGGTGCACATCCGGACTTATTTTCTTCACCAGATGTGTTGACCTGGACGTGGATGTTGAGTTTCTGAACGCTGGGGTCTGTCTGGATCTGCTCCCCGCGGTGCTTGTCCAGCAGCTGGGCCTTTTTGAGGCTGTCGACGCTTGATACGCACCAGACGTTGGGGATGCGAGCGATTTCCTTGCAGCGGCCTGTTGGCGAGTCAGGGAATTGTGGTTCACGATTGATAAGTCATTAGACCCGGGACATACCAGACTGGAGACCGCCGATAAAGTGCCACTGAATGGTCCGGGGTAGCAACTCGGCCTTCTGGGCTAGCTCCTGGGAGTAATTCTCGCCAAAATGGAGTTGGTTGACCGGTGCCCGATGGAGAGCTAAGATGTCGTTGACGGGCTTGAGCTTTGAGACTGCGACGAGGCGGACCTTGAGTCACGGTTGTCAGCACACGTGAGGTGAGGAAAGAAGAAAACTTGAAGAAAAAAATACGGAGACAGAGAAAGAAAAAACAAACTTACGGCCCGGCCCTTCGCGACCGCAGCTATCCGTTCATTGACGCCCTGTATCTGTGAAATGAGAGCGGATGCTCGGGCTGGATCGACCTTCATCTCTGTCTCGCTCATAGTGGAATTGAGTTCCAGGTTGCGTTGCGACTTGGGTTTGGCAAGAGCGGGAGGGCGGCAGACGGCCCACTGTCTTACCCCAGCTTTCTTGCGGGGCATCCACGCCAAAAGATAGTAGCTATACGTAAGGCCACACTGTATTCAGTGCTTCAATCTGGAACCGAATCGGCCGCCATCCTTCCTTCCTTTTGCATTTCTTGTTCCCAGATTAGGTATCTGAAAGCAGGCAACAGCACCACCTTGGGCAACGGCGCCATCCTCGCCATCAAACCGGACTGCGTCCAGATCGTCTGTGAGCCGGTTCTCCGGACTATAACCCCCCCCTCGGATGGATTGGCAAACCTTTAAAATTTGGCAAAGTTTCAAAGGTCTTATCCAAGGCAACGGGAGGTTTCCTCCAAGCAATCGCGCCGCAGCGGTTTCTCTCAATGGATTGATGATTCAGCTCTCACTGCCCACTCACGACCATGACCGGCCTATGGCGTGTGGGATCTGACGCTCACTCGACGGCTGGGTGCATCCAGGCGCAGCGGGCAGCCCGAGATTTCGCTTGAGATTGGACCAAGGCTGGCTGGCCCATTTCTGGTCCATTTCTGAAACTGTGGGCGCGATTGGCACTTTTTACTTGTCCGCCTGTCTGCTTGTGTCTGTTCTCGTGCCCGAGTGTGCAGCCCATTGGCCTTCGTCTGTTGGGATTGAGCCTGGACTCCAACTCTGAGCCAATCCCAAGACACTTGAAGGCATACCGTCTCCTTTTCGGGCCCGGGGGCTTGGAACGTTCATAAACAGCACAAGGTCACGCTCCAACGGCGTCCCCCGCGCCTCTCGGTGTTCGTCGAGTGTGCCAATTGCCCAAACCTTCCTATGTGCAACTCTAATTTATCACCAGGTCGGCGGAAGCCACCACGAAGGAGGTCATCCGGCTCTCGCACCCCGTTTCCGCCTCGCCTACGCTCAACCATATCGGCTCGGCCACCGCTTCCTTTGTCACCACCACCATCACCACCACCATCACCGCTTCGCTCAGCTCCCATATCCAAAATGGTGGGCCCCGCGCCCATCCCGCATCTCCCCTCGGAAATATGGCTCATGGTTCTCGAGTGTCTGCCACCATCCTTCTTTCAACAAGACATTGGCCGGCTGGCCGTTTCCAAACGCTGGTATAGCCTCGCTTTCCCCGCCTTCTACCCGCGTATCGAGTTCACTCCGCGTGTCATCAGCCGCCTGGTGCACCGCAAGTCTCCGGCGATGGACGAGACACGAGCCATGCTGCGCAAGTCGCTGCGTTGTGTTGATATTGTGCTCGACGGGCTCCCCGAACAACCTCCTGCCCTTCCCGATGAATACGAACCCGACACCGACCTCGTCTGCTTTAACACGCCGGCAAACTTGGTGCGCTTCTCGGTGATGCTGCTTGAGTATCGTGAACTGAAAACAGTGCGCTTCGCCGCCCGCTGGCCCAATCGCGCCTGGCCCGCCGATCCGTTGCAAACCGACTACCTCAACATCCGTAGTCTGCAGCCGTATCTCAGCGTGTTAACCCACATCACCTCGCTGGACCTGGATCTATGTGGGACCGATATCCTCGGCGAGGACGATGGCGTCGCGGCAGCGGGAGACGACGATGATAGCGACAATTCCGATGACAATGACAATGACAATACCGACGCCAGCTCTCCGATACACTTCTGCAATTTCATCCGCCCTCTGCTCTCCCGGCTCACCACCCTCCGCTTACGCATGCGCAGTATCTGCGCACTGGCTCTCCAGCCGCTTGCTGGCCGCCCTGTAACCGTGCGCAACCTCTCCCTCAGCCTCTACCTCGGCCGCGTATCCGAGAACAACCCGAAACTCAACGCCAGCCGCATGTGCCCTCGGCTGGGCCTGCGCGGGTTTACCCGCAATGTGTCTCTGCTTGAAATGCAGTCCGCCATGCGGGAGTTGATCGAGGACATGCCTGTGGCCACGCCCGTGTCTACTAGGGGTATGGGCACGGGTCCCGGTATCGCGCCTGGGCCGGGTCGGGGCCGTCGGGCAGAGATAGTACACCTGGCGCCCAGCGGCGAGGTACACGTGTGGGATGCCGCGACCGATGTGTGCGTGAGGGACGTATCGGTCGAGCCGATGCGGCTGCCGCTGTGCTTCGAAGCGAAGCTGCCGGATACGCCATGCTTCTTGTACATGTGATGGTGAGGTTGAGGTGTCCGAGAGAGGGCCCAGAGACGTCACCATGATGGGACGGTGCTCCCGAGCCGACACGTAATACCAAGCGTTGCTGCGTTGCGTTTCTTTACGAAGCTTAATACCCGTGCCCCAGCGTGGCGGTCCAGGACCTGGCGGCGGATAGAAAGCATTAATACCCAAGTCTACATGTTCAGAAACAATAACGTGTATCCCGCAGTGGAAGGTGCGAAATTGTGGATGGAATGCAGTCGATTGGCCTTTGGCTCCTATTGTTTATTGTCGACACAATAGGTGTTCTGTGAAACGATTTTGGTTCCTTCCTTGAACGGTAACTGATATTGTCTCCCACCAACCCGGTCTTCCTTCATCTCTTATAACTCCCACATCTCACAGCAACAAAGTTCCAAATTCTTCAACCACAAGTCATCTTATCTCCCACGAGTTACCATTCTTGCCCCCGCTAGGAAACCTTTCGTTGACCCTCTTAACCGCAACTCGGCGCAATATCTTGCTCTCTTTCTCATTCTCAGAAACAAGAATCAACCCAAACCATCAACATGGCTAGCGCTTCTGCCAGTAGCCCTCAAAAGGAGGTACCGGCTAGCGACAATATCGACACCACTCCGCAGGTTGCGATCGCCCCAAGCCCGCTTTATACCAGCGCTTGTTTCGAACCCACAGTCCCTCACACAAACCCGGCGGTAGTTGGGAATCACAACGCATCTTCAACCATTACCTCAGTCTTGCAAATAGGTGATATCTCTTCATCAACCACTCGGGCCTCTTCTGCTGGCATCCGCAAGACTTCCAAAACCACCACCAACACCCGCATCTTTTCCAAGCTTCATCGCCACACAACCGCCCAGCGTTATATCCTACGCAGGCTAGCCGGCGACATCAAAGGTGACATACCTTTGGAGCAGGGGAATCAAAGGCCAACAGGGAGCGCGGGACCTTTCGCTGTCAAATCCCACCAGTTGTCACATTCACACCATTCTCACTGCCCGCAGCAACCGGACCAGCCGCATCCGCAACAGCAGGAGCGGCGAGAGGAAATGGCGGACATCACGAACAACGCACCCAAGAGGTTCACCGGCAGTGGGATTGTGCAAGCGGCACTGAAGAATGCTATTCTGCTGGCTGCAAAGAATCCCCCGCCCGCCAAAGAAGGCGACACGCATGGGACGATGGAGCTGGAAACGAGAAAGAGGTCGAACAAAGGGGGCTCAGGTGGCCATGGTAGTGTTCGTGGAAGTCAAAGAAACCAAAAGGGCGTGAAAGTTGGGAATTCGGGTTCGAATCAGGCGCAGGAACGACTCCAGCAAAATCGGGCTAAGATTCCCACCTCCCAGGCTCTCGATCGGGTCAAGGGGGCTTCGGTGGCAAAATCGTCGAAGAAATCGCAGAACCATCGCATTACTGCTAGCAGAAAGAGTGTAAGAGGAAAGGGGTCGAAGTTAAATCCGGACCTCAAGCGGAGTTTGGAGAAGGAGATGGGTACGGGAGGTTCTCAGGGAAGAGGCGAGGGTTCCGCGGCTCTGCTCCCGGCCCCAATTTTGGAGCGGACTGATACGTCCAATGATGGTGAGGGTAAACGGGTTGGAAAGGCTGGAGCGGTTTCGCCGGTTAGCTACTACAGTGGCTTGCCGAACCCCAACTCCCGCCATGCCCAGCATCACGTCTCCGACGATGAAGAGGAGGACGGCAACCCCGGTTACGATGGCTGCCGCCATCGCCACCGTAATCGCCTTCTCAACCAGCCCGATATCCACCAATATCATCAACAAGCCGGTCCCAACCATCACAGCCTCGACTCTAGCTCACTCCCTAACGCTCAAAATCCCCATCATCACCGCCACCACGACCCCTCAGACCCCAACCATACCTACTACGACCCTTACGATCCCAGCAATACCAATAACAACAACAAGACCAGCAGCAGCCCCTCCTCTCAAGACGACGACGACAACGATAACCCCCTCCACACAGGCTACACCCCCCGCTCAACCCCACCACCCCTCAACAACAAATACACCACCCAAATCCGCCTCCCCCCGCACCGAACCCGTCACATGATCCGTGCCGCGTTACGATTGGGTCTCAACACCGGTACGCTTATTCGACCGCCGCGGCCGTCAAAGCCGTCCTCGTCAAGATCGTCGAGAGGTAGCGGCTTGCAGAACAAGAGCAACTCTGCGGCTAAACCAGGCCTGCGCGAGTACACGGCGGGTTTGTGGGTGGATAATAGGCGGGATAGTATAATGAAGGGGATTCCGCCGCTGTTGGTGCCTGTAACTTATTGCGGGGATGGAAATGGGAAGGGGAGTGGGAGTGGGAGTGGGAGTGGGTTTGCGGTGGACGGTGGGAGGGGGTATACAGTTTGGGATGAGGATGATGAGGATGATCGTTATGGTGGGTATGGCTTTGCGGAGGAAGGGTTTTAGGGAGCTTGAGGGCTTGGTGGGATCAATGAGTACCTTCATTGGTTCGGATTTGGCGTTGCATTTATTATGGTTTTCATGACTCCGGTTTGCGATGATTTGAGCCCTCGAAGAAGAGTGGAAGGCGGAGGAGAAGGGCAAGGCTAATACCCAACATTACAATGCCACATGCGTTGAGTTACTGATGAGTTAGACCACATACAGTTATCACAAAGTGGATGGGAATATATTGCTGCCTATGTCCGGAACACCCGCCACCCTTGCCATGCAATGATATCAATTCTCCCCATGCGGAACACCTCAGAACCTCCATGCCAGCCAGCCGATTCCTGCCGACCGACCACCGCCGATCGTCCCGTCATGACGCTGTAAGAGACAGACTCGCGCCGCTTACACTGTATCCGCTGCCGTGCCAATGCGAGGGCGTGCCATGCCATGAACCACAAGCTAATAACCACTGCTCCCATTACGCCCAAACGCCGTCGTTTCCCCTGTCCGTGAGCTCACGGATACAACCACAGCAGAGATACCCTTCAACCATTCATTCATTCGCCTTAAAGTGTCACTGCCCCCCCCCTTCTAGTTTCTAGTCCTCGTTTTCAAGCCTACCAGCCTACCGCTGTACTGGTGGCACAGGGGCAGGCGGCAAAAGACGAATCTGCTTGATCAGAAACTCCCGCTCATCGATGAACTGCTCATCCTCGGTCCGATCTTCCAGAAAATGTGACAGGAACTGCAGCAGCTTGTCCCGATTCATAATCAGAATCTTTTGCACCGGCACCGACTTGTGCGGGTTCGCAACAAACACCTTGAAGACGTGGAACCCTTCATACTGCACCATCTTGCGGTCGTCACGCAGGAGATTCATGCAAATTTTGAGGTGCTCGCCCCGGTCGACATACGCCGTCATGATGTTGTAGTTGGCGCGGTCCAGAAGGATTTCGCCTAGCAACTTGATGGATTGCCGTTTTGTTACATAGCTGTTCGACTGGACCAGGATGTTGTTGTATCGGTCGAAGAAGAGGTCAAAGTTTACGGCCAAGTACCGCGGCACTAGGTCTTTGTGCTTGGTGATGAGTTCCTAACGGCGCGTGTCAGCTCCCGTCATGCTTTTCCCTACCACAACGCAGCAGGCCGCCCCCGAAAATTCGACTCACCCTGAACGTCGTAAACGCATCCGCGCTCACCTCAAAAGAGCTCTTATCAATCCAATCAAAAAAGTGCCAAAACACACCCCTCCCACTCTGTGGCCGATCCGGGTTGATCCCCGCCACCCCATGCTCACTCGACGACCCAGGCTCCGGCCCATCATCATACAGTATAATCGCCGCGGCCGCCTCGTTCTTCAGCACCTCCCTGAGAACCGTGCCCGCTGGCGTCGCACTCTCCTTGTGATCGTACCCCCTGCATAGTTCCGCTAGCACCTGCGGACGCTGTTCAACGACGTAGGCGAGGGCGAGCGGCTCGGGCTGCTGGGGCCCCGTTGGTGGGCGGAAGCGGAAGATGTAGGAGAATATCACTTGGGTGTCTTTGCGAGACTCGAAGGGCAGGCGGTGCAGGTGTTTGGCGAGGAGGTAGAGCAGGTCTTCTTCGATCATGCCGGTTACGAGTTGGTAGGTCTGTTCTGTGCTCGGCTCGGCATCTACTGGTGGTCAGCGATGTGTCGTGTTTGGGCTGATCGCGGATGTAGGACAGAAAAGGATAAAAGCCGAGGAAACCGAACGCACCGTGTGTGCCTTGAAGAATCTGTTTCATTTGCGCGAGTACCTTTGCCAACTCCTCGGCCTGGGAACTTGAAGTCAGCCGGCCGAACTAAAGATAGCCCCCCGCAAGTACGGTTCTCCAAAAAGAAAGGAGGTGGAAAACGCGGGCGTAGGGAGAGACAATCTGCTCTGTGGTTGTTTACCTACCTTCGCAGCCCCCTGCGGCCCCTCCAGCTTCGTCACATGGTCCCTCGCCTGCTTCGACAGATCTAGTATATTTGTCCTTGCCCGTGTTCTCCCAAAAAGGAACGCCATTCTTTTGGCTGATCGGGTGTCTTGTCGGTTTCGTTTTACCGTTCGCGGGGCAGTCGACAAATCGTCAACAAGATGTGGTAGAGTTGGGCGGGGGGGGGCCGCGCCCATTCGAAGCTTTTGGGGGGTAAGGGGAAAAGGCGGGTTTGAACGCCCAAAAAGTAATTTGCGGGCTCGAATTCCAATCACTCGGACGCTCGAATTGGCGAAACACTTCTCTGTGGTGCTATTTATCGGGCCGTCGTTACGAGTTTGGCAGCTTGAGATTCGTCTCTGGAGTTGCGGGATGGAAACTCAACGGTGCCGTTGCCGCCCAGAAAGGTACCTGTCCCACATCCCCGGCAACCAGTGATGCAACAACAAACAACAACACAACGACGAGCTTTAAGTTAATGGACAAGATTCGTAGAAAAATAACAGAGAGTGAAGTATTATCGGCTTTGTCCGAATTATTGTGCAGGATCCATTAATTTACTCTACACAAATTCTAAGAAAATAAATTCCCAACGGCAAAGCTCTAGAAATACCTCGTGGTGCCCAGGGTCGTCATGCCCATCTTATCGCCTTATCAATGATAAGGATGCGAGGCGAGGAGGGGCGCCCTCAAGCCAGTGTCTAGTGGAAACTTCATCAATTTGACTACCTGAAGGCTAACATTCCTTTATTTCGAGCCTATTGAAATAAAACACCTGGTCTGCCATCTGTGCAGCCAATCTACATTCTACACCAAGTTTGTATCTCGACATCAAACCTCCATTCTCATCGAAGTATCTCCATGGAAGTCTGCAGACGAGAGCAATGGGGAACTGGTGATCCCCCATGCTGGGCTTGCTCTTCGCCAGTCGTATACCTCGAAAACCATCGGTCTAGTGGTCAACGCGGAGATATCCTAGCGGTTTCTTTTGCCTGCCTTACCGGAATATGGATCCGTCTACGTGAGGTGCATTTACCACGAACGGAACCGAAGTCCCACTGGTCATCCCGAATGACCAGATGCTCATGTGGCTGCCAATGCTGGACGCAGCAAGTTTGTTGCTGTGTGGTGGCGATTAGTGCGGACACATCATCAGTCAGTAAGCATGTCAACAGAACATCTGAAGAGCCTCTACGGAACCTGCAAGCTCTGCAGAACTTGCAAGCCGTAGGCGGAGCTTCGGGAAAAACCTCCCATGGAACATTTCACAGCATACGCAACGCGTCCAGCTTTGTGAAATGGCCATTGAGAACAAAATGTCTCGATTCGTTGACGTTGCCTATAAGATCCCAGAACCCCGTTTCCCATGCTGTACCACCTGGAAAGATGGGGATGAATCCACAGCTATTTCCCAAACCATGCAACTCCTCCGAAGACCGAAGCCGTGAGACGCCGTTTTGCCGACCGGGCGGTGAAAGTATGTTCAACGAAAAGCAATGTCGTGGGTATTCCTTGTCATCATGACAACCGAAACGAGGTTTTGTTCTTGCTCGTCGAAACACCAAGGAGCTCAACAAATTCAAGCCTTGCTCTTCTTGGCGCGAGCGACCTGGTCGCGGCCGGCCTTGATGCGGGCCAGGATGTCCTCACGGTCCTTGTCGAGCTTGAGCTTGGTGATGACCACGTTGCTGGGGTGGATGCCCAGGGGCACGCTCTGGCCGGTGGCCTTGTCGCGGGTGACGCGCTCGACGTGGATGACATATTTCAGGCGGTACACCGAGGTCACTTTGCCCTCCTTGTCCTTGTTCAGACCGCGGACGATCTGAACCTCGTCATCCTTGCGAATGGGGATGCTCCGGACCTACGTTGGATGTTAGAAGACTTGGTGTGAATTAAATAGACGAGGAATAAGATTGAGGAAACATACGTTGTACTTCTCGCGGAGCTCCTTGCTGAGCGGGGCGCTCAGAATGTTGCGGCGGACGCTGGAAGGAGCGCTGAAGTGCGCCTTGCGCGACTTGCGACGCGAGGAGGAGACGTCTGCAACAAAAACATTAGTTTCCAAAGACTTAATTAACATTGATGGTGGGAGTTGATTTCTGTAACATACTTGCGTTGACCTTCGCCATTGTGGTGGATTGTGCCGACCGGAGATTCGGAGTTGACTGTTGGATCGCCGTGATCTTGAAGAGGAAAAAACAAATTTGGATTTCTGTGGGTTCGTGAAAAAATGGTCCCGCCCTGGCAGAATCGCTGACCGCCTTCAAGTGTGGGTTTCTACAGCTAGGGCGCAAATGTCGGTGCCATCACGTGACCACTTCCCTTCGCGCCAGGTTCATATTTCAACCAACATTTTGAAGCATGAATTACGGACTACGCCAAACTAATCACTCGCAAGCAGCAGGTGAGCTTTTTAGACAAGAATTTATTGCCCGCAACACGTCTCTGTATGGCTTCGTCTATCCACATCTTGTTCAAATCGAAAGCGGGTTGGCCAAATCCGGGCCAGTCCAAACGCCCAGCAATGCAGTGCTATGCAAGTCTCGGGTATATCCAACGACCAAAAAACAAGCAACTCCCTCAAATAAATCATGCCATGTAGCCTTTTTGCGGCCCATTTCCCCATTCCGACCAATGCAAGACCAAAACGCCATGACCAATGTTGAAAACAAGCTCTCCCCCTTCTGAGCCAAATGCATAAACCTGTTTCGCCTTTGCCTTCTCCCGTCTCCAAACACAACTCCATTGCTCGTTTTGACTTCAATAAACCCAACCCAAAACAGAACCATTATTACTCCATCATCACTCATACAAATCCTCCGCCGATTCTTCATTTATGTCCGCAAACTCCACCACCGGCCCTCTCGGCCGCAATCCACTCATTGCACCCCCTCCATAAATCCGCCGTCTCAACTCCCGCTCATATGGAGATGGCAAGATGGCCGAGGGCGTTGATGTCGACATCCCTATAGGTCGATGTGCAAGCGTCCGTGTGCTGCCTGTCCATCTCGTTGGCGTACTCATAAACCCTGGATCCTGAGGGTCCGGTATTAACGGGTCTTGATCTTCGTCGAACTCGAGCATCGGCCCAAGGGGTGCTGGGGTAGCAGAGCCCGGTTCGCGTCGTGGAGTGGGAACGGTCGCAAGTTGGCTAGCCGTGTAGAAACTTGGTCCGCCGAGCCCGCCTGTGGAGGATCGGGAGAGTTGTTGTCGGACACTGCGTCTGGCGGAGAGGGTGTTGAAGCGTGAATTGTTGTCCCGTGTTGTGGCTTCAGGGACAGCTTTTATTTGCCATTCGTCTAGCACTTTGCGGCGGACGCGGCGCTCATTCTTCTCTTGGAGCGTCTGAGCCAGGTGACGTTTGCCCCCGTTTTGCAATGTCTGAAATTCCCACTTCTCCCAGCATCGCTTGCGGTTTTGCTCAGCATCGTATTCCACGGCGTCTTGCATATTTTCCTGCACTTCGTGGAGTTGTGCTTGCCACTTGCTGCAATACATTTCTGCTTCGGCGTCTGCAGCAACCTGCCGGATGCCCTCCGCTTGCTTGGCTGCGCGGTTCCACAGCTCGAGACAGTCGTCGAGATCCTCTCGCTTGTAATGGAGATTAGTTTGGCGGGCGTCGTGTTGGGCATCAAGTGCATCAGCGGCAGCATCCAGCCACTTGCCCAGACACTCCTCTGCCAGCTCCACCTTGTATTTCCGCCGAAATTGGCGAAGTGAAGTCATCAGTCGCTCCCTCCGTGCACCCTCTGCAATACCTGGCCACTCCTCCAAGACGCCAGATACGATAGATCTAGCTCTATGCTTGTCTGCCTTTCTCCGAGAAAATGTGGCCCGGGCCTGACTCTGCTGACTTTGCTCCCGCCAATGGTCGAGGCACGGTTTTGTGGAGCGGTAGAGATTCACAAGATGGGCGTTTTGCTGATGCTTCCACATCTGATCGACCCCGTCCGCCCAGGCGTCCAAGACGTCGTTTTGTGTATGGTAGGTGTCGACATAGTCGGCCTCCTCTTCGTGTCGTTCACGCTCACCGCGGGCTTGCCGGGCGGCAGTAAATAGAGTGTTGAGAGTTTGTCGTTTTGTTTGTTTTTCCAAATGGCCCTTGTACCAAGCCAGCTTTTCCTCCAGGGCCCAGTGTTCAAGAACATCCAGTTTGGTTTCATATTCATCCCGATCGATCCACAGCTTAAGCTTCATCTGACGCTCCCAGTGGTCGATAGGTTCCTGCGTGAGGAAGGCGTCGGCGAGCGCCGCCTCGCTCTTTGCATCCTGGAGAGCCCGACCCCATATCTCTAGGGCCTGACACTTTGCATCATGGTCTTGCCTGGCATTGTGCTGCCTCAGTAGGGCCAAGAGTCTCGCCTGCTCCTGCCAGTACTCGAGATCTTTCCGACAACCCTGGACAAGCCACTGCCGGGTGCTTTCATAGGCGTGGTACTGCTGAGCATCGACCTCTTCAAGCCAGATATTAACTACCTCGTCGAGCACGAGCCGTTCATCCAGAGCGACAGCCACCTGATACTCGTCTTGGAGATCGCGCGCCTTGCCGGCCCAGGTGTCCAGGCTTTGGTTGACGAGGCCAACGGCGTAAAATTCGTCGGCTGTGCGTTCCTTGCACTCTTCCCTCATGGTATCGATGACTTGATTGCAGAGCTGTTGCTGATGCCATTGCGCGGCGACTCCATAACGCACCTCGTGATGCAGGGCGACTTGACTCCATTTCTGGAGCGCATTGCCCAGGATGAAACTTTTGACTTTCGTCTCGTCTTCGACAAGCTGCGCGTGCCATCCCTCAAAGGCCCGCTTTCGCACAAGATGCCTACGAGCCACGGCTGTCCTCTCAATCTCCTCATGGGCCTGTTCTTGCCACTGCGCAAGAACGGTGCAAATAGTGAAAATCTCGTGTACTCTTGAGGCGCGTTTCTCCATCTTGGCCACGTATGCCTCGTGTCTGGCCGCATCCTCGGCCTTGAGTCTCAACTCCGCGGCCGCGGCAGCTTCTTCCTCCCAGATATCGAGTACTTCACCCATGAGGTCCTCATTGTCGTACTCCACGGCGATGGCCAGCAATTGGTCATTGACGTGTTTCGCATGACACGCATTTTCGTGCCAATTGGCGAGGAGATTCTCGGTAAGTCGCAGTTCCTCTTGTTCTCTCAGGTACTGAAGTTTTTCTTCAAGTAGGTCCAGATCCACATCCTCCACAGCAAAGGATCTCGGGTCGGCATGAATGGGTTCGTCATGATCTCCACCCTCAAAGCTAGATCCAAGCTCAGGTCCAGATTCAAGTCCAAATTCGGTCGCGAGGTCGGGTAGAATTTGTGGGGAAACTCGTTGTTCAGCGGATGGGGCTTCGGGCCCGGTATCGTCGAAATCTCCAAAATGTCGTACATCATACTGTTGATTCCCGCCAATCCCTAGCGCAATCTCGAGCGTCTCACTAGGGTCTGAAAGGCCCCCGGTTGATCGGGTGTAGCTGGGCGCGGTCGAAGCGCCGGACCCGGGCCGCGCGGATGGGCTGCTCGGGATGAATTCGAGTTGGATTCCCAGTCCTCCTAAGACAGAACGGAATTTGTCACCAAGAGTGTTCCCAGATCGCTGCCCTCCAATCTTAAAGATGAGCCGGGCGATGTGGGATGGTGTGTTTTCGGGGTCGAGGCCATAGCGAGGGAGGATGTCTTCCGCCGCAATGAACAAGGCGTTGGTCGGGAGACGGTCTCTCTCTGGAAGGGTCGGATAAAGAGACTCTGCGAGGGTGACAATTTCGTGGACCAACTCGATATCTATAGTGGGGGTCACAGATCAGCCGGCATCGCTTACAGAGATCGCGCTTGGAAGCGCGCGACAAGTCCCTTGCGAACGCGGATGGGCAGGGAGAACCCGGAGGTAGATGGTGAGGAGATAGGGGGAAGGAGCGAGGAAAACAGGTCACCCACCTTCGTCAGAGTACGACTCATGACGACCATTAATGAAGCGGAACATGGGAGGAGTAGGGTTATCGGCGACAGTAGAAGGAACACCGGCGCCAGAAGGATTATTGGTGTCAGGAGGAGAGTCATGAGGATGGCCGGGAGGGTCATGATGAAAAGCAGAAAACCGTTGGTGTTGCATGTCAATGATTGGGGAAGGTAACTCCGAAGCATGATAGCTCTAGGAGAAGTAAAAAAAGAAGGGTGTGAATGTAGTACCGGCAACAGCGCGGCGAAATTGCGACGTGGAAATGCGAAAAGCGCAATGCGATGAATGTGATGCGCAAAGCGCGAGCAAAGTTCGTGTCTTCGATTTCGAAAAGGGAAGTGCGATTAAAGTGCACAACGCAATAGTGAGTCCAGATTAAAGTTGGGAGATGAATATAAGCTTTGCTGAGGCAAGCGCAAATTGACGACGTAACCCGTGTAGTTCAGACACCGAAAGTTGTTCGAGGAGAAAAGGGAAGCAAGGGACGCGTCGAAGACCGCGTCAAGACGCGGGCCACGGCCCGGCGGGGCATGTGATGTTGGGGTGTCAAGGGCGCTCGGATCGCTGCAGGGATCACTGCTGAATGAGGCTGGGGATGCTCATCGATACAGTGCTCGTTGTTTTATACACTGTCTTTGTACACTGTAATTCAACCGCCGTGCAGATGCATCCGAACCTTCGAAATGAAAATTGATAAGAACCTCGTCAAGTGAGCACCGAACCCCGACCTAACTTTACAACGAAGGCGGGATCCTTCTTTCCGGCTGCTCCCCAGGTCTCACATCTTCTTCTCCTTCCTCAAAGAAAAGGAGCAAACACCCGGCACCTGACAAAGAACAAACAATGAAGCCAACAACCCGGCCTATTCAACGGTTTGCCCAAGCCGTCTCTAAATGCTCCGCCGAGGTGAGGTCAACTAGACACGCATCCAATCATACCAAGCTAAAGGCATGTAGGCAGCCGTATATGGCCAGTGCGTCTTTGCGGATTACAACTCAGTTCACAAAGACAAATGCGTCGAGGCGTTTATGAAGCTCAAGGATTGCTACTTGGTACAGTTCCCCCCCCACCCGACTACTTTGTTCGGCTTCGACCCGGGTGCTCATGTACAACAATCTTACTCATCGATTAGGCTGCTGCTAAGGGAGGGAGGTGAGAGGTTGACAGCTTCGGCTTGTGAAACGGCATCTTTATATCTACATACTCGACATCCCCCTCGCAACTATCTGTCTCAACTGGCTCAAGGTTTCGGGAACCGCCCATATCTCCAAACACACAGCGTTTTAAAGCTTGAGCAATCGCAACAAAAATGTCGCCTTCCCGACCTCCTGCTCCTCCTCCGCAATGATGTCCTTTTCATCCGGCTTAATCTGCCCCTCCACATGCGTCACCTCATGCTTATCCAGCGGCCGCCGCAAGGCCCTCGAGATGGCCGCTTGCTGCGAGTCAAACACCTTCTCAATGCCCGACTCCTCTGGGTCCGTGAGGACCTTGTACTCCATCTTAACATCATCTGTTACTTGCAAGCCAGCCTTCTTGCGCAGGCGCTGCACGCGGTTGATAATTTCGCGTGCCAAGCCTTCCTCAGCCAGGCCAGGATAGATCTCGGCGTCGAGGATGGTGAGCACGTCGTTGTCAGTGTTGGTCTCGAGGTTTTTCGAAGAATCGTCTTCTTTAAGCCCGCGCTTGACGACGAGGTCCCTTTCGCTTAGCGTGATGCCATCGACAACCAGCTTACCGTTTGTGGCGTAGCCATGGGCTTCATCGCTCGTCACGTTCGGGAGCGCCTTCTTGACACGGGCCATGTCCTTCTTCAACTTCTTACCAAGGACGGGCCAGTCGGCCGTGACACTGTACTGGACCCCGTGGCTGGCCTCGTCCGATGTCAACACCAGGTCGCGCACATTGAGCTCCTCAGTGATGTACCCTTGGAGAGACCGTACATCCTCCAAGTACTGCGGGTCGTGGTGAATGACGATGAGCGTCCGCAGTGGCTGTTTGAGGCCAATGGTACGTTTTTCGCGGGAGTAGCGAGCCAGCTCGATGACCTTCTGCATCCGCTGAACACGTCTCTCGATATCAACGTTGAAGAGCTCCTGGCGCACTTCAGGGAAGGGCAGGAAGTGGACGCTGCGGGGGTCTTGACCTTGGAGCTCCTTGGGAATGTGGGGCAGGAGCCGCAGGTAGATGGTATCCGTGAGGAACGGTGTGAAAGGCGCCAAGCCGCGGCACAACGTGAATAGGACCTCAAAGAGTGTGTTTAAGGCATGGATAGTGTCGTCTAACCCGTTCTCGCCCTTGAGCCGCTTGCGGTTGAAGCGGATGTACCAGTTAGTGGTGTTATCGATCAGTTCCAGAAGCTTGGGTACAACGGTGTACAGGCGGTAAGCTGTGAGCTCGTCAGCATGTGCAACTTTGTTCACTCCAACTCTCAGGATTGGAACATACCGGCCATTTCCTCATTGACGAACTTAAGCAAGCTCTGACAGCTGGCCAAGATCCACTTATCCATAACGTTGCTGTTGGAGGACTCCATGCTTGGGTCGAAAAGGTAATCGACGTTCTCCACCTTCTTCAATAGCGCTACTTGGCCCTCGAAGAACTTGTAGCTGTTCCAAAGAGGGAGCAGAACCTTGGCGACAACTTCCTTCACGCCAGACTCCTTGAATCGGAGGGGCTCAGCACGAACCACTGGCGAATTGATGAGGTACAGGCGGAGAGCATCAGAACCGTACTTAGTCATGACGAGGTTTGGGTCCGGGTAGTTTTTAAGACGCTTCGACATCTTCTTTCCGTCCTCAGCGAGCACGATACCATTGACGACACAGTTCTTGAACGGGGAGATGCCGAACAAGTGAGTACCTAGGACCAAAAGCGTGTAAAACCACCCTCTTGTCTGGTCCAGGCCTTCGGCAATGAAGTCACCGGGGAAGCTCTTCTCAAACTGCTCACGGTTCTCGAAGGGATAGTGACGGCTGCTGTAGGGCATGCTACCCGACTCAAACCAACAGTCAAAGACTTCCTCCACTCGCTTCAGCGTACCCTTGCCCTGCTTACTCGGGATGGTGATGTGATCGATCTTGTCGCGGTGTAGGTCGGTGATCTCGCCCTCATAACCGCTCAGCTCCTTGAGCTCGGCGATGCTCCCAATGCAGACACGCTCCTCCATGTCGTCGCTCACCCAGAGTGGGATAGGCGTACCCCAATACCGGTTCCGAGACACATTCCAGTCGCGAGCGTTGGAGATCCAGCTGGCAAACCGCTTCTCCTTGACGAACGATGGGACCCAGTGCGACCCTTCGATGTTCTTCAGCATCTGGGGGATGATCTCGGGGATGCGGACAAACCAAGAAGGCACCGCTTTGTAGATGAGCGGGGTATCGGAGCGATAACACATGGGGTACGAATGCTTGTATTGCGACTCCATCACGAGCCTCCCCGAGTTCTTCAGGTGCTTGATGATTTGCTTGTCGGCTTCCTTTACATGAAGCCCGGCGAAGTGGGACACCTTGTTAGTAAATCGGCCCGAGTCATCCACTGGGTCTGGGGGCGGCCGTTTCTCGGTGATGATGCCGTTCTCAACCGCGACGTTGTAATCATCTTCACCAAAAGCTGGGGCTTGGTGGACGATACCCGTGCCGCTGTCGTCGGTGACGTAGTTTGCGTTGAGGACCTTGAAGGCGACATCCTTGTATTCCTCGTAAAAGTAGTCGAATGGGGGTTGGTACTTCCATCCAAGCATTTCCTTGCCCTTCAACTTTTGCACCACCTTGAACTTAGCCTTCTTGGGATCCTTGTACAATGTACTCAGGAGCTTTTCCAAGAGGATATAGTGTTTTCCGGACTTCTCATCAAGAATCTTGATATACTCGAACTCAGGGTGGGCGGCGAGGCCCAGGTGGGAAGGCATAGTCCATGGCGTTGTTGTCCAGGCCAGCAGGCTAGTCTCGGGGTCGTCGTTAAGGGGGAAAGCGACGACGATGGCGGGATCGGTCACGTCTTGGTAGTTTTGGTTGGCCTCAAAATTGCTCAGAGCAGTGGTGAGTGCGGTGGAGTACGGCATGACCCGATGCCCTTGGTACACTTGACCCTTGTCGAAGAGCTGCTTGAACACCCACCATTCCGACTCCATGAACGTGGGATCCATCGTCTACCATTGTCAGCGCATCTTGCCACGATCAGACGACTCGATGTCCACAACAAGGGCAACATACCTTGTAGTCGTTATCGAAGTCGATCCAGCGCCCTAGCCTCTCAACGGTATGGCGCCACTCTTCGCGATACCGCATCACGATGGAGCGGCATTCCGCATTGTACTTTTCCAGGCCCAGTTCCATGACGGCAGCCTTGCCCGAGATACCCAGCTTTTTGTCAATCTCGTGCTCGATGGGCAGGCCATGAGTGTCCCAGCCAAAGCGCCGCTCAACATGGAATCCCTTCATGGACCAATACCTCGGGATGATATCTTTGATGGTGGAGGCGAGGAGGTGCCCATAATGGGGGAGACCTGTCGCGAACGGAGGGCCATCGTAGAAGGTGTAGTTTGGGTTTCCTTGGGAGAGCTCGAGCTGCGCGGAATTAGCGTCTAAGAACGCTTCCAACTTGTCGCGTGCAGGATAAAGGGGTTGGTCTGAACCGGCTTTCGTACCTGACGCTCAAAGGCCTTGAGCTCGCGCCATCTGGCGATGATGGCCTCCTCCTCCTTGGGAAAATCGATCGACATGCTTGCGATTTGCACAGAAGTGCTAGTTCCAAAAGATTGAAAGTACCAGGACAAGGTTGCCGAAGGAAAACCCTCTCTCTAAGAGGGGCAAAATCCTTGGGCTCAACTTGTTGACTCACCACTGTGTGGTTACGGCGTTATCCCAAAATAATAAATTTCAGCGGCAAGTCACCCGGAATGGAGGGGTCGCGGGGTAGCGGGGCGTAATGCGTCGGTAACATTACCATCTGCTGGTTGAAAACAGTGGACCGTCCGGACTCACCGCTTTCGCGCACAGACCATAGAAAGTACCACTCTCTGAAAGAGTATTGATACCAAACACATTACGCGTAATCTCGATACCACGAGTATCTGAAATGTAATCGCCCACTCCGGGATTGTTACGGCCGCACCCCGGTCTGTTAGCTCTTGTTGCGGGACCGCGCGCCATTGTTCGGCTGGGGCGCAGCTCTACTCCGTGAAAGAAACATCATTTGGGAATTCCAAGCAGTAGGTTTATCTTCAATCTCCAACTTTCGGAGTGTGTCAGAAATGAAGCATAGGCTTCCCCGGCATAATTTATCCAAAACCTTTGTTTTGATGAGAAATGGCGGCGACCTGCGAAGGTCATTCTCATCACATCCACGAAATCTACGGTTCAGTTCTGCTTCACGGGATCTGAAAAGGAAACAGAAATTCCATGTACCTTAACACAAGACACACAAAACATGATATCAAACGCGAAGTATATCCTAAACATCTCCACTTCAAACCCCATGTCGCTTTGCACCCCGTTGTATACCCACAAAAGAAAAGGCAGCGTAAAATGCATACTATCCAGCAGCGGGTATCCTCCATCCAAACCATGCCCATCCGTCCATCTGTTCGTTACGCTCAAGTCATGACATATATATCGTAGGGGAGACAACGCCAACCGGGGCAATCCACCCAATCTTGTCCACATCAAGGTTATCGTCATCATGCCTAGGTGTCCGGACACCAGGTCCCGGGTACCTTTCCTTCTCTCACCGAACCCACCCTGGAAGATGGTGAACGATCTTCTCTAACACACCATTTCTCAAGATCCTTTCCTCGAATCAATCGTACGCCCATGGCAAATCCCTCTCCCTCACCGTAGTACACGTTAGATACCCAACCCCGGCCGCGCCAACTCCATGGATCATCTCCAGCTCAAGCCCACTCCCCATCAGCGGCCGCACCACCTCACGCGCCATCGCCTTGAGCTCATCCACGCGCTTTTCAAACCGCCGCAGGTTATCGCGCGTATACAGGTCTGGCGTGAGTTTCAGAAAGCGCTTGCATTCATCGTGGTTCAGATAGCCGTAGACGCCTTTCCCAGGTGATGCCATGGCTCCCTCGCTCGAGTTGGGACTGGCACCGACGCCTCCGAGGAGGCGGTAGGTACGGCCAAGAGAGGCAAGAGTGGGTACCACGGGTGGTGATAATGCGACTTGAAGGTTGTTGTTGTTATTGTTGTGACCATTAGAGCGACCATTGGTCGTGCTCCCCCCGCTAGCGCTGCTGTGACTCCCCAGCCTGCCGCGCGGCCCGCCAGCGATACCGTTACGCCCGTTGTTGCCGCCATGGCCTCGGTCGACCGGGGCCGATGGTGGGAGTGGCGGAGATGTATTATCGGCCAGCCATTGTCGGAAAAGGCTGACTGCTAACCATTCGATATAACCGTTGGCCGGTGTGATGCGTTCGCCAGAACGGGTGGTGAGTGTTAGCCGGAACAGCCGCGCCTCGATGCGGCTGACGGTCTCCTCAAGCTCGTCGACCTTGTCCTCGATGATATCGACGACAGTTTCGGGTAGTGCTGCTCGGATGGACCGCTCACCGGCGGGCCATTGGCCGACGACGTGAATAAGCGCTTCCTGAAAAATGATTTTGGACCGTGCTAAGTAGCCGAGACGAAGGTAGCTGATGGGGTATTTTGCGATTTGCTTCCATAGCCGCGACTGGAACTGCAGCATGTGGTGATCCACGCGAGGACCAACCACGGCGAGAGCGTCGTATTGATCAGCTAAGTGAAGGAGCGACTTGCATTGGACGTAGCCGTCGGCGATGTTGACGGCGTCGAGTAAGGGCGGGTAGTTATACATGATGCGGAACAAGTTATCGTAGTCTCGGAGCAAGTCTTGCTCTTCGGCTGTTGCTGGCGGCAGAGCCGGGGTGTGATGTGTTGCGGAGAGGCCAAGGTTGGCGACCGATCGAAAAAAGGAGTGTGAACCTGACTTGCGATGAGAGGATCGACCTGAATGCGTTGTGGGCGCCGACCCGCCACCGAATATGGAATTTGACACCACGGGTACTGGGCTGATAGGGTCCTCCTCTTTCTGCACCAGCATTGGTATGTCGTTATCATCGGACCCGTAGTCCAATTCGTATCTCCACCTCCTCTTGACCGGCTGTTGCCCGCTCAACGCCGCCGTATTTAACCCGTATTTCCCCCCATTATTACTGCCTTCGTCGCTGCTGCTCCCTCGGTCGCGGTCGTCTATCCGGGCGAGCTCACCGCCGCCATTCCCGCTCTTCTCCTCGATCGCCCCGACCGCCATCGTCGTCCCAGGCGCGGGAAGCTGCGGCACGGTCTGGGCACGCGACCATTCATTGCTAGTGCTGGCCTCGAAGAAGCCGGAGCAGCGGGTGAGAATGTGGCGGTGGAGGAGGTAGCGGTTTTCATGGCCTGAGGCGACGCGAACGACAATTTCGACGTCTCCACTGTGACTAAAGATGGGAAATTCGTTCTGGGGTATAAACGAGGCGCCGCCGGCGTGGGAGCGATTGTAGCGCCGAGATCGCGACGAGCTGTGTAACCCTCCCGTTATTGAAGCCGCTGTCATCCCCCGACTCCCATGACCACCGCCAATACCGCCGCCGCCGCTGGAACTCGTCCCAACCACCGACTGAGCCCCCCGCACCATCAGCGAGGTCACGCCGTCGATGCGATGGGATGATACCATGGAATGCGCGTTGGTCCGGTTGGCGCGCGCAGCCGCCCGGATCCGGCTGTTGGATCGTTCGGTCGGATGTTTTGTCAGATGTTCGGTCGGGTGTTTGGTCGGGTTCGGTTTATTTCAATTATCGGTTTTGTCGCAGCGTCCGAACGAACAGGCCCGGAAACCTTGCAGCTTCGAGCCGCTCCACGCCGGGCTGCCTCCTGGCTCCTCTTCTCTTCCTCTTTGGCGATTTCCCGGCTGGCGCGCACGCGTTTGGCAGCTGGCGACTCAACTGCTGCTGCAGTGCAGTGGGTGGGTGCTTGTGAAGGAGGGGTCAACGCACGACCCCAGGAAGCCCGCTGGGGTCTTAATTAGGCAAACAAAGTGGTCGAAAACAGCATGTCAACAAAGGGCCGTGGCCGGACTTCGAGGCGAAAACAGAGAGGACGCGCACAGGAGAGAAATCGATTCCAGTTCAAAGAAGAAGAGAACGTTTCCGAGGCTGCGACCCGTGGGGGCGAGGCTGTGTGTGTCTATCTGCAGACCTGAGTGAATCCCTGGTTGTCGATGGCGAGCCACTGGAGATGGTTAGCGGACAACTGAGCAAGCAGGGAGAGCCAAACGCAACACCTCAACCGGCTCCTCAGCTGGGACTGGTGCTCGAGGCGCTGGTTGTGGGTGCATTTGGTGGGTGTTTCGCCACCGGATGGGAGTTTCTGGTGCTCGGCAGGGCCAAAGCAGGGGGGTCTGCTGACAGCGATTGGCGACGAGGGGCTTGTTTCCTGCGTTGGTTTTCTCAGGTTTTGGGTTGACCCATCCAAGTGAAAAGATATTGGATAAAAACTGGTACCTGCAGGTCGGGAACAACACAAAACCTCAAGGTGAAACAAGAAAAAAATGAGAAAGAAATGACTTCATCAACATCAGGGCTGGCAAAAAGAAGTGAGCAACTGTGTTGGTATTCTAGAAGGCTTGAAAGTTGTTGGCTCAGCACACAGACCACGCCAAAGCTTTGGATACATGCGATGGGGCCCGGAGATGGCAATTGAATTCCAGTCTGTACGCGTCGAAGTAAGGCGTTCTGTGGTCTGCCTTGTGCGTTGTCCGTTTGTCACGCGCGGGCTTTATACTTTCAATCATGTCGCCGTAGCTTTACCTTTCAAAACACCTTTCCGTCCTTGTCATCCGTGATGAGAGTTGGATTTCCTTTATTCCCCCGTCCGTCAATCGAGTCCATGCCTGACGTTGTTTCCACGTCGCTCGTATTCAATTGACCTTCGACTCATTGATCGAGCAGCTTATCCGAGCACCAGAAAAGGGAGGTATTGTTCCTCACAGCAATAAGAATAATAGTAATAATTACAACCCAACGCATTAAATGAACATGAAATGGGCTTTGTGAGGTGACAGCGAGGCGAGAACATGTAAGCCTCTGAGTTCGTGGATGGTGACCGAACCCCGCCAAGAAGAGCCAGGCCGTGCCAGCTGGCCCACAGCTGGTAACGGCCGTCACCATCAAGGAAGAATCCAACCTCAACGGATGCCTGGCCTTCTCGAGGGGCGAGTGTGCTGTACCTTCGTACTAGTAGAGGAAAAGGAAAAGAACCGCTAAAAATATACAACTCCCTTCATTAGACTGGCAAGGTCTGACACATGGAAATGTGATTTGCGACGGTTGCAAAGATTGATGTGCCCATTCGAATTCGGCCTTTTGAGTCAGCGCACAACAAACCTCACGACACTTGATTTTAAACTGCAAATATTGATTTGTGATGCATTTCATTTTGAAGTTTTGGAAAAAAAGCCTCGCTGATGGCCTCTATTCGTACAACCGTGTCGTGGAAGAGTAACTCCTACCCCCAGTCCAAACCCCCGAAAAGCTAGGTTACCTTTTCCCACCAGGGAAAGAAAGAAAAAAATCGATCGCGTTCCAAAGATGGCCGAAATTCCGATCGTGTCGACGTTTCATTCTCAATCCACCGCCGTACCGAGCACCGGCTGCTTAGCAAGTTGCGTCCAGAGACAAAAGTCCATGATGAAAAAAGGCAGAAATCATTCCCATAAAAGCCAAATCCCCCTTCCCAATGATACTGAGAAGAAAAAGCCCTTTCAGCTCATATCCATGTCGGTCGAGACGACAGGGAGCACAGCCTGGTCGAGAGCTTTCGACGGCCCAGATGAAGCATGTAGCATGTCGGCTCCATCAAACACGGGAGGCGAAATCTTGAGGTTGTTGAGGGTGCCCTCTGAGGTGGTGCTGACGAGCCGGCCTTGGCGGAGATTCTCGGCGAAGAGGAAATACCCCTCGCTTGCCTCAACTAGGTATGACTGAAGGCCGCGGCTTTCCAAGACGATCTTCGCATTGGTGACGGGATAATGGTTCTCGATGTAACGGGCCCAGCCGCGGGCGGCGACCTCAATGTGGCCGCTAATGCGGCTCCAACCAATGCCGAGGTGGATGGTAAAATCATCCACGATTGGCTGCGCAAGGGAATCTGAAGACGAGGTCATCGGATTGGAAGAATCGCGCGCAGGGCTTGAACCGCGGCTTGGGAACCTCTCAGTTGCAGTGGTGGGTGGTGTCGTCATGTCGAGCCGTTGAGACTTGTGGCTGCGGAGAGAAGGGCGCGATTGCGCCAGCTGTTCCTGAGCGAGAAGAGCCGCTTCGGCTTTGCGCGCATCTTCTACCGCCGCTCGCTCTTCAACCCAGTTTCCGGACTGAGTGCCGGCCTCGGGGACGTAGCCAGCGGACTTCTTGATAAGCGTCATGCCAGGGCCATACACCCAGTCATCCTCGGGTTCGTTGGCCGGGAGCGCCTCCACGACTTTCTCTGGGGGATCGAGATTGACAGCTGCCTCGTCGCGAGACCGCTTGCGCCCAGCGGCCGTGCAAGTACGTGCTAATTGCAGGCACCACGAGCTAGAATTGGGTGGGCTATAGGGGAGGATTGGCTGCTGAAGGCAGGACTTGCTGAACGCGCCTTGATGGGCAGCCTGTGGCGGCATGGCGAGGACCGGCGATGAAGCGTAGATACGATCGAAAGACGGCATCTTGAAAGATCTAAAGGGGAGAACTAGATGAGTGGGAAAAAGAGGGGTTGGTTAGGTTTGAGATAGAGGCAATGATGGTTAGTTCGGAGAAACGTCTCGATGATGTAAGTGCGGTGCAGTGGGGATATCGTAGGGTCGGTGCGGAGGTGTGAAGTGAAGTTGACACGATGAGGAATGGCCGGGGGTAGGAAAGACAATTGGCCAAAAAGACGAAGGAGGAGGTACGAGAGTCGAAGTCGGTAATATCGAACGACGGCGAAGTGTGTTGGTGTTAAAGAAGGGTGAAGACGGCGAACTGAGATCGCGAGACCTGGGCTTGGCGCGACGAGATTGGATGTTGGTGTAAGCCAGGAACGACTCTGGTAGAGGTGTGGTATTGGTTGAGAGTGGAATTGAGTTGGCCCCAATATAATTCCTGAGTGTGGTAGAGGGGAAAACGGGAGGGGAGGAATTGTGGGAGGAGGGTTGTTTTAGAAGAAGGAGGAGAAGAAGAAGAAGGGAAGGGCGGCGAAAGTGAGGCAGAGCGCAAGAGTGCAGCGGACCGGCATGCGAGGAACCTGCAAGATCTGGGCAACCTGAAGGGCAGGCAAAAAGGCGTCGGAGAGAGCTGGAGCTTGTGGGTGCCGGCATGGGACCTGGGAAGGACCCTTTTTCCGTCATCCCATTGGCTCCGGTTTTAAGTGGGGCTTATCTCCACAGCACCGATCATGATTCGTCAGCTCATCCTGCAGTCGTTTGAGGGAGGCGGAACACCCCAGAGAACTCCAAATGGTTAGATCGGCTGTTGCCCCGCTGTTGTCAGCCCTCCGCCGTCGTGTTGCTTCGGCCTCCGTGCGAGGGTGTGGTCTGTGCAGCCTCCTCCTGGGCAGCGCCCGTTTGTCCTGCCGGTAAATCCACAAATGGGACCTTGTCTCGCCAGGTGCGGCACGAGCGTCAGCATGAATTTAGTTAGCCCAATCGGCCGCAGCGGATTGTGGAAGCTCCAAAGTCGGGGGCCAAGAAAGAGCCAGGCAAGCCAGGCTTCGGTTCCGTCATGAAGACTTCTTCTCACGTCCGCGCAAACGGCCGCGAACGAATCGGACCCCGGCGCCGGCTTGGTCCGGTCTCACTTTTGAAGTTTTCCCCTGGTCTTTTTTCTGTGCAAGGACCTGACGACTCGATGAGTCGTGATTTGCTTGGCTGCTTGGTCACCATTGGAAAAAGAAAAGGTTCGATGGAATCGAATAAATTGGTACTGGGCGAGCTGGGCTCCTCTCCTCAAGTACTCTACTCTAAGGTAGATGCGTACCTATTTCTAGCAATATTTCCCCATTGAAGGCCTTCGTTGAGCAATTCAGTAATGACGACGGGTTCCTGGCCACAAGACATGCGGGTTTCACCCAAACCGTGTTCCCCGTTCTCCTTGCCTCCCCTCCAAATCCAGCCTGGCAGGGCCATTCTTCTACACATGTAGGGCGTCTCTCTGAGAGATGTGTCGGATAATCTATGCTGCGGCGCCCGGCCGAGACGGAACATGAGCCATCCCCTCGGCCACGGCCTCGTCGTCGACGTTCACCATTCCACCATACTGCCCTCCGGGCCCTAGCGTTCGTAATCTCATGGGGCTCGGCTCCCTTCTCTGTCCGAAGCGCGTCCGGGATCGTGTCACTGTCGGTGTCCACGCGGGCGGAGGTGAGCTACGCCTGGCCGGCGCCGTGTATGATCCGTTGGGCCGACCTTGGTGGCGAGCTTCTGGGAGATTTTGTGGGGTTTGCGGCTGAGATGAAGCCGGCAACGAGTCGTTATAAACCCTGAGCTGACTGCGAGGGTCCCAGAACCCTGACACCGGCGTTGTGGTTCGGGTTGGTGTGAGGGCTTCCTAGGCGCCAGTGTCAGTTTCACTTAGATTCATCCTCGGAGTTCGTTAAACGTACTTCGTCCTGGTGGATTTCGGAGGGGTCGAAACGATCTGGTGAGCCCTAGACGGTGCTGAAGTTAGGACTCTTCGTTGATAATATGAGGTATTTGAGTCGAGCATACTCTCAATGGCATCGCTGGAGAGACTAGCGGATTGGCAGACGACGCGGCTGGCGATATGTGTCGTGGACTTGTGATTCCTACGGATGACCATGATGACGTTGTGGTTCCGCGTGTCATCTCCAAGGGGAGTTGACCGATCACCTGGTCAGATGGGAGAGGATCCTGCAAGGTGTTTTCAGTCGCGTTGGGTGAGTCTGTTGAGCTACCACTGTCTGCATCAGGTTCCACGGTAGGGGATGTGGCCGCTGATGGTCTGCTTTTCGGTCGTAGGCACAGTTGCGATGCCCAAGGAGAACTCCAATGTTGGTTAGTTCCAGCAGTTAACAAATGTGCTGGGCTACTAATCACGTCTTGGGACGAAGCGGCACTTTCGTTTCCATTCGCCGGATCAAGGGAATGTTGTGGAAGTGGCAGGTTGGCGACTAGCTGTGGGCATGTTCGACTGTGTGTATCGGAAGAAGGATGTGAGCCATTCCCTGTACTGTCATATGTGTCTAGTACTTCTTTATGTCTCGGGGTGTTTGACGCAACGGGCGTTAACCGGTCTGGAAGAAAAGCGACACAGGCATCATCTTCGGCGCTTTCGAGGTATCTGCGGAAGCGCCGGCGGTGGACCACATCTGCAACATCTGCACGGGTCAGGGAGATGGTCGTGGGTTTGGGACGTAGCATATTGTGAAAAGTAGTCTGGGGGCCGGTGAGAGTGAACAGCCGGTTGGCTTTGCGACAGTGATTGCAACCCAGCGCCTGCGTAGTTGAAGAGGGCGCAACGACAAAGAACAGGGCATGAAGAGCACTTTGTCGGGAGAGCATGCTTTCATAACTTTGAGCAAGATTGAAAGGGTTCTCCTCCTTCTGTGAAGATGAGGAAAGAGCGACATAGAAAACTACCTAGGTCCTTGCCGCTGTGAAGTGAAGTGCGGAACCGGGACACAGACGGTGTATCCTCCCGGAAAGGAAAGGTGTCTTGTTAGTTGACTCTCTAGTATAGCACAACCTGAAGTACGTCCAAAGGGAACAAATGTCAGGGATTGATGAACCTGGTGTTGTTCTTATTTTCGTTGTATGTTGGTTGTAGTTCTTTGTTCTAAGTCCTGCTTTCCCACACGACGAGGTATCTACTTACTAGACGTTCAGTGCAGCCTTGGACTTCGCAAAGACATCGGTCCCTGCATACCTACCTCAAGAGGTAGATCAGATTGGTAAGTTCCATTTTGAGCTAGAAAAGTATTTTGAACCAGCAAAATCCGTTGTGAAATTGCAAAATCTTGGTAAAAACATCCCAAGGCATGCTACGGTGAACGTTGGCTGTCCGTGCATAAGACAGTATATGTATAGATTCACACGGTATCACTCTGGGGCTCCCCAACCTGAGTTTCCGTGTCCACGCAACCAAGCAAAGCATCGAGAGCGATCGACGGTAGATGGGAGTGCTTCACAATTCCTCACCAACCAACCTAATCAACCTGCCGCTGTCACCCACACTGCCCGTGCATGCACGGTTGTTGTGCTGTCTCTCCGACTTCCTTTCGTTTCTTTCAGTCTGGGGGGCATATTCTACTTTCGCGACCGTGCAATTCCGTGCCTTCTCATTCTCTCGGACACGGCTCAGCTCGGTCCTCTCGATGCCCGACTTTCCGTGAAGTCACAGGCTGGGTCTGCCACAAACAGGAGGGGGCTGCAACAACTACATCTCAGTATCACCGACCTAAGAACCCCTACAATCCGTGATCCCGTCAACATACGAACTCGGCTCTTCGTTTTCGCCGCCGTCGATATCCCAGTGGCCTCGTTCCTCTCGTTCCCTTGGTTTCCCCTCTAGACGCGCGTTCGCTAGACCGACCAGCCGACCAACCAACCGACCGTATGCCCGCCTTCGATCCCGCGACGACAATTATCATTCCTCAACAGGGTTTCACCCATCGACGCGCTACTCGTGCCTCAGCTCGCCTAACACAAACCCACATTAGAGTCTAAGCTTGAACTACCATGAACGGGGACCTCAGTCTTTCACAAGCCCTTGGCGGCCTGCGGATCGCCAACCCCGACGACTCTCCGAATAATTCACAGAACACCGAGACGAGTCCAGACGATAGCCACACCGCTAGACTGAATGAGAGACCAGAATCCAGGGATCACAGCGCACATTATGTTGCCGATAACATTGCGCCTCAATCAACGACTCAGCACACACCTCCTCGACAAACCCACACGTACGAATCGGCCGCAGCTATCCTCAAGAACGCTCAGAACAACCTGAATGCTTCACGTGGATTTATGGGTGTAGGCGGCTCTGATAATGCTCCACAACAAACGGCTCAGTATGGCGGGAATCCGGCAGCAGTTGAGACCCAGATTTTGGGCTCCACCCCATTGCCAACTCAGGGTCACCTCGTCGAGCATGACGGGCAAGGTGGGCAGGGACCATATCCCGGGCACAGGAACGAGCAGTCACGGTCGTCCGTTTACGGGATAAGAAGCGACCCTCGGTTTGAGCAGTCTCAAATCCCGTCTCGGGAAGGGAGCCGATCTCATCCTGCAGGCCGGCCGAGTCCATCCCAGCCAGCGGTCCAGCCCGGAGGCGCTGTTCCACCAGCCAGGCGGAGTTCCAAGGCAGTGGGAACAGGAGGAGTAGCAGTTGGAGGGGGGGCATACACATCAATTCCAGGTATTCCGGTGGCGCCACCCGGCAGCTACGGACCCGAGATGCCGATGTTGGCCAGCAGCGAGGAGTGGAAGGACCGTGGCGCGGCGGTTAGTCTGAAGCGAGAGGTGGATGCTGAAGGGAACACAGTTGTTAGGTCCGTCAAGAAGGGGGTTCGAGACTTCTCATTTGGCCGTATCCTTGGCGAAGGGTCCTACAGCACTGTTTTCCTTGCCACCGACCGACAGACATTGCGCGAGTACGCCGTTAAAGTGCTCGAGAAGAAACACATCATCAAAGAAAAGAAAATCAAATACGTCAACATCGAAAAGAACACACTCAACCGGCTTACCGACCACCCGGGAATCGTTCGCCTCTACTACACATTCCAGGACGAAGCCTCCCTCTACTATGTTTTGGACCTTTGCAACGGGGGAGAGCTTCTGGGTGTGCTAAAGAAGACGGGAACATTTGACGTTGAATGCACACGTTTTTATGGGGCTCAGATTCTCGATGCCATTGCGTACATGCATTCGCGAGGCGTCATCCATCGCGACCTCAAGCCGGAGAACGTCCTGTTGGATGACCAGATGCATATCAAGATCACCGATTTTGGTACAGCCAAGTTGCTGCCGGACCCACGAGAACCGCGACCGCCGGAGGATCCGCTGTCCCATAACAAACCCCAGGAAGAGAAGAGAAACGCCTCCTTTGTGGGCACGGCCGAGTATGTAAGCCCCGAGCTTTTGACAGATAAGGCCGTGGGCAAACCGAGTGATCTCTGGGCCTTTGGCTGCATCATCTACCAGCTTCTCGTTGGACGGCCACCCTTCAAGGGTGGGACGGAGTACCTCACGTTCCAGAAAATTGTCGGACTCGAATACGACTTCCCCGTAGGCTTCCCTCGCGCCGCGCGGGACCTCGTCGAGCGGTGCTTGGTGCTGGACCCCGCGCATCGTCTAACAGTAGAACACATCAAGAACCACGAGTTCTTTGACGGCCAGCAGTTTGGCAAGGAGCTCTGGAGAACAAAGGCGCCCCGTCTGCGCCCGTATGTACCCCCGACACAAGAACCTCACGTCATTCAACTCAATGGCGGAGGTGGAGGTGGGGGGTCAAGTCCCCCAAAGCCGGCTTCTCGAGGGGGCACCCACGGGCCACCTAACGGGTCACGGCCGTCGAGAATCATCACCGAGCTTCCACCGCCGACCCAACTCGACATTGAATGGTCACCCGTCCTGACACGAAACAATGAACGGATTCTCAAGCTTGGCGATTTGATGGTCATCTCATCGCCGATCCCCAACAGCCCACACGGACGTAGTGATGGGGAAGGGCACAAGAAGTTGTCACGCTTCTTTGGCGGTAGCACGACTAAAAAGAGGCAGCGGCTGGTGATGATCACGTCTAGCGGACGCATTCTGCTGGCTCCGGCCGGCGGCGAGGAGAAACGTGCCAAGCAGGAGATTTCGTTGCTGGGGTCTGACTGCGTGTGGAAGACACAAATCGATGCTAAGGGACAGGCAGTGTGGTGCGTCGATACTGTGAGTATTCCTCCTCCGTGCGATCATGTACACTGGTATGTCGAAATGCGCTAACACGCCTGTAGGGCGGCATACACTATACTTTCGAAGAACCCAAATCATCGCAGAGCGGTGACGTCAAGTTCTCGGTCGATGATTGGATCGAATCCCTGGAGCGGGCCAAAGATTTGGCCATCTCACAGAACCTGATCGGCTCCTACAGCAGTGACAACGGGTTTGGCGACATGTCATCCTCCATTTCTAGCCCAGCCAGCACTATGGGCGGCACCAACTTCGCCCCTGGTGAGGGCTACAGTATCAGCGACCGGTCAGGGCGCAATCAGCTAAGCAAGAGCCAAGGTAGCATGGAGGAGGCCAATGTGAAGCGGAACCGGTTTAGCAAACGGCAGTCCAAGAACGGGCTGGGGGCGGCTTTTTGATCTGATTTCGAGGAAATAATACGCTGCACCACCCCTCTATTTCCATGCTAAATTTCAGTATACGGAATGGAGTCCTCCAGCCACCGCTTACACACGACAACGGTGGTACGTGAGAATTGCTGCAGGAGGGTTGGAAACGCATGGGGGAGCGAAAGCACGCGTGCATTGAACGAGGACCTAGTGGATAGCAGGCGGCCTCTTAGTCTCGATTTGTTTTGGTGGGATGGGGGCGGCATAGCCATTTCAACTGCAAACTACTATTACCTTTAATGGGCATTTTCTGGGAGCGTGGTGGAGAGATACGGCTCGGACCCGCGTCATCCTCTAGCCGAAACTCTCAAGCTTTTTTGCTTTTCGCTTCAAGCCGGGAAAAGAAACAACAACTTAGGAACCGGTCCTGCCTCTTTAGCGGTCTTGTTTTTCTTTTATGTAGGGTAAGAGGTGGTTTGGTGGGTAGAATTCGAGGGCGGTCGGGCATGTGAAAGAAGGGGGTGTGTCCTGTGTATTGTACAATGTATGTACCAAGAGCGAAAGCATCACGTGATGTAGCGGAATTGAACCGAAATATACATAGTACTCGGCAACAGCTTCCACTCCCCTGCGGGAGTTCCGGTTAAAAGTATCGAGAAGTACTTTGTAGAATGTAATGACTATGAATCCCACAGGGTCTGAAATCGTTGCAGATTCGACGGAACTCTAACTTGAAACTCTTGAAATGGCCGCTTTACAAGACTTCCCGTTGGGCATGCTCTGTCGTTGAAATCATTTTCTGTAGCGCCAAGTCACCTGCATGAGCCGCTCGCCAAGACCCGCCAGCCTCTCCTGTGGGGCCATGCAGCAGCGCTCTTTGCGCAACTCCACCACTTTTTGGAACCACGAACGCGCGATCGACGCGCCCCATTCAGTCCAAGCCAAACCAGGCCACGGCATCGCATCGCATTCATCGTCACTTAACGATAGGCCCCCCAACCCAACCGATTCCTTCCCGTGCTCCCGGTCGCCCTCGGCTAGTGAAACCCGATCCAATCAATTGCATTGGTTGTCTTTGATTTGTGCGGGTGAGCGAGGCGGAAGAGCGACGACGAAAGCGAAGCGACGACGGAAAACGGACCGAAAAAATGCAGCAGCAATACCGTGGATACGCACCGCAACATGCGACTCCCCAACGTGGGGGAGGCCAGCACGTCCCACAACGTCGCGGCGGGATCGGTACGTTGAAGATTTGTTTTTCTCCCACCGCCTTTACCTGAAGAGTCCCGTCCTCACTGTTCCTCATCATCCCCACCTTCCTCCTTACCGGTTGTCAACTCGCACTACCGCCTGCCCCTTCTTTTTTTCTTTCCTTCTTTAAGCATCCCATCCGGAAGCCTCAACTCGGCCCGCTAGAGCATTGGCCAACTGTGAGAAGTTGGGCAAAACATCCTGTTCCCGAACCGCTTCGAAGCTACCTCCCTATCGACGACCGCCCACCTTGCTCTCCATCTGCCAACTTGCTCTACCCCTGTATTTGTGCGACTGCGTTCCTAACCATCTATGCCCCCTGCTGTAGGCCCCATGATGTCGGCCGGGCCACACCATCAGGTCCCTATGACCCAGGCGCAAATCAACCAGCAGCACCACCAGCAGCTGCAAGCCAACCTTAATGCCAAAATCCGGAGCCGCAAGCCAACCGACAAGAACCTCCCCGATGGCGTGGAGGAGTCGTTGGCCGCTGATAGCGATGTTGCCGTCTGTTACCGCGAGCTCCGTGATTTGGAGCGCCGGTTGGACGCCACAATGACGCGCAAGAGGCTGGATATTGTAGACTCGTTGAACCGCAGCGCAAAGGTATGTTTTCCTTCCTCCAATTTGGGAGCGGGAGATGGGGTCAGATGGCTGACATGTTGAACTTGCGGAAGCAACAGCGATACAAGACATTGCGCATTTGGATCACCAACACGGTCGAGGATCAGTTCTGGCAAAACAACGGCCTCAATGTCGACTCTTTTGACTTCACTTCGAATCTCGAGTCGTCATACCGCGTCAAGATCGAGGGCCGCTTGTTGGATGACGAAGAGAGTGGGGAAACGGACGAGGAAGGGGAACAGCGCAAGGCTGGCGATGGTAGCGGCGAGGCCGATGCGGACAAAATGGAGACGGATAGCCCGACCAAGACTAAGTCGAAGCCCGGCCCCGCAACCCCCAGGCGCCCCCGTATGTCGCACTTCTTCAAGGCTATCACCGTCGATTTCGACCGCACTAAGTTGGGCCGCCCCGCGAACGAAATGCCGGTGGAATGGAAGAAGCCGGAGCGGTCATCCAGTGGGGGCGCTGGTGCTAACAGTAACCTGGCTGCGGCGGCCGATTTTGACGAATTCACCTTCAAACGGAACGGGGACGAGAATGTTAATATCACCGTCAACCTATTCCGTCATGAAGACCCGGAGCGCTTCGAGTTGGCCCCCGCGCTAGCCGAGGTTGTGGACATGCGAGAAGGGACGCGCAACGAGGTGGCCTTGGCGTTGTGGGAGTACATTAAATTGATGAACCTTCAGGAGGACGAGGAGAAGCGCAATTTCCGCTGCGATGACCTGCTGCGAAAGGTATGCCCCTTTTGTTTTTCATATTCGTCTCCCCTCCCATTCCACCGGTTTGCTTGACTGACTTGGGTTTTACGCACCAGGTGGTCTCTCGTGAAATGGGTTATCTCCCCCATCTTAATGAATACCTTACCGCCCACCTGCGTCCCCTCCCACCCATCAAATTGACCTACACGATCCGCGTCGACGAAGCTTTCCACAAAGATTCAGCATCCCCGCAACCGACCATCTACGACATCCGTGTCCCGATCGACGACCCTTCTTTGCGCGACCGCCTCGCCGCACCGGTCACCGACCCCGCCCGCTACGCGGCCTTGCTCAAGGATGTCGCTCTTCTCGATGACCAGCTTGCTGTCCTCGTGCAGGCCGTTTCCCACTCCAAGGCTAAACACACCTTCCTCACCTCTCTTGCCCGCGACCCTGTGCGATTTGTCCGCGCCTGGCTGAGCTCGCAGAAGCGGGACTTGGATGTAGTCCTGGGCGAGGCTACACGGAGTGGGAGTGTGGCCACGGGCGGCGGTGGCACTGGAGGTGGGGATGATGGCGTGGCGAGCGGGGATGAATGGCGCAGGGGTGGGAGGGATAGCGTGTGGGGGACGACGAATGCGAGGGAGAGTGTTAATGTGCTGCTGGCGAAGCAGCCGGCGAGGGTGTAAACCGAGAGAAGCGGTTTTGTGCGATTGGGGCGGAAAGGAGGCCTTTGAAGTTGGAGTTGGCCGGATGATGAAATGGGTTCGGACCGTCGGGCTGGGTAGATGGATCAAGTTTGGGCGGATTATAGGGGCGTTTGGCTTGTGTTTTGGGAGGGGAGATTGAGACGGTGGCGTTGTTCTCAGTTCTATTCATCAATGTACTTCTACCCGATACTTGATGTGAAGATTGAAGAGGAGCTGTAGTATCAAGACCGCTCTGATATCTGATAGAGCGTTCCATTGTGTTATTTAATGCGACTCAATTCACGTGGTCGATTTATGTGGAAGAATGCATGGCTTTGCTATTGAATTGACTTCATTATCTCGTTACCAACAGTGTGTATGTCCAGCTTTCCCTATAAAAAGGTGCTGTGTAAAAGAAAAAGATTATTCCATCATGTCTTGCCAATGCTCAATCCTCCCCCGCCAAGTCCAAAGTCGTGATGTCCAGGTTTCCCTATCAAAACATAAAAACGCGCTGTGTAAAAAAAAAAGAATCCATCATATACGTCTCGCCCATAACTAGTTACTCAATCCTCCCCGGTCAGGTCATAAATCGTGAGATCGCTCTGTCGCCACGCCCGTCTCCCCGTTCGGCCAGCACCTCGCTGCTGCTGCTCAGGACTGTTGTGGGCGGCCAACACTGCACTTGCTTCATCCCGGTCAACTTCTATAGTCCTGAAGTAGCCTTCTCGGCCGGGGGTGGTGCGAGGTATGAAAATTGTGGTGGTTCCGGATGGTTTAGTGCTCGGGTCAGCTGCAGCTGTGGCTGTGGTTGTGGTTGTAGTGGTTGGTGTTGGTGTTGGTGATGAAGGTGTAGTTTCTTCTGCGGTGGTGGCGGTGCGAAGAACGAAATCGGTACGTCCCACCTCTGGCTTATCCACCGCAACTGGCTTGGTTTTCTCCTGAGGAACGTTCGTAGTCAGAAGGGAAGACGTGTCTTTGTGCTTTGAGGACGGTCGATCGTTGAACGGGCTATCAAAGTCACTCAATACGCCCGCCTCATTCGCCGGGCCCGGACTGTTAGACTTTCTCGCGGAGATGCTCGAAGCTGATGGCTTACCAGGCACTAACGGCGGAAAATCAGCATCATCGTCATCCTCATCCGATGAGATCTCGATAGGTTCCGTGTCCGTGCTGTGGTCCGCCTTGGGCTGGGTTCGTGAGAGCCCGACGTTCTTCACCGTCCGACCGAAACTCTTGATCGAGGTTTGTGATGATGTTACTTCCGCAGTTTTGCCCGCCTTGCTCTTGGCCCCCTTGGACTGTCCCCGCTGTACCGCTCGCTCATCCTCTTGGACCGGCAGTTCATCATCTTGGGCCGGTAGCTCATCATCGGTTAGATTTGGAGGAGGCACCCAAAGTTTCCGTTTCGTGAGGGTCGGAGACACTCTCAGCCGTCGGGGTGGCGAGGTCATGTCCTCTGAAGAGGGGCTCCGCCGCTTTAGCTTTGTTGGCGTTGTCTCATCTCCCTCTGGATATGTACGAGTGGTTACTGGCGACGTAGGCATAACAGGGCTTGATGAGAGGAGTATTGGTTCTTGGAGGAGATTGGAACTGGAATCAACCTGAGAGTTGGTAGGTAGAAACCGTTTGGCTGACTGGGGAGTAGTTTGTGAGCTTGCGAGAGTCCAAGGGTTAATGCCCGCGGGTGGCCGTTCGAAATTTGGTGCCAAGCTCTTCTTGTTCTGCTTCCCCCTCCCTTTGGGAGCAGGCGGGTTTAGCTGACTGGCGCCCTTCGACGATAATGGGGTAACCGTCGGAAGGGGAGTATCCGTCGTCGTAGCCTTAGCATCGGCCTCGGTCCTTTTGGTCACCTTAACGTACTTGTCCAATGCCCCAGCCGGCATATCAGTCTTCTTGGTCCGTGGCTTCTTGGTTGACTTTTCAGCAGCCCGACGCTCCTTTGCCTGCTGCTTCTCTTCCCAAACATTCATCACCCGAGGAGCACTTAACTCCACAAGGGCCGTTGGGACCCACGCTAGGTCTGGCTGGAACGGGTCAAAGGGCTTCTTGGGTTTCGTCTTTGGTTGCTCGTTGCCGACCGCCTCTTCTTCTTCAAACTCATCGTCACTATTCAGGGCAATGCCACTGCGACCGAAAGCCTCAGCCTCCTCCTCCTCTGGTTCCTTGCCGAAATCCAACCCGATGACATTGTTTGGAGTAAATGATATCCGGAGCTCGGGTGTGGCGTCCGTGCTAAAGTGTGTTCTTTGGCTCGTAATTTTCATGAGTTCTGGCACCTCGTCCGGCGCACCGTCAGACCCATCATCACTATGCCCCTCAAGGAGCCGCCGAACCAAGATACTTGGTGCGAGGACGCGCACGAACTTGATGGCACCGCCCTTGAATTCCCAGTCGAACGTCTCACGCGTAAACTCCCGCAATCCGGCAATGTCCACCGCGTGCTTTGGCGGAAACTGCGTTTTTAGCTTCGAGACTGTCGTCTTGTTTGATACTACTGGGTGCGTGTAATAGCGTAGAATCTCCATATTCGGGAAATTGTCAGGGATCTCCAAAGATTTGTGCTTTGTCCGGAAGAAGTGATTTTCGTTGGTACGTAGCTCATGTAACAGTCTGGTTTTCCATGCAGCTAAGCCTTCGCTGTCCGCTTTCTTAAGCCGGCACAGTTCCAGCCCGAAGCCTGCTTTGGCCGCCTCGCATGCCACCTTGATGCCACATCCAGGAACGCCCTCTGGGACGTAGTCGCCACCACTCATTAGGGCAATGAGCACCATTCCCTCTCGATCAAGCTTAGTAGGACCATCGGCCACAGCGGCTGCATCGTACACCGTAACATGCGTAGGCGTTTTAGATCCCTTGGTACCTTCCGCTGACCAGTTCCGGAGCGTCTTCCCACAACCAAACATGATCGTATCTACGTCCTCACTCAAAACGGCGTCGACGACACCTTGCTGCTGTAAGAGGGCGCATTCAGCCTCGGCCTCGCCGGGCGCATCATGAGCGGCGAAACCAAAGTACCGAATAAGCCGTTTTCCCATGGCGGTGGCGACTGTATCGCCGTTCCTAGAAGAACGCTTTCCTCGCTTAAAAGCGGGCTTATTCGGCCCATCGAAGACAAAAATCGGATCTATCGCGAGACCGAGCAGCCGGACTAGGCGATAGAAAAGAGTGCGGATCGCTGGGTTAGAGCCGCCTGAGAAGCACAATCAGACATGTGGTGATAGCATTGGGGGGTTAGCGCCGGTAAAAGGGGTTGATTACTTACCTCTGCCCGCCTGCACCTGAAACTGCCAGATGGAGAAATCGATGGCCAACCGGAGTGGTCGGCCGGTATTCTTGAGACTGTCGACGCCAAGCTTGCATAGGGAGATTCTCTCACCCGGCCCGATCTCTTTATAAATTCTGCCAACACATGAATCAGTCAGAAATCCGTGAGAGCAGATCGGTTCTTCGACTTCCGTTGCGAAGGGCCGTGTATCTTACCCTTTGATACCCATCCTGCTGGTTTTCGGTTCCCGTCCCCCGGGAGAACCCCAAAAAGAGACACTAGCTCGAGATCAAAGCGGCTGCAAAATCAGATCCAAATTCCAAAAAAGATGGCCATGACACAAGTGGATGAGTCCGAGAAGGAGCGGCTTCGTATGCGATTGGATTCGGAGATCCAAAATGGACAGAAGCCCCCGTTGACGACTCGGCGTTGTTGACGTTCTTCCGTTTTGGGGCAGGAGTCCTACCTAGGTTGCCGCAATTAACGCTAGTTGCATGTGGGTCTAGCTTCCTTAAAATTATGCATCTAAGAGAACCACACCGACGCGAGACGCGTGCAAGCACTTTGAACTTCGACGTCTCAATCAAGGCGCCAACGGAGTGATCAGTCGCAGGAGGCAAGGGAAAAGCTTGGCATTTTATTCCATTCTGAGAGACGGAAGTCAAGTTACCTTTCGGATCATGGGACGTTAAAGAAATTGTCTTGTTTTTCCCTACTTCTCATCGTTCAGGGATCCAAAAATGTCGACTTCTTCGGCACCGCTTCCGCACCGGTCGGTCGCTAACATCCGATCACCATCCGGAAGTGGCCGTCACCACCCCTCTCAACATCACCAGCAACAAGGCACCGGTCCTTCCACACCACACCGCCCCGTCCCTTCCAGCTTCGGTTCACCATCCGGCCTTCGTGCCGACGAAGAAATCATCATCATCGAGCTAGGCACGCGGAAAATCCAGGTCGGCTTCTCGGGAGATGCGGCGCCGCGAGGGTGCGTGTGGTTTGGGCCAGACCAGCAACGCCGTGCGGGCGATTTCCGGGATTGGCAGGCCGATTATCGTTTCGACTGGAAGGCGGCCGATGCTGGGGGCTTTTGGAGTCGGGACCATGAGCTGTGGAGCTATGATGTCCGGGGTGCAGATCTCGGGTTGGTTGGCGACAAGCTCGAGAAGGCATTGAGGGAGGCGTTTACGAAGTGGGTTACTCATCCAAAACACTCTCGATTGTCAATGAGTCACACGTGTTGACCAAGGATTAGATATCTACTTATTGATTCGCGCCCGAGGAGGATGGTCTGGATCATCCCCTCTACCCTTCCTGTCCCGTTACTCTCTACGGCGTTGGATAGCATCTTTAGCCGATTCCAACCACCCACCATCTCACTGCTCTCCTCTTCCCTTTCCCTAGCCGTCGGAGCTGGGGTCCGCTCGGCCCTCGTGGTCGACCTTGGTTGGAATGAAACCACCGTCACGAGTGTCTATGAGTATCGCGAGGTGAGCACGAGGAGAAGCATCCGTGGTGGGAAGATGCTAGTTGAGCAGACGCACAAGCTGCTTGCCAAGCATATCCTCGAAAGCCAAGAAGGATCCGGAGACTCAGGGGAACATTTTGTCAGCTTTGAAGAGTGCAGCGACATCACGGCCCGGATGGTTTGGTGCAAGCCTCGCCAGAACTTGGGTTCGGGCCAGCCCACTTCTGACACCTTGACCACCGTCAAGGAACAAGACGAAGGAGAGAATGAAGATCCGGTCGTTGATGATGAGCCAGGCGCAGGGTCCACCGAACCCCAACGACCTGGCGCCATTGCCATACCATTGAGGTCCTGTTCGCCGCCAAAGTTACTGGAACTTCCATTTGACTCCCTCAGCGAACCCTGCGAGAGTGCCTTTTTCGATACTCAATACTCCCTCTCTAGCTTCGACGATCATGAACTGCCCGTACATCTTCTCATCTACCACAGCCTTTTACAATTACCTCTGGACGTCCGAGCCCTATGCATGTCCCGGATCATCTTCACTGGCGGTTGTGCCGGCGTCCTTGGCCTACGCGCCCGCATCTTCGATGAAGTCTCCCACCTCATCCAAGAGCGAGGCTGGGACCCCGTCCAAGGAAAGGCCGTACACCAGTTCCTTACCAACCCTAAACTAAAACAGAAACGTGGCCGCAAATCCACCAGCCACTCGGGACACGGCGGAGACGAGGAACACGACGACGAAGAGCAAGATGACGTCTGGCACGACGCGGCCAACACAATTCCCGAAGTCGACATGATTGAGGAGCAGGTGAAACGAGGCACCGACAACCGGCCGCGTGTGCAAGGCCAGATGAGGGCCGTTGAGTCCCTCGGTACTTGGGGTGGTGCTAGCTTGGCTACCCATCTCAAGGCGCCGGCCGTGGCGGTCATTGACCGCGAGCTCTGGCTGCTACATGGGGCGGCGGGAGCAAGCAAGGCTGGGGAGGTGGATCAGAAAGCACAGAGACAGAGCTTGGGACCTGGAGGCTTGATGAGGGTCTCTGTTGCTGGTTCGTCATGGACATTGGGGGTTTGGGGGACAAATTGAGTTAGGTCGGTGGCTGGGCGTACAGGCTTGGAATGGACCAAGATCACAGGCATGGTAATATACCCTTCGTTTTGTCTTGCTACTTACCTAAATGAATTCAGTGAGGATTTTAGGCTCATGGTATGGCTGTTGTTGTGTTTGTTGGTGTCCTGAGGTTGTTAACTTGGTTGAGCAACCATCATCTACCTTGCCCACTGTTCGTTGACCCCCCTGAAATACTTCAAGCGGATCTACTAACAATACTAAAGGCACTTTTGCGCCACGGTGCGGGGATTCTGAGATGTCTCCTGAATATCTGAAAGGATCCGGGACCTCCTTCCTTGTTCTTAGTGTTCTTTCTACCCCAGATTTTGTGGATAGGTTGAGCACAATCATCCGACCTCACCGTGCCTTCCTCGCGTTCCGGAAACCGATTAATATGAAAAAAACACGTACCTTCCCCACACAGCTAGGTTCCGGACCTTCCTGCCTTGTTTTTGTGTGTTAGTCAACCTTACTGCCCCCCATTCCGCACCCTCACATATGTGTGTTTGTCCTTTTCTCTGGGCCACCGACTACCACACCTTTCTTTGCACTGCCCTGCTCTTGTTCTCCTCGGCTTTTCACCCTCAACTCAACAGCGTGTTTTGACACCCCTGCCACTCCTTCCAGTTTCTTTTGGGAAATTTTGGGCTTTTTGGGCTCGACGATCTGGTTTGGTTTTTCTTGTTCACCTAACCCTCTCCGTTCACGACTTGTTGGACCTCGGAAGCCGACCAACAGATCTCTCTCAGGCGGATCCAGGCACGAACTTTCTGCATCACACATCACCATCCTATGCCGGTAAAGGGCTTCTCCGCCTTATGCTTGCAGTTACTGGTAGGTCGATTTTCAATTCGTTTTCATGCCCCGCCTCAAGAGACCCCCGCGCGACCCATCGTCGAGCAAAACAAAACAAATTACTTCATCACCACCCTATATACCACCTGTTGCAGGCATTACATTCTTCCACCCGCTGTTCCGCCTTTCTTTGTATCTTGGTCGGGTCTCTTGCATACGGACAATGAGGCAGTCCTCTGGCCGCAAGCGCGCCCGTCGCTTGCTTCGGCACCTCAAACTGCTGCAGGAGGACGACCACGACGTTACTCCCCCCACCATCCTCGCAATGAAATACCTTCTGCAACTACACAATCGTTGCAAGTCGATCGAAGTCAAGATCGACTGTTGCAGAGCCAACTACCCTTACCCTGTCGACCGATATCTTCTGCCGAAATTCATCGTATCCCAACTAGAGGAGCAAAGACTGACGAGCCGCGACAGTGACACCGTTCAGCTTTCTGGTCTTGTAGGCTTCGTTATTCAAGCGCTCCCACGCACAGGCGGCTGTGGCAAGGTGCATCCGACCTTGTTTCGTTGGTACGACCCCTTGCGGCATCGAACCTACTACGTTTTTGCCTACATCCCCCTCAGCATGGCCCGCCGGACCTACACTCTTAGTGAGTTGATGGGTTACCGTCCCACCCAAGACCCCGCAGCACCCGCTATGGCTGTGTCTCGAAACAGTGATCTTGGTAAGTTCAATATATTCTTTCTTGGCATGGTTTTCCCCACAGTTTCAGCTAATTCAATCATGAGTAGCCGACATTTTCCGTCGTCCTGGAAGTGACTCGTCTTCAACCTCTGGCTGTCGGCCATCTACCTCCTCCAAGGTCAAGGACGATTCGTCTGTCACTTCTGATGAGCTTGTCTTTAAGGGCACTGTGAACCGCCGTATGGGCCGTGAGTTGGGTCGCGAGTTGGCCCGTGAAGCCACTCAGGTACAAAACTCCATGCGTGCCTCTACCCGAAAGACTCATCGCAGCGACAAGCGCGATATTCCTGACATCGCAACCGACAAGGCACCACATTCCTCGCGCTCTCTGGAGTGGAAGTATCGCGGCAGAAGCGAGGCAGAGTTTGCAACCACTGAGCCTATTCCTGCCCCAACCGGTATCCCGGCTCAGAAGGACGAGGGCTTTCAGCGTTTCTACAAGGCCGTGGTGTCTCCCACCCACGTTCGTGTCACCGCTGGTGGCCGGATCGTACCCAACACTCGCGGTCCCCCGTCGCCCACCACCAAGCGAAGCAGCGACAACTCTGTTATGGACAATCAGGTTGCTACCGACAAAGCCTCTGCCAGCCAGAACACACAGGCTGCCCCGCCTCCTGCCAATACCAGCCAGGCAATTCCAATCATGCCTCAGTTTGTCACCGGGTTTCCCCAGGGCTTCCAACCGATTCAGACACCCGTGTCATTCGTGCCCATGGCAATGGGCCCTCACATGCCCCCTCCCGGGTTTAATTTCCCACAGAATGCAGCAAACCTGGCTGCTATGGGCCCGGCCGGTCCCCTGAAGGACACCAAGTCCGCAGATGGTGATAAACAAGGCAACGTCAAACCTGCACTGCCCGAGCCCTTCTTCTATAACGGGCAACTCATGTATCCTGTGGCGCCATACCCCGGGGCTCTTGGAAACCACCCGATGGTCCCTGTGCAGATGGTCAGCCTTCCACATGGTGTCTCTCCTCAGATCCCCCAGTTTTCTGGGCAGTACATGCAACCGCACCCGCACCCGCCATCGCACCCGCAGGCGGCTCATAGCGCACCGATCGGTCACGGGTTGCCGTACACGCCCTCTAACCAAAGTCTCTCTGGCATTCCACCCGTTGAAAACGATATTGTTCCAGCTAATGCCAATTTCAATTCGGCCGCGGCGCCGCCGATCTCTTCAATCAAGCCCAGCGATATCACCAAGAAGCAGATTGCTTCTTTCAAGCACAACCTCAAGTATCACGAGGATCAGCTGCTGTATAATCGGCACCAGATTGACGAAAAGGAGATGGAGCAGAAAATCATGATTCTCAAGGGCCATGTCTCCAAATTCGAGGCCACTCTGCAGACCCAACTTGAGTACGAGGACGCACATTTCAAGTCCCTTCGAGCGAATGAGGGTAAACCCCCCTCTCAGCGATCCAGCAAGGCTGCAGACGAGCACAAAGCTCTGCCACAGCCGCCCGCGCCTAAGATGCCGTTTGGATATGCTGTCCCGGCCACTAAGAGGGCGACGAACGAGGTTAACAACCAGCGCATCCACCTCGCTCCTTACAACCTCCACCACAATGGTGGCGCGACCGACCATCCCATGGCTAGTGGTCCCATGGCGCCGCCGGCGTTCCCGGGAGTCAATGGCTTCCATCACTCGGCGGGTTTGCCAAATGGCGCAGCTCTGGCACCAACTTTTCAGCCCCGTGGTGGCTATGCTTCGACCTGGTCAAGCAGTAGGTATGCTAGGGAGATGAAGGCCTATGAAGAGGCGGAGAAGCGGCTCTCCGGAACGGAGTCTCGTAGCATGGATCACCTTCGCGGCGTTATGACCGACCACCGGTCCGTATCTCAGCCCTTTTACCCACCCATGTCGGAGGAATCGTCCATCGTCGGCAAACCCGGGTCGTCGGAGGACTCAACCCGCTCGAACACTACCGCCGCCCAGCGCTTGCAAACGCTTGGAGTGCCGTACTTGCTCGGCACACTCCCCAAGGGCCTTGACCCCCGCACCGCCAGAGACCAAGATTATGTGTACAATCGGCCGCTGACGGACGAAGAGCGCCGCGCGCGGTTTTTGTATTGGGGAAAAGCGCCCAAGTCCGCTCTTCGAGGACTCCCCAAGTTCGATGGCAAGCATTTCTACCCGGCCTCGCCCGTTAAGGGCCGCTCCGTCGACCGTGCTAGAGGCGGTCCCAGCCCGCGCACAAGCGAAAGAGACGGCGATCCATTTCGAACGGTGACTCCGGTTCCAGCTCAACACTCGGCCGTACAAGCGGTGCCCGGCAGTGAGGACAACTGTACGACTAGCAGGCTAAACAGGGTTGTTTCATTCGAGTCCCAGATTGGCGAAGGGGCGGAGGGCATTTCAGCCTTTAACCACGCGGTGAACGAGGATCCGAACTCCGCTGAAGCCAACGACGGCATGGCGGCCAGCGCTAGGTATGTTTTAGGACGCGAGCTCGGAATGATGATGAATTGCTAACCGTCAAATCATATAGCATGAGGCTTTGGAAGGCGATGTTGAAGAAGGGTCCTACCAGCAGCGCTCTGTCGCCGACCACGGCCCAAGCCCATTTACCTCATTACCCTCGCAATGCTGCGGCTTCCTTGAGCCCATCTGTGAGCACCAACCAGCAGTTCCCCATCCGGGATGTATCCGCGGGCAAGCTGTCTGATGTTCACGATCTGAGCGACACTGGCGGTATTTCTGTCGCAGGCGTCACAGAGAAGCGCCGGGAGAACTGCCCCCCGGGCGGTGTGAGCTCGCTCGATGATCAGTTCAAGCATCTCGCCGTCGACGTTGCCGCTCGACGGGACTTGACTTCGGGGTTCAACATGTGAGGGTAGAACTGCGTTACTACTGATGGAATTGTTTATAGCTGCCGCCTCCGTAATATGACTGGTAATCAGGGTGGCAAGGAAAAGAAATTGGCGGCGGCGGCGGTGGTGGTGGTGGTGTAGTGTTAGCAGTGTTGTCTCATTGATATGTTGTTTGTTACCTTCAGGCGGCCTGCCAACTTAATGACAGATGATGGAGGTCTTGGGATTTTACCAGGACGGAGGCATGTTATACCGCGGGCAGCTTACCACTAGATGATGTAGAGTAGTGTTTCAATGGAACAGAAAAGAGTATAACCTCATTGCCATTGTGTCCTGGAACAACAAACCTTTTGCGTCAAAATATGGTCTTGACAGTCGATATCACACATCACATCTAAACTTCAATTGTGAAAACATTGACTTTCTTACCCCACATGGTATCCAAAAGATGAATATATCTGTCGTGGGCCCTCACATTGCAATGGAGCCCTACCTATCGATGAGAAGAGGACCGCCGAGGTTGAGGGGAAAGGGAGCAAGTAGTAGGGGATGTCATTTTGAACGTTGAAGAAAGGCGGCTCGCATGTAAAATCAGTCAAGATGCAGTAACTACTCAATCTAGCCACCGGTCCCAAATTCTTGCTGTTCCTTTCTTGGTTCCCGTTTTCGGTCTTGTTTCCCTTTCTTCTGCCTCCTGAATAACCTGTCGTCCTTCTGATCCCCCTTTCATCTCCTCATTCCCAGTACCACTACCAAGATCCCCCTTTTCAGTCCCCTTTCCCATTTTCTCTTCCCCCTTCTCCTTCTCACTATCAACCTTACCAGCACGTCCCTTTTCCATCCCCATGCCCCCGCCATATTTAGCCTCTTGCGCTTCCCACTCAGCACGTTCTACTGATTTCCGTGCGAGATAGGCTCGCGCGAACCGCCAGGCTTCGGTATCGGCTAGGTTCCAGGCTTCGATGGCGTTGCGGAGGAGGATGTCTTCTTTACTGGGCAAGGGAGGTAAGTCGTGGGGTTCTGGAGGGTTGGTGGTTGTTTTGCCTTTTGGGTCGGGCTTGGTCGTTTTCTGGCTGTTGGGGAGCACGATGGCGCGAGCACGAGAGAGGATGGCGGGTTCTAGGGCTAGGTCGGCTTCTGTGGGGAGGGGCCCGTCTTTTTGGGAGTGGAGGGCTGGGATGGTAATGGTGCCTTTGCTGTTTGGTGCTAGTTGGTCGACGTAGGTCGCTGGGGCGGGGAGGATGAAGCCAAAGTGCCAGTCGAGATCGGTGGGGAGATGTTGTTCGGCGGGGAGCCAGAGGGAGCGGGAGGCTCCGCCTTTTGTTCCTGATCTGTTGTCTCCTTTTCCTTTCCCCTTTTCTTGGGTGGCTTCGGTGATGCTGGCTTCGTCGGAGGCGACGGCTTCCTTGAAGCGGATGAGACGCGGCGTGGTGGAGATGGAGTCGGGGAAGAGGGATGACATTAATGAGGTTGTCCAGGCGTCGCGGGGTGAGTCGCGGCGGATCCAGGGGATGGAGAGTTCGGTGCGGAGATACCCCAGGGTAGATGTGGTGTAGGGGTGTGGGACGGTGCCAATCGTGTAGAGCGTGCTGGCGTCAGAGTAGGATGATGGGATTGTGACCTTCATTGGCTTAGAGTCGTCGCATACGCGGCAAGTTGGGTGGTTTGGTGGGCAGCTATCTGGGATAGGGGATTCTGGGCAGTGTGCCAGTCGTTGGGCCAGCTCATATGCGGGTGTGATGAGGTGAGTCGTGTGATGTGGCAGTGGCTTGGCCACCGTAATACCGTCAGTGAAGGTACTTTGCCAGGTCGTATGAAGGTGGGCGTTGATGAGATGGGTGAGGCTCTTCAACCCTCGCGAGTAGGAGACCGTCATATCCTCCACCACCTGCACGTAAAGAGCCTTGACCTGGGCCATTGAATAGTACGCTAGGGCTTTGGGCGCATCGTCCAGCACAAAGGGGCTCTCCTTGTTTGCCTCCACGGCCGTGATAACATCCTTCGCCTCGGCAAGACCCTGGCCACTCATTACCCCTTTGATAACGGCCGTAACATCGCCCGTAGACCCAACAAATAAACCATCATCAAAATCCCTAAACCGTGTCAGTTTCGGGAACTCGCCACGGCGGATGTGAGCCAACAACGGATCATCGTGTGGACCCATAGGAAAGACGAGATAGCTCGCAAGCACACCATCCCCCATATTCTCCCACGCCAACCAGCGCAACAAATCCGTCTTGAGCTCCAAACGAATCCCCTCGACCTTCTGCAACTCCTCATAAAGCGGGTTATTCATCGCCTCAGCAGGACCAAGAATAACCGGCTTGAACCCCTGCGCCCACCAAGCCCGGCGCCAGGCGAGCAACAACTCACTCTCAGCATCCTTCCGAGCAGCCTCCTCAGCTTCCCCTAGCACCCCATCTCCTTTCTTTTTCCTAGACTCATCCTCCCCATCATAATAGCAGTACACCGCCACCCTCTCCTTCAACGGGGGCAAGAGTGCCCGGTTCTCGTCCAACGTGACCGCGCTGCTGAACGGCATGCGCAGCCATGACCAGTCCGCGTACCACACCGACTCACCATCGGTGTCGCTTTTCCGTAGCCGCGGCGGGTGTGCGGGGGGCTTGAACGGGTTGAGTTTGTTGAGCCAGGGGTGGTTGGCTGTTGTTACTGTGAAGTGTCTGCCGGCGGCGGTGCGGAGGTTTTGAGTTGTTTTTGCGGTTGAGGGGAAGCCAGTGCTAATGGTGCTGCTGAGGAGGGTGATAAGGGCGAAGAGGCCGAGAATGGTTAGGAGAAGGGGGATTCGGCGGGTTCCGAGGCGGGGGATGCGCCGGCCGCAGAGGGTGTATTGTTTCGGCATCGCGTTGTTCAGGGGTGGGGTGTGTTATAGGAGGTGGAGATTAAACGAGTGTTAGCAATGGCATTGGGGTTCTAAATACTGGGACAAGTCGCCCAAATTGAATCGGTATGATGGAATACGTGTGAAAAGTGTGACGGGGTACATGTCCCGGCCGAAAAGGGAAATGGTGAAACGAAGTAAATCGACCTCGAGATAGAAAAAAATGAAACGAGCGGGGAGATCAAATTCGTGAAACGGTGGACGAGAGTTGAATCAGAGCATTATTTTTGAACATTAAAGCGGCTAGAATTTGGACGGCCTCGTCTTTCTGCTAGTTGACTGCCCCTCTATGCGCCTCGGATTCAGCCGGATAAGGCATCGGACTACGGTGGGCTGAGAGATTTTTGAATATAAAAGGGAAGGCGCCACCATCACCATCATGGTATCATAAACGAACAAGCTGAAATCGATAAGGACCCGAGAGGGAGGTCAGTCAAAAAGTGACAGGGGTCTGTGACCCCACGTTGACTGCTTGTGTAACCTGCGGTGGCTCAAGAGCGATTAAGTCCAATCCATTTGACATTGGATCAAGTCTTCACAGATTTTGTTACTCTTTTCCGTCTTTCTTCACTTTTTTGATTTATTGTTTTGTGCCTTCTTTCACTTTTTCCATTTATTCTTTTTGGCCTTTCTTCCCTTTTGTAGAAAAGTAAGTTATCCAGGGACTTGGTCTGCCGCCTTTTTTTGACCTCAGCGAGTTGCAGGCGTTCTCGTTGCCCCACCTAGTTATGCAAAGGGAGGTCTAGACTCAACGTGTACGTTGGGGTTAAATTTTGGGGAAGGAAGGTCCAATCAAGACCCGACGAAGCAAGGGAAACAAACGAAAACGGGCCAGAGACGCGTTGTACGGATACAGGGGTCGATATATCTCAATATTTTTGGGGTATCCTGCGCCAGTGTGACAAACGCTACACAAACACCAAGACATTTGAATGTATGGTAAAACTTCACCCATCAACCCCATCGCCTCGCGCACTCCTCACGCGGCTCACTCAGCCCTTCCGCCCCGTCTCAATAATCTTCGTTTGGAACCTTATATTCTCATGCTCCCTTTTATGCAGCGTCGCCAGCAAGTCCTTGTACTTTCTCTCCCAGTCTTCTTTCGTCTGTGGCCCTTCGTCTTCCCCTTCCCCATTTATCCCGTTTTCCTCCCCTTTCTTCTTCCATTTCTCGTGCAGCACCGTTTCCTCCATAGACCAGTTCCCCACAATGCCCCCGTACTTGAGATACCAAGCGCTCCGGTAGCGCGTACGGTCGGGTAACGCCTCGAGGCGGGTCACTCGGAGGCTGCCCTTGGGCATGAGGATGCTGCCACCCGCTAAGCCGGCGAGGTTGATTAGGAAGGCCTCTTTGGTGGCGGCTGCTTTGACTAGCGTCTCAATCACGGTCTGGGAGAAGGCGACGGCCTCGTCGAGGCTGCAGGCTGGCATGGGGTTGTGGTTTTCGTCGTACCATTCGGCGTCGAGAAGTCGGGACACGAAGACGGCTTCGATTTCGGGTAGGTGGGTGCGGTCCGTAGGGTCGTCGGAAAAGGTCAGGTGTGGGCCGCTGGGAGGGGGGGCAATGGGCATATCTGGTGGGGTTGCCCCGGGAATCATGCCGGGGATTTGGGCGAGTACGGAGCTGGCCTGGGAGACGCCTAGAGGCTCTGGTGCTACTTGTCCATAGGGTTCGGGCGCCAGTCCATTTACCATGACGACGGGCGCCGTTGCGGGTTCGGCGAGCGGTGGGGTGGCTAGGCGGACTTCTCCGCCTTTCCGCTCGGGTACTTGTAGTGATAACATTCGTCTCTTGGCCGGGCGCGCCGGAGCTGATTCCTGGACGGGTGAGAAGTGGTTTGCATTGTGGGCGGGCCGGGACTGGCAGGTTGGCGAGATGGGCGGAACCTCAGTGGTCCCAGCCGCTGACGCTCTCGAGGCCGGCTGTGAGACGGGGACATCGTTATATGAGGGACAGGCCGCCGGGTCGTTGTTGTTGCTGCTGTTGTTGTTGTGGCTATTGTTGGGCGTGGGCAGCGGTGCCTTTTCGGGGGGAGTCGGGGATGGAAACCTGAAGATTGGGCCGTCTGAGGCTGGAAACGCAGAGAATGGTCCATCGGCGTTGGTCCCGCGGTTGATGGGTGGTCGTCCTCGCGTCTTGCCAGTTGATCCTATCCCGCCGCTCCTCCAAGCTGATGACACGACCTTAGCTCCATGTCGCCTGCTCGCAGATTTGGCCTTTGACGGCGTGATAGCCGACCTGGGCTCATCCGCCCAAAACCCGTTTCTGACTGAGGGTGTAATAGCTGATTGCGGCAAGGGATATGCCGACATAGGCGTCTGGACAATGTCGTTGCTCCACGTAGGCGCGGATGGATTTAATCTAGAGGGGTCGGGGACTGGGGGAAACAAGAAGACGCTGCCCCTAACATCCGGTTGAGCCGTCCATGGTTCTGCCGTGTTGGCCTGACCCCCGGCCCCGAGTTCATCTGCTTGCGGCGAGGGGCGTTGAGATGGCGATTTTCCGGTGTCGTCTTCCTCGGGCTTCCGCCTGCCCCTTCGTGGTTTGATATGCGGTAGGAGAGCGCGCAAAGCCATATCGTCCTCTGCTGCCACCCCATCCCGCTCTAATTCGGAAATCGGTGTGTGTTCTGAGGGGATCTCGGTCCAGTAAGGCGACGGCCGACCGATGAGGTATTCGAAGAAGGCATCCACATGCATCGAGTGCATCCACCTCTTGAGCCGAACGGCGTATTGCTGGATCTTTTGCGAACTCTGGCCTTTTTCTTGGTCTGGTGGCTCAACGCCCAACTTCAACGCCAGCTCAGCCCATGTCTTGAGCTCTCTGGTCTCGAGCTTCTTGATCAACTCGAAGAGGGTGTGAGTGCTGAAGCTCTTGCCCCCGCTTTTTGGCGGGGTGCGGAAAGCATCGCGGAGAGTCGCCGAGTCGGTCTCGAGGGGCACACCCGGGTTGCAGTATAGAATGAAGGCGACGTAGGCATCCTCGATGGATGCGCCCGTTACGTTTCTCTCCGGCAAAATCCTCGTCGCGGATGGCGCGTGGGCGCCGTTCGGCCGGATAGTGGTGGGTGAGGCAGTGAAGACAGTTTGGGGAGCGTGCTGTTTCATGGCGGCCATTTTCAATCATCCGAGCTACACCGGTGTTGAGCGAAGGATTGATGATGTGTTGGGGTGGATTGCATGCCCATTTCCAGCCGGGTCGCTGTGGTTCTGAAGTTTCCCAATCACTACAACCCCTCGCGCCGTGCGGACAAACTGTCGTTAGAGCTCTGATCTGGGAATAAACGCGTCAATCACCCGAGGGTGCTTCATTCACGAGACCGGGACGGCATCTGCAACGAGTTGGTGAATGCAGTTCGGTTGATGGTGGGATGAATGAAGGTCAGGACCAGCGCGTCCAAAAGGAATGAAGATCCGAAAGGTGAGAAAAGGAACCAATCCCAAATTATCTCTCGCCAATGCGAAGATCACGGCTGCTTATCTCGCTTCCTCGCCAATCGAGCCGGCAATCGTGGCTGGCGATGTGCCAAAGAAGGCCGATGAGATGGAAGCAGGTGAGTGTTTTCAGCCATGCTAGTCTCCGTCTTTTCCTTGAAGTTCACGCCAGTCTGGGCCGCGCGCAGGCACCTGCGGCGTGGCCCTGGGTGTTGGGGGAAAGGCCAAAAATAGACCGCCAAGAGCAGAGGAAATGGGCGAGAAGCTGGAGAGCAAAACGGGGAGGAAATTGATGAGAGAAAAGAGACAGTGTCTAGAACGGTATTATGCACTGTATTATTGGCGACCCCACGAAAAGTCACATGCACCCCGAGACCCTTCAAACTCTTGACTCCACGATTCAGGAGACGATGCGCCGTCCATTCAAAATTCCCGAGGAATGTCTGGGGAGAAAACGGACCTGAGAATTCGTAGATGGCAATCGGAAAGCGGAAATGCATTCTACGGAAGGTGAAGGAACGCAATTTGCGTTTATCCGACTTGGAGGTATTGACAATAACTAGATTCTGGCCCGAGTCAACGGCTTCCATCCATCAACGAGTTAACTAACGGACTTCCTTCTAGCATATGCAACGAAGTCGGCACCGTTGAATGGAACGTGCCGGGTTTCCTTGGTGGAACCGGCATCACGACGCGTGGTCTTCTTTCGAAGCTCTTCACATGACACAAACGCCGTCCGTCAAAAGCCGCCCATGCGCCCAGCAGCGAGCCAAGCAGTGACGTCGCTAGGCCATCCCCTGTTAAATCCCGGGTCTTTCTGGGGCGTTTCCACTGGACGAGTCCCGCACCCATCGGACCTCGGCAGCGGCATTGAGATCGCAAGAGCGACCGCTTCCGGGACTCTGGGGAACCCGCCCGTCCAAGAGAACCGCGCATCGAGGGAAATGGAGCGACCCTCTTATAACTAACACAGCCGTTTCTTGTCCGTTGCCCGACGAATCCCGAGATCTTTTTTTGTCTGACCCGTACTTCACCCGTACACTTCTTGTGCTACTACATATTGTAGATTCCACGACTGCGACGGGTAGTTTGTGAATACATTAGTTTGTTGCTCTCTTATTATCACGACGCCACTGAACCCCGCCAAGTGCAACGATACACTACTCTAGTGGAAAACGAGACCCGATCGTATCATCATCCATCACCACACGCCGACGCAGCCGCTGTTCCATCATGTCTCAATCTAAGCCGGTGCTCCCACAAAACGACAATGTCGCCCATGCCCTTGCGGGTGCGGGTGGCGGTATCTTGTCGATGGCTCTGACGTACGCCCTGCCTTAACGTATCTACTACTTACTACCTATTTCGGGCAACTCACTCCTACTACATAGTTACCCCCTTATCACGCTCTCTACACGTGCCCAAGTCGAGTCTAAGCGCGCCGAGACCGCCTTCCTGGCCGCAGTCCAGCACATCATTGCGCGTGAGGGTGTCTCTGGTCTCTACTCGGGCCTCTCCTCAGCCCTGTTCGGAATCAGCGTCACCAACTTTGTGTACTACTACTGGTACGAGTGGACGCGCGCCTTCTTCGAGGCCGCTGCCGTCCGCGCAGGGCGCGCCTCCAAGAAGCTGACCACCGTCGAGAGCATGATCGCGGGTGCGATCGCCGGTTCCGCGACGGTCATCCTGACCAACCCCATCTGGGTCGTCAACACCCGCATGACGGCCCGCCGCAACACCGGCGAAGCCGAGAAGCCCAGCGACACCAAGGAGGGCCAGGACGCCACCCTCCCCTCCCCCGTTAGCGCACCCAGCACCGAGAAGAAGCAGAAGCGCCCCAGCACCCTGGCCACGCTCCTCGATCTCCTCAAGACCGAAGGCCCGCAGGCCCTCTTCGCCGGCGTCGTGCCCGCGCTGGTGCTCGTGATCAACCCGATCCTGCAGTACACCCTGTTCGAGCAGATGAAGAACGCCGTCGAGCGGCGCCGGCGCGTGACCCCGACGGTCGCCTTCTTCTTGGGCGCTGTCGGCAAGCTGTTTGCCACGTCCATCACATACCCGTATATCACCGTCAAGAGCCAGATGCACGTCGCCAAGGCGGGCGATAAGAAGGAGGGCGTTACCGAGGCGCTGAAGCGGGTTATCCGGGAGGAAGGGTATGCCGGGCTGTACAAGGGTAAACACCCCCCCCCCCCTTTTCCTCCTTTCCTTCTTTCCTCCCTCTCTGCCTTTACCATCCATCCATTCGTAACTATTTCTAATAACCTGTTTCTTGTTTTTAGGTATCGGCCCCAAGGTCACCCAGAGTGTTCTGACCGCCGCGTTCCTCTTCGCCTTCAAGGATGTGCTCTACGAGCAAACCGTACGTCTTCGCGGCACCGTGGCCAAGAAGGCCATCGCCGCTTAAAAAAGTGGCAGCTCGGTCCTATGAGTGGGTCGGAGGCTATTGAATGAATATTTACTGTGTTCACTGCCTACGACTCTCAGTTTCACTCCATTGTATAAAAGGGGTAAAGTCAGAGCTAAGCTCAGCACGCGCTCGCTTGGAGGTATAAACAATCAGATCGGTTCCGTGGTGGACGGGTGTTTCAATAACTGTGGGATTTCAAGAATGGAAGAGATACCCTTTCGACGGTGGATACAGGAAGGAGTCACTTGACGGCCAGTGCGGTACGGCAATGTAATATCAAATGTCAAATTAGGGAGGTTTTAGTCAGGGGGTTAAGATTGGGGGGAGAAGGAGGGGCGCTGGGGTGTAGAGGATCTGGCAACAATATCACATCTTTTATGTTCATCTCTCCCTATGTCTAGCTAGTTCCTAAGTGCCGTGCCATTGGGCTTGCTATCCAATGGCCTTGATGGGCTGTTCCAACCGCCACACACCTACATAGTATAGACTTACGGCCACAAGACACAACAACAATACCCCTATTCCTTAACGATCCTCGGCACAATCCACCACTCGTGACCCGCCTCACTAGGTCGCGGCACCTTCAGCTTCAACCTCGTTACTACCCCTTCTCCTTTCACCCCACCACCCTTGGTTTCATTTTCCGCCTTGCTCACCCTCTCCACCACCTCCTCGATCTCCACAACAGCCTTCATCCAACCCTCCACCACCTGTCCCTTCCATCGGTCCAAACATCCCACCGCAAATACCTTATTCCCGTTCGCCGTACTCCATTCTCCCGCTACCCCATTATCATCACGCCTCTTGGTCCCTTCTTCCCCGTCATCTCCGGCCAAAGCAGCCAGTACCCCCAGCTGTCGTCTCACATTCGCCACGCTGCCCTTCACTTCCTCCAACAACCCCGCCGTGCTGCTCATCCCCCCCCTCGTCGTCGCCTGCACCATCATCTCATGCGACGGCAGGTCGGGCAGACTAACAGAGGCAAACGGTTTCATCCGGATCTCGTGGCGGAGCGCATCGGTGCTATACGGACGGCTGGAAGACGAGGCCGGCGGCGCTAGGGGGGAGGATGATGTTGTGAGGGAGGGCAGAAGGCCGAGACGGGCGAGGGCTGTGTAGAGGGTGCTGAGGGCAAGAGCGAGGGAGAATGTGGCGCGGGTGAGAGCGTGGGTGTGTTCGAGGAAGGCCTGGGAACGGGGATACTGTGGTGATGTCGGGTGTGTAGTCTCTAGACGGTGTGTGGTGAAGAACTTGATGCGATCGATGTGGTAGATGTGGGTTTGCGCGAGATACGCCAGATACCAGTACATGCTTGCTAGCTCGTTGGGTTGGTATATTTCTAGCTCGAACCCGAGCTGGACTGTCCACTGCATCAGCTGGAGTTTGTAGTGGTAGGCCCAGGACGACAGAGGCATAGAGCCCGTGGGTATACCGCCGGTCCTCGGGGGATAGACGAGGAGTTTCTCGTCGGCGTGCGGTTGTAGCAGCTCGTCGATTTCTTCGGCCTCAGCCTGCAGCATTTCCCAGTCCTGTAGCGAGTGGAACAGGGTGCGGCGGACACGGCAACGATTCTGGCAGAATGCGCGAAAGATGTCGAGATACGACTGGGCGGCGCGTTGACGAAAGATCTCCATGTGGCTAGCTATGATGAAGCGCGGCTGGTGTGGGGCTTCGATGGTGTCGTTTATGGGATCCAAGAGGATGCTATCGGGGAGCACTACGATCGATAGGTCGTCATCCATGACCCGACGGATGCTAAGTTGGCCGAGAATGATCATGTCATGGAAGAGGAAGTTTTGTAACAACGCCCGGACGTACACCATCGGCTGCGGCTTTTGGGCCTGAAACGTCAAGACGAATTTCTGGCGAGCGTTCGTGTTAGCATGCTAAGGTAGCCAAACAAGAGTAAATCATGAAGGATCCCACACGTACAAGCAGGCTCTGCGAGTCGGTATAATTCAACACGTTAAGCACACTCATCCCGTCCTCGATGAGCTTCTCAAAATGTCGCTGCGTCTCCTGAGCACTTGGTTGCACGATCGGCCGCGGTGGCATCGTGCTCGCTAGACGGCGCTGGATCTTAGTGCTGAACGCCCCTGGGACAGCTGAGCCGAGATCACGGGTCTTGCTAATTTTGCTCCAAACCGCTTGCATCTCCGCCCATGGCGGAGTCAGCGAGGCCGGGTCGGTGCGCAGTTCGGACAGCTCGATGGCGCGCAAGAAAGCGAGGCGGAACTGGAGGCGGAAGTCTAGTGCCTGAGCGAGTTCGTTGGTCTCGGTGTGATGCGTGTCGCGAAGCACCTGGCGGGCGGTCACAATCTCGTCGTAGATGTCAGAGCGGTTGAGGGACTCCAGCAGCGAGCGATTGTACGTGTTGGTCACAAAATCTTCTTCCTGCGAGTTGTTAGCGGCCCGATCAGAAGCAGATTCCCAAGTACAAGAACATACCTCATATATGTGCTCGGACTTGATGCGCTCATTGACGAAGTAGCATGCCTTGAGCAGTCCTAAACAGTACGCTCTTAGAACCGTATGCATGGGGTCCCGTGGCGAATCAGCAGCATGGCCCCTAATGAAGTCGGCGTCATGAATCGTTGTTGGGTTGGGGTGTTGTAACTTTTCCACGTAGACGCTTGTGAAGAGTGTTTGGGAAAGGGGGTATCCGAGATGCCAGGCCATCTACAACTTCCGTTAGACCTAGACTCATGACCCGACCCTGCCCATGGGGAAAGGGGAAGCAAGGAGGGTGAGGGGCTCGACTTACCTCTAGCGAGAACAGCTGGTCAATAATACCAATAACCTCACTCGGAGATAGCAGCCGGGAAACATCGTAGTCATCGTCCAAAGACTCTCCAGGCGCTAGACACCCACTATCCATCTTTGGATCCATGACCTAGCCGTTGCTTAGCTTCCGCAAAACGAACCTTGGAAAAAGCGGAATCCATATACCAACCTCGAGAGCCCCGACGGACTCAAACAGCGTAAAGAAACCATCCTTCACAAGTTCACCTGGTTCTAGTTCTGTCACACGGAGTTGTAGCGATTAGTAGCGATTAGCCTCAGTTGAGGCGAAACGACCCCCAGGCCTAGGGATGCTAGGAGAATAAGGGGTACCGAGAAGGCCGAGGACAAAGAAGCGGAAAACTCACTCGCAGCCGCAGATAAGAATTTATCGGTAATTTCTTGGGCAATGATGCCCTCGGAGGAGATCATGGGGGACGGAGGTTCTTCGAATGCGAGTCCCGGTTTGGGGCTGTAGTAATCGTTCCCAAGGCTGAGGTCTCCGAACCCTGTTTGTGAACAAGGGGTAGGTTGTCAGTAACAGAGAAACTGGGTTTTAGTGGGAAGAAGGTGCTGATTGTACGGTGAGGCGGGCACGGTGATTCAAAGTCACAAATCGTGGAAGAGCTCAGTCAGGCAAACAAACGCACGTCAGGTAACTATGGGACTTACCCTGAGTCAAAGGCAGCTGCTCATCGTCAAACGAGTTCATCGCCGAAAATGGAGGCGAAATTGAAAATGCGGGGCGTTGTCAAAATGATCATTTGCGTTAGAAAAAAGATTTGTGTTATTTTTTATTTTGTCATGTGCGGAAAGGCCTGTGGTTAAAGCCGGCGTCAGGGACTCAAGGTCGCTCGCTGAGTCGCAGCCTTGGGTAGTTATGAGCGGCGCAAGCGCTGCTGTGGGTGGGCTGCCCCTTAGCTCCTACAACATAGTTTCCGGGAGTGAAGTATCCAAATTTCAACCTTACCCCGCCTGTATGTATCACGTTGCAGAGAATTGATCATGGACTTGAGAGTCAGTTTACGTCAAAATCTTTTCTTTCTTTGGGTTACCCCTTGTATGATACAGTCCATTTCCCATGCCGGCAGACCCCAAGAACAACTTGGAGTTTGTTGTACTCGAGTGTCTGTGCAGATCCATCCCGTTTTACATCCCGCCGCCATTCCAACCGCCACCATTCTTTCCTGTCCCTATCATCCCCTTATACCGCCCGGTATCATCATCGTTGATGTCGTAAAGTTTAAGCCGTCCCGCCGGTCGCAGCGCTCTCGACAGCGGCCTGGGCGTTGGCGTCGGCCAGGTTCTTAAGCTCGCCTTGTTTGCCACCCTATGTCCGATCTATCAGCTCCAAACTCTTACTTGATAAGATCTCCCCCATGCCCTTGAGGTCCCTCCTACCCCCTTCCTATCTGAATTGTCCGCAACTTACCTCCCACTTCGCGAACCGGAGCTCCTGTAGGCCACGGCGCTCGGCCACCAGTCTCTTCTCGTCCTTCAAGCTGCGGCGCACGACGCGGGCAGCGACGGCGAGGTAGCGGTTGTAGCTGTCGCGAAAGAAGCGAGGCTTGCGTTAGCAGTGGTCTTTTTGTGGCCGTACCGCATTTCCCTCTCCCTCAAAGTTGTCGCACCCCCTCCTCCAACTAGCTCTCTTCTGAGAATTACCTGGACAACGCAATTAAAACTCGTGCAGAGGGAAATTTACTCACGTAATGCCAGCGGCTTTCCACGCGAACGTCATTTTGGCGGCGGTTTGGGAGTGGTTGAGGTGGTGACTTGGTAGTCTTCGGAGACTCAATTCCGCTTCCGGGCAGCGCGAGAAAACGCTCGCCCGGGAAGCTCCGCTCGCAGCCGGTCTAAGATCACGTGATCTCCACTCACCCAGACGTCCGGGGGCAAAATCACACTTTCGAAGCCATGCTTGGGGAAGATGGTTAGTTAATGAATTCTTCAGGGAGTAAAAATACTCAAAACTGGCAAATCATGGCCAACGGATGGTTTGATGGTACAATTGTAAACAAGCACTGCTCAATCGCCTGCCCCTTTTTCACACCCCAAGCCCCAACCCCACCACACAAACCCGACCATGTCTAAACCCTCCTCGCTCAATGGCAAACATAGAAAAGTGAGTTTATATCTAGAATCACTATATGCACAATGAGGTGGACGAGCCGCGAGTCTACAACGGCGGAGGGTTGTTGATACATTTTCCTCTTCCCCGTTCCCCGAGTCTAAACATCATATCCGCCCGATACCCGTCCCGTAGGCATCTCCCGTCCATTCCTGGGCCTAATTGTCCTGCTTCATCATTTATACCTTGAGGCCAAGCTCCTCAGCAAACGGTAGCACGTGCAAGTCGCCCACCGCCGCCACCGACGCCTTGCCCTCTAATAGTGTCTTGGCCGCCTACAACAAATACATTAGCACACCGAAATCTGTGGGTGAGAAAGAGTTAGGGTAAGGGTAGGGTACATACAGCCTTGAGCTTGTCACCAGTCACGCCCTCCAGCGCCTTGAGGGTCTCAGCAACCTGCAGCGGCTTGCCACCGTGGATCAGGTTGGCACCAGCATGAACGATACCAACGCCGCTGACCTCGCTGCCCGAAAGGAGGTTGAACTTGGCCTTGGCGATGGCCTTGACCAGATTCTCCTGCGAGACACCTCCGTCGACGATGCTCTTGAGCGCCTTGACAGACTCCTCGGCGGCCTTACGGACCGCGGAAGCCGAGCCGCTGACCTGGATGGTCAGGAGGCCAGCATCCGAGTAGGCGAAGTTGGTGGCCTTGGAGGACGCCCCCGGGGCCGAGGCAACAGCCTTGGAGAGGAGCGAGAAGCCGGGCGACCACTTGATAGTCGACTCACCCCCGAGCAGACCAACAAGCACGGCCGTCTCAGGTTGGCTGGCGCCAAGAGCAGCGCCGGGGAACGCGATGACCACCGAGTTGCTGCCAGCCGTAGCAATGCGCTGCTCGCCGCCGTAGTACTTAGAGGGGGTGGCAGAGAGAGCAGACTGGGACTCCGCGGGCACGTGGCGGAAAAAGGGGTCGATCCACTTCGTGAGCCCTGCGTCACTGGCACCATCGGCGACCACCGCGATGTTGGCCTTGGTGAAAGCTGCCGCAGCAAAGGACGCAACCGAGGACTCGTTCAGGTATGAGGAAATGGGCGTGTTCGCAGTCGGGTACAGCGGGGCGCCGAGGCCGGTGTGGAAGGCGACAGCGTGGGCGGCATCGAGGGCGATGGCGGCGGCGTCAAGCCTTGCCTGCTTCTCGTGAATGACGTTGACAACTTCCTCGTGGTACTCGTGGGCTGCATCAAGTTGAGAGAATTAGCACGGCACGAGCTTCCAAGAGCTGATATATATAGATTATGTTCCATGACGCACTGGTATACCGGGTCTGCGACAGGACCTCGCCGAGGAGCTCGGTGAAGTACGGCAGATCGTCGCGGAGGAAGCTGGCCTGGAGCACGAAAGCTTCCCGGGTGTGGTACGAGGTCAATTGGCCGCCGAGCAGCTCGGCCTCACGGGTGATGCGGAGTGCGGAGCGTTTTGTCGTGTTCTGGCGACGAGAAGCAAAATTAGCTCATTTTATGTCCGTCCATGCGCCACTATCCACGCCCAAAGAAGTCCCTCGGCCAAACCACCTATCCACCCCAATCCTACCCCCCAAATGGCGACAAAACAGCAACTGAGGGCAACCTGCCTTGAAGGCGAACTCCTCCAGTCCAACGGTCAGGCCCGGAAGGGGCTCGTAGCGGGTACCGGCTTTGGCGACGACGGCGAGGCGTGTGGTCGGGCCATTGTCGTCTCGGGAAGCGACCTTGACGCCGCCGATGGTGGTCGGCTCGTATGAGGCCTTGGGCGATGCAACAGCGGCAAATCCGCGCTGCGCAAGCTTCGCAGCTCCCTGGCGGCGGAGAGCAACTTGGCCGCCCCTCGACAGAGCCGATTTGCAGATCATGGTTGAGGGGAGGGGGGGTGTCGAATGTCGTCAATTGACTGACTGTTCTGGGGTTGAGGTGGGCAGAGCAGCAACACTGCGTGAGGGACCTCTCTGCTTCCTTCGCCTTGTCGCACTGTTCCGAAAATTCCCTGGGGGGGTCCCGGTTTGGCGGAAAATTGGCTGTGCCGAGACCGTCCTTCCGACCTTTGCCTGCTTCTTGGTCATTGGCACTGTGCGAGCGACCTGGCAGTGGCCCACGAAAAAAGTTGTCAGCGCTGAACCGTGCCATTTGATTGGCCCGCTGTCTCATCTTTCTCGAACTGCCCCGCGCCGACCGCCTAAATCTGCCGGCCAAATGTGACTCTCGGCCGCTCTCGACTCAAAATTTGGCAAGAACTCGAAAAGCACTCCAGTCCCCCACCAAATAAACGTTTCCAGCCGGCGTTGCACCCTGCATCACCGTCGCCATCCTTCAATGAGTTTCCGGTAGCAATTGCGACAGCTCTAGAGATAGTGAGAGAATCTCTAGACGCTAAACCCTCGAATTACACGACGCGTTTGCTTGCGCGGCCATCATGTTGGTGGTGAGTCGACTTCCCATGACTAGCTTTTGCAAGTCGCATGCCATCCTTTCTCACCAGCGACAAAACGCTACGGTTCATTCCATCACCACTCGAAGATCTAACCTCTTTTATAGACAAAACCGGTTGCAGAGCTTTGCGCTCTGCTCGTCGATGAGCTCCATGGAGAACTCCCTTCTGTACGTTTCCTTTGCCCACGATGCGTCTGCCCTGTGTTACGCCCGCTGGCGGTCGCCGATCGCGAAAGCTAACACAACCATTGTAGAGAATATTTGCGATTCTCGTTAGCAAAGGTCGCTCGACCGTCCTCCAATTATCACAATACACCTCGATGACTCCTCGCCAGGTTCGCCATGGCCTCGCGGTGCTTCAGCAACACAACCTGCTATACTACCACGTCGATCCCGGCTCCGAGCTCGCCTCGTACGAAGCAAACCCCGAAAATGCCTACAACCTCATCCGCACCGGGAAAATTCTCGAGATGATAGATACCTCCTTTGGGGCGGCTGCAAAGGACGTCATGCAAAACCTCCTACTCTCCGGGCAGACTAGGATATTGGACCTGGTCGCTGCGTATCGAGAGAAAATCGAACATGCGGCCAAGACAGCGAATGGGGCGGAGGACGATGACGGCATCGCGGCTGAGACCAACGGCATCAATGGGGATTCCCACAACACGAAGAAGGGTGCGCTAGTCATCAAAAGCACGGCGCAGCTCAATACCGTCATCTGTCGTCTCGTCGAGGCCGAATTGATCGACGTTGTGCACGCCAGGACCTTTCATACCTCGGACGATATCCTGAAGTCGGTCGAGAAGGAGGCCATGGCCAAGCAGACTGCTCAAGGAGCAAAGGGAGGGAAAGGCAAGCTCGAACTGCAGGAAAACATTGCCGAGGGTCTGCGCAAGGTCCGCGCAGAGTCCAAGTCTCTCAAACGAAAGCTGGAGCAAAATGGCTCGGCCGCAAAGAGGCGGCGGCTTTTTTCCGGGCTCGAATCGACGAATGGAGTCCACGAGGAGGAGACAGACCCAATTCTCGATGTGAGTGGTACCCACGGGCAAGTTGATTGTCTTCCAAGGGTCGTGATACTGATTGTTATCCCTAGCCGCGACAAGTCATTCGCATCAACTACGAGAAGTGTCTCGTCGATTTGCGGAACCGCCGATTAGTCCAATATGCGACCGACATGCTCAGCGAAACGACCGCGTACGTGTATGGTGTCCTCTTGAAGCTTCTCACAAAGGACGTCCCCCGTTGCCGCGCGGACCCAATCATGGATGTTGGGGAAGACCAAGATGACGATAACGATAAGAATCCGGGTTTCGTCACCACCGACCAAATTCTTGACAATCTCAAAACTTCAGTCGACCTCTCTCTTGGAGTGGGGAAGGCTGAAAAACACCAAATTTCTTTCTCGGCTGCAGAGGAAGTCCAACTATACCCGCCAAAGAAAAAGGCACTGATCGAAGAAGTAGAAGTAGTCGGCGAGGCGAGTGCAGACGAGGAAGAAGACAGTGAATCCGAGGGAGAGCCAGATTACGACTCGGATTACAAGGACTCGGCGGCGACAAATGGTACCCATGATGAGAATGGGATCAATGGTATGAACGGAATCAAGGGCACAAACGGCGGCACAAACGGTACGAAGGTTACATTTGATGAATCTGCAGCGCGCAAGGAGCGTAAAATGGACCGACCAACCCAACTCCGGCAGCACCTCCTCATACTAGCGGAGAGCACACAGGGATTTGTACGCCATTGCGGCAGAAACGAGTGGACCGTCGACTTTGTCCCGATCATCAACTCGCTTCGTGAAGTCGAGCTCGACTCAGTCATCGAGCGCACTTGCGGCCGGCAAGGCCTACGGCTTGTTCGCATCCTCCGCGCCAAGGGTAAGCTCGACGAGAAGGCACTTCCCAACGTGGCGCTCATGCGTAAACCTGAGCTCCAACAAAAGATGCTTGAGATGCAAACCGCCGGCTTCGTCGCCGTGCAGGAGGTGCCGCGTGACGTCAAGGCCGACGTCAAAAAATCCTTCTTCCTCTGGTTTTGCGATGTCGACCGCTCACTGAGCCAGATGCTCGATACAAGCTACCGCACCATGGTGCACTGTTTACAGGTGCTAGAGGCGTTGCGCCACAAGGAGCGTGACGTCCTTGAGACAACGAAGCGCTCGGATGTCCGCGGTCGCGAGAAAGATACCATGCGCAAGTCATACTACGAGCGGTACTCACGGTTTTTGGAGTGCGAGCGAAAGCTGTTTGCGCAGGTCATGCGTGTAGATGATCTCGTTTCCGTGTTAAGGGATTTTTAGGGGGGCGGCCGTGAAGTTGTGGGAAATACTGATTTCGACAGCCGTTCACATATGCATTGGTGGCGTAAGTAGGCTTGAAAGGAAAGCAAATGTTGGGTTGTTAATTTGCATCTGGTCGGCGTTTGTATGAACTTCACTAAAGTCTCAGAGGCCTCATTTGTCTTCGTCGGAGCTCTCAAGGTACCTGATTCTACAACACGACCTCTCCAATGAGGTGGGCAAGAATGGACTACTAGTTCCTGAGATGTATCAATTACTTTAGCCATCCCCGTGTGATATCCGATATAACTTACCGTTACTGCGTAAAGTGAGCGCGGGCAAAAACAGTTCGTCCCATCCCCGCATTCAATTTTCTTCCGATGATGAGATGAGTCTGATATCTCTCAATTGGATCGATCAAATGCTTCCACAACCGCCGCAGGCGCCATTCCCCAGCGGCCCTCGGCCCCTGGACCCTAGGTTGCTGATAACGCGATAAGCTTTTCTTCCCGGCCGTTCTTGACAAGGACCCGGTTCACTGCGCCAGGGTCCAGGGATGCCCCGCTGTCGGAGCTACACTAGGATTCGCGAGCATCGAAATTTTTTGGGGTGAAGCGGGCGGTGGGGGGAAACCCAATTCCATAGCCCCCCAAGCCGGAATAATTTCTACTGCTGTAAACCCCAGAACAGTTGAAAGACTTCTCTTTTTTCTTGCCTCGGTGGTTACCTTACTTTTACTTAGCGGTTCATTGAATCCTTTCCGCCGGTTGTGTTACTGTAGGCGTTCCATCTCTAGATCTACAGAATTAGTTTTATTTTCCCCCCGTCTAATTCCGCCTTTAATACCCGACAAGATGTCTCCCCCCATGGCTGGAGCGCGAGAGAAGGAGTCGAACTTGGCGCGTGTGTTGGGGTCCGGTACGTTCTTGTCTAGGCAGCTTGCACTTGGGGTAAAGGGGCAGTGAAGTTTGGGATTGGGATTAGTTGAAAACATTTGGTCATTCCTGTTCGCTCACATACCATATCGTGTTGCAGGTTCTGCCGGTATCGCCGAGCTGGCAGTTTTCCACCCCGTACGTTTTCTTTTCTCCGAACCTGTCTCCATGGCGACGACGATCACACCGACGGCGGTGACGGCTACGACAATTACGAACCATATCTCTCGCTCTGGTCTTGAACGATCGGCATGGTGACGAGGTACCGGAGAAAGGGTGTTTCGGCTAACACGACTGCGGCGCACAGGTTGATACCATTGCGAAGCGGCTCATGAGCAACGAGGGCAAGGTGCGCATATTCCCACGAGCCTTCTCCTTCAGGAGACCTATCGTTTTACCCTGGCGCATAGTGGAAGTGGGAACTGACTTGACGCCCGTACCTGCGCAACTTTCACTAGATCGGCTCCGCGTCGCAACTCAACACCGTCATCTTCAAGGACAAGGCTAGTGCGCCGTTCGCGCGCAAGTTTGTCTCGCTCTTCCCCGGTCTTGGGTACGCCGCCGGATACAAGGTGCTGCAGCGCGTGTACAAGTACGGCGGCCAACCCGTCGCCCGTGACTATCTCACCACCCACTACGGCAAGGACTTTGAGGGCGCCTTTGGAAAGAAGACCGGGAAGGCTATTTTGCACTCGACTGCGGGCAGGTGAGTGCTGAGACAAATATTGTTAGGGGGAGGGGGGAGGATTATGGACTGGGGACGGGGCAAGAGGCATGGGCTAACTAACTGGATTACAGTCTTATTGGCATCGGTGAGATCGTCCTCCTGCCGCTCGACGTGCTCAAGATCAAACGTCAAACCAACCCCGAGGCCTTCCGTGGCCGTGGTGTCTTCACCATCATCAAGGACGAAGGTTTCGGTCTATACCGTGGCTGGGGCTGGACGGCGGCGCGTAACGCCCCCGGGTCCTTCGCGGTACGGCACCCCTTAAACAACTGCCGATTACGAGTGGGATTTGGCATAAAATGTATCACAAACTAACTTTGTCCTTAGCTGTTCGGTGGATCTGCGTTTGCCAAGGAGTTCGTCTTCGGCCTGCAGGACTACAACAAGGCGACATGGTTCCAGAACTTCGTCGCCTCTATCGCCGGCGCGTCGGCCTCGCTGGTCGTCTCGGCCCCGCTCGATGTCATCAAGACGCGCATCCAGAACCGCAACTTCGAAAACCCGGAGAGCGGCTTCCGCATCCTCAGCAACATGGCCAAGAACGAAGGTGCCACGGCCTTCTTCAAGGGTCTGGTTCCTAAGGCGAGTTATCCCTTCACCATCCATCACGAAGGTATATGAAGAAACAGTTTCTCTGACAGTCTGATGTCTTCAGCTCCTCATGACCGGCCCCAAGCTCGTCTTCTCCTTCTGGCTGGCGCAGACATTGATCCCTGCGTTCGACACGGCTTTCAAGAAATAAACTCTGGGAAGCCGTTGATGACGTGTGGCACCAATAAAATGAACAGCCAGAGTTTGTAAGTCTGTGTTAACCGACCCGGCGGGTCTATGTACGATACAGCACGAAGGGAGGGGCCAATATCTCTAGTGACCGGAACGGTCGGGTCGGATTCTTTGTTTTTGGGCGTTAGCTGGTAAAGGGGGGAAGGATACTAAAAGGAGAATTCCCAATGTGAGGGACGATCGGCGGGATGGGTGAATGGATGGATAGAAGACGGGTTCTTGATGGCTCTTACTTGCGGGTTTGCTATTCATGGCTTTCGGTGTGAGCCAAGCGCGGCATGTGATGATGTCTCTATGATCAGCGAGCGAGGGAGCCTGTTTGGTCTCGCCACTCCATGGCGATGCGTTTCATGAGAGCTAGATCGTGTTGTTAGTAGATAGAGTGTCATTATATATATCCCATCTCCGTTCAAGTATCGAATCCAAACAAAACTTCACAGCTTTCGCTCCTACTTCTCGCATAGGTCGCGTCTAACCCCTGCCCTTACTTCCCAGACATGTTTTCATGTTTACTGACAAGTGATGAAGAGTGAACCAAGTAAGGCATCGGCGCTGGAAACCGAACACTACCGCCAATACCGCCCCGAAGCATATCCTCCCCCATGAATCTCTACCTCTAGCTTTCCACTCCAATGAAAATGCGGAGCGCCTAGTTTCACCTCACCGTCCTGTTTCCCAGCAACGCGAGCCTCCCGCCTAGCTCTCTCGGAAGCAGCTTTGGTTTCCCTTCTATATGCCTTGATTTCCGCGAGAACATCTCGCATGCCGACTAGCTGGGCGCGTGTCGGAGTTGGACGAGAAGGTGTCTTGTTGGTGTTAGGAGTTGAGGGGTCCTTGAGACTAGTCCCAGGAGGACATAAAATACTCTCCCACGCGGCGGAGAAGACGAGTTCCCCAGGCAGGACGCCGGCGGAGATGTGACAGGGCGAGGCGGGCACGGGGTCTCTGTGTAGGTGAGGGTGGGTGTGTAGAAGCCAGGCGTATTCCCGAATAGCTGGTTTGAGACTGATGTCGTGGTGGTTGCTGGCCCCTTGAATTGCGGTGATTGACGGCCCGGCCCAAACCTGGGTGGACTGACGGTTGCCGTTCCAACTCCAGATATGCTTCTCGTGGGGACTATGGGGAAGAGGTTGATTTGTGCGTGTTGCTGTTGGGATAGTTGCTTCCGCATAGTAGGAAGGAGGGCGTGGTAAGCTCACTTCAGCCGGCTGGGGCAAGTCGCTAGGCTCTGGTACTACTTCTGGTTCTGGCTCCAACCCTGTCTCAGTTGTGGGTTGTGTTTCGGGGGTATTGTGTAAATCAGGCGGAGAGGGAACAGCATTCTCTGCGGTCTGTGTTGGCCTAGATGGCCCCGCCACAGCGGACGGTGAAGACGACCAGCCCGAGTTCCCAAAGAAACTAAAGCCATTACTATCGTCCTCCATCCGAGCCGCAGCATCAAAATCCACCTTCACGAGGTCAGACACAGACTGCAACTCGTCTCGAAAGTCCGGTTCAAACTCGAGGCGGATATGCCGAAGCCCGAGAAGTGTCATTGGGGCATGCCGGCTATCACTCCCGATGTCCTGTATCGCCCGCTCCTGCATGGATGCAAGCTTTAAGAAGGCTATCAACCTCTCAATCAATGGCCCAGTTGAACACCTCGGAATCCGCGTCAAGACAAGCGACTGTATCCGAGGATTCATGTCCGGCACAAACACTTCGGGATACGCAATGTCGGCCCTCGGGAGTAGCTGGGTCTCGGCCAACCAAGCAGCCGCTAGCGGTGGCACACCCTCGAGTTCGAGAGACAGCACCCGCGTGACAAACGAGTGGTGAATTCGTAGCATCTGGAGGTTGGACGAAAACACTGGCCGAAAGGTGTGGGCCCATCCCAGCGTGCCGGACATACTCGCCTTGGAGAGCCAGGACGGCGGAGCGCCTTCGGGTAGTTTGAAAGACATTGAGTCACATTCAAGGCGTTGCAGCTGGCCGGGAGATGATCGGATGATCCGGGCGAGCCCAGCGGCAGATATGTTGTTACCGTTGAGATAGAGGTGAGTGATACCTTGGTGGCCGCGGCAGATATCTAAACTTTTCACGGAATCCAATCGGGGCGTATGAGAGCCTACGCTACCAGATACCAAGGCCTTGATAGAGTCAGCGGAGTCGAGGCGTATTTTAACGCGACCGTTCAGGCGGGGCGTGGCGATAGAGTGAGCGCCGTCTTCAGCGCGGATGGTATACGATGGGGCGTCGGCGACATGTCTGTGAGGGTGACTGAAGGTACCGCTCCAGTCTGATTCCTGAATAACACAGAACTGCCCGAACAGCGGAGTACCATTTGGAGAAAACGACAACTTGCCCTCGACCGCGGAGTGATCTGCCCTGGACGTCTCGGAGGGGAAGGAGAACTGGTGCATAGTATCGAGGATCTCGTCCGTGAGCTTGTTCCCGCTCAGGTCCACGCTCCACATTTGTTCCCAGAAGGCTTTGAAGAGCAGAGTGGCCGTGTAGTTATCCATCTCCCGACCTCGGGCCTTCAACACACGCAAGCTGGGTAGGTTGGCCGGGCTCAGTACCCCCTGGCTGAGAGCATACTTCAGCGAACCAGGCATATTAGAAATGTCCAGGTACAGCAAGCTCTTCAAATACGGGCTGGACAAGAAAGACGTCGGCAACACGCCATGAGATCGCGCAAGGCTCAAAAGCATCGGCGGCTCGAAGGACGGTATCTCTTCGAGGGGTACTTTCCGCGCCCAAGGTAAAGGCACTGCATACGCATCGCCATCCAACAAAACACATCTCAACCGTGGGAAGATATGTGCGATGGACGACAGCACATCAGGAAACGAAGCAGCTCCGCTGGCCCCGGTGTACCGCGAAACCCCGTCATCGATACAAGGGAAGAAGTTTCTTGTATCAAAGGACCGGACGAGACCACTGCGCGTTGCCACTGTGAAGTGAGGGCAACGTCTCACAAATCGGGAAAGCCACACATGGTCTACAAGACATTCGCGGGAGTCAGACGGGGCATGTGATAGATACAAGATAGGGGGTAAATGAAAAAGGAACGGGAAAGGGAAACATGTAAGTAAGAAAATAGGGACAACTAGCCGCAGTCCGGATGTATTCGGCACACCATTCCCAATGGATCATTCCACAGCCTCGGTGCGAACTGGCCATAGAAGCGCCTCGACACGAGACATAAGCGCGGGTAGTCTCGGAGGGGTAGCCATGGCGCGACGAGCTCTAGCCAGTCCGGCCGTGCCGTGGCGTCCTGGTATGATGGCAAATCTGCGAAGTTGCTTCCCATCAGTGGCGACTGCAGTAATGGTGGTGGTGATGTGGTGGTGCACTTCTGTTGATTGCCGCACGAAGAAGAATAATACTAAATCGAAAATGGTGGGGTAAATGCGAGTTTGAATGTGGTGCAACGCTGACTGCCGCATCGGTTGGCTGCGAGATCGATGCAGAGAAGCGTCAAACCCAGATCCATGGTAGCGGCAACCAGGCAAATTCTAGCTCTGACAGGCAAAGAGTTTGTGAGCTGTGGTGTTGAAGTCACCTCTGCGAGATGTGAAGTGCTTGCTTCCCGCTCGTTGATAGATGCACCAAAAAGGGAAAGTGGGTGATGATACATGGGACCCACCAAGCACAAGTCGCGAAGGTGCGAAGCTCACACGCTCACTGCAGTCGACTGCAACTGGCACTTGTCTCGAGTTGGATCCCCGATAGATGACTAACCCGACGAATCAGATTCGCATAATGCAAACCTTCAAGGGTCATCTTGGAGGCATGACCCGGTTTTAATCACACCGCGGTGACCGTTTTTGAATTGTCCATGGTCGGTCAGTCGGGCTGGCTCAACCGACCATAGCCGTCAACTTGAGGACCAGCCGTCCTCCCCTTGTCGTCGCCCCAATCGCAAACCTCCGTCACATTTTCAAACTCGTCACTTTTTTCCGGCCAAAATCCCCATCACTGTCAATGGGCATTCTTTCCGGCTTCGAGGGGCCGGTTTCCCTTGCCCACGAGGAGTGCGGGGTCGGTGGATCGGAATTAACTCGATCGATGGGTGATCCTGCGTCTAGAAACGATCTTTTGAAGCAAACAAACGCACCACGGCATGACGACGGAAGGATGAGATCGTGTGGAGCAACACCTCCGTCAAACTGCCATCCGCATCATCCGGCAGAGAGCCGCCCGTTGTTTGGAGTCTATTTCCCGTTTTACCACCAATGCGGCCCCTCCGGGCTTCCGCCAGAGACAAAAACCCATCTGCCCCACCTCAACTCCAGAATCAAGCCATCACGATCGTCCGACCAAAATCACCAGTCGGCAAAGGGCTCTCTCTTGTGTCAAAAGCTTCTCGGGTCCGGACACCCGAGTCCCCAAGACTACCAATACGTAATTCCACTAGTTGGCCGGATGAGCCGTTCTCGACTTCGTTTTCTTTGATACCCCGCCAAGGGTGGTGGTGTGGAAGCCGGGATCAGGGGCTTACTTCACCCGCCAAGCCGCCATCAATCAACATTCTGCTCACCACTTTCCCCTCTCCAATTGACCGGATTCCAGGGTTCTAGGGCCGAAAGCTCCAGGTCTTCTTGACCAGCCAAACTGTGGAAGAGCCATCACCACTCATCCATCCATCTCATCCATCACAATCTCACCGTCGCCTTACTATAATCGGTAATTCGGTTTGTCCGCCAACTTTCAAGCAAGCGTATCGCATTGCGTCGCAGCTCCGTCGACATGGCCCCCTTCCCCCTTCGGAGCCTCAACTTTCCTTGATTCTTGACATTTGGTCGTCCGTCTCGTCTTTCCTTCTCATGTTTGCCTACTTGCAATCATCGAGTCATTTGCCGTTTGCCGCACCCATCGTATCATCATTGTGTCGTGGGATATTGGTTGTGAGAACAGATAGGCATTGTTGTAGGTCGTGGCGGAAGTGGATTCTCTTCTTTTTGTTTGCGTCTGTTGCAATGGTGCAACTGGCCTTATCCCAGAAGCTGGCCGGTTTGCTATGTTTACTGGGGGGATCGCGGCTTATGTACTTGTCCGGATGCACGTCACTTCATCGTCGTCATCGTCAATTAACCCTGGGAGGGGTAAAGGGGACGACTCGCACTTCCGGACAGAGGGAAAGAAACAGAGAGAGGAAGGCGGGAAGGCTGCGTGTGAGGTGTGGCTTGGACCAGCAAAAGCTGGATTTGCTGTGTGGTTCCTCCTCGATTCCCCAACGTTCGTTCGTTGGCTTGTGTCAGCCAAGAATAGCTCTCTCCCAAGACACAACGAGTCCAGCTGCAAGATCTCTCTCGGGAACTTTTGCGTTGTCTTGCTGCCCCTCATGGCAAGGACAAGGATGGTTATGGGCAGCGGTATTTGGGCCGAGACATCTATCTCTCCATGCGCATGGCTTGTTTGTCCCGAGCCTCCTATTGCCACCGCCCCACAGTGACAAGCAACAATGAACGGCTTGCGGCTATTGGTTTTGAGAGAGGGGGGATGATAATATCAGAAATCTGGGGGAGTGTGAGCCGCCCTCGAGCCGCCTGGTATTCCAAAATCTTGGAAGCAAAGTAATTGTCAAGACAAAGATGAAATGAGATTCTGTTTGTTCCAGACAAATTTTGGTAAAGTAGTCGAGGAAGTCATAATGTACAAACACCAACAAAACTCCGTGTCGAGTCTCTTCCCATAATTCCAGCCCCGTGAGGGGATCCCACCGCCAGATCTTAGTTGTCGTAAATGTTGCAAAACCAGAAAGCCTCCCAGTGATATCAAGTACGCCAATATCCCAAGCCCAGAACCGACCCATTCCTGCTCCCAATCAGCCCCCCTCACCCCGTTTTATTCCCATCCGTTCGGATCCTGGGACATCCATCCATCCAAATTCCCGATCCGGTTTTGGAAAAACGTACATTATTAACAATACCCAGCAACGTTCCACATGTTTTCCCCCCTTCCATCCATACTCATCAAAACATCATAATCGTGGCGCGTGAGCGCGAGTGTGTCTGTTGGTTGATAAGAGTCCCAGTGCCGCATGTGCAGTAGTAGTAGCGTAGCCCCGTGTATCCCAACCCCCCCCGTTTGACGTAGACTTTGATGGGAAAAAGAAAACTCAAAAAGTCGGAGTATGGTGCTTCCGCACCGAAGCTTTGATGACGGCGCCATCCCGTCCCTTTTTCCCACCGCGTCGCTGCTGCTTCTTGACCATTTCGGCATGCTGGATCACGGCGCCTTCGTAGAATTCTACCCGTGGTTTGGACCCCTGCTTCTTCCGTGGCAGGGCGTGCAGGCGGACGTGGGCGACGAGATTGTCGAAGCGGTTGGCTACGTGGGCACACCAATCACAGGGATAGCGGGCACGGCCGTGCAGGCTGGAGAACGAAGTTAACCCCTAGGCCCATGCTTAGGGTTTGGGGTAGAAAAAGGGGGGGCTCTTACCTCTGGATATGCCGCTTCATGTGTTCGGTTCTCCGGTACCGGTTGTTGCATCCCTCGATGGGGCACTTGAAGGTACTGGCCGGCTCGACAGCGTCCACAGCAAGGTCGGCTTCGTCCTCGTCAACCTCAGCGGCCACACGGCGCTTCTTCTCTCGTTTGGGCTTTGTCGATGTCTCGGTCTTGGGAACTCCCTTTGTTTCCACCATGTGAGGGGATCTCGGTGTCATCGGTTGTTCCGGAGAGCCTCGCTTCGAAGTCCGCATAGCCTCAACCGGCCTTGTGACGGGGGACTGTTGCCCAAAGCTGATAGGGCTGTCCGGATAGGTCCAGTGTGTTGGTCCAGAGATGCTGTGCTGCTGCTGGCTGAGAGCTGCCGGAGACGGCAAGTAAGGGTGAGGGACCATTTGTTGGGAAGGAAAGCTGTACTCCATGATCGGCTGCGAAGGCATGATCTGACTGGAGCAGCTGCCGAAGGGCTGTGCGACCATGTTGACGCCGCCCCAAGGACCTGGGACCGTACAGGCGGGGAAGATGAGGTCGGAAGCACGGGTGCTCTTCGTGTTTGGGTGGAAGTATGTTGGCACGGTAGGGGAAGGGGGGGCCGCTGCATCATAGGAGACAGGCTCGACGGATACGAAGGAGGAGCCGTAGTCGAAGGAGCCCGAGAAGTGAGGGGTCGAGCGCCCGGAATTAGGCGTGTGAGGGCCGAAGCTGGATGAAGCGTACGAGGAGCCGCTTACACTTCCCGTCGGCCACCCCAAAGGCTGGCCGTTGAAGTCAAAGTCCGGGTCATTCGCAAACTCCAAGGACATATCCAAGACCGACATCTCTGGGAGCTCCATCTTGTTTCGAATGCGTAGTGTCTAGAGTTGAGTAAGGGCCGAGCGTAGGAGGACCGGATTTGGTGAGTTTCATGAATTAGTCAAAGAGAGAAACGTCGACAAGATGCATCAAAACGGCTCAACAAGGCGGTGTTTGTGAACTTGTGAGAGACAACGTGGCTCTCAAGGGGGGGTGAGGGGCATCAATATATGCGGAACTGGCCAACGTCGAGGCTCGGCTTACGGACAGAGGGGCTCCAAAACGATCTCCTCCCGGGGCGTGCCCCACAAGCCTCATACAGACATCATAAAGGTCGTCTTCGAGATCTCCGAACCAGCATGGGAGAAAAACGGCCGTGCGGGGGTGCTACGGCAATCGTGGGTGCATCTCAACCCTGTCCCTGGCTGCGGTTGCAGCAGCACCGCCCACGCAGGAACCAACCGGGAGCCAGACAAATGGGCTTGGTACATGAGAACAAGGCCGTTTGGGGCACCAAACATCCATGAAGGCTGAGGTGGTGTGCCCCGTCTCAGAATGGCCTAAATCGGGCAACCAATCAAGCTGCTGCAGTCGAGGGCAAACCGGAGAGGTCGAAGGCTCTTGGTTAGCCCTGGCCGCCCTCAACGCCTACTTTTTTCCTTCGAATGGGGCGGCCTCGAGAAGTTGTTCTCGGTACCGTACGAGAAAGCTGCCGACGGTGGCATACTGCATGGTCTGCGAAATCTTGATGGAAGCCTCGTCTTTTTTTACCCGTGTCGATGCACGAGCTTTGACAAATATCTTGAGAATCAGCATGGCCAGAGTGGGCAACTTAAAAATGTGTCTCTCAATAAACAATAGCCTAGTGTGTTTTGTGTTTTTAATGCTCCGAATCTGCCAAAATGAAGATCATACGATTTAACTAGTTAGAGTACAGCTTGTCTTCGCCATCAAATTCGTAAAAAATACGCGGGGAATGGGAGCGTGACCACTCACGAGATCCCAAGTTGGCCGATGGTGTTGGCTGGGGTGTCCCTCCAGATCCGCTCCCGCTCTGTTTGCCGCTCAGTCGTGCGAGAAGCATCGGGCTTGGCATTGGACGGTGGCTGAGAAACCGGTTAACACGTCGACGATGTACCTCAGGTTTGCCTACATTGTGGGGCACGGCAGAAACGGCAAGAGGCTCGACGCTGCTGAGTTCGGGGGGGAAAAAAACCGGGGAGATGCGAGATCCGATGGACGGGCTGATCGACTCAGGGACTCCCCAAGACTCGATTTCCTTTGTCAGTTTGAGGGTGTGTTTCCCGGTACGGTAAGGCGCCGTTCAGCCTGGTCGGGTGACTTCTTCCTTCTTGGTGAGAACGATCCACCCACATCCCGGTCCAAAGCCGGGTTGCGTGACAGGCCCACTGTTTCCGCTAACAAAAGGCGGCCAGTCAGCGCGTCGTTCGTGGTACGAGGTACCAACCTTAACTCAACGTCGGACACTCTCGACACTGTTCTCCATGCGGCTCAAGAATGAAGACTGATAATCGAGGTTCTCCCCACGGGAAACCCCCGACGTGGCGTTTTCAGCACCGATTCGCAACTACCCCGCCCATCACCACCCCTCGGCGACGGACCGGACAAGCTAGGAGCCACTGTCAACGCTCAAACCGGGCGCAAACGCATCAGTTTGAAGCAAACTCCCGTCTCCCGGGATATTCCTCTTTTCAGTCCAGACATCATCCATACAACAGAAGGTAAGGTACCCAGGTCTCTACAAAGATGGGGTAGGTACCTAAGATTAGAACCAATCTGCCGTCGGAGGATTCCCATGAGCTTTACAAGTACATATACTATCATTAGTATCGAAAAAGAGAAGACTCCCCAAGACATTTTGGGCTGGCCTTACTCGCCGCTGGGGATGACACTGAAGGTAGGCTCACACAGAATAGAATAGTTCGCGCACAAATTTTCGACAATCACTTTATGCCACCGGGTTAGGTTTTTCATCGAGTCGACCGCGTTCCGTATCCTCGCCCATTCTTGCATTGCATCCATGGACATGGGAAAGCATGGCCAACTTCGCCAAGATGTTGACCCGAAATGCGCCCAATGCGCCCAATGGTAAGCATCGAGCCCGGCTTCGGTAGTGAATCCGATAGGGCGTATCGGCTCCCACAGTTGATTTCAAGACCCTGAGGAAGTGCTCGTCATTTTTTTCTACTTTTCAAGACCAATTCATGCGTGCGCCAGCTCTCCCGCTAACGCAACAACCTAGACTGGGGATTGGGCTTTGGGGTGCCCAGGACGCATCGGCGATAGCCACGGCCCGATGATTCGACGCTTCGACGCTTCGTTTCGCCTACTGTGGTGGTAGTCAAGGCGACCAACCACTTTTTCTTCGCAAAAACCTGTGAATGGCCCGCAGGTCTGCCACAAACACTCTGCAAATCTCCGCCATCGAACCCAAACTTTCTAGTCCCCTAGGTGGGCTGCTCATGCAGTGTAGCGATCTGTTTCTCACGGGCAGCTCGGTGGGCGGGCCGGCGCCGAGATCCTCTGATCTGCCCGCCCCCACAACCCGAGCCCTGTCTTCACCGCCGCTCCTCTCATGACCTGAACTCGGTCCCGACCGGACAACCTGACGACAGTGACAGCGTCCCGGCAGCAGACAAGCCACTGAATGAGTGACAAGGGGTGAAACGGGAAGAGGGTAGAGTGCGCCATCCGAAAATTTTCTTGCAAGCTACCCACAAAGTGTGGTGGGCTTCCCCCAAAATCTCAACGGCTCCGATGTAAAAGGCAAACGCCCAAACACTGTTGATCAAACTGCGGAAGGCCCGCATCGCCCTCGAATAGGCGCCGTTGTGCAACCTCATCTGCCTGCGGGAGTCTCCCACACAGTGTCGCGCCGTTTTCGACTGGCTCAACGCTTGTAGTTCGACCGTTATCGACGAACTGTCGGAAGCACGGCAGGTTTCGACTTTCGGTGCCACCCCTCCCGTTTTCTTTGGCAGTGGACGAGACAAAAGACAGGACCAAAATGCAAACCTGGCGGGAATTGTCCACGTGGTGGCACGAAAGGCAGATCATCCCCCGAATAGTGGTATCGACCACCGCCCATTGCCGCTCACACAGTTGAATTTTGTTTCCCGTCATATTTCTTTCTACATAACCCCTCGGGCCCACTTACGCAGCGCGCTCACTGACATGAGTGACGACGGACAACGCTGTTCTGTCCTTCCGGGCGACCGATTTCGGGGGTCTGCTAGAGAAGAAGAAGAAGCGGTCTGGTGTACTTGCGGCTACGAGTGACTGCATAGTGGACATCTTTAACGCTTACATCGACACGCAACAGCGAGCGTGCCGTGAGCTGGGAAAGAACAACGATGATCCACATTCTGTGGCGCGCCAACCCGATGCGCAACATACCCCCCCCCCCTGCAAGTCAAAGAAGCCGCTGCCTTCGAGACATCTCGGCCCGTTGACCTTACCCTCGGATACCTACTAACAAACTCGCCGCGGGGACTAACAAAGAGAGTAACCCGGTCGACCCTTGTCGTTGGACCGTTATCGCCCACAACTAGCCTGTTACGTTACACTGGAGGTTGGAAAACCCTTTTGGGGTCCTCTTCCGTATCGTGGGAGTCGGCGTCTATTTCCCGCTCATCGTCTGGATACGGGGCAGATGTGGCGATGGCTTAGAGGGTAACGTAGATGCGTTTACAAAAAACGCAGCCTTCCTATGGAAACTTGGAATATCAACGGTCTGGCTCTTTTTTTTTCGTTTTCATACATCCATGAAGCACAGCGCAACGCAGCCCCCAAATCACCCAAGATGGTCGCGGAGAATTCTTTCCCATTTTAGCAACCAAACCCCAATATGCACAGGGTTGAAAAAAAAGCAAAACAAAAAAAAACATCTACCCCAACCAACCCACCTGCTTCGTCTCGTTTCCACGCCCCCTACCCGCATAGCAACCACGTGGTAAAACAGGAATAGAGAAAAGCAATATGAGACCATACATAGACACACCCGCTCAAACCATCAATCATGCGTGAGATCATAGTTCGCAAGGTGGCGCACCGCACCGCAACTGGCCCCCAACGCCACAGGAAACACACGGGCAGGACCGTAAACTTTGATGCCCGAGTGAGTTTGCTTGCTTCCCCCCCCTTCTTTCCCATTTCGGGAACCTGCCTACACCCAGGGGAACCAATGGCGAGGACGGGGTGCGTCGTCCGACGGCTTGGAGCCTTCGACCCTTCGACCCTTTGACTGTTCACACCCACACATACACAAACTATGGGGACACCGGGAAACACAAACTGACAGACCTAACCTACCGGGTCGGATCCACATCGCCACACACATGATAAACCGGGACGGTTCAGAGACGGGAAAGGTGAAGGCTTGATCCGGCGGTCCCGGCCTCGGATCGTGGAGAGAGGTGCGCGTGGGGCTCGGGCTCGGAGACCGGCTGAGTTCCCTACTGCCCTACCTACCCTACTACACTAGATACTGCTAGTCACTAGTTCCCATTATGGCCGTGACGTTTGCTGGGGATGGGATAAAGAAGGGTGAGAGCCGGATGCGGGGCGGGTGTGCTCTCGGATCAAAAGCATCCGTTCGGGTGTAGTTCTCGGAGGGTGGATAAGATTAGCTGAGGGATGGCCGCGGAGGGACGAGAATCCCCGCTCCGCGCCCTCGAGCAAAAAAAATAGAAAGCAGAACAAAAGGAAAGGGGAAAAATAGAGAAAGAGATTCTAATTTTGGTGTCTAGATCGTGTCGTCTAGGTGGGTTATGGTGGCTGTAACCGGACTGCGTTTCCGTGCATACAGTAGTTACTTGTTGACGTACATGTACATACATACCGATGTTACCCCTACCCGCATATGATCTCGATGCATTCGTTGTTGTGGGCTGCAGTTCTCATGCACGAGTCTTCCGGGCGTGGTTAGAATAGAATAGCTACGGGAGAGGTTCACAGCCTCAGGGGCCGCGAGGCGCAGCACCAGCTAAACGATGCTGAAACGGCCAGAGAGCCGCATTCCATGCAAACAATCTGGTCTTCTTTTGTTCTAAACTTTTTTTCTGCACTTTGAGGCCGGTCCGAGCTGGGGCTGAAGCATTGTGTTTGACGCAGGTGAATACTCTTCGGTTCGCCACATGATTCCGGGGCGGGCCGAGTCTGTTTCAGATTCCCAGAACAGTCTAACAATAGTTTCTCGTGTTGTTTTGGCATTGAGTTTTAGTTTATTTTGGATGGGATCAAGGCTAGGGTTCAAACCAAGCCCCAGATCAGATCAGATCGAATCGGACGCGACCAGGTTAGGTTCGGGCCCGAACTAGACGACACAGGCGATTAGGTCAAGCAAGCAAGCAACTTGAATGGTTGACTTGCTCGCTAGCTAACCGGCTGTTCGACGATTCTAAATTAGTCTACTCATCGGAATCGTTTCCACCATCGTCTCCGTCGTCTCCGAATGCGTCTAGCTCTTGTTCCGTTGCCTCCAGGCCAGAGGATGACATGAATTTCTCTTCCTTAGCCTCGGCTGTGAATTTTATGATGATGTTAGTATGTGTATTCGTTGGATGGGCACACGTTGTAGTTCGGGTAGAAGTAAGAAAATGAAAAACGACTCACTTTTGGCCTCAACTAGTAAATTTTCCTGCACTTCACACTCCGTCAGAGTACACCCATCGCCCACTTCACTGCGCTTGCCCAAAATACACTTGGTCAGCTTGCAATTACGCCCAACGACAACCCCGTCCATGAGCAAGCATTGGCTCAGTTTGGCGCCCTCGCCGATCTGGCAGTTCGCGCCTACCACACTCTCCTTGATGGATGTCTTCTCTTGCACCGTCACGTTGTCGGCCACCAGGCTGTCTGCCTTAGTGATCGTAGTGCGCGACTTGACGCCCTCTGGGTAGGCTACTTTCCGGGCGTGCGCGAAGGGCGAGGCTGGGTACTCGGCACCGGTTTCTTCGAGAGAGGGGAGCTTGGCAAGTTGGAGGGATATTTGAAGGAGGAGCTGAGCAGTGTCGACGCGGCGGATGAGGGGGGCATCAGGGGTAGTCGGGTGGATGTAAGCCAGCATTGGTGGGATGGGGGCTTCCCGTTCCCCTCGTAAACGGCTCTCATTCTCTTCGCCATCATCGCTGTTGTTGCTGCTGCCAGTGATGTCGCTCCGGGTCGAGACGGCTTGGTTTGGGGCGTCGGTGGAGGGGTTCGGCCCATTCGGGCTGGACTGACCACCGGCGCTCCCACTAGCAGGCCGTTGGAGGATACCGTCTAGCCCGAGCTTGGTGGAAAGACCTTTCTGCCAGCTAGCTTTCACCCACCACCCAACGATATCCTCGCCGATAGTTTCGAGGCGCTCGTTCTCCTTGACAAACTGCATGACCCAATGGGGGAAGATATAGATGTGAGCATCGCGGTGGGTGGAGAGCATCCGTACACGGGGATGTTGGCGAAGAAGCCCCGTACGGATGGGGAAGCCCTTCTTCTCCGAAATGAGATCCTTCCGTGAGTCCGTTGGCATTGTGTATACTACCTTGGCCAGGTCGGAAAAAAGGGAGGTATTTGGCGCAAGGAGCGAATTTGTCGAGAGGGGGATTGTTGCAACAAAGTCCGTCTCTTCCCCCTTGATAGGCGTGGCCGTCTTGGTTTGGTAGTAGACACCAAGCCCGCCACTCCGCGTACCCTGTGAGCTGGAGTCACCCACCAGGTCCTCAAGGCTGGCTGACTTGACCATCCATGCTTGGAGTAGCTTGTCCGCGCCCAATTCGCAGACTAGGTCACATGGGAGCACCACAAAGTCGGACGTGACAACAGACTGTAGTTCGGGAAGACGGAGAATTTCGGCGGTCCCTGTGTTTTGGTCCAAGTCCTTGGGTGCTAAGAGGTCAGGCCGTGGGAATGGTAGACTAGTGAGAAAGGGGTTTGTCTTGAGGGCGGTGGTGATAGCCTCCGAGGCTGATGGAGGGCAAACTAATGTGATGTCTATGAAAAAGAGTCAGACATGGGCCGTCTTTGAGGCAAGAATAAAAAACCCCTTTTCAACCCCGCTCAAGGGACGCCTTGGTCACTCACTTGTTATCCCTGCGCGGTAACAAAACTCGAGAGGATACCAGACCATGGGCCGGTTGGCGATGGGGAGAAGAGCCTTAGGATTCTCATCGGGATTTGCCGTGAATGTTGGGAACGAGCTACCTGGGCCACACAAGATTAAAGCTTGCAGGCCCGGCGTCGCGATATTGACAGCATGTGGCATCGTGAAAGACCAAAAATGCCCCGCAATCGATGAAAGTGAGTGGGTTTAGGAGATGCGAACAGGAAGAAAAAGCTGATTCCGTTCATACACTTGAATACGGGGTGACTGATCAAACCAGGGCTGATTTACAGCAGAATTGGTGCTGCTAATCGTAGTTTGATGTGGTTGCTCGATGAGAATCGCATCCACCTGTGATTTTCGAGATTGAGTCACTGAAAGCATTCTCCCAGGAATGGTATGGTATTCCCCACATGTCGTTGGGGGAAGGTAGAGGGTTAGGGTTATACCGCTGCACCGCCAAGACCGCATGTGTTTTGACCTCAGTCGAATGGGACGCTCCAGCCTCAGGTCGGCTATCCCTGCTCCCTGCTCCCCTGCCACATTTACACAGGATTTCAGGTTCCTTGGCATCAGCTGCACCTCTTGTTTTCTTCGCCCGGCCAACCACCAGCCTCGGTTTTGGACCGGGAAATGGAGCTCGGCTCGTCCACCTGCAGCGCTGCCGGGGGGATCAACACCCCGATCCCCAGCCATCGAAAGCAGCAGCCCACACCTACACCAGCCACACGATTCTGAGAGTCTGAACAACTCAGCTCTTTCTTCTCTCTCCTTTGCGACGAGAAAAGATTGGCGCCGCCGATTCGACTTGCGCCCCCTGTTGATAACAACTCGCGAATACCTACACAGCTCTAAGACAACGAAAACAAAACAACAACAACCGGGCTGAAACAGCAAAAAGCGACCGCTCTCCCACTTGTCGACGGGCAGCGCAATGATCCATCGCTGTGCCGCCAATGTCGCCGCAGTATGAGTCGTCCCGCCGTCGCGGGGTATGGGGTCATTGGGTTCCCCTTGTCGTGACCGTGACGGTGGCCACCGTCGGCGTCGCGGCCTGGGTCTGGAGCCAGCGCGGGGACGATGAGCATGAGGATGTCGACCAGCCTGCCGTCTATCAGGATCTTGACTACGACAACGCCGACTACGGCGACAACCCCCCCTACGGCGTATCCAGGGAGGGTGTTGCCGACACCACTACTACCGCCCGCGATGCTGCTGGCTTTGCGGCTGGCGCTCAGGTGCCCGTCGAGTCGTCGAGTTCCGGCTGGGCGGCATTGCGCCGTACGCCGAGCCCGCAGCAGTTCTTTGACAGCGCTAAGAGGACCGTGGCTGCTGGGGTGACGGCTGCGGGTGCCGCTGTGGGGAGTGCGTTGGCGGCTATCCGAGAAGAGGACAAGACAGCGTATGCAGACCACGAGACTTGGTCTGAGGAGGCGGACGCTAAGCAGGATAGGGTGGTCGAGCCGTCGCCAAGTGGCAAGCCGAGCGCTGGTAACAGCGGTAACAACACCGACAAGACCAACAAGCGCCGGAAGAAGGTGGCCATCGTTGTGTCGGCGGACAACCGTCTGGACGAGATTGATGCCGATGGGTTCCACGAGCATGCGGTAAGTTGCAAAAGCCAGCCATTACTTGTCGTCTCATCCCCAGATTATATGCTAATTGGCATCATCGCAGTCCATCCTATCCCACATTCCCCGACAATTGGACTTTTCCACGACCAAGATCTACGTGCTCATCTACGCACCGAACCTCAAGGACACCAATGTGGACGCCAGCAGCAACCTGCCCCCGCCGTCGCTGAGCTCTTCGTTTTCCAACATTGATCACGCTCAGGCCCAGGCGTCCGAGGAGGCGCGGAGCCCTCAGTATGTTATCCCTCTACGTTTGGCTTGATGCATTGCATTGAAAAGGGGACATCGAATTAACTTGCTGGTAGAATCACCCCGTCAACTTCGGATCCCGCCTACAACGCCATCTACGCCCAGGCCCAAGCTCTCGTTGAAAAGGACAGCCAGGTTCTGACCTTCACCTCCTCCAACGGTCACTCGCACATCCTGCGCCACATCCAACCTGACTTCGTGTACCTGCAAGAATCGCTGTCCGGCGACAACGGCAGCACGGTTACCAGCCTGCAAACCTGGCTGCGCCACGAAATCGTCCTCGTGGTCGGCGCCGAGAGCGGGCACGGCGGACTGGCCGACAGCGAGTCTGAAGCCGAGAAGCCTGGCAAGGAGAAAACCGGCGAAGTTTGGTGGCACCGAGAGGACCGTGTCGGCCGAGGCCGAGGTGTGGTGGTTGTCGATGGGACGCGGGTTCAGGATGATTGGGCTCGTCGCATCTTGGGTAAGGAGTGAAGGAAATGGGTAAGGAGTGAAGGAGATGGACGCTGGATGCGGGAAATGGACGCTGAGGGGTGGCTGGCTGGAACGGTATGATGCGAAGATTTACGACAGGACGGATATTTTGTGGTGATGATTTGATTCCCCCTAAGATGTGGTTACTTTGATATTTTGCTGTATGAGTTCGATGTCTGCGTAAGATATTAGTGACCACCTTCGAGGTTTGAGATCCCCAAATGCGCAAGAGCCTACATAGTACTTGTTGCTGTCAACCTCCCGACACCCAGTGTCTAGTTGTGGGTTAGGGTTTCCATGGTCAGTTGAGGCCGCCTTGACTGAACCTTAGCACCAACATGTCCGTTCTCTGCCTTGCGCATTACCTAAAGTACCCATTATGGAACACCTAATCACTGTCAATTCCCATCATAAATAAATAAATCGGTGTCGGCAATCTTTCTCCTTTTCTCTTCTCACACATTCAAGCGGCACAGTTCCCAATGCCAGTGCACGTGATGCGGCTCACTTGCCAAGCCTTCCCAAAAGTGTAATCATTCAAGTCAACCACTGCAGCACCATTGACAGGGATCAGATCGGCCGAAGAACACCCCACACAAAGAGAGCCAGCGGACCGTCATCCAGCGACAGCAGACAACGGCCGGCGCCAACCACGACAGTCCATCATCGCGTCGGAGGCCGCGCTGCAGTCGATGCCCATTTGAAAACTTGCTGCACCTTCAAAGAGGCAATTGATTCCACTGCGATTCATTTGCCCTAAGTTGCACCACCGACCGACAGCCAGATTCAATCGGGCGCATCGATACCTGGGCGCAAAGAACAACGCTCGTCGTCTCTCCTTGCGCTGCTTTCGGGCCTTGGCACACACGCCTCCCGAACAACGACCGCGATCCGTCCGCCCGTCAACCTCATCAAATCGACTTTTAACGACCCCGACGACCGCATTCGACGACCACAGCGACCGCGACGAAAAGCACGACCCTGCGAACCCCGAATCCTTTAAGAGTCTCCACCATACCTACAATAACGAGTTACTTTGAAATCCACCAACTCCCTATTCGGTCTCCTGTGCTTAGGAATCGCGCTCGGCCCCGCCGACTTCTATCCAAATCGGCATCAAAACGTTCGCGCTGTCCACGCCTCCTTGTGCGTCGCTACATCGCCTCATCTCGGCCTCTCCCCTCTCCCGCTGCTGCCCTCGGCGGCAGCTGGCCCAGACTGAATGGCGCCCACTGCCGTCGCGTCCCCGGCGACGCCGGCCGCGACAAAAATCAAGCGTCCCATCCCCCCTGGTATCCAGACCAACGGCATTACCAACGCGCGCTTATCACCATCGCCCTCCATGTCCGCTAAGCGCGCTTCCGCCTCAGGAGCGAGCGCGATACCCCGCCAGCCTTCTAACCCCCCAACAATCACCAATGGCGCGACACCAACACCGACAACCGCCCGTCCCCAGAATCGCCAACGGAGAGATGGGCTGGGTTCCGTGTCTGGCCCGGTATTAGGGAGAGGGCAGCGGAGTGCCGGTCTCAGATCAGCTAGCATTGCTCCTGATGCTTCAGTCCCCGCTGCTGCGACAGATCCCCAACCATATGGTTCGTTTTGCCCTGTTGGTGGTGATAGTGCGCTTTCTTTCATCACGAAGGTCTAACTAATACTCATCGAACAACACAGTGGTTACCTCCCAATGGATTCTCAAGAAATTTGCCGGAAACCCCCCATCCTTGATTGTACACCTCTACCCGACACACTTCCGCTTCGACAAACAAGAAGGCATGTTTCAATATCATTCGCCAATGCGGATATTCATAGAACACCTTAAAACTCGAACCATACCACACGACCTCCTCGAATACTTCACACAATGGGGGGTGCCCTTCTACAACGGCTGTTTGATTGTTCAGGTTCATGACCATAAATCCGTCGCCCAGGCTCGGGATGTTGCCAGACCCGCGTCGGCTCCAAACAAGGCCCTCCCCTTCTCGGTGCATAACTACAACCAATACGTCACGCCGTCGCCTTATGTCCCCTACCCCAAGGAAAACCTGCCGGCAAACGGCTCCCCAGCGCCCGCCGCGGAGAAGACGTCCGAAGAGAAAGACAAGGAGAACATTGCAGGCCTCAGTGCTCCTCCCGCGGGTGGGCAAAAAGGGAAAGAGGCCGCAAAGCCCAAGATCATCACCATTGTCCTGCAGCCTACCCAGCAAACTCTGCAAACCGATCTCGCTATCAAGGCCAACACGCCTCGTGGGTCAGCGGATGCCACCCGCGCCGATGGAACCGTTCCTCCGCCAACACCCCACGCTGCGGTTCCCCCGACGCCCACCGCTGCGAGCATGCCGCCACCTCCAAAGAGGCAAAAACGGGAGAGGATGGAGCTCGACTCGAGCAATATCTACGAGGCAGAGGGACAGATTCTGCTCGCAACCGTGCCAGTGCTAGATCTCGAGCCGACCAAGACCTTTGAGGAAACGATAGCGCTACTTGAACGGCAAAAACACCCCGATCACTCCCAGAAGCCGCCCGAGCCCAAAACGCGGAAACGGACTGTGGCCGAGATGGCCGCCGACGAGGCACAGGCCGCTGGCCAAGAACGGTTCATGCTTACACTCGACGAGCGCCTATCGTCCAAGCTGGCCGGTTCTCAAGCTGCCGGCAACGGTGCCGATGGGGACGGCCAGGGTGGCGCGTCTGTTTGGGAACCGAGGTTCGAGCGATTCAAGCTCATTGCTGATATCAAGCGGGAGCACGCCGAAAAGAAGGAGCTTGAAAAGATTAAGCAGGCTGAGAACGAACGGAAGCTCCAGCAACAAAAACAGCTTCAGCAACAGCAGCAGGAGGCTGCTGTGCTGGCGGCCAGGCAAGCCGAAGAGCGCCAACGGAAGGAACAGGCCGCCCGTGAGCAACAGCAGAGGCAAGAGCAACAGAGGCGGGCGCAAGCCCAGGCTCAGGCCCAGGCCCAGGCTGCCCAGCAACAAGCCGCTCAGAATCAGGCTGCCCAAGCTCAAGCCGCCCAGGTTGCCCAGGCTCAGGCACAAGCACACGCGCAAGCCCAAGCCCAGGCTCAAGCTCAAGCTCAAGCTCAGGCTCAGGCTCAAGCTCAGGCTCAAGCCCAGGCTCAGGCTCAGGCTCAGGCTCAGCAGAACGCGGTTACCTCGGCCATGGGCACTCCTCATGCCCACCCCGTGCAGCACAGTCCTTTACCGGCAGGCATGACCAGCGGGATGCCCGTCAACTTGTCTCAGGCGCAAGCACGGTTTCCCCAAGTCTCACAGCCGCAAGTATCCTCGCCCATTATCCGCCAGAACACGCCGCACGCAGCATCTTCTCCGATGGGCATGGCTGGCGTCGCTATGCAGCACTCCAACTCGAATCTCGGACAAGCCGGGAGCCCAGCACGGCCGTCATCGGTGGTTCAGAACCACCCGATGGCCGCGCCCATGGCTCCCAATATGTCGGCGCGCGGTAGCCAGCAGAGCCATGTCGGCACGCCTAGAATGCCGAGTGCCACGCCTAACATGCCCCACGCCACACCCATCTCGCGGCCCCAGATGGTGCCCACTCCACGCATGACCCAGGCCAGCCCGCCACCTAACATGATGTCGGCAGCGCAACTTGGGCAGCAGATGATCATGACGCCCCAAGGGATGATGCAAGTTCCCGGTGTCGGGCTCAGCGCCGCTCATATTGCCCAACAGCAACGTTTCTTGCAGCAACAGCAGATGCTTCAGATGCAGCAAAATGGCATGATGAACGGCGTACCAGTACAGCACCCACTGGCCCAGCAGCGTTTGCTTCAGCAACAACAGCAGCAGCAGATGATGCTACAGCAGCAAAGAAACGGCCAGATGATGAACCAGCCTTCCCAAGCGCAACTAGCCGCGCAATACAGCCAACAGTTGAACAACTTGCAGCAACAGATGGGCCAGATGAACCCGGCACAACAGGCCGTTGCTCAGAGGCAGTTCCTCGCTGCTCAACAAGCCGCTGTAGCCCGCGGCCAAAACATGATGGCTATGGGCAACCTGACACCGGCTCAAATGCAAGCGATGCAGCAGATCCAGATGCAACAACACGCCGCGCAGCAGCAGCAGCAGCAGCAGCAGCAGCAGCAACAACAGCAGCAGCAGCAGCAACACCACGCCCAGTCGAACCAGCAGCAACAGGCGGCGGCGCTGGCGCAGCAACAGCAGCAGCAGCAGCATCAACAGCAGCAAGCCCAACTCGCCTCGTTCAGAACCCCTCAAGTGCAAAACCAAATCCGCAATATCACCCAAGCGCTCATTACCAAGAACCTCCCCGCCTTAAGCGCCCGTTTCAACGGGGGGCAAATCCCAGAGGACCAGCTCGCGGAGTTCAGGAAGCACTGCGCAACTCAAGCCCACAATCACGTGCTCCAGCAATTACAGAACCGTGGGCAGATGAGCGCCCAGGCCCAGGCCCAGGCCCAAGCCCAGGCCCAGGCTGCGCAGGCACAGGCGATGGCTGCGTTTCAACAGCAACAGCAGCAACAGCAGATGAACGGGGGCGGGTAAGATATCATGGAGTTAACTCTTTTTTGGGCGGGGGGTGGGTGTGGGCATGTCCCCGTCTGGCGCTGGGAGTTGGTTGGGAGTCGACTACTTTTAGCTTCATCCCTTGCTTTTTAGCTTTTCATTTTTATTTTTATTTCGGGAGGGAGAGGGTGTTGAAGCAGCGGGTGCTTTTGGGGCACAGTGAGGGCAGAGATGGGGAGAAGGGAATCAGACGAAAGAAAGCGACGGTGATGAATTGAATGGCATCAAATGGAACGGATACGGGTCGACGTTTTATCTCACTCTGTTTTTTTTCCAACTTTCTCTTTTCGTCTGTAACATATATTGCACGGTGGGTTTTGGGTTGGTTGGGGTGCAACTTCTACTGCGGCACGTGAAATGGTTTTCGGTTGGCTGGCTTGCTTGGCTGGCTGCTTGCTTGCTTGGAGTTATTCTGCTTTTCATTCCTCACCTTGTGTTTCCAAGGTTTCTTCTCTGCGTTCCAAGCTTTCTTCTCTCCGGCTTCTCATCCTGATTTTGTTTGCTGGGCACCTACATATACCCTGAGTTCCCGGGTTTGGTCGGTTCTTGCGAGGGAGGTAGTAGGGGATGGTAGTGAACTGTGGGTGTGGTGGCATTGGCTTGTTTCACGGGGGAAACGACTGGTAACGGGGTGCAGCCACGGGTTCTTCTTTGCTCTTTGCTTGTATTCATATCATCTGAGCTTTTCGGGTCATGGGGTCTTATGATCAGCGCTGGGCCGGGCTGGGTGGGCTAGGTCAGGTAATACGGTTATTTGAGAATTACACTAGAGTTTACAATTTCTCGTGTCCTGAAAGAACATGAACATGCTCTTCAAACCTGTGTTGATAACTCGGCGTGGTCAGGCATGATGTGGTTGACGACGGTGGATCCACGTGACGAGTCACGAGCGTTGTCCAATTTGGTGGACCCTGTCTCGCAGGCTGCGGCCAAAGCATGACGGAATCGGCCAAGCTTCCGCTGCGTGCCTAACACCTCCATTTCCCCCTGGGATCTGCCGGGCCATCGATCGAGCTCCCGTCTTCATGGTCTCGCGTTGTCATTTTATTTTCAACTCAACCAGACCTCTTTTTCATCTTTGTGTTTGTCATCAATTTTCTGTGTGTGCTTACATATCTACACCAACTTTTTCCCTCGCCTTTTTTCCGTTGGGCGTGGGATTTATTAACCACCCAGGCCGTCTCAGATTTTCCGGCTTTGCCGCTTGCCGCATGCAAGCTGCGCCGTCTGCCAGTTGACGTTATCAACCTGCCGGCATCGCATCGTCGACGACACGCGACAAAAACGACTCGCATCAAACCGGCCACCAACACTCCCTCACCACCGCCCGAACGATCGTTCTCGTGTAGCACGAGCTAGCCTCCGCAACGGATCCCTTTTTTTTTTTTTTTATTGAAAGAGTCTACGACGGACACGACAACACGAGATAAGAAAACGATCGCGTCCCGTCGCACCCAACCGCTCTCCTCCCCGAGCTGCAAACCCAGACCCAGACCCAGACCAACAAACCACCCTCCGAACACAACCCAACCCACCCACAAACCCTCACCATGAAACCCTTCCCAACCTGGCTCACACCAGCCACCCTCACCTCCCTCCTCCTCCTCACCCCAACCGCAAGCACGGCCGCCACGACTCCCGCATCCCCCCTCGCAGACGACTCCTCATCGCCACTAGCATGTGACAACATCCAAGTAGAGGGCGGGCACACATACAATCTCCAGGCGCTTGCCGGTCCGCACGTCGTCGTCACGGGCGAGTATACGCGGCCGACGTATCATAATACGACGTATGCTATTGATGTTTGTAGGGCGTTGGAGAGAGAGGGGGAGGGGGAGGGATGTCCTGGGGGGACGAGAGGTATGTTTTTTTCTTGGTTCCGTGCTTGCTCTTTGGGTTATGTGGTGTGCGCTTTTTGGGCTGGGGGTATGTTCACAGGGTTGGGTTAGGTGTCTGTACTAACTGAGATGATGACAGTCTGCGCGATCAAGCACCGCTGGAACCGGAAAGAGGATAAAATGACCGGGATCGACCAGGTGATTCCGCTAGTCGTAGGCGACGACAAGGCCGTAACATGGCAAGCGAAGCGGCTCCCAGCAGACGGCGAAGGGAAGGATGATGCGCCAAAGGACGGGAAGAAGGAAGGGCTACGATTGACGCTGCAGAGTGGTGCGACATACCAGGACCGGGCGCAGCGGGCCGTGGTCGAGTTCCGGTGTAACCCGGACCTTGAAGGGGCGGAGGGGGAGTGGGAGAGTGTGGACAAGTATAAGCCGGTGAAGGGGGAGAAGGCGCGGCGGGAGGACAAGGATGATGAGAAAAAGGATGATGGCAAGAAGGACGATGGGAAGAAAGATGACAACAAGAAAGATGGAGATAAGGTCAGCGATCCAAGTACGCCAGAGCGGCAGGTTAAGAAGGACGATGCGGCACTCGTCTGGGGCGGATACAAGCGGGAACGCGACGCGGACGGCAAGGAGTTGGACACGCTGTATCTGACGTGGTACACCAAGCATGTGTGCGATACGGCGGTAGACCAGCCGGTCAAGGAGAGCGAGAGCTGGGGGTTCTTTACCTGGTTTGTCATTCTGTAAGTCCCTTCCCCTTCCCCCTTTCACAACCAACTTGGATCATCAGACAAAGCAAACACACAGACAGGTAAGCTAACGCTAGACGAACAGGGTCTTCCTTGGTATCGCGGCATACCTCATCTTCGGCTCGTGGCTCAACTACAACCGGTACGGGGCGCGCGGCTGGGACTTGCTCCCGCACGGCGACACGCTACGTGATGCGCCGTACCTGATGAAGGACTTGATTCGTCGGGCGCTCAACACACTGCAGAGCACGGGCAGTCGGGGAGGGTACTCAGCTGTTTGAGGGAGTTTAAAGGGGACGGACGGGGTAGGGGTTGCGGCATTCCAATTCCGGTGTACGTGGTCATGGTTGGTACTATAGGTGTCATTTATTCTCCTGTGGTTTGGGGATGAGGTCAGGTAGATATTTGGGTATTATTAGATTTCGCAAGGAATACCAGCGTGGATTCATCGATCGTGCTTGGCGCACAACACTGTAGTTGCCCTGTATCTTTCTAACAAGCAGTGTGGTCATCACCTATGATTTCTCCTTTTCAAGTATTAAGGTCCGTTTCGGTATTCGGACTATGTATGCGAGCCGGCTTCACTGCCGGGCTTGGCTGTGGGTCTAAGATCGGACCCGGAGATGTGGGTTCTGTCCGTCTGTCACATGCCGTTCATACCAGATCCAGAAACGCGAACATCCCAAAGAAAGGGAACGGACTTCGGAGCACGGATTCACAGGTCAGTCAGTAAACTAAAATCCCCGAGTGGTCGAAATGGGTATTTCCCCATGAATTACTTACAAGACATGAGTAGCCGAAGTGGCGGGGCTGGACTGTGGAGGTTCAGGATGACCGTGCAAGCCGGGGCAAATGCAACCGAGGTTGATCCACCGGGCGTTGCCGTCCGTCTCACAAGGGTCTCTCTCAGCTTGCACTTGGTACGGAGACGGCGTCTTCATTGAATTTCTATTCCGCGGCATCTCACCAACACCGTCCTTCATTCATTTTGCCCGGCCCCGTTCATTCCTATAGTTATCTCAAGTACGTGCGGCGCCATTGGGATATCACAACACAACATAAACCTGGTTAATCAAAGAAAAAGAAAAGTGAAAATAAACAAAATACACTTCCTACGCCAATACAATAACCGCCATGACCACCCTCTTCACGATCCCCATCCCCCCTCTCGACTCCAACCCAGGCGGCAAAATCGTCGCCACGGAACCCACACCAGCAGTCTACCTCCTCACCATCACCTCGCCCCCGGACAACCGACTCACAACGGCGTCATGCACCGCGCTGCTGGACGCGCTCGACCTGCTTGAGTTTGGCGGGTACAAGCCCGGCGTGGTGGTCACGACGAGCGGGATTGCCAAGTTTTACTCGAATGGCTTGGATCTGGAACATGCGTTGAGCACGGAGGGGTTTATCCCGGGGGTGCTGTATCGGTTGTTTAATCGGTTTTTGACGTACGTCTCTTTTTTTTTTTTACTCTTTTGCTCATCCATTACCTCCCTTAGCCCCCTCCCAAACAGAACAAAGTAAGATTCATCTAACACGCCCGGCCGTAGCTACCCCATGCCAACAATAGCCCTCCTCCCCGGCCACGCCTTCGCCGGCGGCCTCATGCTCGCCATGCACCACGACTACCGCGTAGCCAACCCCTCGCGCGGGTTCACCTGCATCAACGAACTCGAATTCGGCGTGCCCCTCAAACCCGCCATGTCCAGCATCTTCCGGCTCAAACTCCCCGCAGCAACCTACCGCAACCTCGTCCTTGAAGCACACCGGTTCGGCGGGCCTGCGGCATTGGAGGGGGGCATTGTGGATGCGTTGGGCGGGTTGGAGGAGGTGTTGAAGTTGGTGGGGGAGAGGAAGTTGACGGGGAAGGCGAAGACGGGGATTTATGGGTTGTTGAAGGCGGAGATGTATCGGGAGAGTGTGGCGTTGCTGAGTGCGGAGGGGTGGGCCAAGGGGGAGGAGGATGATCGGAAGATGGCGGAGGGGGAGGATAAGAGACGGGAGGTGGGGGAGAAGAGGGTGGAGGAGTTGAAGGCGAAGTTGTAGACTATCTAAGGCAAATATATGGGGTATAGTCATGGGATGCCAAGCGTAGTAAGAATAACCAGTGTATACCTGCCGAGTATTCATTCTCACATAGTAAAGCAAGCAACGGCAATATAATCACGACACGGGGTCAATCTCAGCCAGACGATAAAAAGAAGCCCAACCCTGTTTTGTAGTTTTATCTACCTAATCCCTACTTCCGACCCCCAAACAGCCAGCGGCATATCCCACCCACCAACCGCGTGAATTAATGAAACACCATCAAGAAACCAACAACCGTACAGTCCCATCCATCCCATCAAACAATCTCTTGCGTTGCGCCCCCCCCGCCCCCCCCCCAAATCGACTACTTGCTCGTAACAAAAGCCGCAAAGACACAGTAATAAGAATAATGGTAAGAAGGAAACAGAAAAAAACATGGTTGTTGTCAACGGATACGCCGCCTATGACCATGCTGGGTATGTATGTATGCGAGTTATGTCCGAACCCGATCCGACCATGACTTGAGAGAGGAGAGAGAAAACAGTAACTCCGACCACCCCCACTCCAGCAATTCATCGAGCTATCGTCACATTACTGTGATTGATCATCATGGTCGTCGTGAGCGTTATCGTCCACCATCCTGTGTTGCCTGCCTCCCGTCTCCCGGTCCGAGTAGCATTCCCGCTTGTTTGTTGAAAAAGCAACCAGCCGTAGTGACATAGATGATGAGAAGACCAGCAATTACCCACCGACCAACACAAATTCGCCGTTCCCCTCCCACCTCATAGACTCACAAACCCTTCATCCTCCTCGTCAACCTCATATCTGTCCCCCCCATTGACACCCTTCCCATTCCTGCTCAGACAAGCCAGCCCCAGCTCCGCCCTGGTATCCGCTTGGATCCTCAAAAAGTACTTCCGCAGGCTCCGCAGTCCCCTCAAAAACCCACGATCCGGCTCATCTGGATGCCGTGGGGGGCACGGCCGGTCACGCGCCGACAAATCGCCCGCTGTGACACAGTTGGCAAAGTCCGCCATTTTGAAGTCGATTTCGCGAGGATTCTTGCGCCCGCGCCGCGCCGGCGGTTCGACCTCGGTGTCTGTGGCGAAGTCGGTGGTCGAGTCTTCGACGTAGGAGTAGTAGTTGGTATTGTTGTTAGCATTGTTGTTGTGATGATTCCCATTAGGACCATCGACTGACACGTCCCCGTCGTAAAACATGAGCAAGCTCGCGGCATAGAAGCGGTACCCGTTCAACCGGCCAATGATGACCTCGAGCTCGTCCAGTTTCTGCAGCACGGTGGGAATATGACGCAAGATGCTGGCAGGGTCGACACCGTCGTAGAGGAATCGCGTAAGCGCCGACTGGAACTCGGCGCCCTTCTTCAGCTCGCGCCCGTAGTATTTGTCCTTGAACTCGTAGCTTTGCGTGCCTACGTCCCAGACCTGCAGGCCGCAGACGCGCACCCCAAGGTCGCGGGACGTCGTTTTGGCGCACTTGCCTTGCTGTGACTTTTGCTTCTTTGCATTGGCGTCTACTCCGTACTGCCGCGTTCCCATTTTAAGATCCATGATGCATGGCCGCTTCATCCCGGCTGTGAGGTCCTCGAGAAGGAGGAAGTACTCGACGCGCGAGTCACGCTGGGTTTGGGCCTCCTTCGGGTTGACGGGGCGGGGAATCTTGTTGAACTCAAGAGGACCAACGGGAGGGGCTTGATCTTCTTCCGCTGGTTCATCATACCCGCGGACCGGTCCGTTGTGAGGTGACGCTGGGAAGACCTCCATTGGCGCAGGCTCCTCCCCGGCGGAAGCAGCGGCTGCTCCGTTCCCACGGTCGCCCTTGAAGCTCACATCTCCCGCCTCTTCAAAATACTGCAAATCACCTCGGCTATCCTGGACATCCTTCGGCTTCCTACGCAGACCGGTGCCGGAGTAGCGGCGCTTCTTCTTTTGGGCAGGCGAGTTGTCTCCCAGAATCTCGGGCTCGGGAGCACTAGTCCCGGTCACGTCCTTCGGGCTGTCCTCGCCATCCCTGTCGTCTCGGCGGTACCCTGATGCCTCGCCAATATCGCTCTGGCTGTGAGCGTGAGAGCTGGCAAGGAGGCTGGGTGGCGCCCGCGCGGGCCCGGCCGATTGCGACCGTTTCTCGGTCGTCTCTATCAGAGTCGGGTCGGAGCCAGACGACCGCAGTGACTGCTGGAGCGTTCTCCGCGCCATTCGCTGGTGGCCCTTGCGATGCTTGTGGATCGCGATCGGTTGTTTGAGGAATGCATCATTGAATACTTCGTTGCGCAGTTTCTTGTTGACCGTCGTAGCACCCCAGCTGTTAGCATGGCGTTCCTGCAGGCTCGGGCGAGATGCATCTAATCGCTTGTCCACAGCGTGCCCGTCGTTCTCCGCAGCGCGCATCGTTCCCTGCATCGACGCGGACGCACTCCTAAAGCGCACGAGATGGCTAGGATAACTGACGGTCGGCTGAAGGAGACTCCGTGGCAAAATGTGCTGGTTATCAACAAAAGTTACCGTCGGGATTTGGCCGGAAGACTGCTTAATTGACTGGCTGATCACTCGAGGTGCTCCAGGGGTTGGTGGTTGCGATGGTGGTTGACTTTGCTCGCCTTGCCCGGTCCCCTTTTGCATATCTTTCAGGGCAGTGCGGGACCGCTCTAACGCGGCCGCATCGTCTTTCCTCATGGTCGACTTGCGACGCGGCTGTTTTTGGAAGGTTACATTCAACACTCCAATGTACCTGAAATCGAAAAACCATTAGCAATATGAACGAGACGCCAAACGGGACAACGGAATGGACATGGACATGAACATACCTAGGCAGGAAAGCCAGCAGATCGCGGTGATATTTTTCAATCTTTTCGTAAAACTCGTTTTCACGGTTGTTTAGCTGCTTGCAGACAGCACGGCGAGAAAACCTCCACAGTGTGGTATGACCACCGACTTGATGCTTGTAAGGGATCAACTCGATAGCGTCCAGCGGCGGCTCTGGAGTCGGTTGAGGTTCGTGGACGACAGCATCCTCATTGTAGTGCGAGACCGGACGAGACAGGCGAGCGGAGGGAACAGCAGGTTCACGTTGTGCAGTAGGGGCGGATTCTTCAACCTGCCTGGTGACTACCTCTGGGGCTACTCTGGAATACTCGGCAGCTTCCGGTCCAACATCGCTCTTCAGCTTTACCTCGGGGCTTTCTTGCTTGCCGCCATCCACCTCTGGCTCGTCAGCCTTGACAAGCCAAGACTGAAACTCACTGTTGCGCGAGTGTCTCCTGGTCGGCACAACCCGCTGCGGAAGACCGGGTAACGGCGAATGTTCAGGGGACTCCCCCGCGGTTTGGTGTGGCAGGAACACAGCCGACGAAATCTTTTCTTCCCCCGACTCCTCGCCTTCTTCAGTACTCTCCTCAGCACCGACACTGAGGTTGGAGATGCGCCGCGGCTCTGGTTGCCCACTCTTGTCCATTGACTCGCCCTCTGCCTGCTGCACTGGCTCGCCTTCCTTCTCACCAGCGACTGCTATCTGTGTGTCAGCATCACTGGCGTCTGGTTCGCCGTGATCCGTCGCAAAGTAATCTTCGGGCGAAGCTTGGACAAACCCGCTCTCGGCTGTCCGCGCCGGATGGGACCAGGCCCGGTCCCGTCGTTCGGGAATTGACGCGACCTCCTCCACTGGACGGGCCTCTACCGCTTCCACTTTTGTGACGGATGGTTCCTCGATGCCAACGAGCGTTTCCTCCCGAGATGGCGACTTCTCCCGGGTGGGCTGTACGTTGCGCTGATCTTTCCGCTTCCCTTTTTCTTCCGGAAGCCCTTCTTTGAAGAAGCGAAGGCTATGGCTGGCCTTCCTGCTGCGGTTGTTGTGTTCGACTCCAGCGAGAACTTCTGAGATGGACTTTTCTACTTGTCCGTCTTGGCCATTTGACGAATCAGCCGATCCGATCGACCATGCTTTCTCGGGGCCTATCGAGACCCGATGTTCCGTCTTCCAAGGTCTGGACGGGGGGCGGCCGTCCGTTATACCACCCGCGTCGTCAACGCCGTCAGGTGATGTGGCCAACACATCAGTAGCGCGTGCGGAGGCAGAATGGTGACGATCAACTCCAAATGTATCATTGGACAGATCATTCCATCGAACCGTCCGTTCCCGTTCTGGTGTCTCCGGGGGTGGGCCGGCGTTTCCCTTGTTCTTTGTAAGGAATTCGCGGTGACCATTAATCATTGAGTTGACCTCGCCGAGATCGAGCCCGCCGTAGATGGGAGCGGCCACCATGGTCGTGATGGTGGCGGTGGACGTAGCTGTGGAGGAAGGCATGGTCGTCTTGCGAGGTGAGAGTCGTCGGGTCAAGGGGTCGCCGCCATCGGTCTGGGGATGAATGCCATTGCGAGGCTCTCGGCTGTCAGGATCTTGATCGAGTTTGTCTGAGGTAGGATCAGACGAGTGTTCGGAAATAATGGTGGTCGAGGGGTGCGATTTATGGGGGTGCGACGAGTCGGCGAGGGTCTGTTTGGGAATGCCACGAGCTGTTGCAAGAGCCTGGGTCAGCAAGGAAGGGCCGTGGGGCCTTTGCAGCACGGCAGGACCCCGGGCATGTTTATTAACGGGATCAGCAGCGTGGGCCACGGCAGGAGTCCCGTTGGCTTGAGCGGCCAGGGGAGCAGTGCCAGGCGTGTCTTGCTGTTCGGTAGGGGTTGGTTGTGGGAATGACGATGGTGGTAATGGTAATGGTGGTGGTACCGAAGAGACGGGCCCTTGATCGTTGAGGGCTGGTGCGGGCCCGAGCAGCAGTCTAGATTCGGGTTCTGGTTCTGGTTCTGCTATCGTGGGGAGAGCACTGGGTAGCGGTGGCGTTTGCGACTGCGCAACAAGCGCCGAATCGCTTGTACCCGCGATCTGGGCGGGACTCACCGCTGCGGCGCCTGCGGCTGCGGCATTTTCGGGGGCCAGAGGAGGGTTTGACATGAGTAGAGCATCAGGCAGCGCATGGGGGTTGCGCGCAGATGGAGGGTCGTGGTGGTGGTGTGTGTGGTGTGTTGGGGGAAGGGGGGGTGTTTTTCGGAGATCGAGCGAAGAACAGCGATTGACGGGTTGTTTTCGAGAAAATGGACCGTGTCTGTTCAATTGGCTACACAGTGTGCTTGCTCTTGCCCCTTGTTTCCCGCCAAAGTACGAGTATGGAAGTTATTAGTCAGTGCGAGTGCCAGTTGCCACGCCTGGGTACTCCAAATCGACCGAACCAGCGCATCCAAAAAGCGTGGATGCTTGATTGGGTCTCGAGAGGGGATTCCGTCTTCGTCAGGCACTGCTGGAGCTGGAAGGGAAAGGGGAAAGCAAAAGATAAGGATGGGAGGGAATAGAAAAAGCGGTGCAGTGTGCTGATGAGTTCCTTGTCCTTGGCAAGCTCTGACGCAAGGGGCCGCACCAGCAGCGATTCCGGTTGTGGTGGGGCCAGGCCCTGGCCATTGGACGATCTGCCCTTGGCGGGCTGGGGAAGACCCGCTGAGCTCGCCCGCTGGATGGATTGATGGAGATTGATGGAAGCACTTGTCGTTGCCAAAGTGCATTGTGGCAAGAACCACCCCGCTGAAGTGGAATCATGAGGCCATGTCACCTGGTGGAATTCAGGAAGGCGCACCTTGACGGCCTCGCCTCCAGAAGAGCTGGGAGTGAATAGCAATGGCTGAGATGATTCGATTTCTCAATTTGTCTTTTCTAGATTAAAAATGTATGTACATACATAGTACAAGTGTGTACTACGTACGTGTACTTCGTAGTGTCTTTCGATTCGAGATCACCCTCAACCGCGAAAGCTTGTCAAGGCCCGATAATGAGAACGGTTTAGATTCATGCAGCCCCAAGAGCCACTGTGGACGTTCGTCGTTCATCATTCGTCAACGGACTTTGACGAGAGGCCAAGCCTTGCAGTAGCATGGTGGACGGGGAACTTGAAAGCGAGGTTCCAGAGATCGCCGCAAGCATTGGACTCTCCGCGGCTTCGACCAGCCTCTGTTTGCTCTCCCAAGAACTTCTGAGTCGACCAATTTGGGCACTGACGAATGATAAGTCGAGGCACAATTTAAAATGGCACCGAGCCAAGATGTCGCTCCTCGAGGAAAGACGGCAGCTCACTCCTTTGTCCACAGATTAAAAAGAGCCACCCTGCTGTCCTGCATCGATTCGGATTGACCACCCTCGCAGGCTGTTACGCAACAAAATCTTCCTCCGAGATCACGTTGTGCTGCCCCGGGGCATGACGGGTGTTTTGGTGCCGAACGGGCATCGCCCAGGCGTTCCCATTGGGCATCACAACTTCCACACGCAGACTTCGCCAAGCCGACAAGAGATATCGCCAAAGATGCCGTCGCGCCGAGCCCCGCCAAGCGACGAATTGCGCACACCGGCCAGATGGGGCGGTCTAGGCAATCGGAGCGTTCAATCGCATGGGCAGTGCTTGGGCGCCGATTGAGGATCCAAGACTCTGATTGACCACCAAGACCACACAGCCTAACAACGTTTTCCGAGGTTATAATATTCTCAAAGATAACAAAATCGAGCCCAGTGCGGTATTCGACACGGAAGTTAACAAACAACGCTTCGACGAGTGGCGGACCCCTTTCCTGCGGCACGGCACGTCGCAGCGCGCCGTCCGTGATCCAAGGGGATCAAGCACGACCGACTGCGTTTCTCCTCCCCGCTGACCCCTTCGCTTTGGTGAGAACAAGGGGTTCCTCTTGTTTCTGACCTCATGCCGAATGCGGAGGGCCGAGGGCCCGGCAGCTCATTCCCTGCATCGCCATGGAGCCGAGCTCTCCAAGACCAATCAGTTAAAAACGTGCCCTCAGCGGTCTTGCACTCGACATCCTAATTCCCCTTCCAGCAGTCTGGCGCAGCTTGCGCAGGTCCACAAACCACAATCGATCACCGTTGCGAATCTTGAGGTCCTGTTGTCCGCACAGTGCCTAGTCTGCCGCTTCTATCTCATCAGAGCCGTTGCGCACAAGCCCATTCGGGCTCATATTCACCGGTTTCGTTCCTTGTATCATGATGGACCAAGGAAAGGCGACTGCCATTTGCCTCTTTCAGACGCCACTTCATACTACTCTATCAAGGTCACGGGCCGCTCCAAGCGCAGATGCCTTCCACTCGGGATCACGGATGGTCGAAACCGGGGGTCTATCAAGAATTCGGGAGCAGATCTCTGTTGCCCTTCGTCCGGGTGAAGCACCCTCACCAGCCGAGATATGGCTGGATACCGGGGCCACAGTTGATGGAGAGACAAACATTGTCGTGGGCGAGGATCAGGGCAAAAACCCTTCGTCTTCTCCAGCCCCTCCCCCTGCGGTGACAGAAGCACGGTCTATCCAATTACTATCTGACGGGCTAACTCGAGAAAATGACAGTCGTGTCTCCTCAAGGCCACTTGGACTTTCCCGAGCTTCCGCGGTCTCCCATCAAACTGTCATCGACCGTGGCAGACGTTACACCGCAGACTGCACCTAGCTCATGAAGTGAGGTTCTCGGGTTCCTCAGACACCCCGCCCAAGCCGCCAGATCCAGGATAGCCAATGGCTGGCCCATGTGTGCCGCTTGCGATGCCGTGACACGTCGTCTGGCCTTACGGCGATGGGCCACCCTATCAAGGACGCGTGGGCAGAAGGCCTAATTCCGGGGATATGATCCTCTCCTCGGCGGAGCTCCCGAAATCCAATATCGTGTCGGCGGCCTCCTTACCCGGGGATGGAAATAAGGCACGTGTGTTCCTTCTTGAACTTGCAGCCTGGCCTTCATCGTGCCTGATGCCCGCCGTCTTATAGGTAATCGAAACGTTCACCGCAATTCCGGGGAACCTAGCCGGGCAACGTCCCATAGTATGGGCCGGCGATGCGATCGGCGATTATTGACTCCATCGCTCGGTGAGTGGACAAGCGTTCTATGACAGGGCTGGGATTTCCCGGTCAGGGGCTCGTTTAGTCATGTAGTCAGAAACAAACGCAAGACCTCAAAGCATCATCAAATTCAACACGGTAAGCAATAAATCCAGCTTCTGGGATGGACGGTGGTGGGCCTGTAGTGTGGCTCTTATCAAGAGTCAGGTGAAATATGGGATTAGACGTTTCTATGAGCTGTGAGAAAAGTGAATGAACAGCCCTTAAAAAGAATTAACTTTTTACTCAGGCAACACTTGATATTGGCAAGCCCTTCCTAAGGATATCTATCCTGCCTCACACTCGGCCATTCAACCGACAGACCTGTTTGTCAGCTCCTAGCTATAGCAGGCCTTAAGCGCTGCGTGTACTACTAACTAATATAAAAAGCCAAACGTTTTGAAACACCATCCCATGCATGCGGGGGTATATAATGATGAGGGAAAAAAAAGTAAACCGTCCAAAGAACAACCCACACCAGACCCCAATGTAGCCGTTCCTCTCGGCGAGTGAAACTACTATCCAGCTCACAACGGTCAAACTCAATCCCAAACCCCAACATCCATCAGCCCGGACAACCCACCACCCCCTTGACTGCTGCTACCAGCCTGTGCCTGATTCTGATTCCGACCCTGCTCGGCCTTTGCCTGGGCTAGATCAGCGTCCAAGTCCCAGTTCCCGCCAAGGAAATCGTCGAGATTTTCCATGACTGCGCTGACTTCGTCGATGGCTTCGGGTTCGGGTTCGGGTTCGGTGGTTCCTTCGTCCTCATCCTGGGTGTTGTTGCCCTCCTCCTGCTCGTCGTCATCGTCATATCCCTCTTCGTGATCGCCTTGTCCTCCTCTCTCGTTATCGGTAACGGCTTGCTCCCCTCCTCCTCCAGTTTCCGTTCCCAAAACACCCAACGCAGAAGCAGAGACCCCCTCACTCGCATTCTCATCCCCATCCCCCCCTCCACCAACCCGCTCCGCCCTCAAAAACGCCTCCGCCATCGCGTCCACAGCCGGGCTCCCACACGTCTGCTGCGAGCCGCTCGGTAGTAAACTCTTGCTGGCTACAACCCCCCGTCTCATCAACATCTCAGCCGTCGCGGCAGCAGGCGTCCTCTGTAAGAGAGGCGTGGAACCCACTCTCCGCCCGGCGACGGCAGCGAAGTGCTTGCCGAATTTTTGGTTGGTGCTAGGGAGGCTAGAGCTGGAGAGGATGCTGGGCGGTGGGGAGGTTGGGCGGGCTCGTCGTGGATGATCATGAGCGTGAGCGTGAGAATGCGGGGTGGAGGGGTTGAGTTTGCGTTTTCTTGACGAGGAGGAGAAGGAGGAGGGAGGGTTGGTTGTGGATGTGGGTGCGGGTGCGGGTATGGGCTCTGGGTCGTCGGGAGTTTGGTTCCCCTCGTCTTCGTTGTCTTCCTCGCCGGGAAGGGGACCCCAAGAGACGCGCTTGCGTGGGCGTGCAGCTTGGGATGACTGTCTGTGTTGTGATCGTTGCCGTTTTGGTGGCCTGGCCTCGGTGGGCGGCCGGATCCAGGGGTTGGAGATGGCGGCATCGACTAGGGCCTGGGTGCTTGGGAGAGCGCCATCTGCGTCGGTCAAGATGCGACGGCGTTTGGCCGCCGGGGGTCGTTGTGGGGAGGGCGTCATGAAGTTCTTGAAGGATTTCACGGAGAGAGTGACATCTGGAGTCGGGAGACTAGATTGCTTGGTTTCTGGCGTGGAGGGAGGGAGGGGATATAGCTGGGAATTAGCCACCTCTGCATCGTTGTTGTTGCTACCATCTCTGAGGGTGGGTAGCACGGGAGAGCGTGGCAGCGAGGGGTCAGTCGCCGGTAACACGTGAGTGTTGGCAGGTGAAGAGAGGGGGTTAAACAGCCGGACGTCCGGGAGCTGCATCTGCAAATCGCCTCGAGCCCAGGGGCTTTGTAACATCGTCGTTGTTTGAAGGTTCTGGGCAGACGTGAGGGAGGGTGTCGCAGCGGCGGGGTGCGAGTGAGACGACGAGTTGGGAAGCTGTGCCACAGTACCTGAGACGTCAGGCACGACATCCACCATTTTGACCCAGGGACTCTGGATTGGTTTTGGAGATGATTGAAGATGAGGGTGATGGTGATGATGATGATGATGATGATGATGAGAATGATGAGAATGATGGTGGTCGCCTTGTGAGTTGGGACGCACTGGCCTATCATCTTGTACCCACGGGCTTTGGGTCTGTGGCTGCGGGCAAGAGGCTGGAGGTTGTGAGTTCATTGCGTCACCTTCTTCATCAGACGCAGGATGCAGTTCCACTTGCGGGAGTCCCGGCTCTTGCATATCCTCCTGAACGATCTGGTCTTCTGTTTTGATATCCGTTGTTGGCGCGCTGGCTGGCCCAGCTTCCATCTCAGACACAGCCTCATTGACATGGCCATCCCTTTGTTCTGTCTGAACCCCAGTTTCATTATTACTTGCGGACTCATGTACAGTCGCTTCCGGTACTGGAGAGTAATCAGACGAGGCTGCGCGAGAGTCGCGCGTGCTGGGCCCAGACCGAAGCGATGCCGGGGTGTGCAGTCGTTCTCGACCAAACAGTGTAGCTGGGCTTTGGTCTTGACTACGTCGCGACTTGGGCCACAGCAACCTTCTGGGGAAATCGATCGTATCCGAGATCATTTCCTGCGAGTGCTTCTCAACCGAGAAGTGCCCGAAGCTGGGCACGCTGTCGTAATCTGAGTGGGAGGGCGACTGCGAGGGGACCAGCGTGGGGCCATCAATTGGCAACGACGATTGCGTGCTGTCATCGAATTCGACTTTGATCTGGACTTGGCATTGTTCAGAAGTGCCGCTATTCGATGTCGCCGCGCTTTCGGACTCGGGCTGTGGATTGGTAGCCGGATGTGGCGTTGCCGTCGCAGCTTCGTCGTCCGGAACATCTTCAGTTTTAATGAACGGCTTGTCGGCAACAGTTCCTACGTTGGGACCCAATCCAAGAACATCACCACCCGCTCGCTCTGGGGGGGCCTGAGGTTCGGGCTCCCCGCTGTCCGTCGCTTCGGTCGGCGCTTTCGGAGAGCCAACAAGCTTGCTCTTGCGCCGAGCAGCCCCCTTCCGTCCGACGCCCTTTGTTTGGTAACAGAAGCTCCCGTCGGCTCTCTCGCTTGCCTCCGTCTTGACGAGCGCGGACGATACGGCTTCAAGCGCAAGAGCAGGCGCTGGGGTGACGTTTTCTTCTTCCTGAAACCGTTCCTCAAAGATGGTCCTCCTTCGGCTGGGGGTTTCTACCGGCGTGTTCTCGAAACTCGTAGTATCTACAGCGTCGATCTGCGCTGAGAGGGCGAGCTGCCCGTAGATGCGGACGGCATGCGGAGAGAGGGCGTGTGGATCCTCTAGGTCACTGGGAGGTGGTGATAACTCGGAGCTGTTATGGTCCTGGCTCTGTGTCGATGTCTTGGATTTGGCGGCTGGATTGATTTTGTGATGCACTTCTTCTACCCGCTGCGCATCTATCCGCTGCCGCATTTGATCCACCACGCCCGGCGTGTTGAGAGAAGAAACTTCCTGGCTGTTATTCACAGCAACTGGCCTCGAACCAGACGGTGTCCTGTTGGTTGTATGCTGTGTGGCCTTCCTCGAATCCACCGAATTGGACGCAGACTGCGATGAACCCCGGCCCGAACCCGCCTGAGCATCACTTTCCGCGACAACTCGGTCTCGCCAATGTTGTACCCGATAGAGGGCGTCGTCGTCGAGGTATAACGGAGGTTCGTAGGTAGTTCGAGGCAGGGTAAGTTGGGTCTCGGCAATCTCCCTTTCTTCGCAGGGACTACTCGATTCGGAAATGCCATTCGCTTCGACTTGAACTACGACTCGCTCTGGTACCGGTGGCTTTGTTCCCGTTGTAAGTTTGCTCCTCGACTCTCCCGATTTAGACCGCCACGGATTGACCCAGCCGGATTCCTGATCAAACGGCCCGCGCAAGGAAGCAGAGAGCAAAAACACCGGTTGGCCCTTAAGAAAGCGCCGAGCCTGGTCTGCGTAGCGAGCACGCCTCTCTTCGGAATTCGTGTAGGTCTCATCATCGGAACCTTCATAAAGGACGTCGTCGGGGTGATGGGGCGTCTCGCAGTACAGCTGCTCGTTGCAGAAGTTCTCCGGATGCAGCCATTCCAGGTCGGGGGCTCCCGCTCGATGCTTCATGGTGAAGGGAGAGGGTGCTGGATTTGCTGCATTGGCGTGGTACCTGGCGTCATGCGGGGGGTGGACGAGGGTTTCCGGGAGGTGGTCGTTTGCTGTTTGGTGGTTCAGTGGGGGGTTGTGTTCCGGTAGTTATCGATTACAGAGGCAACACGGATTCCCGACATTTCTGTCTGTTCAATCGGTTGTGGCGCCCTGGAGGAGCTGAGCAGCTTAGCGTGGGAGAACGGGCCAGGGTGCCTGCAGGTTGCTAGGGCGCTGCAAGGGGTTGAACAAAGTGGAGCGGGACGCGACCAGAACGCGTCGGAAACGCGTTTTCTCAATTAAAATCCGTTCGCGAAGTCAGCTGAGCCATATGCAAGCTCTTACAACCTTCAGAGTCTGTGAGGGAACAAAGGGGCCGAGGCCTAGGTCTAAATCTGGTTAAAAGTTGCAAATACAAAACTGAAGCCGTCATTTTCCAAATTAAAAGGCTTCTCATTTTGATTTATGTAACCTTGGTGGTCTTTTTTGCATTTCAACGGATTCCATTCTTTTTTTGCTTCATTCTCAGACATGCCCAGGTCCACATCTGCCCGTCATTCGCAGAGGCCGTGCGCGCTGCGTGGGCTAGCGGGGTCAATGCTTTGCCGGTTGCTGGGGGAATGGCGAATGGGGCAATAACACTCCAATCAGCGCCTTCCCAACTGTTTACGCCCAACGCGATCGGGCACCCCCCCAAAAGGGCAGATTGACCAATCTTGAGCCCCGAGACAGGTGCTGTCGACAGCGTGCACATTTAGTCCCCTTAACACGATAACTCACTCCAGCCAACCAATCCCACAGGGAATACCTGTTGACGGGTATAGTATCATATTTTTTTCTCTCCTCACTTTAGCAAAATCGCCGTCGCATCCAAACCCCTTTGCAACGGCAAGCCGGAGTAAATAATAATTACGGCCTTATTTTGTGAGTCGCGCGGGCAACTCCGCAGACCCCAACAAACCCCAATATTTCACCCATTCCCGACCAAACCCCGCCAAACAGACTCAAACGGTCGCATCGCAAATCCCACAATACGCGGATATTGTGTACACGAACCACAGTACATCGCCCACTCGGGGATACTCGGCTTAATGACGGCCTAAACACAGCGCCGCCGCCTTCCTCGACAACTTGACGACATTTTCGACATCACTTTCCACACACCATGTCACACGCTTGGCTAGACTCCCTGTCTGAGGACTGGGTGTCACAGCCCGGGTCGCCGGACGCGTCCTTCGCTCCGGAAGGCTCCGCAGCGGCATCCCCGGACCCAAAACTCCCCAAACCCCAGACTCCTAGCAGGATTCCACGGCTCAGCCCACACGCCCGGAAATTCCAAAACGTCGTCGTCGACAAGAACGGAAACAAGTTGGTTCTCAGCGCAAATGCCAGCGGCAGTGGCAGCGTTGGGAATAGCAAGGTACTTGGCGAGCGGAGCATCAATGAGCGACTGGCTGCCCTCTCCCGTCGCACCCCTTCCAAACTCTCACAAGAACTAAGTCCCAACGGCCGCGACGGCCGCGATTGCCACGCGTGTCGCTCTGCTTCTGTCTCGACGACGAATTCCGTCGTTCACAAAAAGTTCCTCCGCAAGTCGACAGGCACCACGCAATCCAAAGGGGGTGACACACCTGAATGGAAGCGCCGCCTAGTGTACGGGGACCTTTCGTACGGGGAACAAAAGGACCTATTTACTTCTGCTGGCACAGGGCTGGAAAACATCTTTAAGCCCCCACCATCAACAAACGAGCCGTCACGAGAGGGACACATTGGGTCCTCTTACCACGAACACGATTCCGAAGGGCGCACCGCCGTGCCCGACAGCCCATCTCCCTTGAGCCGCGACCCATCGACCGTCGAGATACACGCGAGCGAATCGCAGCAAGGGGCACCAACGCGCCAACATCCAACGCGGGCATCGATGGGAATGCAGTACCGCCGCACCGAGGACGCCGCCGACGCGAGCAGGGCATCCGAGCTCGGCTCATACCCGCCTTCACATCACACAAACCACACGCACCTCACACATCATACAAATCACTCGATGTTGTCGGGTGACGGCGAGTCACGCAAGGTCAGTGGCCGGAGTGACATCCGCAACGAAGACTTCAGCCCCATCATTCTCGAGCGGCGACAGGCTAGCAACGGCGCAACAGTGTTCGGTCCCGTGGCCGACCTGCCCCCCGATGAGCTCCACAAGCGCCTGGCGGTACTACGCGATAATCAGGACGTCGTCGGGGTCGATGTCGACGGCGGAGCGACGCAAAAAAGCACGGGATCGCAGAATCAGGGGAACACACCAGACTACGCAAAACTCGAGGGGTTTGTCAACTTTCAACGGGGCAGTCGATCTGAGGAAGGATCGTTTCGCCACCATATGCTAAGCTCTGCGCTCAACGACAGCTCCGAGCTGAACCCGGAGGAGTCTCTGCAGGCGAGCACCCCCAAGCAGTTCCCAAGCGTCAGGGGGGAGAAATGGGACCCGCCTGAGCAGTTCCCTGCCGACAGTCCGGACTTGCCGCGAGCGCCCGAACCCAGCCCAGAGAAGCGCCTGCCAACCGTTCACCTTGGCCCAGACAGTCCCTTCAAGCTCTTCCATCCCTACGATAATTTCACCAGCGAGACCCTCCTCCGGAGACTAAGCCAAGAGCACGGTGATGCAGCCCCAGGTGACATGTTCTTCTCGATCGCGGTGGACGAAAGCCGGACGCAGGTAGAAGGTGGGATTCGGACGCGGCCACCATTACCCCCACCACAGGAACACGACGACTACTCTTCCGTCTATGCCAACCGGTTTGGTGCCGGGGAACTTGACGGGTACGAGTTCAACGACGAGTTCTCCCACATCACCCACGACGCGACCGAGCTCGATGGCGACAAGGAAAACCGCGAACCGGATGAAGAGTCCATGCTACCGTCGCACGCGCCCATATTTGACCTCACCCACAACTCTTCGCCCGCCGAGACACCAGACCTTGTAGTAAACCGGAGGCGGAAGTCCACGCCCTCCCACGCCTCTCGACGCGGGCCCCGTGTCTCGTTCCCCGGATACTTTGAGCTGTCACCGCCTGGTGGACGCCGGGACGTGTCTGGGCCTGAGATCAAGCGCCCACGCACATCGCCATCGAAAGATCCCACCCCGAAGCGGCGGCGAACCCTGCACAAGTCAGATATCTCATATGGGGCAGACGACTTTCCCCCTTCGGTGGCCGGTGATTCGGCCCCGTTCTCGCGGCCGCCGGTCCGGTCGGGCTTGGGTAGGTTCCGGCAAGATGCGCACAGTGTCGACGGTCAGGAGGAAGAGGGAGAGGAGTTCGAGGGGTACGACGAGGATGATGAGTACGATGAAGACGGTGTAGTACCTGAATTACGCCAATCAGTACGACCACGGACACCGACACCGAGCCAGCGATCGTCAGTCCAACGCGAGCAGCATCCCTTCAGGCAGAGCCAAAGGTCGCCTCTTCGCACGAGCCGACACGGGCAACCAATGGCACACCCAGTCGGCGCAGCGGTCCAGACGAGCCGCAAACCTTCGATCAAGACGGAGGACTTTATCAACGAGGCCAACAAGATCATGGCCATGATTCGCAACAAGGCCGGCCTTGCGAGCGGGTTGACAAGCGTCGAAGAGTCGGACGAAGAGAAGGCCCAGATCTCACCGGTGCTTGAAGGGTCCGGGTCATATGAAGAGTCGACTCAGGAACCTTTTTCACGACCGCCTAGTCGCGAAGGACGGCCACCGCTAACACGCAAGTCGACGAAGCAGGAAGACCCAGTGCTGGCAGAGCAGCTCAAGAAATACGAGGAGGCCAGCGACATGGGTGACTTCATTCCCCCGTCATCCGTGCGCTCGGCGCGACTCGGTGCAGAGGTCATGGCCGCAGCGCGGGCGCAGGCTGTTGAGGACTGGGCCGACCACCAAAGCCGGATGTCCGAGTCACAGGCCGAAATCATCAGCGACCCCCCGAACATCCGGATCTCCCGGAACCCGGACTGGAGAGAGGAGGAAGACCCTTCAGTTGGTCAAGGCTTTAACGACCACCGTGTCCCGTCGCATGGATCAGCTGGCTTTGGCTTCCACGACACGCAGGGCACGGACCGATCCATCCCAACTCGTTCCTCGCGAGCATCATCCGGCTCGTCTCGATCGTCTAGAAACTCAGACGCCCGGAAAACCATCATGCCCGAAAGCGTGTGCCACCTGATTCCGGACCAGGTCGGGAACATGATTCTCGATCGCCAACGGAACATGTGGGTCAAGCGCAAGGGGTCTGGCGAGTCCAAGGAGAGTTTCTCCCAGTCCGTCCTGAGCGAGGACGACCCGTTTGCCGGGATCCCCGACCTCTCGGTCGATGTCACCAAGGAGATGCAGAACCTGCTCCTAGCGGGGAAGCAGGAGGCTGCCACGGCTGCGCTCCAGGCCCGTCTCGCAAGTGCTGGTGGTCTTCCGCAGATCAGCCCGACAAAGGCCCAGCGAGTGGGTTCTCTGACAAGGGCTGCCCTTGATGCGGCCACCGCGGCTGCCACGGATACAACGGTTCATCCTAACTATCATCCGGGTGAGTTTGTTGAGCAGCAACAGCATCTGCAACGCCAACAACAGCGCCCACAAGACGAGCTTTTCAGCGTCGACCATGAGTTTGACGCCGACCAAGGCCGCGACAAGGAACATCGGCGACTCACCATCAGTTTCTCGTCTCCCCTCGCATCGGTCATCCAGGACGCCACCAGTATCGAGAAAATGCTGGCCGAGGAAGGCTTGGCCGCGGGCAATGAGGCCCGCGACCCGACGACACACGCGAGAGGCGGCCGGAGGGCGGTCTCCATCGGCAACAACTCGCGCGGCCCGCAACGCTATCTTTCTGTTAGAGGCAAGTCGGCAATGGCGCGGCCCGTGTCGAGAATCGACGAACGCGACGAGGACCCTTCTGCCCCTGGATCCGCCAAACCAGCGGAGGCCACGTCGGGCATGGAACTCAGTCTGCTGGGTGACTATAGCATGGTCAACCGCGAGGATAGCACCGGCAGCAGCCAGCAGCAGGATAGTCTCCGGTTCTTGGTTGCGACTCCGGGCCAGGAGCCCACCTGCCCCATCCCTGGTATCGACGCCGCGCCCATCATCAGCCAGTACGTCGGCACGCTCTCTCTTAGCCCGCTCTCCGAGTTCACCATGCACCGCCCCGAAGAGACACTACCCTTCGAAGCTAGCTACGTGGTGGGCAACCACCGGCTCGTCACGGGCGATCCTTCGAAGCAGGTGGTCTCGATGAGCATCCGCGAGCTGGTCGACAAGCTGGCCGAAGTCGAGCCGTTCGAGCCGCACTGGGAGGACATGCGCGAGCTGGAGCTGCGCGACAAGGGCCTGAGCGCGCTGCATGCCCTCGACGAATACTGCGGCCAGCTGGAGAGCCTGGATGTGTCCAAGAACAAGATCAGGAATCTTGGCGGCATCCCATCGTCGATCCTGCACCTGCGCGCCGCGCACAACCAGCTGTCGAGCCTGACGGCCTGGACGCACCTGATGAACCTGCAGTACATCGACGTGTCCAACAACGGGCTCGAGAGTCTGGCCGTGTTCAAGAATCTGGTGCACCTGCGCAGCCTGCGCGCCGACAACAACCAGATCACGAGCCTCGACGGCATCAAGTTCCACAAGGGCCTGCAGACCCTGCGCGTGCGCGGAAACCTCATCGAGCAAGTCGACTTTGACGGCAACACGCTGCATCAGCTGACCGACCTCGACCTGCGCAATAACCAGATTCGCTCGGTCGCCCACGTCGAACAGCTCGCCGCGCTCACCTCGCTCAACCTTGACGGCAACCAACTCACTTCTTTCTCTGTGGATTACCAGCACGGCGACGACAACAACGCGCCGGTTTCCCCTCTGCGCTATCTCCGCCTCGACGATAACCACCTAACCACCCTCAACGTCCGCGCCCTAACTCACCTTCGCCTCCTCCACGCTGACCGCAACGCCCTCGTGCAAATCGCCGGCTTCTCCCGCGCCCGCCGCATCGACTCCCTCTCCCTGCGCGAACAGCACGGCACCCTCCCGCTGGACCTCCCGCACCTCCTAGCCCGCGCCTACGAGGTCCGCAAGCTCTACCTCTCCGGCAACCTCCTCGAATCATTTGCGCCCCGCGTCGACCTGCTCAACCTCCAGCTGCTAGAACTCGCCAACTGCGGCTTGTCCGCACTGCCCGAAGACGTGGGGCTCGCCTTGCCCAATCTGCGCGTGCTCAACCTCAACATGAACGCGCTGACTGACCTGACGCCGCTACGCGCCGTGCCGCGGCTGAAGCGCTTGCTCGTTGCTGGCAACCGGCTGGCTGATCCGGGCAGGGTGCTGGGTCCGCTGGCGGATATGCTCAGCGCGGATGGAAATGGCTCGTCTACGTCGTGCTTGGTGGCGTTGGATCTACGGGATAATCCGCTCACGCAGGGGTTTTATGCGCCTGTGCAGGTTATCGTCAGAACTGGCAGCAACAGCAACAACAGCAACACAGCCGAACCCAACAATAACACCGCCCCAGAAACCCATCAACAAAACCGTGATATTATCAGCGTAGGTGATGTCAGCGGCAGCGCACAAGGAGAAGCAGAAGGAAGCGAAATGTTTACCCTCCCCTCGCAAGACGCCGACCGCGACGCACGGTACTGCGCCCGATTGGACATGGACACGCGGATGCGGAGACGGTTGTATGAGACGATGGTGGGGAAAAAGTGTGCGCGCGTGAGGAGGTTGGATGGGTTGGACTTTGGGAAGAAATTAACAAAGGGGAAGAAGGGGGCAAAAAGTAAGAGGATTGAGAGTGGGATGGTTATGGGGAGTGGTGTAGATGGGGCTGTGGATGGGGGTGTGGACGCGGTGTGTCTGGCCATGACGGAGAAGGGGTTGATGGTTCGGCGGGAGAAGACTGAGATTGATCAAAATGAGCAGGGTCAGCAGGGCGAGGAAGAGATGAAAAAGACAGAGAAAGAGGATACGGTTGAGAAAGATGAGAACAACACCCCGCCGACATCCCCTCCAGCAATGGCAGCGGCAGCTGCGACGGCGAACAGGAGTGGGCGATGGCCGGCTGAGGACAGTTTTGCGTGATGTCTTCTTGGCTTTGCCTTTGCTTGGCTAGGTCAGGTCAAGCCAGGCCCTCCCTTGGATTGTTAGGTGTTGATATGGGTTGTATCATAAGTGGTGAATGGAGTAAGGTGCCTTGCCTGCCTTGAGTTGCCTTGGGTTGGGTTGGGTTCAGGTTAGTGGGTCTGTATTTGCAAGCGGGGATGTATTTTAACCAGATTTTCCGTGGCCCGGTCTGTTTGTTGGGCTGCTTGGGTTGTTTGACTTTTTTCAAGTTCTGTTTTTGTTGGTTGGTTGGTTGGTGTATGGTTTGAAAGCATTCATTCCATCGTATGGTATACCTTGGTGTTTGTCGGGTAGTGTGGGTGGTGTAGGTGGTGTTGCGGTGTGTTTGTTTGTTTTTTCTCCTGTCTACATAGCATGACGGGCTGTTCTACAGGGTACAGGGTCAGGGTCATGAGTTATGATAATATGTACCATTCGTCCATCCATAATTTTCATTCACATAATGCATTGCATTGCATTATAAAGGGTTATTGCATTTTGACGGTTGACTTCTTTCATGGGCCAGTTACGATGTCCCCTGTCTCTTCCTGTAGGAGGAATGAAATACGTAAATGATCTCGATCTTGAGCAGGGACATAGGAAACAACAATGGGCCGGCCAGCGATGGTTGTGGTAATTATTTCATATCCTTTTTTTGCATTTCTCCGTGGCTTTATGGCTAGTAAGATGTCAACATGCTTACCGACGTCCGACGTCCAGACATGCCAGCCTATCAGTCACAAGAGTCGAGTTCTTGGGTTTATCAGGCTGTATTAAAACTATGATTTAGCTCTAAATTTGCGCACAAGGGGCGAAATTCGGTAACGTCCCGCCAGATTTTTAATGTATATCAATCTCCATCTTTCCCCAGAGTTTGAAGTCACCAAAATATCCCCATGAGCAAACGACTACCGTTCATGACCCCAAAATCAAGATGCCCCCAACACGCTAAACCAGAAGAAGAAGCAGCAAGATTAATGGTTAAGACAGAAAAAGAAGCTGATTAAAGGCAAGAAAACACCATTATGCCGCCAAACGCCCGCCCCGCCTCGACCCATCCACAGCCCGGCGATCCAGCCTCTTGACCACTGCACCGAGAACGACCTTGAGAATGGCTTCCGCTGACAGTGCCCGCCGGCCTGAGCTCTCCCATGTGGCAGTATCCACCATATCTCGCACATTGGCCTGCTCAGCCAACCCGTCGTCCAAATCCCGCAGGTATTCCGCCGCGCGCGGGTCATTGCCAACCTGGAAGAACTGAATCCCTAGCTGGTGCGGTGGCGCTTCTAGCGCGTCCAGTTTCTTCGCCACAGAGATGATAATCGATTCCGGATCATCGGTAGGCGTGCCGTCTGTGATGACGATCATGTTGACGGGCTTGACACCGCTGTCTTCTGGGGTATTACCGGGGAGCGCCGCACTGCGCTCAAACTCGCGGACGTACGGCCATAGAATATCGGACAGACGCTTGCCAATCGGCGTGGCACCGCGAGGCTGTACTTCGCTGAAAATCTCTGTAACTTGGCTGGGCGTGGTGATGTTGCAGTAGCCTTTAGCGCCGTGCTCGTTATGACTGTAGCGATGCAAATGGGTATTCTTCGCGTTCAGGAAGTAGATGTCGATTCCATTGCTGTCGTGTGCGGTACAGATCGGGGAGATGGAAGAGAGAAGGGCTTGGACTTCTGCCCATCGGGAGCCCTGTATGGAGCTGCTGTCGTCGATGAGGAAGATGGTGTCAAACGTCGATAGGAAAGCGTAGGGGTCCTCGGCCGAGGTGACGCTTCGATCTGAGCTGGCTGAGGCAAACGAGCGGGCGGGAGAAGCCTCGCGTGCTGCGTTTACCGTGATAATTGGGGGTGCCACTGCACTCGAGGAACTCGCGACAGGTGTGTAGGGCGGTGGGGGAGGTTCATTGACGGTGCTCGGCTTGATTTCCGGGCCGGTTGCTGAGAACGACGGGCTCGGGCTGACTGAGCGCGAGCGGCTCTTCCTGGACACCTTGTCCCGAAGAGACCCAAAGAGAGACATGGCAGGATAAGTGGGTCGAATGTTCTGACTCTGTGTGATGGCGAGGTTTTCGATTTTGGAACTATGCGATCCCTTTGATGGTTTGATTTGATGCTCTTTCTCTCCCGTTTGTGGATTTCGTTCTTTCTCTGAGGAACTTGAGGGCGCCCGAGGGAAAGCGGTCGGGCGGCAAATGTTGGGCGCACAGGTTAATATAGGTACACACGATACAGAGGGAAACCTCAGGCGCAAGTTGACGGCGTGGTGACGTTGTTTGCTGTTGCAGGCGGGCAACTGATTGCTGGGGCTTGCTGCTGGAGATGATGGCCTGTGGGATCTCGTGACACAGCGGGCTTGTAGGTTTTTATAGGTAGTTAACTGCCCTGTTTCTTTGTGAGGAAGAAGTCGCCTTTCAACTAACTGCACGGGTTTCCAAATCCACATGGCCGCACTGCGCCTTTAGCGCGGCAAAAAACATAGAATGAGATCGCCATCCAGTCTGCCCTTCCTCTATCGTCATTACATCGCATTTCTAGGGTACCCTAAGAAGTGGTTTGGTGGGGTTGATGCGGTTACCACAACAGTGATGCATGGGCCCGCACAGCCTCTTAACACCGCCCCATGCCCGTGTGGCGGGCCCCACGAAACTCGGCAATCTAGCCAATTAGAGAGCCTGAGGTTGAAAGCGCCCTACCGCAGCCCCGACTGGGCGCTTTTTGTACATTCCCGAACGCAGTTGCGCAGGCAGTTAGTATTTTCTTCTGTCTTTCTCTTGCCGCACGGCGACAACATTGACCACCGAACCGGGACCGCCAAGGGCCCCGGCCCAAACCGGCCCAAACCGGCCCTGGCTTCACAGCCGCTGGCCCAGACAACCGGGTCCTTCTCAAGAATTATCGGCGCTCTGGACTCCAGGGACCGGGAACTCACGGTGCAACAGGACGTGCAAGGCCGTCGTCGAGGCGTTATTCCTCAAGTCCGTTGGCACATCAGACACTCCTCCCTTCAGTCGCCTTACATCACGCCAATGCGAAGCCGAACCGCGGGCCAACAAATATTCATGCACCAAGGGAATCTGAGAAGCCCGAGGCGAATGCGATGCCATGGTGTGGTGCTCAGGTTGGGGCTGGTCAATTTGATGCAATGCTGTGGGTGGGCATGGCCGAGGCTGCTCGGCGGCTAGTCGAGGTCGGGAGTTAAAGGTCTCCCGGGCTAGCCGCCCTTTGGGGACTAGGGGTTTTATAGCCAGACATCGAGCAGCCTGGCCCTGACGTTTGCCCCAGCCATCCCGCGCGGCGTCTTCCGTCAAGGTGTGGTGTTCCGTTTGTTTGAGAATTGAGGAAGATGACATGCAGATTCCAGTCTTGGCAGGGGAGCTGAAAATCCGGGTCTGGGGTTGATTGCCGGTTCATGCCTGCGACTCCAAGCCCCACTTTGATGCCCCGCTCTGGAGCCCAATGGCGGGGTCATTGAGCGTTTGATCAAGGCGGGATTCAACAAGATGAGGCAGGCTCAATCAAGCAGCTTCCTTCGAAGGGCGCTGTTTCCTCGTTTTTTGGCCATTCAAGAAGTAAGGGTTCAAAGTGTTGAATCGTTGGCCTTTCCTCCGATGGATTTCTCACCTGCCTGTCCTGGCATCCTTTCGTTCTTCCTCGTATGAACATGCTGTTACTCGACATCGCGATATCGACAAGGCCCCTTGTCTCAAAAACGACCTCTCCCAATAACCTCTGTAGCAAGAATCATAGGCGTAACACCAACTCGTGTCAGCGAAAAATGTCTTAAAACAAAGCAGTCATTATGTCGGCTAACTTACCCTTTTCTTCTGACCGATCAAGCAAATAGATTTACACCAGTATCTCGTGTTTTTCCCCGTCTCGATTCGGCTTCATTTTTTATCTCTCATCTCTTACACAACAGCTTTCCCAAACAAGGCAACTGCGCCGCGATCATCCCGGGTACAATGCTTGTCGACCCCGGCATTTTGACAGGACCCTTTACTTGTTTTGCAACTCAACCGTTCTAGGTTTGTTCCGGTTGTGTTGTTTTCCGGGCCGTTCGCTGTCTGCATGAACGCGAACCCGCCAGTAGGACAACTGCTTTCCCAATTTCTGATGCACTGCGATGCGGTGAAGCGAGGAGACGCGTGCGCGACGACACACGGGACTAGACCCGGCGGGGTTCGTTTCGTCGATAGAGGGGCGGAGTGGGAGAGGGGAGCATGGAGGAGGGGTTGTGCCGCAACTAGCTGCTGGCATTGGGCAGGATCGCGAATGAGCTTCATCTTTTGTTGGGTCGATGTGCAGTTGCGGTGTGAAGGCACGATTTTGGGCATCTCGTCTTGTCGGCCCATTCCTGCGCTGGTCTGCTCTCGTCTGACTGTGATCTTATCTGTCTCATCTCTCGGATTTTCTCCCTCTCTCTCTCTGTTTGGGTCTCAGCTTGTGGCGCCCAAAAACCTCGTTTTCGCACAGGCCCATTCTCTTTGTTCTTGAAGTGGATTACCGTGCCGCCACTGCCTCATCCAAATACCAGGGCTAGGTACTAAATCCCACCGACCCAGTAGCAGCCTTTTTAAGCTCGTGCTTCCCTCAACTGGGATTTTGGGGTTTCCGCCCGTCTCTTCTCTGTTCCTGACATTCATCGATACATAGGGCTGCGTCGACCCCTCGTCGCCACTGCCGACCATGGACAACCGCAAGTTCAGCATCAACCGCAACACCGGTGTGCCCCGCCCCGCACGCCGTTTCTCCATCGGAGAGCCTGGCTTGAACGGTATGATTATTTCACAGCAAGTGGATTGCATGATCGCGATACTAAAGAGAAGTGTTTTATAGAGGCTAGCAGTAAGATCCATCGCCAGTTCCGTGCTGCTCACGAAGGGTATGAGATCACTTGTCCTTCGTAGTTTCGTTCCGAGGTCTGTAAAGATTGACAGAAGTTGTCAGCCATCTTCCACATGCCGGCCTAGACGCCACTAGGGCCTCTACCGGTGTCGTCTGGTGCACTGAGCGTGCGGCCGAGTATGGCTTCCTTGAGGAGCCTGAGAAATGGGCCAACCTAGGGCGTACGTACAATACTTCTCAGGTCCTTTGAAGTTTTACGGACATAGCATACTGATGCTCACGCAGAGGGTGCCCCTGAGGTACACACATATCCTGTCAGACATCGTCGTCGTACCCCGTATGATCTAACAAGTCTAGGTCGACGACGATATTGAGGGCTGCTTTGACCGTCCCACCCACATCGATATCAGCGCCGCAAGCCGTGAGTATGGCCCAACTGCCGGTATCAAGCCCCTCCGCGAGGCCGTCGCCCATCTCTACAACGAGATGCACCGTAAGGGCAAGGCCAGCCAGTACACCTGGGAGAACGTTGCCATCGTGCCGGGTGGTCGTGCCGGTCTCATCCGTATCGCTGCTGTCCTGAACAACGCCTACGTCGGTTTCTTCATTCCTGACTACACCGGTAAGCCTCCTAAGAACCTAGTCATCATCTTATCGAGCGGGGCAAACAGGCTAACAGTGGAATAGCCTACAACGAAATGCTTTCTCTATTCAAGAACGTATGAAGCAACTTAGTGATAACTTTCGTGACGAAAATATGTAAGCTGACAGAGCCCAGTTCGCCGCTATCCCCGTTCCCCTCTCCGAGGAGGACGGCTACCATATCCACCCGGACAAGATCGCCGAGGAAATTGCCCGTGGTACCGGCGTCATCCTCACCTCGAACCCGCGCAACCCTACCGGCCGCGTCGTCCAGAACCCGGAGCTGGCCGAGATCCAAGACCTGTGCCGCGAGCGTGCTACCCTTGTCAGCGATGAGTTCTACTCGGGCTACAACTACACCAGTGACTGCGACGGTTCCACTATCAGCGCGGCTGTGAGTCTCTCTTCATCCGGCCACGGTCTGCTGCCATGAAAACTAACAGCGGTGTAGGAGAACGTTATCGACGTCGATGAGGACGACGTCCTGATTATTGACGGTTTGACCAAGCGCTTCCGTCTCCCAGGCTGGCGTGTTGCGTGGATTATCGGACCCAAGGAGTTCATCAAGGCGTACGTAACCTTCCCATTAACATACACCCAACACGCCCCTTTAGCCCTAATTCCTCCTATCTCTCACCTTTACTAACACCACCCTCCAGCATTGGCTCCTGCGGTTCCTACCTTGACGGCGGCACCAACGTGCCCTTCCAAGAGGCCGCCGTCCCCATGCTCGAGCCCTCCCTCGTGCAAAAAGAAATGGTCGCGCTGCAGACCCACTTCCGCACAAAGCGCGACTACGTCGTCAAGCGTCTCCGCGACATGGGCTTCGTCATCCGCTACGTGCCCGACTCGACTTTCTACCTCTGGCTCAACCTCGAGGGCCTGCCCGGCCCCATCTCCGACGGCCTGAACTTCTTCCAGGCCTGTCTGGATGAGAAGGTCATTGTCGTGCCTGGTATCTTCTTCGATCTCAACCCTGCGAGGCGTAGGGATCTGTTTGACAGTCCCTGTCATCACTTTGTGCGGTTCTCGTATGGCCCGCGCATGGATGTGCTTGAGATGGGATGTGATGGTATTGAGAGGGTTATCAAGAAGTAAGTCTTTTTCAGAAACATAAATCGGTGGTGAAATCATATTTGAGTCCTGTAGTTCGAGGGTACTAACTAGTGATAACAGGTTCCGCAACTTGGTCAGCCACTGAGTGCGTCAGAAAGCGGTTGCGTAACGGGATGGATAGATAAACGGAGAGTTGCCCGATAACGGCTTGATGGATATAAATTCCTTACCTGAAGACACAATCCTTCTCCTTTTCGTACCTTCAGAGATCAATCAATTCTTGATTTTACCCCTGAGATGTCTGACGTATTTTCCTTCACCCCCTGCATGACTTTGCTTGCAACTTGTTGCTACGGAAACGAAAGCTCTTGAGCACAACACTTGTGATATCTTCAAGAAGCTTACGAGATTCGAGGAGAAAGTGTGTTACCCAGACAAAGCGAACTGAGGTTCACCTTTCTTTTTCTTTACCTCCCGTGGCTTGACACTTTTCTGGGGGGTCATCCCTCTCATCCAGAGAAATCCCTCGCCCCCCCAAATTTCGGCTCCCCGCATGAGTGGTTTTATCCTCTACAAAACTCCCATAGTATGAGAAACATATCGAGGACTGATAGTTGGAGGGTTGGGTGTTGGTCTGGAAAGCCACATCCTACCCGATAGGACAACCTCACGCATCACTACTGTGAATGGGGACGCTCAGGTCGTGGCCCAGTGTTCTCTAGCGCGATGAAGAGTCCTCCACGACAGCATTATGGCTTCCTCATTGTTGCGTACAAATCATTAACACAAAATTCTGGTTAAGTCGAGACTTCTCCAGGGCTCCATGCCCACAAAAGGAATAGAGTTTGTTCACCGGCCGCTGTTCTCTTATTCACACTCTCTCCCAGTCCCACTATGATTAGAAGAAGAGAGCTTAAGTAGGTGGTGTGATGGATACATATCAAAATCCGAAAACATTCGTCTTCCGCCGTGTCGGGGATCAGGGGTAACTCTACAGCTTATTAGGGGCCGAGCCTTTTCCTTACTTGGTATGCAATCACCACCTGCGGATCGGTCTTGATTCAGAATGAAGAACATAGGAGGAGAAAAATGTAAGCTTGCAGATGCCTCGAGAATGAAATAATCGTAGCGAACAAGAAGTTGTTTGTTCCGAGTGGGTCGGGTTGTTTACTTCAGGGGCTCCGGTGTATGAGTATTGACATGTTCAACGTTCGCTGGGCTCGGGGAGCAACCAGGGGCGCCCGCTACACTAATGAATGGTACCCGCTTTTGCTGGAAGTCTCGTTCTATGTAAGACCAGTCACAGAGACCGACTCGACTGCTTCGTACTGCGTAACGTAATGTAAAGGCTCCTGGCGTTACCGTCACGTGCGAGGTACTCGACCATAGACGGCATATCCGTACCGGTTACATGGAAGCAAAATAGGCCCTGACTTTCCTGGTCGCGTGCTCACGTTTCAGATGAATCATGAAGCTCTGGTTTTGGTGGACATCTGTCTTCCCATAGACTTACCTGTGCATCACTGGACGATGGGTCTCTTACAAGTTACCACTCTCGCTCGGTCACCATGCGGGATACCCGCGGACTGTTTACTTCAAGGTTTACGAATACGCAGTACTTCATGTCTTCTCACACGTCTCACTGGGCCGGTGCTGGTACGTGGTTTTACCAAACCCCGGCGTATCCTCGGGAGAGAAGGAAGCCTGGCGCAAATAAAATGCAGTCGTGACGTGGAGATACGCAGGCCCGGAGCCTCACTGCTACCGGGCGCGCCTTGTGTTGTCGCTGGCAACATAGTCCGCCGCCATCAGGTCACATTCCCTCGCCGTTTTTACAACAGCGGCGGCAACTGTGTTGTTTGCACGGCAGGGACAGGTCAGACTGTAAAGGTGGTTGGACACAATTCGTAGGCGAACATAGGTAGTTCACTCGGTGACTGGGACGAGTGGCGAAGAGCTCGGTAAATGTGACTCGTTTCGAGAGCCCCTCCCCCTTCCAACCGGCTAAAATATAGGAGGAAGCGGCCGAGGCGCAAGTAGCGAAGCCACGGCGGGCGTTGGGTATGTTGTCGCTTCGATTTGGTTGAGGCCTGTTCAGCCGCGGAATCAAGCGATGCCAGGCGCGGGGGTATTGAGCGAGCCGTCTCTCGGAATTGGCCGTCATGTCCGTCCGAAGGGCATTCTCACTCCTTCGGACGAAAATGGTTTTCGCGTGCCTTGAGAAAAGTCTCGTGGCAGGTGGGGGTACCAGTAATAATCAAATCAAAGGGGTGTTGATTCGTTTAGACGGTTGGACCGGAACGCCGCGAGTTCGACCTTGACTCTCTCCATTTGGAAAACGAAGCATCCAAATGGAAGAGAACCAAGGAAGAAAACAAATGAACGCGATGAGGGGAAGATCAGAGAAGATAACTAGGTAAACTGGTCTCGGTTTTCCTTCACCACGCGAGCGGCTCTCACACTTGTCACTTGTTGACTCCAGGACAAGGCTGTCAGCTGAAAACAACGGCTTACTGAGGTAAGCAAGCACGTGGAATGTGGGATGCTCTGAGCCCCCACGGCCAGTTTGCGAGCCCCATTCCTGAACGGATCTGGATGAAAACCGGTGTTGCCCCCCGGGTTTCTTTTACCCTATATTATCCTCTCGGATCCCGGATTCGCGGTCGTTCCCACGCCTGCGACGGCCCAGCGGGAATAGAAAAAGGCCGAGCCTCGTGGGGGAACAGGAGGTTGGTTGCTGTCCTGGCCCTTCAGACACCCCGTCCTCGAGGGCATTCGGTCTTACTGAAACTTGCCAGTTGCAGGCGGCAGCTAGAGAAGGCAGATTTGATGATGGCCTCGGCCGACCAGGGCGTTTTGCTGAGGATTCCTGGTCAATGAAACGACGGGAAGTGGGTTGTGGCAGCCATGATCTTGCCAGGAAGGAGCCGCCGACGAGGGTCAAGTGTGGGTTGGAAGAGGGAGAAGTGTGCAAATTGGAGGAAGGAAGCAGGGTAAACAGGCACAAAGGGAAAACACAGGGCGAAAATATCTGATCTGACACCTCCCGAGATGCATATTGCGTGATCTGGGCTTCGGTTGCCATCGGCACTAAAGTCGAGCCCTGGCAAGCTGGGAAAGATGAAGTTTTCACCATCGAGGGGGTTCGCTTTGGGCCGCAGACGACTTGCTGCATGCTGTTGCAGGGTGGGGAATTATCGAAGAACTCCCCCATTTCCGTTGAAAGATCGCATTCTTCGAGATCTTTCCAATGCCGCATTCTGCAGCATGTTTCCGCTCATGGCGAGGCAACTCTCGCGGCGTGCCAAGTATTCAGGGGCTTGCCATGTTGATATTCGTTGCCCGAACACAGCGAAATCTTGGCGCTCAGCTCAGCGTGGGTCCACCGAGGTGAAGTTCGTCTCACCGAAGCACGGAAAGAAATCAAACGAAGTTTTCAATCTTCATAGCCAAGGCCCCGGTAAATTCATGCATTGCGCAACCCTCGCGCCTGAGGACAGGAGCTCATAGATTGTATTGGTAGTGTTCGGGGTTTTAACCTTGAAAAGGGTCTAACTTGTAAATGATTTAGCGACGCACGACGAGAGCATTCCCTGCATTTTCGACGCCGAGAAAGCGACTTGAAAGGGCAGCATCTCCAACTTTGAATTCGAACAAATCAGAACGACATCCGCTGTTTTGACATCCATCGCCCGAAGCAGCCTAAATCAACCCAGTTCACACCGCATCTTAGGGCGGCCGGCCATGCCCGTCCGTATCCCAGCATCAGCAACTTTGGTAAACATCGGAAACCGCCAAACCTGCCCGACGAGAACCAGAATCCAACTCGTGCCCACCAATAACCCCGTTTTCATCCTCGGCGGAATTGTACCCCCACCAACGCGGCTGTCCCCGCGGGTGCCGTTCGCGTCGCCAGCTCATCAAGGCCATTTCCATCTTCACTGTCACCGAACCCTGAGCAGTAAAGCCAGCAACAGCAGTCCCATGGCTAGTCATGTCAGCCAACCACCCGCGGCCAGCCCCGCACTGGCTGCGAGCACGTCACCGCTCCCCGGCAGCTCATCATCAGCCGCAGCCGTGGTGGGCGCCACCGAACCTGTTCTTGCTGCCGGTGCAGCCCCGGGATCTCCTCCAGGATCGAACGGTGGAAGCAGCGTGAGCAGCAGCAGCAGCCCGGAGAAGTCAGGGGCAGGGGGTGCCGCACCCGCTTGTGCAGATGCTGCTGCAGCAGTGACCGATGCGGTGTCAGGCGCACCCTCATCATCGTCGCCAGCAGCAGCAGCCCCGGACACTAGCAGAGCATCGCGGGCGGCATCGTCAGCAGCAGCAGCATCACAAGAAGAAACCCAACCCACAGCATCAACCGTTTCTGACAACACCGAGGCCCCTAATCACGCCATCCCTCCCGCTCCCGCGCCTCCGACATCGACTGGGCCTCCCACGGCGACTCCACTCCTACCTAGCCCAAACGACAACATCAACAGCGAGAGCAAGCCGAAAGAAGAAGGCCAAGAAGGAGGAGGACAAAAAACGACAACCATCAACCTCAACGGTGCCCCCACGGCCTTGGACTCCCTCGGGCCCATGGTGATCCACCGAGACGGGACTGTCTCGCGCATCGGCAACTGGCACGAGCTGAGTGACATCGAGCGGGAGAACACGCTACGGATTTTAGTGAAGCGGAATCAAGCCCGGTTGAAGGCGTTGAGGTGTGAAGGGGCAGGAGGTCAAGGGAGTGAGGGTGTCAGTGGCGAAAAGGCAGAGTAGATAGATTAGGGTGTGAAAACAATTTACGCCGTGTCGGCCAGAAAGGCATGGGCGTGCCGAGGGTGCGTGGGCGCGTGTAAGTGACTACTGCGAGGTGGAGTGTCAGTGGAGGTTAACGAGTCGACTCCAACGTAACTTCCTAATCGATGCATCCCAAAAAAGACCATGGGGGGCCATGGAATGTAAAATTCAACTCAGGTCAAGCCAAGTTGACGCGGTGTGGTTACATTAGTATACGAGTCAGAGAAACGGCCGACGCAGCCAAAGCTTGTGCCGAGAGGAAAACGCACCTCTGGAGATGTTGCAATCCACACCTAGAAAAACACCACTGCTATGTCTCAACATCATCACAACCTTATTTTTGGAGTTCGCAGAGTTTTTGAGCGGAAAATGACATGTTTATTCACCTCTGCGGAACGTACAATCCCAAACACGGATCTCAAGTAAATCAGTGAAAGTCGCCGCCAAACAAAAAGGAAAAAAAAAACAAGCCGTAAAAAGGCACCAAAATCAAATAACAGAGACCATAGCCCGTCCTGCCCTTTCCCTTCCAGTTCATTGCCCATTGGGATGCACAAAGCAGGCCTCCCATCAAACAACTCCCCATCCAGTCCCTTACCCCGTAACCCCATCCCCCGGCCCCTTCTCCTCCTATGATGACGAAGGAGAAGGAGACATAAAACGCCGGCTCCCATGACGATGACGATCATGTATATCGTGTTATAATGAAACTCAATCAACCGTTTGTTGGTGCTGCTACTGTCTCTCCGCTTTTAATCCTTCCTCTTTGACTTGATTTCGGCGGCGACGGAAATAGAGTCCTTGCCGTTCTCCTGAGACGCAACCTCCTTAAGCAGTTTGTCGAGGATGTCGTCGCGGCCGCCATGCTTCTCAGTGACGAGACCCTTGAGCCACTTGTTCTCCGTCTCAAGTGCGGAGATACGGCCCTCGAGCATGGTCACCTTCTCCGTCATCTCTTTGGCGCTTTTCTCTAACGCCTGCTCGCGCTGCTTCTTCTTGATCCGGAAGCGCGCACTCGCCGCCGTGTTGCGCTTGCGCTTGTCCTCTTCCGCTGCCAGCCGTGACGCATCCTCAAAGCTGAGCACCCGCCCATTCGGCGCATGTGCATGTCCGCTAATCGACTCAGCCTTGCGTTCCTCTACCGAGCCGGAAGAGCTGGAGCCACCAGCGACGGAAGAAAGGGAGCCAGAGGCTCGTGGTCTCACCGCCGCTGGGGCAGCTTGTTGTACGTACCCATTTGCCTGGTGGTGCTGTTGATGCGGGACCTGAGACGGATACCCGCTCTGCGGGTTAGGCTGGATAGGCTGCAGGCCACCTAACGCGTCCGGGAAAGCCGGCACGGTGGGCGACGCGAAGGTGTTGTTGTAGTCCCCGAAACTAAAATCGCCTGGAGACATTGTGCCATGGTCAGCCGGCGGAAGAACACAGCACAGCGGTTATAGAAAATGACAATATAACGATGCCGAGTCAAGTGAGGAATCCAAAAAAGAAGGAGGAACAGGGATAAGCCAAGACAAATTTAAGGTCAACGGCGGCGCCGCCGCGGGAGAGAAGGCGGAGAGTCCGGGGATATTATTTAGTGAGTCCACTGGCGACGGGGCTGTCCATTGTTGATGCCCCATGGTCGATGGTGCAATCGACCCCAAGTCACGAGAAATGGCACCATCCTCGGAAGCGACGATCATTTGTCAGACGCCATTTAGGCGGGCCCAAAGAGTCGTGCTCCAAGGCGCATGCACTCGACCGGAAGGCCTTCCAATCATGGACCCAGTCCATAACTTGGGGGTCATCATGGGAAGTGGGGTGAAACGCCAGGCTCCCGATTTGTGATAACAAGCCTGAAGCTCTTTGGTCGGCGGCCCTGTTCCCTCTCATCGTACCGATGCCGAGGGCGTTGATCCCATGTTCCGCCGTGCCGCCGCAATGCACTTGCTCGCCGCCTCGGGGTTGCAATGGGTTGTCATTGGGGAAGGAGAAGAAGGTGGGAGGGGGCTCGCAAACCAGTAAAATGCAAGTTCTCGTAGAAGAAGGGTGAGAGTATGAAATAAACCACAAATATGAAAATATGGGGGCACATTATGAAAAATACACCATGGCGATGGTGAAAGTGTGGGGGTGAAAGATGGAAAACACAGGAAAACAGCAAAAACCGAAATGTAAAAATAAAAAAGACTATGAACGCACCTGAGACGGGGAACTCGTAGCCCGCGGGGAAATCTCCCATAATTGACTCCGACGACACATCTTCGGTCGGCGACCGTGTAACTTCGGACTTGACGGGTGGCGCCTGGTAATCCGTGTGTTGGCCGGTTTCGAAGTCGAAGAACTGCGTGTTGGTGAAGAGCGCGAGATCCTTCTCAAGGTCCTCGTCCGTCAAGGTCTCCTCCACTGACGGGCCCTGGACGTTCAAGTTGCGCAGGTACTGGGACACATTGACCCTGCCCGTGTTGTTGTATGATGCAGACGACATGGTGGGTGGTTTGGATCTGTGATGACGCCCCAAGACGTTGGTGGTTGTTTTCGCCGCAATGGATGTTGCTGTCTCCTTCTTTTCTTCGGGCTTGGAGCCGCCGAAAAGCGTTGCGTGTTGTTCCTCGGGCTCGGAAGATGTTGAAAACTCGTCCAAAACCCTTTCCCTTCTCTACCGTTGGCGATGTCGGCGTGGTTGATTAGAAAGCGACGACGTGCAGGGACACAAAAGAGGACGTGCCCAGCGGGGTCCCTTTGGTGGTCGCCTCGGCTTTAACGTTCGGCTCGTCGAGTCAGCAGAGCCGTCGTGAAACAAAGAAATCCAAGCCGCCGCGCTTTGAGACAGTTTGCGAGGCGGTATTGGGGGCGGTAAAGACGTCGAGATAGTAGACTTTCGGTGTGCTGGTGTGCTAGGGGCAGGTGAAGGCCGGAAAAGGAGTGATGAAGGGTATGAACAGTTCAAATGGAGCCGTGCCTTGAGTGAAAGCGAAGGGAGAGGCCGGAAGAGGACCCAGAAGCGCGGGCGTGCGTGTGCGTGGGTGTAAGCGGAGTGCGGTGCGTTTCCCGCAGGCCACCCACTGCCTGCGGACCGACGGCCTCAATTAGTCAGGCCAGATGGATCCCACGTTCTCGGGAAAATCTCGAAATTGCCCCTCCATAACCCACCCAGAAGGAAGGGATAGCCAATCGCGGTCGAGAATAGCCTGTGGTTTTTTTCTCATCACCAAGCTGAGTTACTCAATTGACTTCCTGCTCTGGCGGCAATCTGAACCGCCTTGCACCGCTATTGTGGGGTCTTTCGGTTACCCAAAACGCATACTCCTCCCTGCATCCAACAAATAGAGGCTATAAACTGCTGCATCAAATTCGATTCTCTGCCCAGATGTCGCTCGTCACATGGAATTTGTGGTGTCTTGCTGGAACTGTTCAGCCCGGTGGAGACAACATTGCCACGCCCTTCGGTCATCGACCTAAGATCTGCAGTGTGGTGATGAATCAATTGACGAGTGGGGTGGCGGCTCGTTGGTTCCTGCTCCGGCGCATGGCCGGCTCACAGCTGCTGTCTATCCCGTGGTTCGGGACTTCCAGGAATGGAAGACGGTGTCGTGCGCCGAACTCGGCAGGGCCCACCCTGCGAGCACCGGCAGAACCTCTCCCTTACATACATACATAGTAGTAGTAGATTTTATCAACGATGAGGCTTTTCGTGGTTCCTGCGTCCCCAAGAAGATTTTCACTTGTCTTCGGAGGACGCAAATCGTTCGTAGCCAGAAACAGGTGGCTTTGGAGGAATCTGGAGCCCCGGACGGCAAGAGCAGCCACCTCCAGGATTTGGAAGCCAGCCAAGCTCACCCCTCTCCGCGTGGAAGGTGGGGGTTCATCGTGACTTCCAAATTTTGGCGCGTTCAACTCAACCCTGCACGTGTCATTTAGAAGGGAAGCCAGCCAATGAATCCCGGCCTGTCAGAAACAAACCGTTTCTTCATGACTTCGATCAGGTTAAATTGAGCGATGCCCCGACTCTGGTGTGTCCAAGCTTTGTCTCAATCTTATTTATTGTACAAATCGGCCAGCCGTCTCGGATTCCGCATGGCTGGGAGAGCACGGATCGGCGCAGACCCGGACGAGATGATCACTAAACACAAAATACGGCTGTACCGTATTATGAAACACATTGAATTGAGTCGAGCAAAATTACGGATAGCAGATATGTCAAACATACAACGGCGCCCGGCGTGCCGGATCTGGACCACGCCGGGTTCCGAACTTGCCGATACCCAAAACAATTGACATACCCAATGACGATTCAACATGGAACAAGTTTTTGAAATGCCCACATACTAAGAAGGTCTTTGCTTCGCCAAATGTTTTAACTGGACTCGTATCAACTTGTATCAATTCTTGAACCACTGGCTCTTGGCTGAGAACAGGCGTGTCATAGCCGTTGAGTGGGTCCTGTGGGGAACCCTGGTCGCGTCGCCCATTGTCATCAAACCACACTGTCTGTATAACAACAATTTCGCAGTGAGACTCGCTCCAGACTCAACACAGGGACAACTCACAACTCATTGAGAGTTGTTAAAAACAGGCGGGCCCAACCCCCGAAGCTTCGACAACAATTAGCGATGCGCCAGAATAGATGACAATGGCGCGTATCTCCATTCCCACCACAGCGCGTCTCCCGTCATCGCTACGCGTCGACCCAAACAACTCAGCGGTAACCAAGATCCTGAGCCGCCTCACTCGCTCATCACTCATCTCAGTCGCTCTCGACTGGCTAGACGAGGCCAACATATCACTTGCGGTGCCATACCTACGCGATGACGACGAAGATGAGGATAATGAAGACGTCGACGATTTCTACCCGGCCGCGCGCTCCCCTCGTGCCTTGATAGAAAACTATCTTTCACTTCAGGAACGCAAGGGTTCAAAACGCGAGGTTTTGGACCGCATCGTTGAAGGCGACTGGCGTCATGGACTCACCCTATACCAACTCGCCATGGCCGACCTGCAATATCTCTACGACCACCCAACCTCACAGAAATGGTCCGCTTACCGCATCATGCCCCTCCAGGCACCGCATGACCCAGATGGCGAAGAGCTACCCGAGGTCGATCGCCTATCATTAACCGTCCCGCGCTTCCACCCGTCGACGTTCCTCAAGACGTTACAATCCCACGTCTTGCCGGATGTCAAGGCGCACTACAACTTTGACGCCCATCGGTCCCTACCATTGCTCATCTTACGCATCTTTATTCTCGACTCGCCATACAACACCAACCACGCCTTACAATCCGGCTCCACGACAAACTTCGACTCCTCCCGCACCGTTTACATCGCCTTTCCCGATGCCTCGCCATATATCTTCATCTCCAAGCCCCAGTCTACCACTTCGACCACCTCCGTATCCTCCACATCCGCCACGTCTGCCGTCTCAGCCCGTGGCCCCACCGCCGCTGGTGAATCCAAATCCCTAAACGCGCTTTTAGTCGAGGGCATCCCAAAATCCCTCTCGCGCCCTCTCTGCCGAGAACGCTTTACCCTGCAATCCACCGACCTAGTGACCCGGAATCTAGCTGAACTAGTGGAACGGCGCGGCGGTGGGCGGACCAACTGTGCCGGAGGTGGCTGGAGTATATATGCGGACGAAGGAAGAGGTGGTAGTAGTGGAGAGAGGGGAAAGAAAAGGGGCAGGAAAGAGACGCCTTTGGATCTGGTGTTGCCTAGCCCGCCATTATCGGAGTTGGATCAGGATCAAGAGAATCTTGACCCGGGGAGCGCGGCGGGGAGGAAGGGCGCACCAGCCGCGGCGGTGCTTTTGACGGAAAGTGAGAGAAGGTCGGAAAGGGCAACCAAGAGGGCTAGGCTGGTGGCAAAAGCGAGGTTTGGTGAGACTGGGATGGTGAGGGATGGGAAGGGTGTGGAGAGGGTTGATATTGTGATTGAGGATCCGTTTCCGAAAGTTGGGGGGCAAGAGGTTGGGGGGGAAGAAGATGAGGGTGGTGAAGAGATGGCTCAAAGGGATTCAGCAAGAAGCGATCCCAAGGGGGGGAAACGCAAATCCCGCTTCGACCAGATTCTAGAAAATGCTGGGGAGAATGAAGACGACGAGGAGGACGACAATAACACCGCCTCTGCACCCACCTGGAGGCCACACGTCAAGCTTACATTCCACGGGTCACACGTCTTTGCAGGAATCAGACAACTGGTGGAGAGCGGAGTCATCGACGGGGAGCGTATGCCGGGGTGGATGACAGGAGAGGAAGGGGTGACGATTGGGGCCGTGCGGCATGGGAGGATACGAGGGTATAAGGGATCAGGGGTATAAGGAGGCATCTCGAGGCTGAACGTTGAGTCGTAAGCGTTATGGCATTTTATGGGCGTTGTGGAGACTGTTGTTAGTTGTAGTCGGTCTATTCGCTATCAGAGTCTATCGTGTATGGAAGGAATCTTTAGATACCCATGTACATTCGTCATTAAACCAGTCATGAACCAAAACAGATGGGGGAGGTCCCTCCTATCTATCTATCCTCCTCGGTCCACGCCGCCAAACACTCACCCATCCACGTCAAAAACATTGACCGTATTCGCCCACGCGGCCTCGCACACCTCCTCCACCGAAACCCCCTTAATCCCCGCGATAATCCTCGCAATCCGCTCAATCGTACACGGCTCATTGCGGCCCTTGACCATCGCTCCCTCCACCCACTTCTCCTTCTTGACAACCTTGAACCGATCAGGGACTTCCGGCTCTTTCTTTTGGTTCTTTTTAGCTTGTTGTTGTTGTTGTTGTTGTTGCTGTTGGGGGTTGGGATTTTTCCTCGGCCGGCGTCGTTTACCTATGCCGCCTGCCTCTGGTGTTCCTTGTCCCTCTAGAGTAGGAGTGTCAGCAGGTGTGGTCTCAGCTGAAGTGTTTTCGACAGAGAGAGCGGCGATAGCAGCGGCGGCCTCGGCCTCGGCCTGGGCTTGGGCGGCTGCTGCTGCTACGGCTTCCGCTTCCGCTTCAGCAGCTGCCTTCGCCTTGGCCTCCCACTCAACCAGATACTTCCACCCTTCATGCGCCGGACGAACTTCACACCACGGCCCATCCGTCTCGATCATCAGCCGCGACAAGTCCACTTCCCGAACGACATCGCAGTTCTCTGCCGTCTTGAAACTACACCCATTGATGCCGATGTACAGGCCCAGATCCATCAGTTCCCGCATCTCTTCCGCTGTGCCTGTGAAGCTGTGTACCACGCCGCCTTTCTCGAGGCGCTCGAGGCGCGGGCCAAAGGCATCCTTGAGGAGGCGGACGAAGTCGGTGTGGGCGGCACGCGAGTGGAGGAATAAAGGTAGTTGTGGGGAGATGGAGGCGGCGAGTTGGAGTTGGGCGGCGAAAGAGTGGAGCTGGGCTTCTTTGGAGCAGAAATGCAGGCGATCGTAGTCCAACCCGAACTCCCCGAAGGCGACGAGTTCGGGGGATGCGGTCACGGTGTGGGTGCGAGCTTGGGCGATGAGGTCGGCTAGGTCCTTAATGATCTGCTCGCTGCGGGTGTGGTTGATGCCATGGCCGTCTTGGATGGGCTGCGTAGGGTCTGGGCCGCAGGCAGGCGTGTGGTCCTCTGGCTCTTCTACCTCTTCGCTCTCTTCATGGTGTTTCTGGTGAGAGAGGCCGAAGATGGAGCTGCTGCAGGGGTGGATGCCTGCTGTTGTGAAGACGGTGCCGGCTATCTCATAGGAATAGGGGCAAGCAGTCAGCGTGATGATGGTCCTCGGGAAGTGTGTATGGATTAGAAATGCTCACGGAATTGTTTGGCTAATTGCAGTGCGTTCCTTGAGCTTTTCATGGACGACCCCGTCACAATGAGCTTCGTACATCCCACCTCCACGGCTCTAGCCACAACACCCTCGAGGTCATCGGGGTGTGCAACTTTGCCGCGGTAGCGACCCCTGAAGATGGGATCCGCCAAGTTGATACCGATCTGGGGAGCAGAAAACCCAGCAGTTAGAATATTACGTCCCATGTTGTGTCCAAAATGAGGAGCACTCGAAATCTTACGTCAATGTACCTCGGCTGGTAAGCCGTTGGCGAAGAAACAGCCGGTGTGGCCGAGTGGCCGTTTGGCAGGTCGGAGGGGTTGTATTCAGGCATTTTGGTGCTTGCAAAACGGGGCAAAAGACTCAGTTGTAGTGTGTTGGGAGTTTTAAGTAGTGAAACTCGCGAGGGTGCTGAAGTGAGGAAAGACTTTAATATCATGGCCGGGAGAGAAACCAAAGTTCAAAAGTCCTTCCCTGAGAACTCTGGAGTTTTAAGCTCTCCCAAACTGAACGGTCTGAGTCACAAGTTGTCTCCTGTGGTTTGTGTTGTTCGCGATCTCCGTCCTCAACGGGGCTCAGATACGAATACCGAATGCCTTAACGGGATTGGTCTTGGCATCCCGGTGCTAACTTGAGCGATGTGCGCCGACTTGGCCTCGCTGTACCCCAGAAACGACCCCACATTTCCAGCTGGCAGGACCGGTCACAGAGTTAACATGAAGCTTGATAAGCCATTGGCCCATTATCGCCGACAACCTGAGTGTGCCAGCCTGGGCTGGGAAGAGGTCAGGCTTTGATCAGCGGGAGAAGTTAGGTCGATGTGAGAATCAGACCCAACAAACAGAAGCGGGTGTTATAATGTTATAACTCTGTATTGTTCTGGCTTTCAGACACAGAGGTTCGGAAGTTCGATGCGTTTGCTCGGATTTACGGGCTGCTGCCTGAGATGCCAGCGTGCCCAGGCCGAAATGCCAGGCGCTGGCAGGGTTTGACAGGTGCTTGGTGGGGCACTACGGCACAGTGGCTGGCCCGAGCTACCCAGCTGTTTGTTTAATGGGCGGGGCTGCAACGACGCGCCAAAATTCTGGCACACGCGTCGGACGCGGTCCACAGCCCAACTGCTTTTAAAAGAGTGCTGCGGAAGACACACTTTCTTCTTTCTCCCACATCCTCCCCTTCGACACCAAACAACCCCAAACATACGAAGGTCTACCTTTGAAGGAGCCTTCTTTTCTCCAATCACATTCACACCCACTACTTGTAGAGGACTTAACATCCTCGTGTTCAAGTTTGACCTTTTTTTTCTTTCTCGCCGCCACACCCTTCTACATCTGTCTTTTTGTCCTGCGCCTTAGTCCCACCACATCCGACGCCATGTACGTCAAGAAGCGCGGTATGTTAGCCCCAAACTGTAACATTTAGTGCATCTGATCCTAATTCTGTGCGTAGACGGGCGTCAGGAACGCGTCCAGTTCGACAAGATCACAGCTCGTGTCTCACGGCTGTGTTATGGTCTTGATGTAGACCATGTTGACCCAGTGGCCATCACCCAGAAGGTTATCTCTGGTGTGTACGGTGGCGTCACAACCGCCCAGCTTGATGATCTGGTAAGCCTTTTCTTCACCGCTACTCACTGGGTTCCTCGCTCGATCTACTTTTTTCCCAAGCTAACCGTTCTTCCCAGGCCGCCGAGACTGCCGCGTACATGACAGTCACTCACCCTGACTATGCCATCCTGGCTGCCCGTATTGCCGTATCCAACCTCCACAAACAGACAAAGAAGCAATGGTCGGCTGTGGTCAGCGATCTCTACCACTATGTCAACCCGAAGAACCGAAGGGAGTCCCCCATGATTGCCAAGGAGACATACGAGTGCGTGATGCGCCACAAGGAAGAGCTGGACTCGGCCATTGTCTATGACCGGGATTTCAACTACCAATACTTCGGCTTCAAGACTCTGGAGCGCTCTTACTTGCTCAAGCTCGATGGCAAGATTGTCGAGCGGCCCCAGCACATGATCATGCGTGTTGCTGTTGGCATCTGGGGTGACAACGTGGAGCGTGTCATCGAGACGTACAACCTCATGTCCAGCAAGTTTTTCACACATGCCTCCCCGACTCTCTTCAATGCCGGCACTCCCCAAGCACAGCTGTCATCCTGCTTTTTGGTCGACATGAAGGACGACAGCATTGATGGCATCTACGACACTCTCAAAACCTGTGCTATGATTTCGAAGATGGCGGGCGGTATTGGTCTGAACATCCACCGCATCCGTGCCACTGGCTCCTACATTGCGGGCACAAACGGCACTTCCAATGGCATCATTCCCATGCTCCGTGTGTTCAACAACACCGCTCGCTACGTCGATCAGGGTGGCAACAAGCGCCCCGGTGCCTTTGCCATTTATCTTGAGCCCTGGCACGCTGATGTCTTTGAGTTCCTTGACCTCCGGAAGAACCATGGTAAGGAAGAGGTCCGCGCTCGCGATCTTTTCCTGGCCCTTTGGATCCCGGATCTCTTCATGAAACGCGTTGAAAAGAACGGCGAGTGGACTCTCATGTGCCCCAACGAGTGCCCTGGTCTTGCCGACTGCTACGGTGATGAGTTCGAGGCGCTGTACGAGAAGTACGAGAAGGAGGGCCGCGGTCGCAAGACCATCAAGGCTCAGAAGCTGTGGTATGCCATCCTTGAGGCTCAAACTGAGACCGGCAACCCCTTCATGCTCTACAAGGACCACTGCAACCGCAAGAGCAACCAGAAGAACCTCGGTACCATCCGCAGCTCCAACCTGTGCACTGAGATTGTCGAGTACTCGGCGCCTGATGAGGTCGCTGTCTGCAACTTGGCTTCGCTCGCCCTCCCTCAGTTTGTTGACTACAGCGAGGGTGTCTATGACTTCCAGAAGCTGCACGAGGTCACTCAAGTTGTCGTCCGCAACCTGAACAAGATCATCGACGTCAACTACTACCCTGTGAAGGAGGCCCACAACAGCAACATGCGCCACCGCCCCATTGGTGTTGGTGTTCAGGGTCTGGCCGATGCTTTCTTGGCTCTGCGCATGCCCTTCGAATCCCCCGAGGCCCGTGAGCTGAACAAGCAGATCTTTGAGACCATCTACCACGCTGCGCTGACTGCCTCGTGCGACTTGGCCAAGGAGCAAGGCACTTACTCGACCTACGAAGGCTCCCCTGTATCCCAGGGTATTCTTCAGTACGACATGTGGAACGTTAAGCCGACTAGCCTTTGGGACTGGGATTCCCTCAAGGCCAAGATCAAGGAGCACGGTGTGCGCAACAGCTTGCTCCTGGCTCCCATGCCCACGGCCTCCACCTCGCAAATTCTGGGCAACAACGAGTGCTTCGAGCCCTACACCTCGAACATCTACCAGCGGCGTGTGTTGGCGGGTGAATTCCAGGTCGTCAACCCCTGGCTTCTGAAGGACTTGGTTGACATGGGTCTCTGGTCCGACAACATGAAGAACCGTATCATCGCCGAGGGTGGTTCCATTCAGAACATCCCCAACATCCCGGCCGACATCAAGGCCCTCTACAAGACCGTCTGGGAGATCTCTCAGCGTACTGTGGTCCAGATGGCGGCCGACCGTGGTGCTTTCATTGACCAGTCCCAGTCGCTCAACATCCACATGCGTGAGCCGACCATGGGCAAGATCACGAGCATGCACTTCACCGGCTGGAAGCTGGGTCTCAAGACGGGCATGTACTACCTCCGTACCCAGGCTGCCGCGCAGCCCATCCAGTTCACCGTCGACCAGGAGGCGCTTCGTGTCCAAGACACGAACGTCGGCAAGGCGGCCTCCGGCTTGAAGAAGCGTGCCCCCCCGCCGGGCAGCTACATGTCGTCCCCGACCGCGGTGCCCCGTCCCATGGCGTTTGTTAATAAGGAGAGCCCGCTTAACGGAACTGCCGACGCGGCCAACGGTGTCGCCACTCCCACCACCCCACCCCCTCTGGCCCCGTCTGAGGCCAAGGCTCGCATCCTTGCATCGCCGTCTAAGCCGCCGGCGTTCAAGGCTGATGTCGACGAGGGTGACAGCCCCAAGACGCTCCCCACCGAGCCCACTGACAAGCCTAAGGCGGCGGACATTGGCTCGCCCGTCCTCAACTCTAAGAAAGATTCCGAGGACAAGGAGGAGGACAGCAAAGAGCGGGAGCTCGATATCTATTCCGAGGCGGTTCTTGCTTGTAAGTTGAGCTCCACAATTCCAGGGTTATCCCAGGCAACCAGAAGAAAGTAGCCATACTGACTGAGACACTACAGGCAGCATCGAGAACCCCGAGGCGTGTGTGATGTGCAGCGGTTGATCCGTCACAATATGATGGTATGAGGCATGGTGCGATGTCGCGTGATGATGAGGATTAATACCTGGCATGGTTTGGCTTTTTCTTTTCCTTTACGAATACTCTAGCTGGTTATGGGGTCATTGTTGGGCATATGCGAGTACCTTCACGTTGTGGGCCATTCGTTCATCTTACTTTTGCATGGACGAGGAGCACATCACGGCGGGGAGGCAGGCACATACATACATTGACGGGTTGACATGGAGGGAGGGCTTTTCTTTTCCCGTTTCCTGGGTTGGGCGTTGGATCATGGCATTGATTGGGCCATGACTGCGCGAGGGCAATATCGATTTTCTTTCTATTTTGCTGTGCCTTTTCCTGTAGATGTACCACCATAGCCGACGGGCGGCGCTTGCGCGCCCCGTTGTTGTTGTTCCCCTAGCACATAGTAGCTATCTAGTTTGCCTGCTTTATACATACCCCCTATACCCCCCTTATTCACGATGTGCTCGGATAACACTGCAACTAACGTCAGCTACTTAGTAGTGTCTGCAGACACGAGACACGAAAGGATCGAGGCGGTCGACTCAGGTGTGCTGCGGTACGCTGTAGTGGGGGTAACGTTGACGAGTTGTACCGAGATGCAATCTACCGCTCTCCTTTTCCCCTTGGAGGCTATTAAAGGACTTGAGGCTTGGACTGGTTTGTGCTTCGATGTCCCAAATACGAGGGCCCGGGACTCGGAACGAGGATCCGGAGAGGGTATCTGATGGCACGAAGTATTCGGGAGATTTAAGGAGGATCTTGGGATTTTGTGATCGGGTCCGGGTAGAAAGGTCGTGGAGGTTGAGGCGGGAACTTGAAACTAGATTAGGGGATGGAGATATGTATGTAGAATATGAGAAAGGAGACGCATGTTGGGGCGAAGCCTGCCGTGTCATTTACACTGCAGGGGACGAGGAACAATGGAATTGAACCGCCCGGCTTGCTCTACGAGACCTGGAGTATGTACCGAAGAACCGGCGTGGTGAGCAGAGTTGGTTAATTCACGTTTCGGACGCAGTTGCAAACGGAAATGCCAGACAGGCAGGGAGACGGTCGTACAAAATGTACGTTTTGAGGTGGACAACCCGGCGTTCAACAACGGCGCCTTGATATCTTGGTAACGGTTAGCATTTGTGTACGTTTCTCTGACACAATCCTTTAGGACTGGGCCATAGCAGTCAAGATAACTCGTGCTTCAACCAACTGCCATCAACAAATCGGGCTATCTCTCTAACAACATATCACGCTACCTACCGGATAACTCGCGAGTAGCAAGATAGCTAAAGAGGAAAGGAGACAAAACCAGGACCATTACGGTCTCTCCATCATCCATCCCCACGTCACGCCAGGGGAAGTCTGGTCCGCCAAGTCTACAATTCGTACCACCACTCTCACTTCCATATACCACCCCGCTGCGGGTTCGCGTCGATATGTGTGCGGATGTGCGATGCTTCCAGACGAGGCTGGCGTTTCATCTGTGATGACATTGTCACACACAGCCATCTCTCTTTCCCTTGGCCTTCGGCCCAGCCAAGTTTGCACACACACACGCACACGCACAAACATAATCAGGCGTCTCGTCCGGCATCTGCGTGTAACCCGGTGGAAGAGTGTGTCTTAAGTGCGTGCCTGTGCCTTGCAGGCCGCGGCTCACTTGTTGAGACACGCAGGTTGAGAGTGTGTGTGTGTGTGTGTTTATGTGGGTGGGTGGGTGAGTTGTTATGGGTGGGCGGGAAGGCTCGAGAGAGGTTGGTCTCGTCTTGGACTTCTCTTTCCCCGTTCCTCGCCTTCTGCACGAGCCTCGAGCTCGTGGCTAGGTCGGGCCGAGGCGACATCGTAAGTGGGAGAGACGGGCCGGATAAAATGAGATGCGAGACAATTAACTTCACCAGAGTGCCATTGAGCGCGACTCTCCCAGCACCACGCCTCATCGGGCCTCGTCGCGGTCGGTTTCTCCAAGCTATCCTCAGCTGATGCTACTAGCGTTCTTGATGGACAGAGTGATCCTCCGTAGAGAAACAAACCACGAATGCAAAGCCACAATGGCTCTCAACGCATGTCTCACCTGAGAGGGGAACAGTTGGACAGTGCCTGCGGGAAAAGAAGAGGGTGGCTCGGGGGATAACCTTAAGGTGCCCGGCGCTAGCGACGCTAATGCAGCTGTTTCTTCAAAGGTGGTGGTCCACTGGTGCTTTCGCAATCTCAAAGTCAACAATAGCGGCAGCTATCGCTCCTCTCCAATTCAGCTGGCTGGGGGCCGTTATCTTTTCTTCCTGCTGGATTTTTTTCGGTATCCGTCAGTGTAAATGTGCAAAATCGAAAACATGGCCAAGCCGAGAGCATTAGTGGGGGGCTTTGAGCGTTGCAACCTCTAGGCGCGAGGGCAACAATAGACAGAAAATCTTGCGGGAAAGCTCTTCCTCTCAGCTCAGATTGTTGAGGCGAGTGTGCGCTGACGTCGATGGCGGGAAAACCTGGAGCGGGACGTCTACCAAGCTGGAAAACAAGCAGGGGCCGGAGCCGAGAGAGCGGGGCCAACGCAACCTCGATCGCCGATGCGATCGGCTGGGTCTTTGGGGAGAAAAGGTCTTTTTTTTTCCCCCAACCCACTCGTCTTTTTCACACCGGGCAAGACCTCCAGAGAATACGCGAACGGCATGAGCAATGTTAATGAGATATGGGGTTAGGTAAATTACTGCGAATTCGCGGGTCCGCCCGGCCGGTAAAATAGGGGCACTGCTTCCGCGGGGTTCCTTGCTCGTTGGTCTGGTATGGAAGTCTGGCTGGCCATTGACCCCACCACATTGCAGTGATGGCACTCACCGAAAAGCGATCTCGCTTGTTTGGAGCAGCCTTTGAAAGAGGGAACACCGGGCATGGTTTGATGGGACGGATTTGTTTGGTCAGAAAGTAGCCCGATGATTGGCGCGACCGAGCTGGTTTTTCCTTGCAGCTGGTGCCAAGGCCACACTTCAACCCAGCTGGCCCGGGGTTATGGCCGGCAGGGGTTCCTTGCGGTGGGTGCGGCCATTGGTAGCATCGGCCAATCGTTCGCTGCCACTGCCAGGGTCGACCAAGATCTCGACGACGTCTGATATTTTGATGCGCCAACACAGTTTGGGGGCCCCTTGATAACAATTGCCAACGGGCCAAGCTCGTTACTTGTTCCTGCTTCGACGGAAGAGACGAAGGGACCTCGGCGGCCTTCGCACCTTCACCCAAGTTATCACCGGCCGACTGGTTGGCAAACTTTTCCGTTCCTTCACTGTGGCAACATTTCTGCCAGAGTTAGATAACAGTGGAGTGGGGACCCGTCCCGGACCTCAAATTACCTGTTTCGCTCCTGTCCGATGTATACTAGTGTAGTGTCGTGCAAGATGAGCCACGCTCGAGCCACGGCAGCGAGCTGAAAGTCATGGTCAACTGTTCACGTTAACGTAACCGGCCATGAGCAGATCGATTGTACACTAAAATGGGTGGCGAGCCACGCCAGCCCCCGCGCCGGCAGCGTTGCCCAGCAGCTACGAGCTGCCGGTTCCCAGCGCACACCGCATTGGGTCCCATCGAGGCATCACAGGCCGGGACACCCCCCACTACCCATGTGGCTGCAGATCGGGCCATGATGTGGCACACAGGAACCCCAGCCCCCGTCACCGTAGCTGCTAATCGACACGGCATCATGCATTAGCGGTGGTTGAGGTCTCGCCCGCGGTTGTCAACTCAACTGTCACTTACGCTATCTGTTGCTAGGTAGAAAGACGGCACCGATTATGGGTGATGTTTATGCGGGTGGCTTCAATTGCTGCTGGGAAGCCCTCAACTTCCGGTGTAAATGAGATTCGAGGATGTTAAAGGAATGGGAGAGATCGAACAAGGCCTGGTTTCCGAGGACAAGTCCAAGGTGTGATGAGTTCAGGTTTTCCGTCTGGGGCGCGGGAAACGCAGAATCGTGCGGCCCGGCGTGCCTTCCGGGCAAGATCTTGCGGGTTCTAATTGGCGAGGCCGGTTGGCTGTCTAAGAAATTCAGTACTTTCCTGTTTCTGTGGAGAAATGAACCACCGATCGAACAACATGGCAGTCCCCGGGTCTAGCTTGTCGGTTCGGTGAGATCATGGCCCACCCTACTTTAGTCTAAACCTGGAAGGAGCCACTTGTATTCCCTCCCACAAGAAGGGAACCTCGTTGCTGTGACGCGCCTGCCCCTGCTAATATAAACCGCGGTAATTTCCCACCTACCGACTACCACCGTCCCTTCCCGTTCTCTCTAAGCACGCGTCTCACAATAACGCACAAAGTGTGGTTCAAAATCCTAATTCTTCGGCTCCGATCCCCCAAACTCTCCCCTTCCACCTTCCACACCACATCGTCGATCCAAGTCAACTGGTTCTCGCAACATCACACCACCATTCCAAACATTCGACCTTTCGGTTCACACAACTTCAAATCACCCCATTATCTCAACTTTCAAAATGAAGGCCGCTTTCACCGCGATCATCGCCCTTCTCGGCGCCACTACCGTGGCTGCTGCTGATTTCCCCGCCAACCTCCCGGCCTGTGCCGTAAGTCAAAACCCCGCGTTCTTGGAATCAAGACTATGCCTCGATCCACGCCCGTCACCTCAGAGTACTAACAGTAACAGAAAACCTGCGGCACCAACATGCTGGCCAAGGCTGCTGAGCTTCAATGCAATGGCAACGACATCGACTGCCTGTGCAAGAAGCGTGACTTCTCCCTGGGTATCCATGACTGCAACGTCGAGTACTGCGGTGACCTCAACTCCGCCAACCAGGGTATCAGCTGGGGCAACAACCTTTGCTCGGGCGTTAGCGGTGCCGTCCCGATCCCTTCTGCCACTGGCCTCACGGTGAGCCCTCCCAGTACCAATCAATGAATTAGTGAAATGAGTGGTATATTAACTGTCAATCTAGGGCACTGGCAGCGGCTCTGGCCCTTCCGCCACCGGTGGCAACGGCTCTGGTACCGCTACCTCCGGCGCTGCTTCCCCGACTGGCTCGGGCTCTGGCAACGGTAACGGCAATGGTAACGGCAACGGTAACGGCTCGGGTTCTGGCAACGGTGGCAATGGCGGCAACGGTGATGCCACTGCTATCACCACCAGCACCTGGACCTCCACCCTGACCAGCGGTTCCGAGACCAGCACCGTCACTGGCACCACCACCATCTCGGGCGCCAACGGTACCCCCGGCAACGGTTCCGGCAACGGCGCCACCAAGACTGGTGAATCGACCACCCTCAAGACCACTACTGGCGGTGCTTCTCCCACCGAATCTTCCGGCTCGGGCTCGGGCTCCGGTTCGGGTTCGGGTTCTGGCTCTGGCTCTGGCTCGGGCTCTGACTCCGGTTCTGGCAACGGTTCCGGGAACGGTTCCGGCTCTGGCTCCGGTACCAGCTCCAGCTCTGCCTTGGTATGTTTTTCGAGCAGATCCTTCAGTCTTGACTAAATTTCTAACTTGCTTTACAGGGTGCTCAGATGACCGCCGCGCCTGCTATGGGCTTCCTGGCCGCTGCTGGCATTGCCGCTGCCCTTCTCTAAACTCGGTCCGCCGTGTCTTAGATGCCAGAATCTGGCCCAAAAATAATCTCACGAATTGATTTGATCGATACGTTCACGATTGCACGACGGCGAGGGTGGAAGGACGCATGGTGCTGATCTTAATGACTATTGGGACATGGTTACGTACGGAAGCCTCCCCATTTTTTGTGGCTGTTTACTTTGATATTTTATCAGAGGGCCATTGTTTCTGTGTACATAATATGTAGAACTGGGCGTTGCGAGATATGGGAAAGATACCCCACGATGGACGGGTGTGACCGCGACGGTCTCCACTCGAGTGATGGACCCAGGTTTAATGGGGAAGTTAGTTGCTGGGTAAACCGCAATAAAAAGACATTGCTTTACTAAATGTCCCACGCGTCGCTGGTCTCATGCATAAGTTGATCAAATATCGAATGGGCTCCATGCTACCTACTCTGTTGAGTAGGAGTCGGGCATGAGGCTTGCTGGAAGTTGACAGCGCGCGTCCGGCCTAGTATATGTATCCACGCGGCTGTAATTAACGGAATTGGCTTGAAGCAGGGCGGCAAATCATTGCAGAGAATGGCTCTCATTTCTCGCGCGGTGGAAGGCGTCAGAAATGGAGGGAAGGACGGGAGAGACCTAGTATATAGGGAAGGTCCGTGGTCCTGTTTTCCCAACAAGAAAGCAAATCACGAGGATCACACCTGTTGGTAGTGTAGTGGTTAAGAGCTGTGTACCTAGTCGGTCCCCTCCTAGGGTGAAAAGGCTCCCCTAGGGCGCGGCTGACCACAGTTCCCTTATTCGAGTCCTGTTTGTTCTCACTATTTTTTGGTTCTCTCGAGTTTTTACAATATTAGTTAGCCACCGGTTCGGGGGTGTTTCCATCGGGGATTAGGATATCATCAATGGAGAGTACATACGGCGTGACGTACTTTTTATTTTGATACCAGCGAAGCGGAGGCCTTGAGTTAAAGAAAGGAGCAATTAATGTTTAATAATTTCGTAGGTGTGGTTGGGTTGAAGATTTCCGATTGTGGAGGAATATTCCATTCCCACCGCAAACCACGCGTTTACCAAGAGCGACGACTCATGTCCCAACTATTTATGTACATTTCCTTCCCCACTGATTATCTACGGAGAATAACATCACGGTAAATAACGCCCCAATCCATAAACAAACTACCCAAAATGCCCACCTATCCTTCCAACCACCAACACCGGTATCAACACCCCCACAGCCACCACCACCCCCGCCAACAAAACCGAAACATTCGACACCAGCGGCCCAGCGTGCATCTGATCCAGAATCCCGTCTAGCGTCTCCGCCATTTTCTCCTCCCCAAACCCATCTTTCACCCTCTCCACCCCCGCTTTCCCCATCTTTTCTAATTCTTTTTGGGGTATGTCATTTAGTACCTTGCCGAGCACTTCACTCCACCCGTCGACATCATCCGGATCGCGCAGCCAGCCGGTCACGCCGTCAACCACCGTCTCGCGCGGCCCGCCGCTGTTGGCTGCTAGCACGGGTAAACCCCGCAGCATGGCTTCTAGAGGGACGATGCCGAAGTGTTCGTTGCGTGGGGTGTAGAGGAGTAAGCGGGCGGAGCGGAGGAGGATTTCTTTGAGGAGGTCGGGTACCGACAGGAGGAAGAGGACGTCGATGGTGTCTTGGTTCTGGGGGAGGGTGACGGCCGAGACGAGGGTTTTGGCGGTTGCGTGGTGGAGGTTGAGGGAGGTGGCGAGGTGTTGGAGTTCGGTGTGGTAGGCGACGTTTTCGGTTACGCGGGGGTCGTAGCCGCCTGCGAGGATGAGTTTGGCGGTTTTGCGCTGGGAGGGCGGCAGGCGGGCGAAGGCGTGCAGGGCGAGGGCGATGTCTTTTTTGCGCTCGAAGCGGTTGATCGAGAGGATGATGCCGTCTTGGGCCCAGGGGAGGGGCTCGATTTCGAGGGAGGGTTCTGGGGAGGTGGTTTCGTCGGGGTTTGTTTGTTTGTCTTGGTTCTGCTCCTTGTTCTTGGTATTGTTCTTCTTTTGCGTAGGCGACGAGACGTCCACGCACGGGTATACCACGTGCAAAGTCTTGGAGTTCGCCAGCCCGGGCCACGTGGCCTCGACTACCCCTCGTGTGAACGCCGAGTTCACGGCGATGGCATCGGCAAATCCCATGGACCATCGCTCGAGGGCGTCAAACGGCGCTCGGTACAACCGCTTCCAGAGCTGCGCGCGGCCACGCGCGAGCAACAGGTCGGGGAAGTGGCAGTAGAAGAAGATCGGCGGGATGAACCCGCCCTCGCGCGGGGAGAAGAAGCTGGATATGGAGAGGAGGACCTTTAAGGCGGGCAGGCCGGCGCTGAGCTGGTCGACGAAGAAGGCGTCAGGACCGATGGTGGCGAGCTTGGAGGTGAAAAGCCCGACATGGAGCAAAAGGTGTAGTTGGCGAAGGATGGCGCATAGGATCGCGAAGCGGCCGAGGATGGTAGGCGGGACGAGGGTGTTGCCGTGTACATGCACATCGAGGGTACCTGGTGAGGAGTATAGGTGTTAGCGTGGGAATCTTTGGATCCTAGAATGAGGGATCAAGGTGCAAAGATGTGGCGCTTAGATATACCATCGCGCGCTTCCTCGAAGCAATGAGCAGGATCGCAATGGCTCGTAAATATCACAACCCTGTATCCGCGCTTCTGCAATCCCACAGCGGCATCCACCACCAAGCGCTCCGCGCCACCTATCCCCAAGTCCGGGTGTAGGAAGACGATAGTTTTTGGCCGGGCCGGAGCCCGCTGTTTCTTTTTGTCATCGTCGCCGGCCATCGTTACGGCTAACCATGTATCATGGCATCGGGGTGTACGATCGGTCCGTGGTGGGGCGGGGATGGGATGTCGCCGTCGTCGGTCATCGATAGATCGTTGTGTGGTTGTTGTGTCTCTGTCTTGTGATAACTCAATCAGATGTGGTCAGAACGCACAAGCTCTCGCTACTGCGGGACGGGCCAGCGTGCAGGGATGCAGGTCCCTGGCGGCAGGCAAGGGACCTGCGGGGCAATCTCGATGTCCCTTTGCAGGGCGTCCGAGCGGTAAATAACTGTAATTACGTCTTTCGCCCGCCCTAAATAGCCAATATTACGGTATTTGACACGACCACATGAACGAGACCCTGAGAACCCTCACATCCGCCAGCCACAAATGTCAAACTCCCACATCCATTTTCTTCCCCTTAGCCACAACCCCTTCACCAACCAACCAGCGATCATCGCTCCCCACCCCCTCCATTTTCTCTTCCATTTTTTTTCTTTGTCTGTAAGCCAAACTGGTCACATGCTCACCTTTTCAACTTCTTCCCCTTCCAGACCCCTCACACACTCCCAGTCCCAGACCCCAAACTTTGCCCTTCCAGACCCCAAATTCCATTGCTCCCCCGCCCATACTCCTTTCCGTCTAGTAAACCACCCCGTCCCGCGCTACCCTCCCGCTACTTTAATGCATCCAACTTAGTGTACATTCACTCCGGTACCTACCGGATAATGTTTCTCTCGAACCAATCGTCCCCGATCCGATCCCGGTTCATTCCATCCCTTCATCTTCGATGTCACTGGTTCAGTTTCCCATACTGTGTCCAACCCAACCTAACTTAACCCCCGTCACGATGCTAGTGTAGTGTGGTGTGCTGTTGGCTGTTTCTCTTCGTGCTACTGGTTCTCGACCCCGAGATGTGGAAGAAAATGCGGGGGAACCAGGGGCGAAGAAGCAAGAGGGGGCGGGAGATCCAGAAACTAGTTAAGGTTGGCCGCCGATTATCGTGAACCTGAACGGCGGACAGCGGAACATTCAATCCAGTAGCGTCGATACGCCCATCCGCGTGGCCGACCGACCGACCGACCGACGGCCGGGATTATCTCGGGTTGTCCGTCCGTCCATCTGTCTGTCTGTCTGTCTGGCCAAAACCGGCCTCGCATCGTCAAAGTAGGTCGGTTGGGGTTTCGTCGGTCGGGATGTCCTAATCCGGCAAGCCCGCCTGCGCTTCATGTATCGTGTACTATGTATGTACCGTGGTACATACGAACCACACATGGGCATCTTGAACGGTTGGGAGATGAACTCTTGTGACGTGACTGGCCGAATGATAGACCAGACGAACTTTAATTCCCAAGTACCGAAGTCATCTCTTCTTCACACCGCTTGGCAGCTAGCTCTGTATCAGCCCTTCCAACAGTTCTTCACCTTCTCGGCCCCTCGTAACTAAGCCGCTTGTTGCCGCGAACGGTATCAGAGAACCGGCCGAGCCTATTAAGAGTCCAAACAGTGTATTGATGAGATAAACCCCCGTTGTCATCAATCTCGTTATCATCTCAGTAACAAGGCAGGGCAGGTACATCAAAGAAGTTCGAGAAGAGAGAGCCTTTGAGGTCAAAGATTTCGTATGCAATCTAACGTAGGTAACAACATAACCGAACCCCAACCGGCGCCAACAACCGACAAGTCCAGCAAGTCGGCCAATGCAATTCCAACCGAAAATGTCCCTGTCCGCCCGTGTGTAAATGCATCGCCTAACAAAAAGACCCCATTATCAAATTCCCCTATCCTTCCCAAGTATGAAGTTAGTACATAAACATCCGGCCAAGCCGTAAATAACTGTGGACTTCCCAAAATATGATCAACATCAGACACAAAAAAACACGGGGCCATGATCCAAGAAACCGTCAACGCCACTTCGTTACAGCGCCGGAAAGTGCAGTGTACTTCAAATAGGGTGTGTATGTATGCGTGTGCATGAGTGTATGTGTGTATGTGTATGTGTGTGTGCGAGTGTGTGTTGTGTTTGCGAGTGTGTGTGTGTGTGTGTGTGTGGTAGTGTGTAAATGTGCGAGTGTGTGTGTGTAGTGTAGCGGGGAGTTATGATCGCCCATCCCCCGTGATATGACATGACAACCTTGAGTCCATCAACAAACAAATCCCTTAACCAAACAACCTAGGAATCTCCAATCCTGGAAAATACAACCAACGCCTCCCTCCCCTCCCACCAGGAGCCATCCGTCCCAACCACCAACCGAGTGTGTAACCGGCTTGGGTAATTAAACAAGTGAAAGAAATGGAAACAAGAAAAAGAGATGCTCTGTCCCAGTATCCATCCATCTTGTCCACCTAGCCGACCAACCAACCACCTATCCACTCATTCAATCATCGCATAAAACCTCATCCTTCATAATCCCCGCTCCAAGATGCATTTGAAACCCCAATCCCGGCAAAGGTAACCCAAACCTTTCACTGAAAACGTAAGTTAGTATACCCAAAATCCATCACGGCCATTGCCATCCTCCCTAGGCGGCGTCACATATCGTCCTGCCCTCTCTTATTCCATCTGATCTTTCTGTCACATGACGAAGGTCGTGGGATGAATGAGGACACCGCGAGATACTGGGCGTCCTCGTACATCATGTCGTCTCTCGTTGTGATTATCGTGTATGCTCAGGAGTGTTGAAATCAACTCCCGGTAGCCGGCTCGTCAGGGTCCATAATGAACATCTTCTTAGCGGTATCGGTACTGCCCACGCTCGCGTTTGTATCCCGTCTCCGCGAATGGCCAACCCACCTCCCTACCCCCAGCGCCGGTGTTTGCAGATCCTGTGAAGATGGGGTAGTAGTGTGAGTGATAGGGGCGGGAATAGGGGTCTGGTCCGGGGCCGTAACCGGGGCTGGCTTCTTCTTTTTCCTGGCCATGGTCAGCCCCTCATCGCTGTCGCTACTATGACCATCGTCGTCATCGTCATCGTCATCCCGACGACTTTGCGAGCCCCGCCGACTAGCAGGGAGACGGATGCTTTCTGGAGGGCGATCCGCAGCACGGCCGGTGCCAAAGTGAACGGCCTCCTCCGACGTGTCCCGTAGTCCGAGAGGGAACCCCGAGATAGGCTCCTTGGCGAAGGCAGGTGGCGTAAGGGAGTCGGTTGTGTCAATAACGGAGGGCCGTCCCACCACACCAGGGTTGCCGAGGAACTCGCCCTCCGGATCGGCTGAGACGGAACTTGTACTGCTGAGCAGAGCCGGCAGCGACGGGTCGGATTGGAATGCCAACATCCGATCCGCCACCTCCTTGGTCATCTGGTTGTTGAGCCCATAGATGGGACTTGCTGATTCGCTCGGGCTCGTCAACGGAGTGGTGAGTGCGCCCATGGATGCCGCAGAGCTTGATGACCTCGCTGTCACAACGGTATCATGTTTGGAGAGGGATAATACGGGGAACGGATCGCCAGTCGGGGATGGTGGGCATGGGGGGAGGGTCGGCTCGGGCGTTGATGGCTGCCCCACAGCCCCGACACGGCCGGCCGTCATCGGCCGCTCTTCCAAACTAGCTAGGCGTCGTTGCTTATGGTGCATGTTGGGGTCGGATTTGAAGGCAGACAAGGGGGAAACGGACGGTAGGGGCACAGCAGGGACGGCATGGTCGAGAGCTCGGAAAAATTCGATGGAACGCATTGAGCGGGGTTGAGGGTTGAAGTGCAGATTTCCAGGAGCAACGGCGGTACTAAGCGCCACCCTAGGTTCTGCACGTTTGTCGTTGCTGGCGAATAACCCGCGATCAACAGACCTGGCTCGGCCAAGGTCGTCGGTGTTGGGCTTCGTATCCCGTGCCTTTCGGAGTGCATTGCTAGGATCGTCTACCGGACTGTCGAAGAGCGGGGTGGGCGGAACAGTTTGGCTTTCAATCGGCGTTGGGGTCAGAGGTAGAAAAGTGTTTGTGATGGACCGAGACTGCCCATGACGGGTAGTTGGCCGGTGAGGCGAGGCCGAAGCGGAGACGCAAGCCGGTCGACCCCAATAGTCCTCCCTACCCGCGAGGGTTGTGACGAGTTCGAGACGTCGGCGGGCTCCGGGGCTGCCGGCTAAGGAGGATTGATGGAGCGGGGATGGGACGGGGGGTGACCCGGCCTCAGGGCTCGCTAGGACGCTCTGTGTTAGGGGGTGTCCGCTCCCCGGATTGATCGGGGTTGAGAAGTAGTCGTCAGGCCGCAGACTTCGCCTGCGGCTATCTCGTAGGTGAGGAGTGATGAGGTTAGTGATATCTCCGGCAGAACTAGCCGCGCTGCTAGCCGCCCGCCTCCTTGATGAGACGCTCTCTGCGCGGTCTCCCCGTGGATGCATGACTTTGCCCACCGCTTTCTTAACCACGGATCTAGCGCGCTCCATCAAGCTTAGGGGGACAACAGCCCGGGTGATTTCCTTCTCATCGACTTGAATCTTCTTGCCCGATGTTCGCCTAGAAGGATCGGTATCGTCAAGCCAGAGCATGGCATCTATGCCGTGCATGACCCAGGGATGTCTCTTGACATCGCGCAGCCGAATCCTCTTTTCAGGATTCTTGGTGAGCATTTTCCTCAGGAGGTCCTGAAGCTCGGGCTCAATCTCTTCGTACGAAAGCTCGTCGTCGTCGCGGTACGGCGGCCCATTGACACGGGTATAAAGAGATTTCTCGCTGGGTTTCGTGGACGGGTCGACAGGGCGAAGCCGCTTGTCGGGAATGTAAACCGCATCGTTCGCGATCTTCTTGAACATCTGCCATTCGTCCTCGGCGAGGAATGGTAGGCGAGCGTAGATCAAGCAGTACAGTGTAACACCCAGCGACCAAACGTCAATCTGTTCGCTGACTCGGGGCTGCTTGTCGGGCGGCGCGTCGTAGAGATCGGTGGCACAGAGCTCGGGTGCAAAGAAGGCGGGCGTGCCGACCGTCTTGGCGAGCTCGAGATCGTTGTCAAAGTCCCGAGCTTCCGACTCCGAGATGGTGTCGTCGGGTTCACCATCGCGGACAGGCCTACCAAAGTAGGACACACCAAAGTCCGCAATCTTGGCCCTCTGCTCCCTAGTCCAGAGCAAGTTTGCGGGCTTGATGTCTCGGTGGACAACGCCTTCATAGTGGAGATACTCGAGGCCCAAGACTGTATCCCGGAATGTGTTCCTAGCTTGGTCCATGGTGAAGCAGGGTACGTAAGAGAAATCGTCGACGTAGGGGTCATGGACCCTGTTAAAGTCGAAGGAAGACATGTGGGACGTAAAGGAGTCCGCCATGCTGGGAGATCGCCCCCGAGCAGTGGGGTCGTCGACATATGCCCCGTACATGGTGCCGTCCAGGGCCGTGGACGAGGTCGGTTTGGCCCTGATTGGCAACGCACCGGGTGTCTCTGGTTCTTCGTTCTGGGTCGCGAAAGCAACCTGCGGTCCGGTGAACTTAGTAAACGATTTCACAGATGTGGAGCGAGACGGTGCCCTTGAGGTGGCTCTCGATGGGATTGAACTCGTTTCTGACAAAGCAGGGCGGATGGCCGAGAGCCCCGTGTCCTCCCTCCCCAGAGAACCGACGCGAGAGTCGAGTTCCTCATCGTCCGCGGGGCCGTACTCGAGACTCCAAAAGTCGGCCGAAGGCTTCTGTGCTAGGGCTCGTAGTTTTGCCCGCTGTGAGTCCTTGGCCGCTTGACGCTGCAACAGAAACCGCTCAAAACGATCCTCCTCGGGCGTGGAGTTCACACCCCGGGTTTCGCGTTCAATGCGTCGCCGTTCGTACTCGCAGATGTGTGGGAGCCCCTTCTTCCTCCAGACCACCTCACCCAGTTCGACATGTTCCAACACCATGTAAATTTTCTTCAGCTCGGGGTCGTCGATAACCTCGAGCAGGGCGACAACGTTCGGGTGACGGATCTTCTTCAGGATAGCAATCTCCTTTTTGCTCTTATCTTGAGTGGACATTGCCGTGACTTTCCCCAAACGTCTCTTCTTAGAGAAGCGTGGGATGATCTTGATAGCAACGTGCTCGCCATTCTCCACATTCCGAGCGAGCTTGACCTTGCCGTGAACGCCTCGACCCAGCTCCTCGATGATCTCGTAGTTGTTGATGTGTTTCCGGCCGGTAGTGTAATCGTGTTCAACGTTCGCCTTGTGTGTTCTACCGAGAGGTGTCAGCATCTCCACATACCACATTCCAACGTTGAGAAAAGTCTCCTCCATTCATCCCCAATCACTCCCACGACAGTAAAGAGCACGAAGCGGTATCCACTTACTCCCGGACTTTGTGGCTCTGTACTTGTAACGGGTGTAGAAACGGAAAGTTCGAGCTCCCCGGTGTCGCCGTCTCCGAGCCGGGCTGCGAGGTGAAGGTCATGCTCGGCCGAGAAATGGACGGGCTGAAGAGGCCTGGCGAGGACACCGGGGTGCTATTGGCGGTTCGCTGTGGGATATGCGGCGGCGGCGGTGGAGGAGGGGGGAGGATATTGTGAAGACGTGGGTGCGAGGGCCGATGAAACGGCGGTCGTGGTGGTTGAGGGTCCATGGTGGAAATGTGGTCGAGCACCGCGAGGGTAGCTCTTCATGCTGAAAGGGAACGCTCGCTTCGGAAATGGTGGGGAGATTGCGCTACTCGTTAGCCGGCGCGAGGCAAAAGCGTCGTCGACGGCAATTCAGGAAACATTCAAGCAGGCATCGTCATTGTTCTATCGTCGTGAGGGCATATGAGGCCAAAGGGGGTGGGAGAAAACAAAACAAGGAAAAAGCGGTGGTGATGACGATGGGGTCCGAGTGGCTGATCTCGGGGGGTCGTAGGCGGGATAGCTGAGTTTTGGTGGTGCGCTGTGTCAGGAAAAAGACCCGCTCGCCGCTCTTGCGCCCGATGCACGCTGCAGATTTTGGTCGCCTCTGGTCTTGGCCTAGCGGCTGTGGTGGGTTGCCCACCTGCAGAGCTGCGGCGTCGGCGGGTCGGGCTAGCCTCCCATGTCTGAAGTCCTAACGGATGTACTGTGTACACGGAAGCTGCGTGTCGGGTGTGGGACAAGGCGCACAGTAAGTACCCAGTGTTCAGACGTGTCCCTCTCTTTTTTTTTCTCCCCTTGGCACTTGGACCACACAGATACCTTACAGAAGATGCCGATGCAGTGATGAGGGAAAGAGGGACCGCACCTGAGAGCCAGATTCAAGAATCACGGGCCGCGGCGCAACTCTAGCACATATCTCCATTATCTTGTCGATGTATTTTGGCAGGCTAGGTCGTTCAAGTTGCATTCACGCTTTCCAATCGCTAATTGAATGATCATCGTCCTCCACGACAGACAACGATAGAGACAACGTGCGTAAGAAATTCTCGAGGTTGCGAGACCGGAACGGGCTTGCGAAAACCGAGGTATTTCGCTAAGCAAAGCCGTGCTCGTCCGGCATCGTCTTTTTCAACCAGTGGGACGACGCGAGGGTCCAGAAGGGCATTGGCCAAGCAGAACAGGCAGAGGGATCTCTGTCTCCGCGGCGCGCCGCAGGCAAATCGCTAAGCAAGCATGCATGCATCTTGAGGAGGAGGGGCCGCTCGAGCTTATCGCACTGAACCAGTGCGGGGCAATCATTGGTGGGGCCGGTCTTGGCCACGTCCCTTCGATGCCGGTGTTCCGCCGTGTTAAAAAGAGGAAGAAGACGAACGAGGACAGAGTTCTCGATGCACAAGCGACGTGGGACCAGGAAGGGACAAGGACCACGGCTCTGCCCGTTCGGGGTCCAACATGGTTTCGTTTCTGTGAGATCGCTCGGCCGGGGCCTTTGGAAGGCTCGCTCGGCTCTTGAGCTTGGGCATTCAACACCGTGCAATTGAAATGTTCGCAAGGTCGGGTCGGCTGTTCTAGTGGCATTCCTTACCTTCTGTGATGACCCATTTTGAGGCGTTATCTTTTGGTTGTCATGATCATTCCTGTGCCAATGAACAAACAACACCACCGGGATCGGGTTTTGGCCTCTCCTACCTAGAAGTTCCACAGCGGGAAGAGCGGCAGGCATTGGGGGGAAGATGTGTTTAGCCCAACTCCAGCATACTCGTACCATATAGGGATGTGGATGTCTGGTTGGCCGTTGCAAACGGGAGAGCAAGGGATCTTGAAGCGACCGGGCCTCGACTAACGGGAATCTGGTAGTGGATCAGTCTCTTCTTGAAAAATCGAAGCCGGTGAGATGTAGTGTAAGCTGCGAATGGCGGGTTGTGATTGTCGATGTATAATAACACGGGACGCATGAGAAGCTTCGCCCGCGAACTCCATGTGCGTCGTCGGCCAAGCTCGGGCAACGAGGCCTGGCAGGTTCGAATGAGGTTAGCCCCGTTATGCGGATCTCGGCTTACTGGAAGTGGGCTGTCGTTTTGGGAGTTATCCGCTGCGAGTGTTTCATTAATAAAAAATCCCGAAGAGAGGGAGCAATAGGACAAGAAAAAGGAAAGGTCCTTCGTTGGCCGAAAGAGGCCATTCGATAGTGGTGGCAGGATATTGCCGAACCAGCTGCTCTCACGGACCGGGTTTACGGTTTAGAACGTCCACAGTCTGGTCACCAACTTTCAACTCCCATACTTGCTGACGCTTCCATTGAGGGTATTCCCGTTCAATGAGCATCATACCTGAAGGAAAAACTGTCCCTTTTCTTCGTCGAGCACCCATGCCAAGCTCCGGATGACCGCGTTGGGAACATCGGATGTGATATCAAGCAAGTGGTCTAGACCACTCGCTCTGCTTCCCCAACTCCTGCGGGCGTGAGGGTCCAAAAGCCTCCGTCGCAGCCCAAGGCACGCGCGCACGCGGAAAGTTGAAATCTGCATGCTGAAGCAACAGTCGGGAGCCAAATCGAAAACACGCCGGCGGGCGAGCAGGCTCTGTGAACAGATTGAAAAGTTGACAGTCAGCATGGAAAGAGCGTGCGGTGCCCTTGATGCTGCGACTTCGATCCTACCTAACGGCCCAAAGGCCCGCCCACTGAACTTGGCGTAGTGGACAGTTCCGTTCGGATCCCTTGATGGGTTTCTACCGAACATTTCGATTTTGCTTCTTGGACATGCCAACAACCGTTTAAGTGTTAAATCGTCGGAGCATGAGCAATACTAGAGAATACACGATAAGCTCAGTGTCTCTCCTTTGTTTTTGAATTTCGGGGCGCAAACTACCGAAGTTTTCTCGAGCAATGTTGGAAGTACACAGTAGGGTGCTGATTGAGCAAGATATCGTGCACGGGCCTTATTCTAATCCAAGCCGGGAAGGAAGCCACCGCAAAGCCCCAAGGATGATTACTGTATTCAGGACGTGTATTCTTTTCGCAAGGAGACAAGTTAAACGATTCGAATCTTTAACTACTTCGATACTTACACTCGGTATCTCTGATCTAGGGTCCTTTCCTGTCGGATCATCACGCGAAAACACAACGCTCGATTGCCCATTGCGCCGTTGCCCCTCGATCCCAAACCGGAATCGCCTCCACAACCCTGACCGGCCTGGCCAATCACGACAAAGTCTGCCCGCCTCTGCCCATGCAAGTCTCACGCATCAATTTGTGCACCTCGCAAGTCTCGTCGTCTCACACATGCGACGAGAATCGACCCATTTCTCGAAAACCCGGGACGACGACCTCCGCCGCCATCCGAGCTCGTGCCCTCCGCGGGAAAAGCATGGTTCATAACATTAACGTTATCCGTATCTTTCCAGCCCAGGCGATACCACCCTATCGAAGGCCAGTAATGTCTTGAAGCTCCACGAGTTTGAAATCCCAAAATGGCATCGCTCGACGTCCTTTTCGCGCGACTTTGAGAGTTCCCTTCCCGTCCTCCCGCAGCGGGATTCTCCACCCAAGGACCAAGGTGCCATAATATCGGCCCTGCTATTCCCAGTTGATTCTCATGCACGTCATGTCGCTCAATGTTCACAGAGTGGGGATGGAGGAGGTGACGGTATTGGGCCATCACTTTTTGGTTCCTCGCAGGCTGCGCCATGTGCTCGCATCGCAAGAATCTCATGTGCATCAGACAGCGATGGGGTTGGCGACCTGACCGTTGGGCTTGCCAATGCGATTCCGGATTGGCTGTGCATTCAGACAACCAGTGCCCTGCCTCAGCAAATGGCGCATGTTTGGTCGGTGATCTGGAGAGGCGCCGCTCCGTCAAACTAACGTTCGCCTGTCACCTACAAGGTAGGTTTCCGCTCTCGGTGTAAGAAAAACGCTGTATTGCCCAATGTAAGGAACCGTTCGGTGTGGCTTAAACATTCGGTGAGGCCGGTGAGTTGTTGCTGAGAGGCTTGTCCGTGGACGCAACACAAAGCCCGTTTTATTAGCTTTCACACACAAGGCTAGCTTACCGTTCACAAACAGGTTTCCTAAGAGAACATCGCACGTTTTCACGGCCCCGAGCATTTGGAAGAACACAAGGACCCTGCGCAGGCGGCCCTGAACGCTGGATTCGTCACACCAGTCGCGTGCTTTCGTCTTGGCCAGGACCATGGAATCTGTCCCGCTGCGGAGAAACGGTTTCATGCCCCCTCCCCCCTTGGGGAATCACAAAAATAAGCAAGGTCGAATGTTGAGGAAATGATACGGATCGAACGGCACGCAATTTGTCGGCTTGAACCTCGTTCGTCAAACAACCGAAGCTCGTGATACCCGGGGGCGCAATCGGCTTCAACCATTCATTGGCTAGCCGGCGCCGCTGCGCTGGTGTTGGTATCCCGGCAGTATGGTTCTTTTCAGATGTTTGACTCCAAGATAAGCGTCATCGCCAGCGCCGCCAGCCGCCGTTGCCCCTTGCCTGGTGCTGCCAACGGCCCAAGACCGGTCACGGCCGCCAACGAGGGTGGTCTCGTCATGGGAGAAGAAATCAAACAGCGCTTCCAAGATCTTGCTTGATGCCGGCATCCGGTGCACGCAAGTCCTTCCTGTTCTCTCATTGGCAATCGCGTGTGAGCCGACTGTGCGACTTTACTGTATGTGCCAAGCGAGAAGTCCAAGGTCCCCACAAAACGGGGGCCATTTGCTCCGCGCACTGTTCATCAGATCAGTTTTCATCCAGCCCTCGATATGATCATCCATTTTCCTGCCGCGATAAACGAATCTTGCTGGCAAAGCCGTCGATAGCGTTGTATTCGGTGGTACGCAAAGGGCAGAATGACGGGGACCGTGTGCTTCAAGGACCTTGTCTCAAGCGGGTGTCATTGGGAGGGAAAACTATGGGGCGGGCTGGTAAATACTTCTCTCACGATGGGGATTCGCCGGTCTTTTGTGCCCCGTTGTTAAGTGTCTCCTTTCACATGCCTCCTAGTAAGGCAGCGTTTCAAGAGGAGGAGGGTCGAGGTGATTTCTCACTTACATATGTAGATTGACTGGTTAGCCTTGCCATGAATCAACCGCAAAGGTACAAGGGACAAGACACAAACAGGAAACAAACGGACGGTACGACGGAGGCTGGAAGTTAAAAATACATTTGAGGATGAGGAAATAAAGGAAAAAGGCGCAACAGTCCACTACCGGGAACACAACTCGACCCGTCTATCA